CCATACACCCATACACCCATACACCCATACACCCATACACCCATACACCCATACACCCATACACCCATACACCCATACACCCATACACCCATACACCCATACACCCATACACCCATACACCCATACACCCATACACGTTGAAGAATACCGGGCATACTTTCCAGAGTAGTTAACATATTGATAAATTTAGTGTTTATTAAGTAACATATCTTAAATACAAAGCTATTCTATTATTTTATTATTAATTGATATTGTTTATAGAGCTGAATACCAGTACATTACATTCTCTAAAAAGTACTGTCACTCAAACCCCTAAAATTTGGACTTCAAATAAATACAGGTTACTACTATTATTGGCAATTTATTACTTTTGATTTTTTAGATACAATCACCTTTTATTCCCAGGCATTAAATCCAAGTGATGTTTTACTTCAAGATTCCACGTACCTTGCTTGAATCTATTTGAAAGAAGTAAAAATAATCTCAACACTAATCCTCCCTTGGAGAATTGCATGACTATTAAATGTGTACTTTATATCAGATTCACAAGTTGAATCGTGTCCTGGCATGTACTCTGATGGTAAGCTAGTATAAAAATCGTGTTCGTTCACTATTGCTGACTAGTTTAGTTATACCACTACAGTATCTATATATAATATTATTCCTACATTGCATTCTCAAATTCTGCTGTATCATTGATTTATTCTGAAAAGTTATTGGCTATTCTTTGTTGGACCTACCATTTAACTTGGACTAGTAAAACTGAAGATCGTCGATAACCATTATATAAAATGAAAATTGAACATTCCAATCCGATCTTTGCATATTGAACATTTATTAAACTTATAGGATTCCCTAGACTTTTTCTTTTGAATCGTTATATCTTTATTATCAATGTCTTTATCAAGAAGCAAGGTCATATTAAGCGCAGGCAACAGCTTATGAAGGTCTATATGAAGATGGAAGGACATAGTAACCGCTTGATTTAATAACTGGTTAAACTTAATAAAATCTAGATTAAGAAGGAAGGGGTTACTTATTTATATTAGAATTACATCTCCAGGCAAATTGGGAGATAAAAAAAAAATGAAACTTTAATTCTATTTTGGGAAGTCTGTTCATATACTGCATTTCCTCAACTTCAAATTTCTGGTAATGGCAGGTGATAGAGGAGAAGTATTTTCCTCGTATTTAGATAGAAACTGTATATAGGAAAATCAACAAGGATATTCATTTAGTGTAAAGTTTCCCATCTTCCAATACATCCTCAAACTTTGAACTTTTCAAGTCTTTTCATCCTTTCTCGATAACTTCATTACTCGTAAGTCTTCCGTTTCTGTCTATTTATGACATCGTTTATCTCTATGCTCAATTTGTTTTTTAGTTGATGATTAATTCATGTGCTTATATGGCCTGGAATGTTTTTATATGCATTCTAAATTTCTCACAGAATTTGATACGACCGGAGAAAAAATTCAAATTTTGACACCCATGAATCCAATTTTGCAAAAACAGTGGCAGTGGGGATGGACCGTATATCCTTCTTGTGACTAACTTATTGCGTTTCATATGCTTATTTACCATTCTCACACATGATTGGTACATGAGGATACATAAATAGAGGAGAGGAGAAGCTTCACATGTATATCTTTTTCATTGATAAAACCAACTTACCAAAAACAGTTGGCCGTGGTGCCGTGCTTTCACGTTGTTGCATATCTTGTATTTGTCTAGGAATGTACCTCACAGGAACTTCAATCAATCCTGTATATATCATCTATGGAATTTCGAGATATTCTGAAATTCGGCTAAGCTAATTGTTCCACAAATAATGTCAGGCACAATATACTTATGTACGAATATGCACACGAATATTTGGGTATGATATTATCATTATACATTAATAGAGAGGAGGAGAAGCTTCACATGCATATCCATTTCATTGATCAAACTAACTTACCAAACAGTTGACCGCGGTGCCGTGCTTCCACATTGTTGCATATCTCGTATTTGCTAAGGAATGTACCTCACAGAAGTAATTGGATATAGATAAGAACTTCAATCAATCCTGTATATATCATCTATGGAATCTCGAGATATTCTGAAATTCGGCTAAGCTAATTGTTCCACAAATAATGTCAGGCACAATATACTTATGTACGAATATGCACACGAATATTGGGGCATGCTATCATGATACATTATTAGAGAAGAGGAGAAGCTTCACATGCATATCCATTTCATTGATCAAACTAACTTCTTACCGAAAACAGTTGGCCGTGGTGCCGTGCTTCCACGTTGTTCCATATCTAGTATTTGTCTAGGAATGTAACTCACAGAAGTAATTGGATTTAGGTAAGTACTTCAATCTAATAGAAGTTGTACTGAACTGCGGGTGAATTTTATCATATGGAAGTTAAATCTTAAACTACGTTTAGCGTTAATTAAATAATTAAATTTATAAATTACTTAGACAATCGCTTATCGACGAATAATATATATATTATTTTATGTAAGGTTTAAAGGGTATACGGATGTTGTGTATTGATCCTACTTTCTATTGATGATCTAAAGTATTAGGGTGATGGGATTGATAGTCAGCGACTTCAGTAGCTATCACGGAGCTACGGAAGCTCTGCAGTCCCACAGCTCTCCTCGTAGTACCTCGAATTTACATGACCTCTGGACTTCCCTTCTGGGTAGTTAAGGACTCCTGGACCTCGGGACTATGGCGAACGTCGGGGATGATAAATGGGGCGATCCTTCATTTATACCATTACCATTAGAAGTGAAACAGGTGGAGAGCTTCGTATATGGTTGTAAAACCAACTACTTTCATTGTAGTCTAACTAACGCTGTTGCGCAAGTTATTTAAATGACTGTTTGAGCAAACCTTACGTCTGTCGAAGAAGTGGCATTTGGAAGCGCTAAGTCTAACACTAATATGAGCTGCAAAAGTATTCTGTTGAGTGATCTATGCAGATCGACACAAATACTGATACCTAGAAACAACCTAGTACCCGAAATACACCCATACACCCATGCATGTTTGCACTGAGCCTATAGCATTGTGTATATACACTTACATAAAACCATTGACATATTATAAAAACAACTCAATGGGTAAAACAATTATACTTCAAGTGAATCCTAGGTACATGAATCATTTAGACAATGAATATCTTTCAAATGACATTTTTTTCTTTAATTAAAGACACATCGATAAAAATACTAAAATTATTTCTCACATTTGTACAACGGCCATAACAATTTATTTATTTTACTGTCAACATGTGCAACAATAATTAGCTGACATCGGCCCCTCATGATTAGGATTCACCCAATACAATCATTGATTCGGGGAGACTTGAATCAATGCTAGTATTGAAATATGGCAATCTATTGATTAGTGCTTTCCTCTATTGTTGGTATGGAGACTTTCACTCTCAAACAAAACCCACTTCTTAAACCTGTCATGAAGTACCTGATTTATTGAGAAGTCTTTCTAAAAGATGTCGGGTATTTTCAAAAATATATATTGACTTGCAGTATAACTAATTCATGGATCAAACTCTTAGATTATTTCTTTTAGTTCATATTATTCTATATATGTACATACGCAAAAACGATATATAACCAATCCAATTCATCGCATTAAGGGTGACAATCATTAAGCTCTCATCTTTGGCCACGTCAAACAATTTTTAAATACATCTAATGGAGGTACTCTAACTTGTATCATATGAAGGTCTGGGTTGAAATTTTGAGTAAGTATATGATCCCTTGAGATAATATAGCCCCTTAAAAGAAGAGCAGTAGTAGCACATGCAAAAAAACATACCCCTGCAAAAATGGCAGTATCCTTGTACTGAGAACTACCAGTTCCTGAAGTTAGGGCTGATCCAATTAATTGAGAGAATAAACCTGCAAGTCCGAATGCAATCCACAGCATACAAAAAGTCACATTTAATTTTGCCATCCCAACCATCCTTGCAATCATCGAGGCACAGGTAGGGAATACTGTACCAAGGAAGATCCCTTCTAATAGGGCAAGTGCAATAGCAGTAGCATAATTTTTGGTTGGAACCCACATTGCTAATGAAAAGATGGCTGCAAAATAGTAAGCCACAGTCGTCACTGTATATGGGCCAACATAATCAGCTAAAAACCCCGCAAGTGGTCTTCCAACGCAAAAACCCACTTGAACCATAGCTGCCACGATTGATCCTTGATAGCTGGAATAACCTAATGAAGTTGTAAAATCTGCCAAACTATACAACACAATTACATATCCAAGCATACATGTAACCAAATATAGTATAAACAACCAGAATGCTGTACATGATAATACTTCAACATCATATAATGTAAATTCAACTTTATGATGTTCAGTTCTCGTCTTGACTAACAAAATGGCAACAAGAACTAGTACTGCACTAATGATACCCTGAGCCCTTAATGCCCAATTTACATTTTTCACTTCTATTATTCTTTGGAGTCCTAAATTAAATACAACGCCTCCTACTCCACTCCCAGTTACTGATAACAGGTTGGCCAAGACTCTTCTTTTAACAAACCATTGACTTACAAGGGTCATTGCTGGTAAACTAATGAGGGCCAACCCAATTGACTGTAATAACCCTTGAGTTAAATAGAGTTGCCAAATATTTACCGAGAAGCTAGCTAATATTGCGGCAGCAAATTGGAAACAATTTCCTAACAACATAATTTGACGGGTACCTATTAATCCTTGCAAATAATTTACAAGAGGAGCAAACATCATCCCCACACCCACAGAAATACCACCAACTGCTGCATAATCTAAAACTGTGGCTCCTGCAAAATGATCTGAATTAAGGTAATATGCAAAGTAGACTGCATATGCCGAGTTTAGCCCCCATGTAGAAAATGTAAGTAAAAATGCAGAGAAGACTATGATCCAGCCGTATCCACCATCCATGTCTGGATCTTGAGTTGGGTTCAATTGTTCATTTTTTTCAGTTTCTGATTCAGAACTCATTTTCTATTGGTATTATATTATATACTGTTGTAAATTTTTAGAGAATTAAGCCGTGTTTAAATACAAATATAATCAACACATGAAAAACTCGATCCGTATTCGGTCCGACCTCGGACCGACCGCGGACCGACAAATATAGAGATGATTCATATTTTCGGAGGTACGATGAACAAACCTTTTTAATTAGATTGAATTGATAATATTGACCTTAAGTGGCAAATGATTAGAGATGATGTTTGAAAGGATTGACCTAAATTAAATTACAATGATTAAATTATAATAATCTCTAATAAATAACGGGAAATCCTAAAAAAAAAAATACAATAACCGTATCCATAAGTCCGAACCCCGTCACCACTGTAAATGATCTAAATTCTCCACTTTTTCGACTGATTCGAATATAACACAACAAATCTTAAAGCGATAAGACAAATAGTACTCCCCACTAAAAGTGATCCATTATATATAATCAGACCTTTGTAATCAGTAGCATTAATTCCACCACCTGTGATAAATAAACCTGCTATTGGAGATCCAAGTATACTTCCGATTCCTCGTACAAAATACATTAATCCACTTAATGCTTGATAATTCTGTAAGCCAAACAATTCAACTAAGCATGTAGGTAATAATGATATGATAGCTCCAGAAAACACTCCATATAATACAATGAATGCAAGAAATGTATCTTTTGTATTTATCATCCATAACCCGAATATAGTTGCTGCACTGAATAAACTACAAACCGTAATCATATTTAAACGCCCGAATCTATCAGCTGCATATCCTATAATGACTTTAAAGCAAGCATTTACGGCATTATTTATCCCAATAAATAACGCTCCTTCACTATACAGAAACCCAAGTGATTGACTGTATTTGGACATATAAATCAATGGAATCAAATACCCAGCAGATTGCAATAAAGATGCTCCGAGTTGAAGCCAAACTTTAAATGAACCAATTTGATTAAGTTGAAATAAACCTCTTGAATGAGTAAATTTAGTAAAACTTTGAGGTTCTTTAACCATAAAGCTAACGACACTAGTGGTGGCCAAATTTATAAATCCTAAAATACGTACACACCATCTCCAACCTAATTCTGAAATAAGATATCTAGTAAAAGATGCCATTGCAAGACCTCCAAACCCAGTACCACTGAAAACAATTCCCATGGCAATTCCTCTATTTTTGTTAAAATAAGCAGGTGCACAAACTACAGGCGGTAAATATAAACAACTTGATCCAATACCAAACATTATCCCTTGAGTTAAAAGAAATTGATAATATTCATTTGCAAATCCAGTTAGAATTAAACCTAGTGACATAAGAATTGATCCAAATAGCATAACTTGAGTGGCCGTGAAATAATAGGTTAAGGTTTTATTGAACACCCCAAAGGCATATGTTAAAGCTGTTCCTGTGGTACCGATTAAGGCAACTTTAGAAGCAGATTGTGAAGATAATGGACCTTCATTAGAAGTATAATATTCTTGAAATACCCCATAAGTAAATGCAATACCAAATATCATAAAGTTACATACAAACCCCGCAATTACAATTGCGATTCCTCTTTTTCGTTCATCTTTTGAATGAATAGAACTATCGTCAACATCAAAAGGACTAAGTGAGTTTCTCTCGGAGACTACCTCCGAAGTAATAGAAGTCATTCAAGGATTTAAGCAAGAGTCAAGTGAAAAAGAAGAAGAATAATCATGAAAATTTTTTAGCAAGTACAGCTCAAACTCTAAATGTACATCCATCTATCTATAATCCGGTGCTTACTATTCATGACTATTACAATTTTTTTTTCTCTTTTTTTTTTTCTTTTTTTTTTCTTATTTTTGATTGTTCTATAAATTCTAAAGAGTATCTAATGCTTGTTGGAAATCAGCAATAAGATCCTTCACATTTTCTATACCAACACTTACACGTAAGAGTTTAGGGCTGCATGAACTATCACTCATAGCACGCCATTCGATCAAACTTTCAACCCCACCTAATGAAGTTGCATGATGGAAATATTTAAGTTTTGAAGGGAAAGCCTTTGCATTTTCTTCAGAATCAAGTTCAATTGCAAAGACTGGTGAATGGCCATTTGGTTGCTGCTTTTTAACGAATTCTTCAGTTTGTAAAGATCCATGAGTAATTTTGGTAATATTTGGATATTTTTCTCTATTTTTAGATAAAAATTCCACAATTTCAGTTGCATTACGAGATTGTTGCAAAATACGAAGCTCATATGTACGCAAACTTCTAATCAATAAGAAACTTTCAAGATTAGCAATGTTTGTACCAAGATATACTCTATCAGAAACAAGTTCAAATTTAGCTTTAGGATCCTTTGTAAGTAAAATTCCTGCCAAAAGGTCACTATGACCACCGAAAAATTTAGTGGCTGAATGTACTACTAAATCAGCTCCAAATTTAAATGGATCCAGTAAAGGTGGAGGAGCAAATGTTGAATCAATAACAAGCTTAGCACCTTTAGAATGAGCAATATCAGCATAATATTGAATATCAAATACTTCACCATCTGGATTAACAGGAGTTTCCAAAAAGATTACATCATCCTTTCCAAGTTGATTAAGATCATCATTAATTGAAATTTGAGTTAATCCCTTTATTCTTGTAAAAAGATCAGCAATTCCATGAGTACCATGATAACCTTTACCAATGGCAACTTTGCTTGGATTCAAATGAGTGAATGCTGCAAAAATAGCACCCAACCCAGAAGAGTATGCAATGGCATGGGCGTCAGTTATAGAACCAATTAATTCTTCAACCTGTTCAGAGTTTGGATGGGATAATCTAGAATAAACTGGAGTACGGAAATAATCAGTACTAAGATCTAAATCTGCCAACTTTGTGAGATTTTCATCATTGTATTTATATGTTGTAGCAACATTTATAGGTGTAACAACATCAGTTACTCTTGATTGTCCATCAGCAGCATGAATTAAGTTTGTTGAAATACCAGTCATTTTTATTGGCTATGACTCTTACTATGATTTTTTTCTTGTGGAAGGTTATATCTACTTATATATGGGAAAAATCGCGCAGATTATGTCACATCATGCTTGTTATACAAATGGTGGCGAACTTGATTATAAGGAAAATGTGGAGTAAAGGAAAATTTAATATATAAATTTAAAACAGGAATAAAACATTGGATAAATGATTTTTTCGAGAATTTTCTCTAAGGAACTCGTACTATAAGAATTTCAAATCAATTTCAATGTATGGTTATCAAATCCATTTCTGATAATCTCCAATCATTAAGGTAAGGTCGTGTTTTTTATCCTGATTAAAGAAAAAGGTTCACAAAATTGTTTCTCGTATAAAAAATTCGATGCAATGTATCTACATGCAAACAGTCGTGTGTTATGCTTTAATATTACAATTCTTTTTAAATTCATTCAATATCTCATAACATTCCCCATTATATTGAAAATTCTGGAAAGTATCAATGTTAATGTGGCATACGTCACTTCTATGGTATTGGTTACTATCCAGTACAATCGCGCAAGTCATTCCAGAACCTATAGAAAATGAGCCTCCTTCAACTATTATCGACATCTTATCGTCACAAGTGGAATATCTGTACTTTTTAAGAGTCCTTCAACGTAATGGAATGATACCAGTAATAAATCAACTACAAAATATAACTCTTTTAGCTCCTGTAAATCTGGCATTTGCAGGCGTTTCTTCTTTGAATATTGATTGGGACAATAATTCCTTATTGAGATATATACTAGACCAACCAGTGTCAACTATTAATCTAGCTAATGAATCAACCGTGTTTAATACCTTGTATGATTTGAATTCATATCCATTACTTATATCGAGAGATCAACAACTGCTAGAATATTTAATTGATCAAGAAGCTGCCATAGTTGAATTAGATGTTTATGCGATTCATCAAAATTCATATATACAAGGTATAGACAAATTACTCCCCCATAAACCATCCATGTGTGACTTACTTATGTCAAATGATATGGTATCTATTAATGGACATTCAATTTTGTTTATTAAACTGCTTCTTTCCCTGTTGTTCGAAAAGTCAACTTCAATTGATAAACATAAAAAGAAAAAAGATAAAAAGAAAAAGGATGACTTCCCTACATCTTGTGATTCATTTTTCAATCAAACTGGTACTTTTTTCATTCCAACGGATGATTATGTTTTGCAATCCTTGACGGATTTACAATACAAGTATTATACAAGTTTATTTCAAAGTAATGATAGCCCTCATTATGATTCAACAAAACAAGCAGAAATTGATATTAAAAGTTCAATAATTGAATTACTTGAAAACTTAATGCTCAATGATTTGGTTGTTGGGACTAATTCTTCACAACATACAAGTGTCAACGGCCAAATGGTGTACAATATAACTACGAGTAAATGGTCTCAAACGATCGCATTAAATGGCACAATTCATAGTACTTCACATGCTTCGAACCTTGTGTTATCAGACGGTGTTTTTCATCTTTTCGACATTGAAAATAATCAACCTACATCATTTTTCGATCTGCTAAATATTCCAATTGCTTCCATGACTCCAATGAGAGCTCTTTATGCATTCCATTTTTCCAATGTTGTAGAAGAACTTTATTTCAGAAACCTCGATTATCTTGTTGATGGGTCATCTATAAATCAAACCATTCTTATCAATATAGAAGATAGAGATGATGTACCGGATAATGAAGCACTTTCTTCATCTCCAATTTCAATTGAAAGTTTCAGTTCGAAACAAACTTTATTATATCAATTTTTGGATGAATATATTGATATATCAGAATCTCCACTGCACTTTTTGGTGGATAGTAAACTTTGTTCTAAAAAGAGAATTGGTGATTGTTTTAAAGTTAAATTTTCAATTTCTCAAGATGATATAACTATTAATGACGTTGCTCAAACCATTGGATACCCTATCAAAACTGAAAACCATTCCATCATATATGTCACCAATAGGGAAGTCCCTACACCAGGATCATTGAAACATTCGCTCGTAGAAATCATCTCCAATAATGATGCATCTAAATATTTCCCTCATATTGACATTGATCAACATAGTTGTTTGGAGTTATTCAGTTATTTGAATCGGTTTGATTTATTTTCTCTCCCAGATAATGGTAAAGGATATTCATTATTTTTACCATGTGGAAAACCATGTGTTGATTCAAATAAGAAGTCAAATAGTCCTTGGGGTGAGTTAGGATTAACTTTGACGCATTTACAACAAAATCCAACGAAACTTGAACAAGTATTAAAGGGAATGATTGTTAAGGGAACTATTTATTCTAATTTTAATGACGATGATAAAAATTATAAAAATCTTAATAATGACAAATATTATGTTAAAGATTTTGGATTTGCTGAAGATTCAGGGAACCATTTAATTGGTCTTAATGAAACTATTTTACTGGTGCCATTAAATTCAGATATCTTATTTAATCAAGGGGTTGCCCATATCACCAGTAATATGATTCTCCCCAATGATTTGACAATTAATATTTCTGATTTGATCAAAACCACTATCCATTCATCGGATGATCTATCCTTTTTGAATCTTATTGAAAAATATCCTAAATTAGCTAACAAATTAAACCTTGATGGAACTTCAAATGAATCTAAATTTTCATTATTGGTTCCAAATTCAGAAACGTTACTTGCTTATAATATTACTCAAAGTTTTGATCGTCTTTTAGATTTTTTGGAATTTCATCTAATTCCAGAATCTGAATTGGGATCCTTATTATCTTGTATTGATGGCGATAAGAGTAAAATTGGGAATATTACTAGTAATGAACATATTATTAAAACCAATTTTTCTGATACGTCATTAAGTTGTCATCAAGGTAATGGTAAAACTTATTTACAATTGAGAAATATGAAGGACTTTTCTACTCTATCATATGACAAAAGTCATGAAGTTCATATTGTTTCATATGGATGCACCACTTCTAAACGTTCTGATGGAAACCCTCAAGCATGCGTATTCTTAATTGATAAACCTCTTAATTTAAATTGGCTTGATAAGCCATCGGGGAATTTCTTACATGTTTATCTTGGGATGGTTAGTGTAGGGATTGGTATCGTCGTTGGACTTATTATATTTGGATTGGTAATGCTTGGGGTTGCGTATTGTCTTGAAAGAAATAATAAACAAAAACAAAATGTCCTTAGTTCGGATATATTTTCAACTTCAAACAAACCAAGTTATATGGATGTTCGAAGTTCAGAGGAAATTTTAAGTGGATATGATGGTGGGTACGAAACTGATGATGATATGTTAAGATCTGAACATGAAAGATTATTACCTACTTATAATAAAAAGAAAAAGAAGAGAAATAATGAAGGATATGGGTCAATTAGTGATGATCTACAACCGGCAGAACCGCGCCCAATAAATGGGAAGAGTATTAAAAGTGCACTTAATAGAGAGAGAAACTTACCAAGTATGTTTTAAAATAAATACTATAGTAACCTAGTTTTAACATTGTAGACCTTTTTATTTTTGCGAAATAAGAGACAAAAAAAAAAAATAAAATAAGTATAGAAAAAAAAACATCAAAGTAGTTATCATTACCATATAAAGCAAAGCAATAATGTCTGAAGAAATATCAATGGACCAACAGCAACAGCCACAACAGATACAAGAACAGCAACCGGTTGCCACTGAACAAATTGCAAGCTTTGTTCCAAGTGTTTCTACGCTGCAAGTATCACAAGCTGAAACTGATGCAATTAAAACTAGAATGGAAGAGATGGAAAGAGAAGCCACGAAATTAAGAGAACTTCATTCTAAAATGACTGAAGAAACTGAAGCAGCATCTGAAGAGGAAAAGAGAGATATTGATTCTAGATCCATATACATCGGGAATGTAGACTATGGTGCCACTCCACAGGAACTCCAACAACTTTTTTCAGCCAGTGGGGTTGTTAATAGAGTAACTATCATGACTAATAAGTTCACACAACAACCAAAGGGGTTTGCATACTTGGAGTTTGCCGATGTGGATGCCGTTAACAAAGCTGTGGCCACCCAAGATGGTGCTTCATTCAGAGAAAGAGAATTGAAAGTGAGTGCCAAGAGAACCAATGTTCCTGGTCTTAGTTCTACCAACAGAGGAAGAGGTAGAGGACGTGGTGGATTCAGAGGTAGAGGAGGCTTTAGAGGAGGAAGAGGTGCTAGAGGTAGAGGTGCTTTTAGAGGGGGTTCGAGATTTGCTCCATATTAAAACAATGATCACATTGTATTATATATAAATTGTAACATTCTAGTATTTGAAAAATAAAAATTATTTCTTGTCCCATCTAGCATTTGTATCTTTCACCAATTTTGACATTTCATGAATGCCATCCTTAGCAAGACCTTCGGTAACCCCGTCAATATCTTGTTTAATTTCCTTTTGTTCAAATTTATACTTACATTCAATTCTTTCAATTTCAATTTCCACTCCGCAAATGGCTTTTTGAAGAAGAGTAACATATTTTTCTGGGGCGTCAGATACTTTCCAAGGGTTTTCTCTAGATTTTTCATTTTGATGAGTAAAATTATCAAGTTGCTTTCTCACCCATTGTGCATCATCTATGATTTTAGATTTCCCATAAATATGAACTGCGGCAAAATCCCATGTTGGTACACGTTTATGATCGATTTGCTTCCCTGGATAATATTCTGGAGCAATATAAGAATCAGTGGATTTAAAAATAATCAAAACCTCTTTACCTTCTGTTAATGCTGGAATTTGAGGATTCTTCTTAGCCGCATGTGCATGGAGATACTTCTTACCAGTTGATTCATCAATATGCAAGAAGAATGGGATATGATTAGCCTGAATACCTTCCGGTCCAGTAGTAATTACTGTAGCAAGTGGATATTCTTTAATAATCTTTTCTTGGAATTCCCAATCTTCTTCTAGGTATTTCTTTGGAATGTACATATTTACTGATTAGAAAAGAGCGATACCAAATGTGGTGAATCGTAGCGAATATATATACTGGAAATTACGCTTAGTCATAATCTGAATTGGGTATTTAACGCGCATAGATTAAAAATAAATTGTGGAGGATCAGCGGAAAAAAAATCACAAAAATCTGTCTTAGCGGATACAACTACTAGAATGGTACAATGACTCTTATCTATAAATATTATTAAATGTCCCCAGGTAAGTGTAAAGAAGAAATATGGATTACCATTTTTTGTTTATGCACAATGTATTAAAGTAGATACTATATTCAATTGACAAAAATCCGATGTATAGGGTATCAGGAAAAAAAAGAAAGTGATCTGAACATATACTGAAGGGTTGTTGTTATTTCTTTTTAAAATTGCAAAACTGCCCAGGTACCAATTACAGCTAGTACCGTACTAATTAAAATTGCAACCCTAATTAATAATCTTTCAAAAGCTCCAATATCATTCCCACAAATCTTCAAATAAAAGAGACAGGGTAAAATAATGCAAATAGTGAAACAAATTGAAGCACCTAAAATTCCAATTACTCTATCAAATTCTGGGAAAAGAATTGCAAGAGCAACAAAAGTTGCATTAACACCAATTCTAACTGTAAATCTACTTAATGAAAAGATCCAATTCTTAAAATAATTGCCCTCTCTAACATTATCAATTCCGAAAAGTACATCTAAAGTCAGAATAATTGGCTTTGCATTAAGTGGAGTCTTTGCTAATGGAACCAAGCAAATTAATCCTGAAATTAATGGGTAACACCACAGTGGGTATCCTGCTGTGAATAAGATATTGTTGGTGATTTCATTATTACAATATCTTCCAAACATAAGAAACCCTAAAATACCCATACTCATGTCTGTAATTAAACTGGTAGCATATGTAGGAATCAAAGTTTTGGCGAATTTATATGGATGTCTCATGTCAGACTTCAAATTAGGGAAGATAGCATGTCCTCCAAATGGAGCCATTAGGATCCCGATAGATAAAAGTAGATCAGGTGTAGATTGAGGCCAAAGATTTGTTGGCATCATAGATAATAAAGATCCAGGTGCATCTTGTTTAAGGAATCCTAGAATAAAGACAAGACAAGTGATTGAAACTGTTGCCATTATACCAAAAAGCGAAAAAATTGAAAGAACTGGTAATGGCATGAATGTAAATGGTGTAAGGATCAAAAATGATACAAGTTTAAAATTAGTCTTTGTCCAAACGGTATCATCACCAAGAAGAGCAAAAAGGGAATCACTAAGAAGTACCACAAGGGCCACACCAGCGCCCAATAAATCAATTGAGAATAAAAATGAAATGATAAGTTTGGCATAAGAACCATATGCTGCATAACCAAGATCAGCATAAGTCATGATGGTAGGATCAGTATCCATTGTTCTTGACAATAAGGTAGCGGTCCAAAAGGTGGTTAACCCACATGCAACCAATAAAGGGATTCCGAAAACCCAACCAGCTTTCATAATTCCAACTGGAAGTGCTAAAAGACCCACACCAATCAAAACATTAATAGAATTAAACACTGTTTGTGGGGCAGTAGATTGACCCGATACAACTGTGATGACGTGACCATCCTTATCCTCAATTTGTTTAAGATTGAATTGAGAAGCAGTAGTAACTGCAGAAATAGCTGACCGTATACTAGCAAAGGATTTGGATGGATAGAGTTTTTTCCCGACTGGGATTGCATTAGTATAGACAGAATTATGTCTTGAACGATATCCTGCATTATAGTCATCAGCATAGAAGACATCATTACTTCCATGAGGCAGGATTTGTTCATTCATGAATATTTGGTTTCTATGACTTATATCAGGGAATACAACTGAGAGTCTTTCACCCCTTGAAGATGGAACCATAAGGTCTGCATCATAAAGATGTTCGTCATCTTCACCATTTAAGTAAGACCCCTCCGATGGCAGAGTAAAGAATGAACGCTTCTTATGAATATCATTATCCAATTTCGAAGCACTAAAAATTTGTGCTCTCGTAAACGAAGAAGCAAAATTGTGGAGGGAGTTTGGACCTTTAAAAGAACCAATTGGTTGGTCTAAGAAAGTATGAGATGGTCTCCTAAGGGGAGTTTGTTCATCGTCGGAGTATGGCATTGGCGCCAGATGCTAATAACAGAATATGATGGGTATATGGGTAATGAAAATTTTCTTTCGTTATAAATAAATTAACAAACTTCGTCTTTGTCTTATCTTCGCGGACAGCAAACAATAACAAAACTTCTCCCGATCTAGAATTAGGGTAAAAATAAAATATCACCTGAGACAAGAAATTTTAATTGTAAATCAAGATGAGAGGTCATATTCCACTAGTTAAGGTATAATTTCAGTTCATCATCATATACACATAGATATATATTGGATATATATATATATGTATTATATAAAAATATCCATATATGTGCGTATAGGTAGGCTGTCCTTTTTTGGTATTACATTCTCGTCTAATCCCTTGAATTAGTTGGGAAGCATTATTCTTTGTGCAGTATATAATTTCAAATCAAGATGTTGTCGAGGAATACGAGCACGCAATAATATGTTGCAACTTGAGAAAAAAGGTCAATATTTTCCGATTGAGCTCAATGTAAGATCAGTAACAACTCTTAAGTAAAGTATGGTTACCAATTTTTTTGTACTTTGGAAATCTAAACATATAAATCTTTACTTATAACTATATGAAAATCAATACGACTAGAAAATTTTCATGATTAGAGGATCAATAAGAAGACATATCTTGAATGCGCCCGCTCTAACTTCCCGTTTCAAAATACATCTCCGAATAATCCTATTGTTGAATATTTACTCCCCTCCTCTGAAATCCATCAATCAATTTTTTTCGTTAAATGAAGAAGTCAGGAAAAAAAAACGCACTTTCTTATCATTGATATGTACACGACCTATACGAAATAGAAAGAAAAAAAGAGAGCCACACAAATATATATATATACAAAGCTAAATATACATTTTGACACCGAGTGTTGCCTCACGACTACGAGTAACAGGACATAATAGTAGGACATGTCCTTGAAGTCACAAGTTGTGGAGTGTTTCGCAGTGCTATTCACCAAGAAAACCCTTTCTGTACGTCAAAAATGGATTCTTGGTTTAATAAACCTTTCAGCAGTGGTGATATTTTGGGTGCTATCGTCATTTCTTGTGAATGATCTATTTGAAACAGACATATATAGGAAGCCCTTCTTCATCACATACCTCAATACGGGCTGTTTTGCATTCTATCTTATACCATATCTTTGGAGTGAAGGACTATCCTTGAGAGAATTTATAGATGCTTTACAAATAAACTATCATGAGTCTAGAATAGGTGGAGAATTTACCAATCTAAATGATATGGAAAATTATGGATCTTCTGATAATTTAACTACTCTCCAACAAGATACCGAGTTACAAATCCCCCTTTATGAAACAATTAAACTTTCATCCCAATTTGCTGTTCTTTGGTTTTCTGCTAATTTGGTGACTAATGCTTCACTTTCATATACATCTGTTGCATCACAAACCATTTTATCTTCATCTTCATCCTTTTTCACCCTTATAATTGGTTATTTATGTATGGTTGAAAAAATTAATTTAAACAAAATAATTGGCTTGGTTTTAAGTTTTGTTGGAGTTATAATAGTTACAAAGATTGATTCAAGTGATCCTCCTAATGAAAATACACCCCCCTTATTAACTTTATGGGGGAATCTTTTGGCTCTTTCTGGTGCCCTTTTCTATGGGGTCTACACAATTCTACTCAAATTTAAAGTGATGATAAAGGATTCCCATAAGGAAAGAGTATTAAATACTCATTTATTTTTCGCCTTTGTTGGGATTTTCACTTTGGTATTCTTATGGCCAGTTATAATTTTACTTCATTTCACTGGCCATGAAAAATTCGAATTACCTCCTAATTCTTATGCTTTGATCTTACTTTCACTTAACATGCTCATTACTTTCATTTCCGATCTCTGTTGGTGTAAAGCTGTTTTACTTACCAGTCCATTGACAGTTACTGTTGGTCTTTCAATGACTATCCCAATTGCCATGGTTGGAGACTGGCTCATTAAAGGGTTCCGGATCAATTGGTTATATCTTTTAGGAGCGTCAATTGTTACTGCTGGGTTTTTAATCATTAACAATGATGAAGAAGAAGATTTTGTATCTCATCGAGATGAGTAAACCTTATACATGTAATAGATTTAATAGATAATATGGATAGACTATAAATGAACCTCTTTATATTAATTTGTATGAGAATCCGCGAATTCTATTTTCTTGGTTCTTTAGGTTCGTATTTAACTTTTTTTTTATGTAAAGTTGTTTGGCATTTAGCTTACCTGTTAATATTGATTTCAATGAGGTTCTGTATTGCAATCTTCTTGTTGAATTGCATCCTTGCTGTGATTGCTGATCCTGGTCAGCATCTAATTGATCTTACACAAGCATCCCTTTCAGATCAAGATAGAATATTACATACTCATAATGGAGATCTTTCGTTTATTTTCCCCAATGGTCCAAGAGATTATTATACTTTATTATTGATAACATCTACACTCCCGCAACATTCATGTCTGGATTGTGAAGAGATGAAGAAAGTTATCGGGAGGGTGGCTCGGTCGTGGTTTGCAGACCACTCTGATTCTCATATGTTATATTTCGTTGATATTGATTTAATTGATCAATCCAACAGACCTATATTTAATCATTTGAAAATTGAAACCGTACCTCATGTATGGCTTATCCCACCCACCAAGAAGAATGAAGATGTTAGCAAGTTTGACCTTGCTACAAATGAAAGATATATCTACAATGCACCAGCGGAAGAAACTGCCTTAAAATTGGCTCAATTTTTATCACAAAATACTCAAAAGAATATCTTACTTCGTCAAGAAGATCAATTATATAAATTTATTCAAACATTTGCCATAACATTTGGATCTATTGTACTTTTAAAGAAAAGAGGTCCAAGAATTTTCCAAAATCTTCAAAAATCAAATGCTTATACAATTATTGTATTAGCAATTCTTATGGCATGTATCGGTGGTTATTCATTCACTACCATCCAAGGAGTACCATTCATATCACTGGGTGATAATGGTGACATCATATATATCAGTGGAGGAGTTCACTATCAATTTGGAGTGGAAATCTTTTTAGTTGGTGCAACTTACACTGGTCTTACCATTGCTATAGCTACATTATTATATTTCGGAAATTATAAAGTTTCTCCAAAATCAAGATTTATTGATTCTGAACCCAAAAAGACATCAATGGTTCTTTTAAATGTTTTGGTTATTTATCTTCTTTATTCATGTCTTACAAGTTTATATTTAAGGAAAGATCATGGATATCCATATTCATTTATGAAGTTGTTTTAGAGTCTAACCTATATAGATGCGAAAAGTTGAAATGAAGAAAGAGAGAGAAAAAAAAAATATTATTGCAAATAGAATATAATATAATATGTTTCTTTTTATAGTATATTCTAGATCAGATGGTAGTTGTAAAAAGAACAATTGAAGTAGAATCTACCCAAACTTCAAAGAAAAGATTAATTACAGATTTCTTTGGGAAAAAGGATGTGGTAGTTTCGAAAAAGTTGAATGATATAGACGCGTCAGAACATAAAGAATTGATAGAGGAAGAAGATGATTACTCAAATTTTTGTGAAGAAAATGACTTTAATAAAGAAGAGTGGATCAAAAGCTTATCAGAAGAAGAAAGAGAATTGCTTGACCTTGAAATAAGAACATTACATATTACTTGGTTAGTATTTCTTCATAAAACAATTACAAAGCCATATTTTCTTGAATTGAAAAAATATTTAAAGAGTCAAAATGGAAAGACAGTATTCCCCAAAGAAGAAGATATCTACTCATGGTCATATTTGACACCTTTGCCAAATGTAAGATGTCTCATTCTTGGCCAAGATCCATATCATAATCACAATCAAGCTCATGGGTTAGCATTTTCTGTATTAGAACCAACAAGACCTCCACCTTCACTTATCAATATATATAAGACTATAGCAATTGATTATCCCGATTTTAAAATCCCAGATTATAAAGTCTTGGTGAAACAGGGGAAGCCTGGTGGTGGGAACCTTACTAAATGGGCTAAACGAGGAGTTTTAATGCTTAATGCCGTTTTAACTGTTGAAGCGCACAAGGCAAATAGTCATGCTAAAAGAGGTTGGGAAACATTTACTGAAGAAGTTTTGAAGGCTGCATTTCTGTACCATTCTAAAAGAAATGGATTTGTAGTTATGGCATGGGGTACTCCAGCTCAAAAGAGAATTTCAACCATATCATTTAATAACGAGAAATTCTTAGTATTAAAAACAGTTCATCCTCTGCCACTTTCAGCTCGTAGAGGATTTTTCGAATCAAAAGTATTTATAAAATGCAATGAATGGTTAGAATCAAAGGGATACAATAAGATAGATTGGGGGGTTTTAGAAGGAAATGTTGTACAATAGCATAACAATAAACAGGATTTTTTTTTTATCAGCGTACCATATGTAATAACTGTTAATTCTTGTAGGTATACCCTTACCCCCTTTATGTTGACTATACCTAAATCACATCATTCTGCATACAGTTCTTTTCTCCTAAATCTATTTCAACGATCTTTTACAAAATATGACGTACAAAAAAAACATACAGCTTAAATAAATGCAATTGCTCTGATTTGTGTTAAGCATAATAAAATTACCAAAATTATCCGGTACTTTTCACAACAAGCACTCTGTATTGTTCTTCAGCCGTTTCCAGAATTTGTCCATTATCTACACTGTATACACGTTAATTTCACCTCAACTCTTTTTGTTTTCTTTTTTTTTTTTTTTTTTTTATTATTTATTTTCAGTTATAGGCTGCAAGATTGGGGCACTCTTCCATCAATATTATTCTTTGCGTATTTTTGATTTCAATTTAATTTCAATATATGGTTTCAACAATTTTTTTTTCTCCCCCCCCCGCCCTACTCCTTTAATCAATCTTCTATAATTTGTACAAGCGTATAAACCATTGACAGATGACAGGCAGACGATCCAGGACGTCGGTACCAACCAAACCCACAACCAGCGAAGAAGAAACTCAAGAACAAAGAAAGAAAAGATTCATCCTTGATACTGACCCGAAAACCGCAAAGACAAATGATGTTGATGATTCAACCAAAAGATTCAAGTATCTTTTACAACTTACAGACCTTTTCAGATACTTTATAGATATTAACGCGTCGAAAGATGTTCAATTCAAAAAATTGATTAAACTGATCGATAACAAGATTGCATTCAAAGAACCAAAAAAGACAAATTCAAAGACAAAGAGACGAAAAACTGAAAAGGAAGAAGATGCAGAACTTCTTGAAGATGAAGAACATATCGAAGATCCAGAATCTCAAACTACAGTATTAACCGAGTCTCCAGCATACATCCAAGATGGTACCCTTCGTGAATATCAAATCCAAGGTCTTAATTGGTTGATTTCATTATATGAAAATAGACTTAGTGGGATCTTGGCGGATGAAATGGGTCTTGGTAAAACATTACAAACCATTTCCTTTCTTGGATATCTTCGTTATGTAAAGAAAATTGATGGTCCCTTTATTGTCATTGTTCCCAAGTCTACTTTGGATAATTGGCGTAGAGAATTTGCTAAATGGACCCCCGATGTAAATGTATGTGTATTACAAGGGAATAAAGAATTAAGACAAGATGTGATCCAAAATACTTTACTTCAAGCTAAATTTGATGTTTTAATCACTTCATTTGAAATGGTAATTAGAGAAAAATCTCAATTGAAAAAATTTAGATGGGAATATATTGTTGTTGATGAAGCTCATAGAATTAAAAATGAAGATAGTTCCCTTTCTCAAATCATTAGGTTATTCTATTCCAAAAATAGACTCTTGATTACTGGTACACCTTTACAAAATAATTTACATGAATTATGGGCTTTATTAAATTTCCTTTTACCAGATGTTTTCGGAGATTCAGAAGTATTTGGAGAATGGTTTGATAATCAGGGAAAAACAGATGATGAAAAGGAAAAGAATCAAGATAAAGTTGTTCAACAATTACATAAGGTTCTTTCACCATTTTTACTTCGAAGAGTTAAATCTGATGTGGAAAAATCATTACTTCCTAAAATTGAGAGTAATGTCTATATTGGAATGACGGACATGCAAATTAAATGGTATAGAAAGTTATTAGAAAAGGATATAGACGCTGTTAATGGAGTGGTTGGGAAAAGAGAAGGGAAGACCCGATTGCTCAACATTGTGATGCAACTTCGTAAATGTTGTAATCATCCATATTTATTTGATGGAGCTGAACCAGGTCCACCTTTTACAACAGATGAACATTTGGTTTTCAATTCAGGGAAAATGATAATTTTGGATAAAATGTTGAAAAAATTCCGTAAAGATGGATCAAGAGTATTAATTTTTTCTCAAATGTCTAGGTTACTTGATATTTTAGAAGATTATTGCTTCTTTAGAGATTATAGTTATTGCAGAATTGATGGTTCCACCAGTCATGAAGATAGAATTGATGCAATTGATCAATATAATGCGCCAGATCTGGAAAAGTTTATCTTTTTATTAACCACTAGAGCTGGTGGGCTTGGTATTAACTTAACTAGTGCTGATATTGTTATCTTGTATGATTCTGATTGGAATCCACAGGCAGATTTACAAGCTATGGATAGAGCCCATAGAATTGGACAAAAGAAGCAAGTGAAGGTTTATAGATTTGTCACAGAAAATGCAATTGAAGAAAAAGTGTTGGAAAGAGCAGCTCAAAAATTAAGATTAGATCAATTGGTTATTCAACAAGGTAGACAAAATCAAAATGCCAATATTGGTAACTCTAAGGATGATTTGCTTGGTATGATTCAACATGGTGCCCAAAAAGTTTTTGAGGCAGGTAGTACTACTATGTTGGATGATGATATTGATGCAATTTTATCGAGAGGTGCAGAAAAAACAGCAAGCCTTAATGCGAAATTTAATAAGCTTGGTCTTGATGATTTACAAAACTTTACTTCCGATTCATCTACATATGAGTGGAATGGTCAAAACTTTGCTAAAAAGGATTCTAATGAATCATCATTTGTTTGGATCAATCCATCCAAGAGAGAAAGAAAAGAACAAACTTACTCTATTGATAATTATTACAAAGATGCTTTTAAGCCTATTTCAAATAATAACAAAAGCACTACAAAGTTGGCAGTTGTACAAAAGCCTCGAGCTCCAAAAGTATACAACATCCAAGATCATCAATTCTTCCCCCCAGGCCTTAAGGAGCTTTTAGATAGAGAACAATTGGCCTATAAAAAGCAAATAGGTTATAAATACACCCTTGATGAATTTGGTGATAGTGATGAAGAGTTTTTAGTTGAAGAATTGAAAAGTGATATGTCAAGAGAGGATAGAAGAGAATCTCTGCAAAGGAAAGTAAATGAAGTCATTCCACTTACAGAAGAAGAAAACGAATTAAAGATTAAATTACTTGAAGAAAGTTGTTGGAGTTGGACCAGACGTGATTTCACAAACTTTATCCATGGTTCTGCTAAGTATGGTCGTAGTGCTTACAAATCGATTTCCAAGGCTATGGGTAACAAATCTGAAGAAGATGTTGAAAGATATCTGACTAAATTTTGGGAATCTTATAAATTAATTGAAGGCTATGATAAGTATATCTCTCAAATTGAAAATAGTGAAAAGAAATTGGCCAAGCTCATGAATCAACAGAAACTCCTTGCTGTTAAAATGGAATCACTTAAGCATCCTCTTGAGGATTTGAAAATTCAATATCCACCAAATAATTCAAAGAGGGTATATTCTAAAGTTGAAGACAGATTTATATTAAACTGCGTTCACAAGTATGGTATATTCAGTGAAAATTTGATGGAGAAAATCAAAGAAGATATACAAGCCAGTGATTTATTCAAATTTGACTGGTTCATATTATCACGAACACCACAAGAACTATCTAGAAGAGTAAATACATTGTTGTTAGCAATTACGAGAGAAGTCGATGGACCTCAGGTGTTCAAGAAGAAAGCTACGAAACAGTTGAATGGTTCCAATCTGAGCACTAGGGCTGGCTCCATGGAGCCTAGTACAGCAAATGGAAACGCCAAAAGACCTGCTAACGAAGTTAAAAAAGAGGGCGATAAAAGAAAGAAGAACTCATAATGTATGTATATTAATTGATGTATTATGTTAAAAAAAAAGTAAAAAAAAAAAGATTCGATTCACAAATATTCTGAGCAGATAGAATCTTGCACTGTAGATATATAGTATGGTACTTTATTAGCAGTCCAACTAACAGAAAGGAAATCACTCATCTCAAACTTTTCCACTTTTAAGTAATCAAAAATAGTATCACCACCCGTAGATTTATATCTAGGTCTAATAAAGTTTCTCAAACTAATAATTTTAGACCCTGGTTTCAAACCACAAAGAAGTCTCCCCACGTCAGTATTCAAATTCACGTCAAATAAGTAATTATTGACAATGATGACATCACAATCAATAATCTTCTTTCGAACTTCCTCATTTTGAACAAAACTTTGCAGTAAGGCCCAGGATAATGGAAGTTGTCTCAATCCCAACACAGAAAGCTTTTTACTTAACGCCACGTCTTGTATCTTGGTGAGATTCGAAGCATGTTCCATTAATTCACAACCCCCACTAAAGCATGCTCCAAATTCTAAAGCTGCTTGAAACGTTGTGTTACCAACTCCAGAACCTAAATCATAAAACTTTTGTTCGGGTCTCAACCCAACTTTTGTTAATACTTCACTTGTAAAGCTTGGTAGTAACTCACCGTATACCTCTGCAGTAAATGCTTTGTACGAACGAAGCTTTTGAGAGTCCGGTGAAACAACTCTTGAATATATACGAAGCAAAATCTGTTGCATACAATATCTTGAGATCATGGTCCTAGAATTCAAATTTCCAATAAAATTCTCCATGTATGAAGTATTTGTCATCTGATCATTCTTCAGTGAAGAAATCAAATCCAATTCTTCATCCTCATTTGAAGTTTTAAATTCAAACTTGAATTCCAGAAGTACATTTATTGGAGGTTCGTTCTCCTTATTGAAATCATGTTCAAGAGGAGTACCAGGAATAGTGGGAGGACCCTTGTCAAATATAGGACTAGTTGGTTCCTGGCCAATACCAGAGTTAATCTCCCCAAGGAATATGTCTAATTTTAAATCATCATCAGTTGGTGCATTGATACCATCGTATTGAAGATAGATTCTGATCTCTTTGTTGATATCTTCATTATAGTTTGAGTCCAGCTTGTTAATAGAAAGTTTTGTCATTAATAAGTTCCATTTATCTACAACGAACATGAAATGTCCAAAATCATTGTTCTCAACACAATTGTCGAGCTCGCGACAATAGTCATTCACAATTATTTCTTTTAAAACGGTAGAATGAGAAAAGTAAAGGCAAAAATGGATTTGAAATAACTTCTGCATTTCTTCCACGGGGTCTAATTCATTACTTTTGGGAGCTGCAAGTATGTATAGCTCACTGTGTTGAGGGTAAAGTAAAAATCGTAATCTAACTCTGTTCAATGGATTTATTTGAACCTCTCCTTCGTGAATCACAGTCAAGGGAGGAAATGATATTGGCAAATCATTATAACTTTTGAAATGTTTAATAATTACTTCAGCGGCTAATGGATCCACATACGAAATTTTATCATTATCCTGGAGCATAACATTCTCGTCCTCATTGGTATCAACAAATGAAAGTTCTGGTAATGACCTATAATCCTTAATTTCTGGGATATATATGTTTCGGCCGTGAATAGGTATTTGTGTGTCTGTATTGACATCATATGGATCATATGGACTCACCATTGGAGGTACACTCTCTTCTTTCTCTTCCTCATCCTCGTCTTCGTCTTCTTCTTCGTCATCATATTCCCATCCTTCAGTAATTTTAATTGAATCCACTTTTTTAACCAGATTTTTCTTTACCTTTTTACGCTTTGGACCTTTAAGGTTTGATTTCAGTTTATTCTTTTTGGATTCCTTTCGTTGTTGCAATTGTTTTAAGTACTGTCTATCGTTAACCTTATGGCTGACTTGAAATTCTGGTCTGAATATTTCAGTTTGTTTTCTTTTTCTTGTCTCTCCTTCTTCCACCGCTTTATGATTACCTGTCATGCTCTGAAAGTAGTCAGCTTCCTCTTTAAGCCATTTAAGATTTGTTTTCTGGTGTGGTTCATATAAACCAAGAGCTTTTCTCTCCAACCTTCTGGCTTCAGCCTTTTCTCTCTCCTTCTTTTTAAGCTCCATTTTCTGTCTTTTAATTTCTTGTAATCTTTCATATCTTATTTTTCTTGCTTCGATTTCTTCTTCTGTAAGCTCTTTTTTCACTTTCTTCTTTAATTTTATGTTGTCGGCTTCTTTCTGCAATTGTTTCAACTCTTGACCAATCGCGGTAGATCGTCTGCTTCGTCTAGATGATGTGGAAGAATCAGCTCCGCTGAAATTATTAGATGTGAACCATTGTGCATAATACACTAACTCATCCACTGAACTTTTAAAATTTTTTCTTCTGATATCTATTGGATCCTCTTCCACTTTTTTCCCAAGTGCCTCATATTCTTCTCTTATTATATCCCTGCTTCTGAATGGGAAATAATTATATATATCATCAATAGGTTTTTCCTCTTCATACAACTTTTTAAGTAATACCACTTCTCCAGTTGTGAATGGTGGATTATCTAACCCAATAACTTCGGTTAGTTTGTTATGCACTTCTTCGGCGTCCATGGAGGGGAAATATTTTTCAATGGAAAGTGAAGTTAAATCTGATTTTATTAAGTGATGTATTAATTTAAGTTCTGAGCTTTTCCATTCATGAGTCTTCTTGGTAATTCCATTATTATTCATTTTGGTATGTTTAGCTTGACCCAACTTACTGCATACCAGTTGGAATGTACGAATTGGAAGTGCCTCCACAACTTCTGTATTAGAAAGACAAGTCTCGGCAGCTGTCTCTATGTATTTTAGTTCTGGTTCAGTCCATCTAACACTACCGTTGATTTGCATTAATTTCCCTCGAACTTGTTCTGGACTCTTATCAGGAATCTCCTTCTTAATTCGCTCCAATGTGAGATCTAAAGTCTGTAGCCATATTAAGGTTGCTAATTCTATATTCGTCCATACGCCATAAACTTCCATTCCTTCCTCAGTAATTTTTATTAATCTTTTTAAAATTTTACGTATTTCTGATGATTTCTTCGATATTTCATGATTTGATCGATTAGGAAGATCGATCTTTCTTTTCCTCTTTAAATGTTCATAAATGTGAAGGATTTCATTCTTAGTCCATCCTGGAGTTATTTCTATTCTATGTTTAGATTCCTGTTGTTCAACGTGTGTTTCTTGAGTAGCATCTTTGACAAGCTCCACATCCGGTGAACTATCGCTAGTCATTGGCGTTGTATTACCAGTGGCTATAGATGAGGTCTCAAGACAGCCATCCATGGTATCAGAAATGCTCTCATACTCATACAGTATGTCTATCAGCATGGCAATGATTTGCTGCAACAAGCACGTAGTTTCGATTAGATCACTGTGTTTATGGAAAAAACAAACAAAAATACAAACTTAATAAAAAAAATAAAAACAAAAACAAAAAAAATAAATCAACGCTAAATCACACATCTCTAGAGTGAAATTATAAAATTGGCATTAACGATTTACATGATCTCTCTAGTCTAGTAAATGTGTAAATTGCATTATTCTAAATAAATTCTTAAAGTCTAAACAAAATAATTTCATAACTTGCTAGCACGAATCCCATTTAACCTATACTTCAACTCTTTAAATAATTTACTATCAGGTTTCCAATTCTCAAATAATTCATAAAATTCATTGATTTCATCGTACCCATTCTTACCAAAATCACTTCCAGATTCAACTGTCAAAAGCTTATTGTTGTTGGGCCAGTTCTTCTCTATATTGAAGAGTAATCCACGCAAACACCATGGTAATAAGTATGGATTTGAACCGATTTTCCCAATATTATATTCTTTGATATATATTTGATTTGTAATGGGAAATTGTTTAACTAATTTAGTGGAATCACCTGAATTTTCAATGGATCCATATGTACCCACTCCACTTGTAACAAGTCCTTGGATAGATTCCTCTTCACTTGCAAATGGGGTTGGAATTACAACGTCATCTGTATCTAATGCAAATTTGATTCCAAGATCATAAACTTTACCATCATTATAAATTTTAGAATGACCATTCCCAGTCAATGGGCCTGCAAGAATTGTACTAAGTTCCTTGATCACATTATTATCGAAAAACCCAAGATTTTGTAATTGACAACACATTGAAACCAACTTTTGGATGAAAAGTGGGGTTTGAGAAGCATGGTCTATATAACATGCTCGATAAATATTAGGATGGAATGTATGTGATGAAAGGGCTGAATATAGAGGTACCAATTGATCGTTAATTGAACCAATTAGACAAATCTTCACATTATTATTGATAATAGTTTGAATCAGCTCCTTATAAACCAAAGATTGTTTGCTGGTAAACTTTGTCAACTCAAACAATTCCAACATAGATTCATTTTCTATAGCAGAATAAGCCTTCATAAACAATGATTTATCAACCCCATAGAATGGTCCATTATTAACACCCGCCATTCCTAAAACTGCAATTCTCTTCTTGCTAGGATCTTTCAAAATACCAAGGTTAATCAATCTGGCAAGTAAGATTATACTTACAACACATCCTTGTGAATGAGCAGCTACAAATATAAAATCTGCTTCATTCAATTCATCAGACCATTTCTTCAAAATATCAGTGAAAAAGTCTACTCTATCGAGAATTTTACCCTCTTTTTCAAGAGCAATCTTTTGAATACTAACTTTAGATTCATTTTCTGTGATAAGATTGTTTTCAACACAATAACGAATAATCCCTTTTTCTGCCTCATTTGCAAATTTTAATGAAGTTCCCTTTGGTGATCCAATAATTGGTCTAATCATTCTTGTGGGGAAAAATCCATGAACACCAATAATTAATATCTTCTTAATTTTCTGTAATGGTCCAGTTTTAATGGAATGAATGTCTGCATTTGTACTAGTTGCCCGTTTGTTAATATTATGGTTAATCAACAAATTTCCCATAGGATCATTACTTATGGAAATGTCATTTTCATCTTCTTCATCTTCAGGAGTGCTTCGATTCTCACGACTTAGTTGTTCTTGATCATTTTTGTCTCCAGAATCCCCTCCATAATATTTATTGTAGTTTGGCAAACATGCCCTCTTTTGTTCAGGTAATTTTGCCAATGATCTCCCATACAATCTGTAAGTTTTCTCATAGAGTAAATGAAATTCTTTTTCAACATCATCTACATTTGATGGTACATTGTTAGGCTTGTTGACATTGTCTTGTTCTCCATTTTCCAGTTCAACGACACTTGTCAACGATTGCAGACTAAATCCAAGTTTACTTGAGAGTTGATTAAGAAATTGTCTCCAATTCTTCAAATCCATCTTAGAGTTTAGATTATTTGTATTATTTGAAGTCGAGGAGTTGCCAAATATAGATCCAATAATGGAATTATTGGCACCAAATCTTGCAGTTTGGTTGGGAAGACACAGATCCCAATTAGGCACAATCACATTTTCTTTCAAGTTCTCATTCTTGTGTGTATTAATTTCCCTGAATTGTTGAGCGTCGGTATGAGGTTTGTACAACACGGCGTCATCTTCATCAGAATTACTATTGTTATTGTTCCCATCGTTTGCCCTGTCCACTTGTGAATGTTTGCTAGGGTTTGCTCCTTCAAATGAATGGTCAGATTTGAGAATTGTATTTGAAAAGTTTGTCAACTTCTTCTTCTTCCCGTCACTATTGTTGCTATTATCATTGTTATTATCATTGCTGTTCCCATTGGCGGTAGAACCTCCTCCATTCCAAAAATTCCAAGTTGAAGACTGCTTTTTCGAAACATGATCATCAATTTCATTTCCTGAATTTGGATCTTCTTCATTGTCTTCATTGTCTTCTTCGTCTTCACGATTACCATCTTCAATGGCTTCTTCATTGTTACCATCTCCATCCTTTTCTTCCATTCTCGCGCCAATCTCTGATGTGGACCTTGCTCTTGTCCAAGCCAACCAGTTGGTTTGCCCAAGTGCTGGAAATGAGCTCGACCTATTGCTCAAGGTGGATTCTTCCCCTTGTTGTTCTTGTTGGTGCTGTTGTCCTGATGTTGGAGATGCCAGTCTTCCCTTTGGAACGTCTTCATTATGTTGCACCTCAGAGTTGGAACTCCAAGGAAGCCAGCTTCCTTGAATACTAATACTTGGGGCTCTTGACATCGTCGCCCACTAATCTAAAAGCACTTCGTACAAGGAATTACTAAAATTTTAGATATGAATTGAAAAGATAAGAATTATTTGCCGTTGTAATTGTTTGCTCAATCAATTTCTCCAGTTTTTTTCTACGCACTAAATTTAAAATCTATATCTTACATGTGAGATTGAAAATAGATATCTCCGCTCTTACCTTATAAAGAAAACGAATCATAACCAAATTTCGCATACAATCTCTATTTTCATTTTTTTATGTTTTATTCTCTAATATATATGTATATATATCTATTTATCTATTCTGTCATATTAATCTCATATTTTGTTCTAATATTCTATTTCTATCATCTTTACAACATCTTACGATATTCTTGTATGACCTCTTCTGAAACTGCAGATCCTCCACAAACAACAACTACCACTATATCATCTTCCTTCAATTGAAGGTCAGATAATAAATCTAATCTTTTCAGAACAGTGGCAATTGCAGCCCCACAAGCTGGTTCAATTAATTTATGGAATTTATCATAATAATCAATTGTTCCTTGAATAGCGTCAATATCATCTATAGTTTTCAAAATAGTTTTATGATTGTAATAATTCTCTAAACTTTTTTCTGAAATATAAGGCGATGCAAGTGAAGTTGCAATTGTCTTGACTGTTTCTAAATGTACTTGTTTACCAGCTTTCACAGCCTCAGTAAAAGTTGGCGCTTGAATTGTTTCAACTGCCACCACTGGGACTTCTTTTAACCCATTTCTATCTAATCCTTCCACGACTCCATTGTATAATCCACCTCCTCCAACACTACAAATAACCGCTTTCAAATGAGAAAGATCCTCTTTAGAAAACAGTTCAACAACTTCATCTATAAATTTGGCATGACCATCCCAAATGATCGGGTCATCAAAGGGGTGACAATACACTGGATAGATTGATTCGGGTAATTTCAGAATGAGAGTTTCTCTAAGAAAGGCATCAGCTTCACCCCAATGACGACCTTCAACTATAACTTTTGCACCAAGTGATTCAAGTTTGGTAATTACAACTTGCTTGGATACAATGGGTAAGACTACTGTACAGGGAACTTTATAGAATTGGGCTGCGTATGCAGCTGCTAACCCAGCATTACCACCTGAAGATGAGAATACTTGCACTCCTTCCTTTTTCATTACCTTTGCCTTGGCTAAAGATTGGCCGATTAAATATCCAAGACCACGAAGTTTGAAACTACCCGAAGGTTGCTCCAATTCATTCTTAAAGAATACTCGGAAATTGGTTCCAAGTCTCTTCGTAACTTCTGTAAATGTACTTGAAATAGAAGGATACATTTGAATTGGGTGGCTAAATATGAAAGAAAGCTAATCTAAAGATAAGGGAATTATGTACCATAGAATTTTAGTTCTGTTAAATGTTAGCACGTGATAATGGCATCACGATCTAGATCTTCCTATCTATAATATACACTGGTGAAAGTAGTGTGTATTTTACATTATTTGCATTTCCCACTTTTCAGTTTAATAGATGTCCAAAAGAAAGTTTGTTCGTCTGGTGGCATTTACTAAGGTTACTGCTGACATTGAGGATGAGATTTTAGAAACATATAGTGAAAGTCTTGAGAACGATGACTTTTTCCTCCATGAACTTCCCAACTTTTTTTCAAAATTGGATATTCCTAATTGTTTTATCAAAGACATAAATTTATGTATAGATTATTATTATGATTATATACATGGGAAAGATGTTGAGTATAATCCAAATCATGCCAAACAAAGTACCACTTTACAGTTTATTAAAAGTTATACCATCACTCCAGTTGCGAATGATATAGAGGCGATCATTGATGTGGTTGATATTGACAAGTTAGTAAAGAATTGTTGTAAGTTAATTAAATTCCGTAATAATTATAATTTGATATATGATAGTTGGAGCTTATTCGTTGGCAGGATTATTGATAAAAAAACTGATATTACAAGCCATAAACTTACATTGCCACATTTACAGAAAATCAAGAAAGATTTGGGATTAGACAATGACCTTAGTGACTCACTATTGATTGACATGTTAGGTTCATGTGCCACTGTTGATGGTGAGATAGTAAATTATGATTGGGAAAAGGTGAAGTCAGGGAAATATGTAACAATTAAAGATTTTGCGGAGATTATGGGACAACTAGGGGAACTAGATTAGGATTTAAATATTGGATACTACTTATTATAATCTAATGTACAAATATATGGGTATAGAGCGAAGATTGATTAGAATAAATCTCCGTAGGCAGAGACTTCAAGGTTCTACATGATTGTATTGCATGGTGAAAAAGGGCTAGTAAGTGAATTAATGGTAAAAATAGGATATTTAATGAGCTACTGCAGTCTATTAAATTGACTTTATATACAATCATTCTAACTCTATATATATTTTGTGTTTATAACTGCAAAAAAAATATGTCGAATATATTATATGTCAACTATATATGTTAGTCCAGAGAAGCTGAGAGAGTGCCTCTATTTTTTTTTTCTATACGAAATACAGAAATCTCACACTAATTCAAATCGAATTCATATATCATCAACCTTATCTATGGCAAATGACGACAGGAACAGGCTTTCTTCCCCTATAAGGAACCTATCTCAATTCCGTAACCCAATCTTTGCCAAACCTCTGATACCAAGAAGTGATAGATCAAAGTCACAAAGAGAATATATTGACCTGTTATTACCGAAGGTTACAAATCTACGAAACTTGAACCTGATTGATGTATTATTAAGCCATCTTGAAACAGTTCTACTGAAAGGATGTGTATATGAAGGAGAATTACTCAGTGACTGTATTCAATTGCTGCCAATTATTTATAGAATACTTTTCACATTATCAGTAGAATCAGTGAGTTCGCATGTAATTGGAGAATCAACCCTTGATGGAATCCTTTCTTCATTGCATTCTTCCAACTCTTTGGCATCGAAAACGAACTTGGAGTACCAACAATCTTATAAACCTGCACTACATGTCAGATCGTTAAGACTACTCAAAAACTTACATCAACTCCTGAAACGGACAAAAGATGGGTCTGGGTACATTCAGCTAAAATTATTATTACAAGAATTCTTAGTAGTTAGAGAATCAAAACGTGGTTTGAGGTTGGGATCTAGAGTCAATTATGACATCATTCATCATTTTAAGGCCATTAGCAGTCAAATTGATAGTGACCAAGAAGACAACAAAACAGATGAAGATAAGCATCTGGAAGTAGATGTCATCAGTGATTCCGAAGATGATGTTAATGGTAACCTTCTTGGTAGCAGTAGTATAAATTCACAATCTAACATGACCCGGGACGTTCATAATTTTAAATTCTCTAGATTATCACCGAAAAAGAGGCTAGCATCTTCTCCATCTATTGACCAAAATGAAGTAGAAAACGATCCTGTGTCGCTATTTAATGATATGCCACATCTAGACTCTATTAGAGAACCAAGTCCTAAACGACAAAAGTCTACACCAGAGACCGATGGAGAACTTGGTGAACTGGTTCATATGCAAATTTTCGATCAAGATTCGTTAACTTGGGTTTTAAATCCAAATAATATTGAATCCCACTACAATTTCTGGAAACTTTTACAGTGGTGTTTCCATGGATGTCTAATTTCAGACTCCATATTCCGAAACTATAATGGATTACTTTCGTGGATTATTGATCTTCTAATCACAAATTTTTTAATTGAAATACGAAGTGAGACAAACTTGAAGCAATATTTAATTCAAGAGCATACAAATGATCCCTTAATTGCATTTCAAGCATCTAGGAAAAGAGTTCAAAGAGCCGTACGACTTTCAGTCCGTGAAATGGCTACCTCGACAAGAGGTGTTCTTTTCACAAATCTACTTCATCAATTGAGTCCGTCTAAATACGATTGGTACGATAGGCTTATTGAATTTACATTTCAAAGTTTAGGAAACCCCGGTAAAAATGTTCCTCAACCTTGTTATCAACGGGAAAATTCAGTTCTAAGTAATAACAAAAAGCTCATGATCGAAGTATCAATCCAGAAGAATTTATTGGAATCAATGAACCTTAGATTCAAGATATTGATTTTGGCCTATTACAGATCATTGTTCCTCGATTGTGAAAACGAAGCGACGGAACTGGAAGGACGCTGGAATCTTTTAAAGCAAATTACTTCAAAATTACAAGATCTGGAATTATTATTTGAATTATTTGAACAATTTTATTCCCATGCAACTTTAGTTGTTGATATTCCTTCATCAATTCAATATGAATTCTTATTTGAACTCACTATTCTCCTTTTAAATAAGTATTGTGGTAATGCAGTATTATCAAAGTATATTTCGAAGAACATTCAAGAGAATCAAACGCAGCAATCCATCATTCCAAGCTTTCAAATTATTCTAGAAATGATAGTAGAAGAAAATATTTATCTGGGTATTGCAGGTGATATAAAGGAATCGGGATGGGAGGGCTCATCACTGGATTGGTTTAAGCTCAATTTCCTTCTTGGTTGGCTACTTGAAGTTTCGTTAACCATTTCTCAAAGAACACAGCAACTACAAACATCTGAGATTGACATTCTTTGTAAGAAGGCTAAAGTGGCTGACGAAATTCGGTTTAGTTGCATTGCGGAAGAATACATTCAGATTTCAAAGAGTGTTTTTACGTCTTTTAGCTCCATAGTCGAAAGCTCAATCTACAGTTATATTTAGAAATATTTTTTTTTTCTTATATGAAACCTTTTTCTTTGGTCATGGAGACTTTCCTTATATACTTAATACGGATTCTTGAAATTGGACTTTGTAAACCCTAGAGCCTCTAAATAATATGCTTAACCTTGAAGTAGTGTCTCAAGTATTGGATTTGCCACACACCCAAACCAATAAGAGAAATAATTACCAAAATAGAGAACCATTTAACTCTGGAGTTGGTAGATTCGTTAGTGTCTCTCATTCTTTCTTCTCTAGACTTCAAATATTGCAATTCTTCAGCGATTTCGTTGGTTAATTCTTGGACTCTTCTTAATTCAAGCTCTACAGGCTTCAATTTTTCAGCAGCTTGAACGGCGTTCCAATCTCTGGCAGCAGCACCACTTTCAATTTCTAATTCTATTTCTCTGTACAAGTCAGCACCACTTCCCCACTTCAGGTTCTTTTCATTAGTGAAACAGATGTCCACAGCAGCATTATGATGGGAAGTGAATGCAACTCTATTGTTACCAGCAATGTCATTCTTACGACGGTATTCATTACCCAATGAATCGACAATGTAGAAGTTTAATTGTTGACCATCACCAATTCTACCACTGGATTTAATACTGACAACAACCAATTGCTCCTCCGCAACAAAGTCACGAATACACATTGGACGAGGGCTGACCTCAGCTGGCACTTCTAAGTGCAAACCTGAGACAGACACCAACAACGAGAGTATAGACAAAATAAGAGCGTAAAAGGATCTCATTGTAGTACAGAAGAAGTTCTCTATATTCTTTCTTATGAAGTGTTTTCTTTTGTTGATGAAAATAGATTTTACGTGGTTTAACTGATCCTGAGCGCGATCGTGTCCATTTTCATTTTTATATGAGCTTTTGTGTCGCGTATTGCCGTGTTCGTTCCTAATCAGGAAGTCAACGTTTACATGACACAAAGTTCAATTCTTTCAAAATTTCACAAACTTTTTTAAAGTAATAGAAGCTACATCATACATCTATATCCTTAAACACATATCAAAATGGCTAGAGCTAAGACAGCACAAACTATGGTCAAGTTGGTTTCCGCTGCCAAGACCGGTTACGAAAAGTGGTTTTCCATTAACAGATCATCCCAAAAATTAAATTTGATTTTGTATGATCCAAGAGCAAAGAGACATTGTCTTTTCACAGAAGATAAGAAGAGAAAGGTGCCAGATATTGTAGGCAAGGATTACGCTAGAAGACATAGATAATCGTCTTGTAAACGAATGATCACAATTACCGCAACTTTTATAATTCTGGATGCATAGGGAAGACTTTCGAATCCCTCTCTTTCATTCACTACACCCACCCATGGCATTTTATCACAATAGAACAGCGTGTGCTTTCTAACTTACGCACGGTAGAATTAAGGACACCGATGCTCATATCCTGTAAATATATTAATATAAAACAAAAAGATATTATACATTTAATGTAAGCCTATTTAATGTAGTATATTGACATAGTTCATGATTATTAAAAAAAAAAGTTCAAAGGAAACTCAAAAAATAATGAAGGATGCGAGGTTCGAACTCGCGCGGACAACTGTCCAGCAGATCTTAAGTCTGCCGCCTTAGACCACTCGGCCAACCCTCCATTTCTGGAATTTATTGTACAAAGTAGTTTTGTACAATTATTGGAACATCCATACACCTCTAGCACGTGATGAATTTCACGTGAAAGCGTTTGGATGTCTAAGATGTGAGGGTCTGGGTAACCTTGGAGAGGTCACCGCAAGAGAGAGCGTGTTGTCTCACGAGGGAGGACTTTCGTAAGGAATTCTCGGATATATATAGTAGCTACGTTAAGTTTATGTATGACAAGGAGTAACGTCAAGTATGGGTTAGAACTTTTTTTTTCTCGTTAGTTATCTAAATATCAATTGTTTCTTATTTTACCTACTGTGTAGTACAAATAACACCTAATTATCTATTTTATTTACATACATGAATTTGGGTTCAAGCTTCCATCTTCTTGATCTCCCATTCTTTAAGATTTTTATCACCAAGTTCCTTTTTGTTGACAATTACAGTAGAAACATCATTAGCTGAATTAACCAAATATTTTTCTGTAGCATCCTTCAAATCCAGTGTAGTGACATCAAGGAACCATTCTCTTCTTTTCTGTTTCATTTCATCCGTAATTCCCTTCAAAAATTCTGAAGTTCCTTGCAGAGCAAGATGGCTTGGGGCATCAATACTTTGGAAGATTGCGAGTTTTGCTTCTTGAAGGTCATTAGCATTCCAACTATCCTTAGGATCTATAATCTTAGATAATACGATTTCTGGAGTATCTTTGAATGATTGAATAGACTTAAGTGGGTTTGGATCTCTGTAAGAATAGTAGTTAAGAATACCACCCAATCCATCATAACTTAACCCTCCTCCATAAGCACCATTTGCCTCACGAATGACAGAATGTAAATGTTTAAACGAAATCAATTGAGACAAAACTTGCAACACTGAACCGTCTTTACTGTCATATTTAGCACCCATCTTCGATAAAGAAGCAAATCCGACTTGGAATGGCAAATCAATAAGGGTATTCTTACTCTCACCAGCATGGATTCCGACCTTGTTGTTTTGGAAAGATGAAATCAATGAAGATAAGGCGTTATCCAATTTAAGAGATTCGGTACTTGAGATTAATGATTGGTCAAAGGCTTGCACCAAAACTTCATTTTCGGTAACAGTTTCCTTGTCACCAAGAAGACTGTATTCAAATCCAGGATTTCCATCTACAGATCCACCAACGATTATATCTCTAATTTCCTTCAATTTTGGAAGTAATTCATTTACCAAAAAGTCATTCCCTTGTTCTTCCAACTTTTTATTCAATTCTCTAATGAAATCAACTTGGGCTAAGCCACCAGTTAAATTGTTAATGTATTTGGTAGGTGTGAGAAATGAAGAAGAGTGAGAACTAGCGTATGAGTTTCCTCTATCAGCAATCAGATTCATTTGGTTTAAACCCAAATTTTTAATCAAAGTGGATAACTTTTCTAAAACAAGCAGGTCCTGCGGGTCGAACTTTGTGCTGGTAACAATTTCATGCCACAAATTATAAACATGCTTCGAATTTGCCTTAAAAGACATACCATTCATGATGAATTTGAGAGTTGCATTGGAAATATCTCTTGGGTCTGTTGAAGCAGAGGTGCTGAACGAAACTCCTCCAGTGAGTTGTTGGATTTTTGTTTCTAACTCAGTAATTGGAGTTTTGGTAGTTCCTGCCAAATTTGTAAGACAGGAATTGAAAAGTGGCAAATACTTATAGTATTCAATTGGTAAACCAGAAATATCCTTAGCAGCGGTCATGTACACTAAGCCATTTGAATCCACAATTCTCTTTTGTATCTTCTTTGCAGTGGTCTCTAATTTAGAAAACACTAATGAGTACAGTTCACCAACTCTTGGAATATCACTCATTGTTAATGTTGGCAAAATTGAGACATCCTCATTAGTTTGTTGTTTTTCTGCTAAATTAACACCACGTTTATGGATAATTTCCTTGTCTTCTTCACTCAATTCTGACACCTTTTCCTTCAATCTAGCTTCTTCATTCAATGCTAATTTATCAGCAAAATCAGCCTCCGGTTCCATGACAAATTTGAATTTCTTTGTAGATTCATTGAAAAGTGTGTCATCAAGCAAATCTTTGAAAATTTGTAATCCATTCTTTTCATAATCTTCTTTGAATAAGTTGAGAATATTTTCAACTTGTAATGACTTTATTGGATCCAAGCCATTAGTCCAGGTAGGAACTACTGAGTTCAAAAGACCCAAACCAAAGTCAGGCTTGTGTTTCTTAAAATTTAACTCGATTTGATGTAAAATGGCTTCAATTCTCTCATGGAATGAACTTTTATCATTGAGTTCCAATTCAGGAATTACTCTGGTTTTAAAAATTTCTTCAATCTTTGCATCTAAACCAGCCACTTGTTCTCTGGTAATATTATCTACACCCATGGTAAACAGAAATAATGAAGTCGTACTGTCTAAACCTGCGTTTGAAGTGAAATCATCACCATAACGTTTTTCTATTAATTCTTGATAGAATGGAGCATTGTGACCATCACAAAGTAATGAACTAAGTACTTTCCATTTGAAAATATCGTATTGCTTACTTTCATCAAGAGGATTACCCAAGTTCCAAGTAATCGATGCCTTCCATTGTTCTTCAATTTTCTTACCACTCATTGAATCAAATGGTCCCTTAATACATAATTCCTCCTGAAATTGTTCGCTTGTAAAGTTTGACTCCTTTACAATAGGTTTGCTTGTTCTCTTCCCAAACGAATTGAAAGTTTTGTCCAATTTTTCTAAGTGTGAAATCAATGGCAATGGCCCATAAGTAAACGTCTTTGCATTCGAAGGATGATAGTTTAAAGAATGGAAGTCAACTAAATCTTCATATTGTAAGTTTGTAATAAATTTAGGATCTCCACCTGCATTATTTAATGAAGAATAAATTGCTTCTTGAAACTTAATATAATAATAGTAGCCAGAATTATTATATTGGCCCTTCATCTCGTTATACACCACACCTTTAAAGGTTATATCACTCTTATTATCGCTCAAATCAGATTGTTCTAATCTCCATCCTTCTTGCATGAAATCTTCATATGTTAAAAGTGGTTCAAGAACTGATGAAAGATATACATCCATCAAGTTTTCAAAATCTTTAGCATTGGTAGTGGCAAATGGGTAGAAAGTATAATCATGACCAGTCATAGCATTCATGAAATTACTAAGAGATCTGTTAAGCATCTTAAAGAACGGATCTCTAACTGGGTATTTATATGAGCCGCAAAGAGTAGTATGTTCGAGGATGTGTGGAACACCGGAGGCATCAGGGGGATTGGTCTTGAATGCAATCAGAAATACATTGTTGGTGTCAGTAGCTGTGTCTAAATGTAAATGCTCAGCACCAGTTTTCACATGTTTAAGTTTGACCGCTATAAGTGAGAACTCGGGAATAGGCTGTACCTCATCGACCCTGTATCCATGCATTTGAAGTCCAATGGGGTACTTCCCAAGCCTTTGAGCTTGAGATGATGCCAAACTAGACCCATTGGAAAGGTACCGCTTTTTCAACACCTGAATGGACTGCTTAGAACTTCTTAACATTCCGTTGATTCTATATTGAATGCGATTAGGTTTTTATTGGATGTATAAAATATATTTCTTATTACAAGTATCGCCTCTACAGGCTTACCGATCTACAAGACAGCTCTTTCGATTATATGTCCTGTATGTGTGTTATAGTCATGTATGTAGTTTCAGAGTTTTTTCCACCGATTCTCGATCGGCATAAAGACGAAAAAAGATGTCAAAAAAAAGAAAAGAAAGTAGAATTTCACCAGAAAAGCTAAAGAAAATCCGAGAGTTCAAAACATTTATTTGTGCTCAATATCTGGGCTTTACAAGACCGTTATGACGTATCTTAAGATAAAAATCTAATCTCACAACTGCCTTTAAATTTTAAAATCGAACTTCTTACCATTTATTATCAAAACAGTTTGCTATCTATTGTTGGTCACGTGCACACTAACAATTTGCGCTGCATTCTTTTTTTTTTTTTTGACATGAAATTTCAAAGTTTATCAATCCCCATGATTTAGGAGAAAATTTCATCTTGTCACTATTAGTCTTGGAATACCCGGGTGTTATTTACGAGGTAGTAGATATAAGCGGATTACTTAAAGTGACCTTTTTGGGACAGCAGTGTGTGTTTGTTTTTTTGATTTGAATAGATATACATATAAAGATTTGATAATGTCTGAGAAACAAAAGAATGCTGCAGAAAGTGTCTCCACCTTAGGAGGATTCATTGCTGGAAGTATGGCAGCTTGTTCTGCTGTAACGTTCACGAACCCTATCGAACTTATTAAGACTCGTATGCAACTTCAAGGAGAACTTTCTAAAACCGATAGTAAGGTACCAAAGCTTTATAAGAATCCAGCCCAAGCATTTGTGGTGATCTTCAAACGTGAAGGTATTCGTGGATTACAACAAGGGTTGGTTTGTGCTTATATCAACCAAGTGGCACTCAATGGGTGTCGTTTGGGACTTTATGAACCTCTGAGATATTATATTACCAAGTACTTTGATAAGAAGAACTTCCGTGAAACAGGTCCAATTCCTCAAAATATGTTAGTCAATGTATTTGCTGGGAGTCTTTCAGGATCTGTTGGTGCAGTATTGGCTTCGCCTGTATTCTTAATCAAAACAAGAATGCAATCATATTCTTCAGCAGCTGCCCAGCCTGGTCATTCTACAGTAGGACAACAGACATATTATAAAGGTACTTGGGATGGACTTAGGACAGTTTATCGTCAAGAAGGATTCAAAGGATTGTTCAGAGGTATCGATGCTGCAGTTATGCGTACGGGAGCAGGATCTGCTGCACAACTTCCGGTTTATAATCTTACCAAGGACTTATTACTTAAACATGACATTGTGGAAGAAAACTCACTTGGCTTACATTTCATTGCATCTTCCATGGCTGGTTTAGGGGTTGCTATTGTTATGAATCCTGGTGATGTAGTATTAACAAGAGTGTATAACCAAAAGGGTGACTTGTATAAAGGACCGGTTGATTGCTTGGTTAAAACCGTTAGAGCAGAAGGTGTGATGTCTTTATACAAGGGTTTCTGGGCTCAATTAATGAGAATTGGTCCTCATTCGATCTTAACCTTGATGTTTATGGAACATACCATGAAGTTTGTTCGTGCAGTTGAGAATAAGATCAAGTTGACATGATAAGACTCAATTTTAAGGAGTACTAAGTCCTTAATAATTCTTGATATTTATTTATTTATTCAATAGACTAAAACCAAATTATGACGATTAACAATTCTTACAATCAACTTCTGGAAAACTCTTGGATATTGAAATTTGTATAGATCAATTCTTATATGATGTTCTAGTATGAATTGAAAGCCTAGCTTTAAATAGATTGAGATGACTTTTCTCGATCTAGACAAATAGAGTCATTCATATGAATACTTATCAGAATTAATGTGTATCAACATGGAATGACAACTGTGAACATAGTTTTCGATATGTTCACTTTTTACCTTCCATTCCTTTACGGACGAGTATAGCACATACTAACAACTGTCTATGAATCTACCGATCCTAACTACTGGTATTTGATATGTTCTATCCTACAATATCAAATCATTTCTTACCATTAAATTATAATTGGTCAAAAATAACGTTATCATGTTGCCCCTAAAATTCACTATCAGTTCACGTGACTTATCCACAGTCCTGAGTGGCAAAATCTTGAAAATACCAAGTCATAAAATAAATAATTATATTTGGACCATTACAGTTGATAATATAATATTAAAGTATAGATTATGTCTATCAGAAATGTGACCATATATATATATATATATATACTACAAGCGCATTATATTTTCTAGTTAATCCCTGTAAATAATAATACGTTTCTTTTGTTGCCACCAAAATTACTCGCCCCCCGAATACAGTATATAAGTGAGAAAAAAAAAAAATTCAGACCCTTTTGTGTTTGCCCACGCCCTTTTCTTCATCTCTCAAAAGTAATCGTTATACAATAAAATACCCCCGGATAGATCAAGAAGACTGACTTTTCTACGCCACGCACCACCAAGACATTTTCGACACACACCAACTTTTGGCGTAACTTATTTGAAAGCTGCTGTCATTTTTGACTGGATTTACCTTAATAACATTTAGTCACTGTTTCTAAATTCACCTTCCCTCGAAGAAACTACATGACATTAGTAATATAAACAATATCAATCATCAAAGTAATGCGCGATTCAAATTATAAGTCAATAACCAATAATAAGGCTTCGGTCACCATAACCACGTCGCTCTACGACCGACGGGCTCTTGATGTGACTTCAGATAAGCCACTTGTGAATTCCCTCAATCACCTCACCTACCTCGTATCCTCCCTGGCGAAGGTTAGAGAAACTCTTTCCATGGATGGAGGTATAGAACGTCTCGTAGAAATCTTACATGAATGTCATAATCTGACATTCAACTTAGTGGACAATATCTTCAATAGTGAGAAGAAATTGCTCACAGCATGGAAATGGACTCTTGCCTTCCAATGTTTGGTTTTAATTGGTACCCGTGGAACTGAGAAGATCAGACAAAGAGTTGTTAAAGCGGGTATGCTTCCTATTATAGCTACAGTGTTGGATAACTATCTTACTTTACATGAACGTTCATTTATGTATGCCAATAACTGTCACTTGGAATCTCAGGGGCTCCCACCAAATCAATATCTGAATAATTCTGGGCAAACTCCAAATGCTCTGCAACAACGTCAACAGTTATTTCAGCAACTGACTCCTATCCAAGCTCATCCACAGCAAGTAAATCCTCAGATACGTCAGCAACAACAACAACAACAACAACAACAACAACAACAACAACAACAACAACAACAACAACAACAACAACAACAACAACAACAACAACAACAACAACAACAACAACAACAACAACAACAACAACAACAACAACAACAACAACAACAACAACAACAACAACAACAACAACAACAACAACAACAACAACAACAACAACAACAACAACAACAACAACAACAACAACAACAACAACAACAACAACAACAACAACAACAACAACAACAACAACAACAACAACAACAACAACAACAACAACAACAACAACAACAACAACAACAACAACAACAACAACAACAACAACAACAACAACAACAACAACAACAACAACAACAACAACAACAACACCAACACCAACAATACCAACACCACCACCACCACCAACAGAATTATCAACAACAACTGCAACAACTGCAACAACTGCAACATCACCATCAATATCAACAGCATCAACAAGAACATCCGCAACATATACAGCAAGCACAACAACAGCGGCCCCAGCATCCAACTCAGGAGAACCAACAGGAGCACCAACATTCCCAGCATCAGTATCAACAACAGCAAGAGCAAGACCACAATGCACGTGTTGCAGCTTTGCAGTCTGCAACTCAATCTCATGATCAAACTCCCCCTCTGAATCTTCAGCAACAACAGCAGCAGCAATTACTTCTACAACAGCAAAATTTGCTTGCTATACAGCAACAGCAACAGCAGCCTCAAATGGAACAAATCCAAATGCAGCGTCAACAACGGGCACAAGTTCCGGATGATTCTATACATCCATCTCTCAATCTTCCTGATACCTTGTCTCTCCCAAATACGGAGCAAATTCCTGGAATTTCAAATTCATTGTTAAATGCTGAGAGCACCCCTTCCAATGATATGTTTGGGATTACGACCATCCCAAGTCTTAATTCTTCCAACGTTATTTCTGCGAATCCATCCTCTGCATTTTTTAGTGGAAGATATTCACAGAACCTTACAAATGATGACTATGAAAATTTAACTGTTGAACAGCTTTTCAAATTGATTAGAGTCAACCTCACAGATGAGGAAATCGAACGATCAAATGAGGCAGTATCATTTGGCTCTTTCTCTTCGTTGGACAATGATTTAAGAAGAAGGTACCTCATAGTGAATATTATCCAAAAACTTCGTCTTGAAAAAGAGAACGATATTTTAGATTACAATCATTACAATGAATGTGACTATGATATGGATTGTGATCTTCAATTTCTTTCCGATATGTACCTACAAGATGATCGTTCCAATCATATGATTAATTACGCCAATTCTAAAATTGCTCCTCGTAATTTCACTGAAACTGGGGTAGTTATTCCAAGAGATGATGATATTGTTTGGTCTCTTCAACTTTTGGCATATATCTCCAAGTATCCTTACTTGAAAGATGTGCTTCAGAATACGCATCTTGTCATCGATATGAGTATTAGAGACAAACAGGTTAAGTTATATCTTGAGAAGCAACTCAAAACTAAACTTCGTAAAGGCTTTGCAGTTGAATCACGTCCAAAAGCTAAACCGAAATCTCGAAAATCAAAATATAAAGATCGTCATGAAGCTTATGTGGAGAGATTCAAATTATCGGCTTCAAACTCTCCTCAAATGTTGAATGATATTAACGATCTTGATGAAGAGAATTTCGTCCTTGATGACGAATATTTGAGTAAAGTTCAACAAGAGGCTCCTGTTGGTGGCAACGATACAGCTACAAATGCAGTTGAGACTAAGGTAACAGGCACTTTTGATGAAGACGTTGATGAAGACGATGAAGATCGCTTTAGTGAACAACTTGATGGACAGAGTACTGATTCTTTAACTCTGATTCTTGGTGAAGATGTAAAAGAAGGCATTAACTCACCAATCGTATCTAACTCTATCCTACAAGGTTTACACGAAGAAATAGTTGCAGCAGAATCAGTTTCAAATGACCTTGAACGCGAAATCAATCTTTTACACTTGAGTGACAAGATTAATAAATCTGTTCAAGCAGAATGTAAACAACTCAGTAGTACCATTTTAAGAAAACAACGAGAAAAGACAGAACATCTTACAACTCGTTGGGATTATGATTCTTATGATAACTTTGATATTGACGCAGCTCAAGACGAGGACCTGGATTATGATGATTCACTTGTCGAATATAAGCGCGCAAATCTCTTCCCTATGGTTGAAAAATTCGCATTTCTTGCTGGAACCGATATGTACTATTGGGCTGGTGTAATTATGAGAAATTCGTGTCGTCGAAATGAAGCAAAGGGTGGAGTTAGACAATGTGGTAATTTAGAATGTGGTAAATGGGAACGTTTCCCTCGTGAATTTCTGAAGTGTCGTCGGTGTAAAAGAACTAAGTATTGTTCTCGAGAGTGTCAAATGAGAGCGTGGCAATGTCATAGAAATTGGTGTGTTCCTAGTACTTCCAGTTCTGGAGGAACTGCCATGAGTTCTAGCTCCAGCATCCCAGCCCAAGTTCAGGCGCAAGAACCCATGAGAGTTGATGTAGCTACTCGTCCTCCGGAGGATCTAAGTTAAATAATACACGTTCAACTAACACATTTTGTAAACACGTAATAGTTCTCTTTTTGTAACTATATGAAAAATGTTTTAAAATATATGCTATATTGTCGACATTATATGACCCCCATTTACATATAATTTTCTAGATGTGAATACACCCCAATCCGAAAGTGTAAGAATTGTTCCAAAGTTGCAAATATTTTAATTTATTTTTTTCTTCCCAAAATTGTATCATATATAATACCTTTAACTATATGTAATTTTTTTTAAGAAAAATGTAAAATTCCAGTTTAACGTTGAATCATGGAATAGGGCTATCACTTTCTGAACAAAGACTTAAAAGTATGACCCTTTGGTATCAAAAGAAAAGAATATAACTATGAGTCAAAAAGTATAAGAAGTACATCCTTACACCTTATGTAATTTTAAGCTGCAAAATATTTCTACGCAAGTGGTCAACATAACTTGTAACTTATCTATAAAACTTAAGTTCTATTACGTATGGAAAGTGGAAGTCCATAAACTATAGGGGCACTCCCATTTAGATACTTCAAGGTACAACTGTCTCGACTTTGACTTGCAGCCTTACAAATATTCACCACAGGTTGCAGATCATTCTGATTGTCAAATAATCCCCAGGATTGGAAAAGTGACAAACTGAAAGCATCAATATCCTTGTCTGTAACATCCCATAAGTTAACTAAAATCATAGGTGATCCACCAGATAGCCAATTATATACATTTCCATTTGAATCAAGAACTCCAGCAGTGTTTAATGCTCCAGATGAACAACCGAGTAGAAGACTAGGAGGTAAATATCTAGAGGTACTGGTTTCTTTGAGCATTTCAGAGGTCAGAATGTATTGTTCGCAACCGCCATGACCCAAATATACAAATAAATTGGAATTCAATATTTTCAGTAGTAGTTTGTCATCTTGAGTAGGCAGATTACCCACTATTCCTTTCCAGTGGCGATTTATGCTCGAAAACAGTGTCCCAAAATTAGATTCTGTTCTTTTCAAGTCACCTTCAGGATTAATTAGGTAGAATAAATTAGAATTATCGTCAAACACCAGTATATCGGTTTTATTATTTTCTCGCTTCAATAATTCAAGTAAAAGACTGACACTAGGCATTCGCGAAACAGATTTATTTCTCAAAAATGAAAGAGATTCCCATGGAAGTAATTCACATCTATTTCCAGGTATAAGAACGATATGTTCATCGGTACTCGACTGCCATAATGATTCATATTCGGCCCGATATTTCTCAGCAATCCTCGCAAACCTATCTCTAATCATCTCCATTTCTCTCTTCAAAGATCTTGTTGAAGTAGTATTGAAAGAACTCAAAATGTGGAAAAGCAAATCATCTAAGATGGAACTCGAACCACCTATTTCCAAAATGTCTTCGCTATTTCCTACTCCAACAATGTAGTTGAGCAATTCTTCATCAACCTCAAGCGAGTGTATATTTTTCTCAGGGAATATCTCCATAAGAAGCAACTGCAAATCACACTGTAAGCTTTTAGATGATTCTTCATTTCCAGTGATATTTTCAAAAGTACCTTTGAATCCACCAAACCAACTATTTTCAATCTTCTGAAGTAAGATTTTCAATCTCGCATCTAATTCAAACCTAACTCTCCACCATTCACGTCTCAATTCTTTAGTATTCATTCTCAGAGTTGTCTCGCGTTTTGTTGAAGCATTGCTTGACTTTATGATATCTTCTAATTCTTGCACACACGCATCAAATTTGAAAGTGCTCTCAATTCCTTGATTATGCCATCTATCCAACTTCAATTGTAAGTAGGATGGTGATTTAGAGAAGCGATGATATTTCGTGATAATAATATCTTGAGAGAGTGGACACAAGTCTATACAAACCACAGTCCAGTTACTGGGAAGATATTCTTGTAGATCGAGTATCATCGTTTGTGAGAAATCTTTATTTCTAGTAACATTAGGAGAAAATTCAGGTACAGCTGGGATTAGTTCATTCTTTTCTCCACAATTAACATCGTTGTATATCTGTCGGATGCTCTGTATCGGGAGAGACCTAGGGATATCTTGTAATCCATAGAGATAGTTTGATGAAACCACATCACTAGTGATTATTCTAGAATCAACCTTTGAAATTGCATGTAGTTGGAGATTGCAATATGTCAACAATTCAGATAATCCACGGTTCTCATGGTTTGATAAATTATGCACCATATGAGAACTTGATAAATCGGTTAGGAATTTATCGCAAGTTATTAAAGAATCCAAATAGTTAGTCTCTGATTCTCTTATAATCGTATTTTTTCTTACAGGAATAGATCCTTCAAAAAGTGCTGGAATTTTCAATAAGGATCCTATTACTTTAAACATGACGGAATGGCACAAAGATTGAGTTCCATTAGTAATGAGATGTTGATACCGACATATTCTAAGTAAGATCAGTAACCGAAGATCGCTTCCAAATTTGGAACTTAAATCATCAAAGTTGCTCAAGGTATCGGACAAGGTGTGAATGAATAAGTTGTTTATCTTATATTGAACTGGAATATCCATAAATCTCGTTTTCGAAGCAGATACCAATTTCGAAATTGTATCATCAAATTGGAAAAGACATTCCAGCGAAGTAGAAAAGTCGAGGTCATTGATGTCAAACTCTTGAGTTTCAACATTTCTCTTTGTATCTGTCAATTCCCACTTCCTCGTTTTAAATAATTGACTGTAAAACTCAAGAGCAATGATTTCTTTTGTACGTAACGACGTCTTGGATTGAGAAACACCTGCTTCAATAAGGAGTTCAGTTACTTTAGTATTATTTTCTAGGAGCACATAAATGTTGGCAAGTTTGTATTTGTTAATAGCATTGAGGAGTGGCTGGGAGATTTTGGAATCAAGTTTTTCAAACTCCCTTAAATAATATGTCAACTCATGAGTGACTCCCATGTAAATTAACGACTCAATAGAGCCCCAATAACAATCTATTAAGAGTGTAGCACAAGTCCATTTCAACATCAAATACATCTGTCTTGAAGTATTATTTCCCACTCTTTTCAAAAGGGAATGCAGTAATTTAATTGCCATCCTGAAGTTTAAATATGCTTCTGGATAATTCTTAAATTTCACAAGCATCTTACCAGATAGAACGCGAAACTTGACAACTTGAATCAAGTTCATTAATCTATCGTTGTAGCTAGATGTAGTATCTTGAAGAGTCAATTCAGGTCTTGAGCGCATAAATACCAATAGTTTATTATATCTTGCTTCGAGTTCAGCAGTGTCAATTTCAAGACTGTAGTCAAGTTGTTGGAGTTTCCAGGAAATAATCTCTCGAAGACAAACTTTTTGCATATCGAGCGATTTTATTACCATACCAGCGGACTCCAACATCAGCTTTGCATCGTCATAGAGGCCAAGAATTACATATGTGTCTGAAAGTTCCAACTCCATCTTCAAACAATGAAGTTTGAAATGTTTGTTCGTAGACTTGCAGTTCTTTATACGTCTCAAATAGAAGATACCTAGAAAATGAGATGCTTGTACATATAACCGACTATGTTTCATATAGGTAACCAAACCTTTCACGATATCAATCTCGTATGCCTCCAGGGCAGTAGTTGATTTGTCAAAAGTTTCATCATTTAACCATGTTTCATAATATGAAAGTGACTTACGCAAATAATCATCTTCCCATTGAATACTTGCTCTTTCTAAATAAATCCCGCTTAAAATAAGAGCATCAAAACCATTTGTCATTTCATCACATGTTTCTTCCAAAGTACCAATATAATCTGCTAAGCCATTCAAGTTGTAATAATGATATATACAAAGTAAACGTTTCGTACCTGCCATCAAGCGTAGATTTGTAGTTACAAAATTTACCAAGTCAGATTTTTGCCATACACTAGTGGATTTCTCTAACAATTCAATGGTTTTTATGTATAGGAAACATTTGAAAGTGTCAGATATAACACTATTATCTCCAAAAACCAAAAGTGCAATATTTGAATTTGATACAAGACACTTAACCAACAATTGGACAATTAAAGGCATTCGGAAATTATTTAATGATTCCATGAATTCTTGCAAAGTTTCATTTGGGTTCATACAAAATTTATCAGTTGTATTTAAAAAGCTTAACAAAATTGTCGAAGATGCGTCAAATTCATTTAACTCATAAAGAGAATTAACAACTTTCTCAACTTTGGCCTGGAATATATTATGGTTGAAAAACTTATTTTCAACTGAATCATTCACAAGCACAAATTCCTCATATTCTATAGATTGACTCCACGATTCAATTGAGAGTTCTTGCCTCTCTTTCACGTTGTTTCCAAGATTGAAATATAAGTTTGAGAGATTCCGGATTCTTTTTATTTGAAGAAAGTGAGCCAACATATGAAAAAGTTCAGCCAAAGTGTCCTTGATGAAGGAATAATATGATGAGATTATGCCTTTGGGTTGTTTAAGTAGGTGCTGCAAAAAAATGGTCACATTATCCAAGATGCGCAAATGTTCTTTGTTTAAGGTGTCAAGGGTTTTGAAGTTTTTAGTTAAAAATATAACGGTGGCCCTGGTTGAAGAAATCGTCAAATCTGTAATTTCAATATTGTTTCTAGACACAAGAATTTTAAGACTTGTTAAAAATGTTTCATCATGGAGTAAATCACTCATTGAAGTAGAGAGTAATACAAAAGTTGTTAGCTTCACAAAACATTCTCCATTTGATGAGCGGATAACTTGTTTGTTCAATTCTGCTAGTTCTTGTGTACTATAATGTCTATTTGCCTCGAACTGTGTAACTATCTTCTCCATTAAATCATGTGGAGCAGTGGATATTTTGTTGGTATAACATTTCAAATCATTATAAAATGGATATGCAATTGGTGGAAGTATGGTTTTTGTGAGGATCTCTTGACCCATTTGATTAGGAGTTCCTAGTTCGTGCGAGTATTCTAATAATTTAAATTGGATGGATAATTCAATTTCGCTGAATTTCAAGCTATGTTGTTTCCCTGCCTTTTTTATACAATAGGCATTGATTTTGTAAAGTCCCAGAGCAATTCTATTTAAGTTGGCGATATGCTTCTTCTTTGAAGTTGAATCCCTCATATAAGCTATATCTAACCATTTTGAAAGGTGACTAGTCGAAAGAAGTGACTGAGATATAAACTCAATTATGACAAGTTCATGTCTTTGTACAACCCTCAATTGAGAAGATAACCTTTGAAGTAAGAATTGTAGATGTAAGAAATTGTATGCAATAACAATCTTCATTATTTGATCGTTATTTGTATCATTTGAATTTATGGGCTCTTTGTATGGAATATCTTGAATTGTCACAAGTTCGACCAGTTCTGGATTAAATGATTTGTTTGACACCAAGGAAACAAGTGCATGGGAAAGAATTGAAAGCTCAGATTGACTCTGGGTATAGTTTTTAGATTCCATTAATTTAATTATGTAGCATTGATGTCTCTTTATAACTTTCAGCGATTCAGATGATGGGATGTATAGTTTATATAGACATCTGAAAGCCTTTGATATCAATTTAAGGACCAGCTCATCCGTCAGGGGGATTTCAACATCTCTCAGGTTCACCAACGCCAGCGCATACCCTTCTACAGATTGTTTCGGTGATTTTCCTGTCACAATAGTTCTGTTCGTGTTTATGTGAACTTCTTGAAGTGGGGACAAGAATGACGTGAATATCCTGTCCAAGAACAGTATTTTAGAACCATCTAGCATATGTCCAGTTATAAAGATGTCCTTACCTACCTATCGCGTTTAAATAGCTTTGGTACCCTTGTGAGACGAAACGCTTGGATGTATGTTTTGCCCGCAGATTGTTTGTGTAAACATTCCAACTGAAATCAAAATAGAAGGAACAAAAAAAAAACTAAAAAAAAACATTTTTAAACACTGTAGGAATCTAAATACCTTAAGATTATTAGTGCTAAAATGCTTGAAAACCTTTTTTTACTTGATAAGACAATACAGTTGTTATTGCTATATCAACATATAGAATTTTACACGTTTTAAACCGTTCAAACAATAATTATTTGAAAAAAACAGAAAAATAGACAAATATTATTATCAAAACAGACCGATGTTTTTAACTGAATATAAAACATCCGTGATAGTTTAGTGGCTAGAATTACCGCTTGTCGCGTGGTAGACCGGGGTTCAATTCCCCGTCGCGGAGATTTTTTACTTTTTTATTTTTAAAGTACATATTGAGACTCTTCAGTAGGTCAAGAGTTATTATCACCGATTCTTTTTTTTTTTTTTACATACCTTGTATACTCCATATTGTCATAAATGGCGTTTAGGATATCATTGAGGAGTTATTCAGTCCTTCAAAATGAATTCAAAGACTCTATGAGCAGAATCGGCTGCCAGGCAATGATTTTAACTGCGGGACAGAAATCAAATGCTAGAGGTTCACTCCATGGCATGACATTATCCTCAACATGTTCTCTTTCAGTATACCCAAAGCCTTTATTGCAATTCAATCTTCACCTTCCTTCATATACTTCACAAAACCTACACGAGCTGAAATTGTTAGCTCTTCATGTCCTTCCTCCAAGTGCAAACGCAGTAAAATTGGGCCGAATATTTGCCAATGGAGTGAAAAGACCACCGCAATCGAACCAATTACCGGACAACGAAGACGGTGATTTGTTCCATGAAAAGACCACCCCTTTCACAAACTTAGAAACTAAAGAGTGGAACTTTCATACCATTGAAAATGTAAATATCCCCATCCTTCAGGAAGCTGAGAGAGTTTTCATTTGTAAGAAGAATGAAGTTTTCGAAGTAGACAAGCATGAAATATGGGTAGTCGAAGTTTTAGATATTCTCAAACCTAGAGCTGAGCTAGCTGAAGGATTGAGTGGAGGGCTCTTGTATCATAATAGAAATTTCCATAAAGTTGGCCCAATTCTAACCGAAGACTAGCAATCATACAATTTTTACACACATCAATAAATGCATCATTAGTTATTTTTAATCTATCTATATATAAACAAATATCTACTACAACCAACTAATCATACGCGTTCATCTTCATCTTTTCCAAGTAATTCGTCAATTTCCATTTGCATTTCTGATATAGCATTTGATAAATTTGGTAAAACAACTTCATAACGCTCTTGAAATCTTTTATTTCGTTTTTGACTCTTTTGAATTAATTCATTCTTCTTGGTATTCTTGATCTCGTTCAATACCTTATTCAATTCTTCACACTTATGTTGCTTTTTAGAAACTAAACGATCGTGTTTACTCACTTGTTGTACATACTCAATGTCAAGTTGTTTCAACTTCGTTTTATACTTAGAAATTGATGATTCAAATCCATGGTTAGCTGAATCTAAATCCTTGATCTTATTTCTTAATTGTCTTTCTTGAGCTTCATAAGCATTTTCTTCCTTTTGCAGTTCAGATTCAATGTTAGATATTTCAGTTTTTAAATCATCAATTTCATGTTCCAATTGCATAACAGAATGTTGTAACCCTTTGAGTTTCCCAGAAACTCGAATATCACTGGTAGAATGTTTCGTATTATACTTGGGAATTTTGCCCTTGAGATTCTCAATATCTCTTTTCATATCTGCAATCTTCCTATTTTCATCACGTTTATATTTCTTTAATTTACTTCTTGATTGATGTAATCTTTCAATTGTTGAAGTCAAACTTAATTGTAATGTCATCAAAGAAGTTGTTTCAGGAGATTGGTTTAAAACTGTACGTGATGTACTTGAAATAGTATTGAAAATATAACGTGCAACCAAATGATCTTCTTTAATATTTGATTCATCCTTATCATTTTCAAAAATATCAAGTTCATATTGAAACAATGGAGTTAATCCATAAATACAAATGAAGTATTGATCATTTTGCCCTTGAAAAAAATTCATATGAATCCAATCAACATCATTTAATTTAATTTTTAACCCCTTTGATTGAGAAATCAATTTATTAATCCGTCCTTGATCCAATACTTTGAAGACAGCCTTTGTATCATCAATGAACACTGTCGATAAAGACATAAACGAAGAATCTGGCAATGGACTGATAAATTTGCCTCCATTGTTTTTACATTCAGTTAATTTCCCAGCGAAAAATTCTGGTCTGAATATCAACGTTTTAATGGCTGCTAAAAGTGACCAAAATGGTTGCACAGTCACTTCACTAGTAAGTACTTTATTTACAATGGTAGTTGAGTTTGTAGATGAAGTTGGTGACGATGGGGAAGTAGTATGCAATGATGACGATGTGTTATGCATTTGAGTAGTGTTGATAGAATTGTTGGCAGTACCCAGTCTTTGTCTTTGTCCTCGATTTAAGTTGTGATGTGAATTAGTCACACCATCAGAAGCAATCACTTTTTGAGGCTTAAATGTCTCAAAAATTGATGATACATTGGGATTTTTAGTGGTGAATGGCGTGGTACAATATGTGTCAAAGTTCCCTGCAACAACAGATTGGTTTGAAAATGAATCAAATTTGGCATTACTTTCAGAAATTTCCTTCAGTAAATTAATTTCTCGAAGTTGACGTGGTAAATTTTGATTTTCTTGTTGTTCAACATTGATAATAGCAGTTGAATCATCATTGAGTGGGGTTAAAGAACCTTCATTTGATTGATGATAATTATGATTTCTCTTGAAATCGATCGATGGGACATTCCCACTGATATTTGAAAGATTATCTAATGAACGAGAAGTGTCTTCCAATAAAATGAATCTTCTTAATGTAGGTGATATATTGATCACAATAACGTGGACACATAAAAGCAAATAAACGAAATTTATACTAATGGATAACATTCGTAAAATTTTGGACACAAAGTATAAGTTTGTTATTCCAAATGTATTTGAAATAACCCGAAGGGTTAAGCCTTCAAAAAATGATCTCTGAGATATTTTAGATGGTCCGAAGACTGATGTCAAATAAGAATCCTCTAAATGGGAATCTGAAGGAATAGAAGTACTAAAATATACTCGGGATGCTAAACTAGATAAAATGAGGCACAATTCAGAGGAAAGGAACCATTCTTTAATAAAATAATTGATATTGATAACTGCCAAGAAACAAAGGACGGCATTGACAAATCTATTATTTCTCAAGGTACCTTCATGTGACAGTACTCTTTTAGGGGCCGGGGCGGTTGATGCAGATGTGGATGTAGAGTGTGGAGTCAATGCGGTGGAAGTATTGTTGCCATTGGAATGGTTGCTATTGTTGGTGGTGGTTGTAGTCGTTGTGGTGGTTTGTGTACTGGTGCCACCATTCGAAGTAACCGAGGTGATAGAAGTCACAGTGGTGGACGCCACCGACGTCGAACCTACCAATTCCGAAGCAACAATTGCTTTGGCAAACAATACAAGATATTGAGTGAAATTCTCTGGAAGTAAGAAGCACGAGAGTACCGACACGGCTACATTGATGGCAACGGCCTTGGCTGAAGTGCTCCATCTTTTAACCGATACGTTTACGGAACGACTATTGGAGCCCGGGAACTCAAAAGAGAACCCATTTTCTGGACTTGTAAGCAATCGACGAATAATAAACCGACCTCCTAAGGAAATGGATGATCCGGATAAAATGAACATCAAAAGAGCAACACATGACACCGCGGATGGAAGAGCCAAAAGTATGAAGATGAAGGCCGTGATATCTCTCACAGGCGAGGGAGATTGTATCATCTTCAAGCTCCGGGTCTTGGATGCGTTCATGTCTTCCTTAACCACTCGTTCAGTCAGAAAACGTAAACCTTTCAACAATGAAGTTCAGAGTGTTTCAGCAGTAGAAGTGCAGAACTCTTTTCAATTACTATGTATGATAGATCTGGTGCGCTTTGAGGAGAAGAAATCTATTCTAAAGTTTGTTTTGGTGGGGTCGCTTCCCGTTGATATGTGGGTGAAATACCCTCTAAATAAAGTGCAGAATGTGCCTTAAAGTCGATGGTGCGTGTTTAAGTTTTTACTAAGGTGTAGATTTTTTTAGGTTTCGATCTGCGACTTTGGTCTTTGTGAACTTTGGAGAATTTTTTTTTTCATGTTGGGAAGTTAGCGTGGATTTGCAGTCATGACAGAGAGATATTCGAATATTTCTTTATAAAATATATTTTTCAGCAGGAGTAGGTGAGAGTGGTTTGGACTGAGAATTTATTAGTGGGGTTCCCTTCCTAAGATTTATTGGAATAGGTGATTTAGAGGATATGTAAGGGGGTTAACGGACCCCATGTAGATTTAGTACATAGCGGCAAAATAAAAAAGGCAAATGATAGAGAGAGAGAACCATTAAATACAAAGAAAGAACACTTAAATATCTTTATAGATGAAACACTTAAATAACTTTATCGAAGATGCTTTGAAAAAGTATACTAGAAACTATTCTTACTATACCATAAACGAAATTTTTTAGGGTTTGACATCTTCAGATTAACTGAAATGGAAATGATTGAATAATTGAAAAAGTAAACACAATTTTCTGGGGCTCGCAATCAATCCAATATCACGTTGTACGATCCAAACACTCAATAGCACCATTTTATGACCCATGATCACTCACTTAGATGATACAGGGGTCTGTAGAAAAGCCCAGGTGCACGATAGTGGCTGATTAATTTAGATTGTTTTCTTTTTTTCCCGCACAGAAATAGAAGGTTCCATTGCCCCTTTTCGCTTACATCTATAATCCGTTATGCTTTAATTCCAATTTCGGATTTGTTAGCTAAATTACCTCAGCCTTGTCGGGAGATTTTTTATGAGACTATAAATAAAATAAAGATCCCATTTAATAAAAAACCCCCAAAGTGATTCAAGAGTTATATATTGTAATAATAATAATGAGATCTGCACTCTTAGCCTTGTGTCTTTCGGCACTTCCATCCGTTTTCGCTTCTTCTTCCTATGGAGCTATTGAATTTAATAATCTCGGATTTGACGGATATTATCGTCAAGTTGCATCGATTTCTAACGAAGATACAAGTGAATGTACTTGTGCTCTTTCCACCGATAAGACAGCCTTTTCCGGTAAGAATGCGCCTCTTAACGAAGGTCTCTCAGTTCATTTCAGAGGTCCCCTTGTTTTGAGTCAGTTTGGTTACTACGTTTCCCCTTCTTTCACCCATGGATCTGACTCTAGTGGTGATTGGTCAAGATTAGCGTACTATGACGCTGACTCATCCACCGCAGAAAATGTAACCTTTTTAACCAATGCTGGTACCAATTCTTCATGTCTTGGTAAGGCATTAACTTATGCTGGCTCCGATGGTATTTCATCCGCTCAAAATCCAACTGTGCTTGCTAAGGATACCAAGATTGTCTCAGATCAAGAATATACTATTTTTTCTGACGTTAAATGTGGAAGTTCAGGTGTAAACAACGACTGTGGGGTTTACCGTAATGGGATCCCTGCCTTCCATGGTTATGACGGTGATATCAAGATGTTTTTGTTTGAGTTTGAAATGCCAAAGGAAACCACCGTTTCTAAAGATGAAGTCTCTTATTTTGATATGCCAGCTATTTGGCTTTTAAACGCTAGAATCCCAAGAACCTCGCAATATCCAGACAATGGTAACTGTTCATGTTGGAACTCTGGATGTGGTGAATTTGATATTTTTGAAGTTATGAACACCACCGAATCCAGCCATTTGTACTCAACCATTCACGATTACCAAGGCACTGGAGACATTGAAAATGGTCTTCAAGCCGACGGATACATTCCAAGAGATACCACTGGGAGCATGAAAGGTGGTGTTGTCTTTGATAGCACTGGAACTGCTGTTGTCTTTATGTCCAACAGTACCTCTATCACCGGTAACATTACTGCAAGTGATTTGAACTCTTGGATCAAGGAAGCTGGTACCGTAGTCACCGACACTTTGAGTTCAGTTGCACCTGCAGCCACCTCTTCTACATCAAAAAAGAGTGATGGATCCTCACTTTCAAGCAAGTCTTTCTTGTCTAACATTGGTTTTAGTGTATTAAGTGCTCTTTACTACCTTACTATTTAGAGAACAAGAAAAAAAAGTCGTTGGTTCGACGAAATTAAACATTAGAGCAAACAGGGTTTGTATTAGTTTTTAGTTAATAGGGATTATTTATTTTCTTAATTATAGTAGTTAAATAAAGTGACAAGATTGGCAGTCAAGTTCATGTTTTTATATGAATTTGGAAAGAAGATTAGATCGTTGGGCTTCAACTCATTGATAAGTTCCATTTGGAATTCTGTGGGTAACCCATTCAAAGATATTATGGGCGTACCGTTTATGAAATGTAAATATCCTGATTCATTTGCAGAGATATCTAAATCTATTACAAGACCATCACCTTTAAAATCTTTCAAATTAGAACGCTCAATGGTTTCTACATCCAGAGCCTGTATCCCCTGTAAGACTTTGTTCATGTACAACTTCCCAATTTGATCATGAACCTTAGGTATTACCCCAAATTTGGAATTTGATATCTTTGACGATTTGTTTTTAAAATGAAACTGATACGGGATGAATTTCCTCCATGTGCCAACCATGGAATGATATTTAATGTAAAAGTAATTTCTTAGTATGTAACTTCGCAGGAATTGTAATGGTATAGGAGGATCATCGATGATTGGGGTGAGGAAATACTTCATGGACTCCTTGTTATTCGCACCAGAGTCAGGTCTAGCGTCCATGGTTAGCCTCACCATCAGACCTCGAGGGAAAACAAGTCTTGTCCCCGCATCCATGGCAGTGTCATTTATTAAAGCCTGAGTAAAGGGGTTTGCTTCCAACGATTCAATCGAAGGAATTTCCTTTTGTACTCGATAATTCTTCACTCCAATAAACCTTCGCTTGTTAAGCCATCTCCCAGGGTTCCATAGTAACGGATGTCTCCAATATGACTTTATACTCATGGAGCATCAATCAAATTCAAAGAATCTCTCAAATCCATATCTCCAAAAAAAATAAAATAAAAAATGTCAAAAAAAAAAAGAATGGAGAGACGGTAAGAATTATGCATAAAGGTAATTCTATGTGATCTGTCTGACACAAAACATCTTCTCAGACGGGTAATACTCAAACTTCACAATAGTAAGGTGCATAATGCGTTTGCATCATGTCTGCGAAAAAAAAAACTATTTGGCTTACAAAGTTCAAATTCAATCATTAGGTATCCTTAATTTTTTACGTATGTGTAATTATGCAATTGAGCACGCTTAAAGCAAGTAAGCAGCGGCAGCAACAAGACCAGCCCCAGCAGCAGCACCAACTCTAGCACCGCCGTTAGCTGGGGTAACGGATGGAGCAACAGAAGAAGTAGCAGAAGAGGTAGCGGAGGCAGTGGAAGAAGAAGCAACAGAAGAAGAAGCAGAAGCACCCTTCTTGGTGATTTCAATCTTGATGGCATCAGCTGGGGCAGAACCTTCTTCAGCAACAATGACAGCATACAGACTCTTGGAGTAGTTGTATGGGTCGTTGACGTTCTTGGCAGCGTAGAAAGTGCTGGTACCGTTGACAACCAACTTGTCACCGTCAAAGGTAACTTCTTGTGGGGCAGTAACAGAAATAGCAAGGAAGTCACCCAAAGTGTTCAAGGAAGCAGTAAGAGTTCCCAATTGAGCGCTGACAACCTTGGTTTCATCATCGTAAGAAAGTTCTTCAGCACCTTCACCCAACAAGAAGTAGTTGATACCGGCACCTTCGTGAATAGAAGACAATCCAAGACCATCGGCTGGAGTACCAGCAGCGGAGGCGAAAAGTTCGATGTTAGAAGTGGCACCGAGGACGGTAGTGGCAGAAGCGAGAGTAAGGGCAATGGCAGAGTACAACATTATTGTGATTTAATTATTGGTAGATAAGTGGGGAAAAATCTATTCATGAACTAGGGAGCGAAATGTCTACCTTAATATACCCCGACATACGGAGGGCAATACTACAAAGAAGTGCTTATTACATCTTATTATTTTTTTTTCCGATTTGTACATATCACCTATGCCACACCGAATGCATGCATGTTTTAATAATATAAACATTGGGGGTAGCCACAATTATTTAGGGCTTTGTTGTTGCACGGCTAAGGTGTACATTTAGCTCTCAATTAGCCACTATTCCTCATCTTTCAATCTTCGTTAAGCAATAAAGTGAGGCACAACAGCCACTGTTACGGCTCACTTATAGGAGTTTGAACTTAGAATCCGATAAATCTACGGCTCTGGAGTATAAAATATTTATGCAAGGTTATTTATAGAAGTTTTTATTTACAAAACATGTCCATTGTAGGTGCGGAAAATGCTACATTTGGAAATTTTTGGAATTGTTTTCCGAATCGTATCACCGAAAATTTACTAATATTACCTTTTCGAACTACGGTATACTGTATACTCGGCTCGGTTCATGCAAAATGACCAAATTACTACATCATGACATACATGATACCCACTAAATTCATTGAATGATAAATTTGTTGCATACTGGCACCACCATTTTTTTTTAGTAACTTGCTGGTCGGCATTTACCCCTACATACAAATTCAAATATCATGGTGGTTCCCCTTTTTATGATTGTATAGTATATATAATAGAATTCTAATTTTAGATTTCAATTACTTTAAATCGTTTCTTTGCTTCTTCTAAATTAAAGTTTTTTTCTACTTGGTGCCATCTTTCGTGAAGTCTTCCATACAAAAGCACTAAATTAGGCTCATCACCTTTCGAGTCGTTCACTGCTTTCTTCCCGAAAAGTCTACCCTTTTCTTCATCCCATTCTTTAAAGCTTATCTTTTGCCATTCTTCAGGTTTATTGATTCTCAACCTGTTCAATTTGGGAGAGTTCAAAGATTCAGGATCTAATATAGCGGGGTATTTGGGGTTACAAAAATAAATGATCACTAATCTTCGGAATCCCTTTTGATCATCTGGAGGGGAAACAACTCTATGAATTGAAGACTTGAAATAACCACCAGTAATGAACTCCATTGCATCGCCAATATTTACAATCAATCCACCAGGTTGATGGCCAACAAATTTCCACTCACCAGTGAAGTAATCTCTAATCTGTAACGATAAAATTGGCTGAGAAGTAATGAATGTAAATCCAGTACCATCCGAATGTCCTCTTAACCAATTATTATCAACTTTTTCACTATCTTCTTCATTCATTGGATCATAGAGCATAAATCTTCCAAACCCATTACCTGAATTTACATAGTCATTTTCAATCACCTTAAAATAATTTTCCCAAAGATACCCTTCTGGTAACTCAAGAATTATGTCACATAATGTTAATAATTTCCTTAACACTTCATTATGGAGTGCCCTAAAATATTTTGCAACTTCTGGCAAATGAGGCAAAAGAAGTTCAGGGTACTTGTTGAAGTCTGTATCGAAAAAACGAGGTTGCTGCATGTTGCGGAAGTTGTACAATACTATCGAATCTTCCACTCCATTTTTCATAGACCAGTATTTTTTTGGTTTAAATCCAGCACCTCTTTCTCCACCTAAAGATTTAGAACGATCCTCTAAGTCCGACTTCATGGCACCGGCAAGATGTTGCTGCTGAATATCTTCAGGAAGTTCACATACAGATTGTGCAAGTGACCGTAAATGATCCAATTCGTCAAGAGCAATACCATGATTTTTAAGCCCCAAAAAGCCGTAGGTAGTGAGGGATTTTTCAAGAATTGCAGCCATGTTTTTTCTTTGCTCTAAATGGTCATCTCCGTAGCCAAATAAGGACAAGTCAATAAATTCAAGTTCGATTTTATTGACTTTGGTCTCAGATGGTTTAGCTTCAATAAATGGCCTAACATTATATTTCTTGTCAACTTTATCTATGGTATCTTTTGTAATGAGAAATCTATTATTTCCAGTTAAACTTTCATAAAACTGTGTATTTCCTTCAACTGTCATATTATCTTTGTTCTTATTATTGCTGCAAGGTGAGCTAGCCTTATTGTGGTAACTTGTATATTTATAGTACCATTCGTACGTGAATTTCTTCTCAGCCACAGTTTATTTAAATCCACAGTTTTATTGACACACAATGTATCCATGCTTTCATCGTATGATAATTCATCACCTTATACACTTTATTGAGGATAACATCCAACTTTTCTGACATGTAATAGTTAATAAAACTAGGTAATGTATCCACAGTTTTTTGAAATCATAGACTGTAACAATCAAACGAGAATTTAATAAATGGTTCTATTTTCTAGGGCTGGGACAAATAAGAAAGTGATCCTGTGTTTGGAGATATTCTTAATTAAATACTTAAACAGAACCTCAAAAAATTGTAAACAGTGTAGATCTACTATAGATTATGGATCCTCACAATTTCAACATATAAATACGTATGTAGGTAACAAAAGATCAGTAGAAAATTACGTACATAGGTTTATTTTAACCATCATGCGAATTAGGGACTATTTACTTTTCTGAATAATATTTTTCAACATATTGGTCTAATATCATGATAGGCAAAAAGCGAAGGCTTGCTGTTCGCACTAGCAGGCAAAACTTTTTGATGAGATAATCGTGTAATAGTATTCTTGGCAGACTTTTGAAGAAGACAGCAATTGTTATCTCAACCGAAATTCCCGGTCTAACTAAGAAAAAATAATTGCACTAGTCATTCTAACAATGAGTTAGTCAAATTCTTGAAAGAGATGAATCTTGCTTTGATGAATTGCAATTCATTGTACTACGATCTATACCCAGACATTTAATCCAGCCTTTGAATACGCACGCACGGAGTATATCTACATTCTAATGTTTAACAACTTTTGCTCTTCACTTTCAACCGAGGTCTGCTTTAAAGGTTTGGTGATGTGAGGGTTTTGCATACAGTGTATGTCCCCTTAAAATATCAACAAACAGCTTATTTATCGCCTCTTAAGCTAGAAAATATTATTAACAACCAAGTAAGCATGTATTCTCACAGAGCGCGACTTGAGGCGTCAAGTTGATTTTCATTTGAAAATAATCTTGGACGTGTTTTGGAGTCACGAGGGATGTGAAAGCTTAACAATTTAAACATTTCCACGAGGGGTATACTATACGAATTTTCCAAACCTTCCACTCTTCAATTTGCGGAAAACTTCTTTTACATGTTTAACTCGAGAAAATGATGTTTCCACATCGCTGAACTTACTTTTATAGTTGAGCACAAGCAGGGAAGACTTTATCAACTTCGTAAATATTTTTTGTACTATAATGAAAAATTTCAGGTACATCGAATTAAGCGAATTATTCTGTACCACTATTCCATCATGTGCCGAAATTACTTCCACCATTGAACTTATTTCGCTTAACTTTCACAAAGGGCCGAAAGGAGAAAGTCTTTCCCAATTTGGATATTTCCAACAGCAAATAACCTTTTTTGTGATTGTATTGGCCAGAGACCAATGTTGTAGTTTTTAGAGTTTCAGAATATTTTTTAGGATGTACCTACCTAGTTTAAATCTGTACTAAATCTTTCATAACTACTATTAATGAACTTCTAAATAGTCGACCTATTCAACGAAAAATACTAGACTGTCACTATTCATCTATTGAACTCATGTACGCGAGGGCCCATTCAATTGATAATTCTCCAGGTGATGATGGAATGGAAGAGATAAGTGAATACTGGTTATTCGGTTTAAAGTCTGCATATTCTAATATGAAACTTCATGCAAGGGATTGTTGCGTGAGGGGCTTGGTTGCATCCTGGCATGTGTAAAGAACACATTAAAATAATAAATTAGATGAAGCGTAGCCGATGCGTTTTACTGGCTCTCTTTGCCAAGGTTTGATGTTATACATCACCATAAAATCTCATACAGATTTTTGCAAAAAGTAAATGGTGGTGGTATTAGTGGTACTAAATGTACTACTGCACAAACTTCCAACGTCATTTGCCGACATAAATCTCGTCTCGGATTTTTTAGATTGAATGGAAAACTGTACTTCAAAGTGGAAGATTCCGATCAAAGCTTAAATTTTAGCGAGAGGCTCGTAAAGCTAAAAGCCGCATCTGCACGGCCACCCGAACTATATGTACGCTCAAAGTAGCCCCAAGGCATTCTTATGCATCTATGAAGGCAAAATACTACAGAAGGGGCTGCAGGACCTGAGCTTGGCAGAGGAATAAAGGCGTTTATGCATGCATGCACCCCAAACACCGGTGTTTTTTTGGCTGCTAATAGGAATACACCTAGAAGAACACCCAAATGTGGAAGGAATCGAAAGTAATTCAAGTTGCAAATCCTAACATAAATTGAACATGAATTCTCCCCTTGGAAATTTCAGGAGCGTGACAACTACTAACTAATACTTTCATTCACTACTAATAGGATTTTTGAGTATGCGGTTCGGGCCAAAGTTGAAATTGCTCGCGACAGCAGTACTCGCTGCCACTCCTGTTTTTGGACAACATATCACCTCTGATAGGACTGACTACGACTCAGTTCTTATGGTTGGAAATGTTGAAGTTGATGCTGGTGCAACTTGGAGGATCTACAATGCACTTGTGGAAACCTTCTTTGGCAGCATTAACATCAAGGGTAGATTGTTTATTACTATTGACAGATATCCTTTCTCATTATCTATTACCTCTGGTACACTTAAAGATTTTAATAACTCTGGAGTTATCTACTTCAAGTCTATTCGTTCGGGAGTCGCTCCAATTTACTCCTTTGTCGTTGGGAAGTTTTATAATACTGGTGATATTTTTTTTAGTGCCGCCGGAAATGTTCTTCAATCTGTTTATACCATTGCCGCTCCTGATTGGACTAATGCTAAAGGGGGTTCTATTTTCTTGTATCAAGATAAGAGAGCCAATGGATACGCGACATTAGGAAGAGTGGGTACAACAATTACCAATGAAGGTCAAGTTTGTATCAGAAACCATGCTTGGACTTCTAACACAAATGTCAAAGGTTCCGGTTGTATTGACGTTGGTCTTAATTCCAACTTTTGGTTCATCAACTCTCTTAAAGACTTCGATCCAAAGCAAACTATTTACCTTTCTACTTCATCTTCCAGTTTGTTGATTGAATCTCTTGGAAGGGCACAAACTTATTTGGTTGCAGGATTTGGTGACAATAACATTATTGGTCTTACCGTCACTATCACAAAATTCAAATATGATCCAAATACAGGGATAATGAACCTTATGACAGGCTTGCCCCCATTCTACTTCAATCAGTTTTTCAATATTGGTAAAGGTTACGACCCTGCCAAGTTTGTTATTCAAACTGTTAACTATGGTGGTCTGATTGGAAAAGGTATTTACAATGCTGGAGTTAAGTATTATGGACCAGTTCCAAGAGATAGTACCCCACATACAGCATGTACTGTTTGTAAGGATGAACCTCCATTGGTGGATCCATCCAGCTCTGTTGTACCATCTAGTACAATTCCATCTAGCACTGTTCCACCATCTAGCTCTGCTGCTCCATCAAGCTCTGCTGCTCCATCCAGCTCTGCTGCTCCATCCAGCTCTGCTGCTCCATCCAGCTCTGCTGCTCCATCCAGCTCTGCTGCTCCATCCAGCTCTGCTGCTCCATCCAGCTCTGCTGCTCCATCCAGCTCTGCTGCTCCATCCAGCTCTGCTACTCCATCTAGCTCTGCTGCTCCATCCAGCTCTGCTGCTCCATCCAGCTCTGCTACTCCATCTAGCTCTGCTACTCCATCTAGCTCTGCTGTTCCATCGAGTTCTATTCCATCTAGCTCTGCTATTCCATCCCCAAGTGGCTGCCCTGTTGAGAATTCAGGTACACAGGGCTTACATGGGTCACCACAAAAGGGTCTTCATGCAACCTTTTACCCTTACGGCTTTGCTGATGATGATACTCTGAAGAACGTCGGGTTTATGACTCAAGGTTACAAGAATGGTAAGAGTTACGCTGAAGTTGAGAATGTGTCTGATTTTGAATTGAACATTTACCAGCCATCGAGTAACCTGGCTCAAAATACTATCTATGGAAAGTCCATGAAGCAAAACTTTTTAGTGGAGCTTACAGGTTACTTCCAAGCCCCTGAGACTGCTGACTATATATTTAGTATTACGGTTGATGATGCGATGGTAGTCCAAATTGGCGCTGGCCAAGCATTCGATTGTTGTGACACAACTTCTAGTGGAAATAGTGAAGCTTCATTGTTTGGCCATTGGACAAACAACTTGCAATTACTCGGAAGAGATTCAAAAACGATTTCACTTACTGCTGGATCTTTTTACCCTATTAAGATTGTATACAACAATATGGGAGGTCCTATTTTGTTATCGTTAAGTGCTACGACTCCATCAGGATCCATTTCTCTTAAGGACCACTTTTTTACCTTTGAAAACACGGGAGCTGGGTGTCCAGCCCCATCTCAATCTAGCTCTGCTGCTCCATCCAGCTCTGCTGCTCCATCCAGCTCTGCTGCTCCATCCAGCTCTGCTGCTCCATCCAGCTCTGCTGCTCCATCCAGCTCTGCTGCTCCATCCAGCTCTGCTGCTCCATCCAGCTCCGAAGGTCCATCTAGCTCTGCCGCTCCATCTAGCTCTGCTGCTCCATCCAGCTCTGAAGGTCCATCCAGCTCCGCTGCTCCATCTAGCTCCGTTCCAGAAGATTGTGTCACATCTGAAGTGCCTGTTTCGACTTGTATTGAGACTAGTATTGAAACAGTTCAATGCGAAACTTCCACTGTGAAATCTAGTGTTGCAGTCATTTCATCTGTGACCACTACTGTTTGTGACACTTCTGCAGTTCCAACCTCTGTATGCTCCACAGTAACCTCAAAATCCTGCAAGGCCTCTCCTGCTTGCCCAACAGGTAAGTTTGGAAGAAGACTTAAGACCAAGAATGTTCCTGATGCAAAGTTCAGTGTCTCTGATGTTACATTAATTAAGGATCTTACATATTCCGTGACCCTTGGTATGACAGCCGACAAAAATATGGACAAGAAAAATTTGGGTGCTTTGAGTTTGAGTTGTGGAAACGTTAAGCATACACTTTTCGATCCTAAGGCAAAGATTGACAAGATTAGTAACATAAAGGATTGGTCACATAACTTTCAAGTCAAATGTTTGGATTTCGGTGACAAGATTTGTTTGCCTAGCATTCTGATCCTGTTCCAATGGTGTATCTTTACCCCACATGCTTCACTTTGTAAGTCGTGGTCTTTCTCCCATAACTATGATTATAAATTTGGTTGTGGAAATGAACTTGACTTCGATTGGTCTCAATACTGTTGGCCAAAACCTCCAAAGACACTGTGCAAATCCACAAACTACTTAAGTACCATTTGCAAGACTTCGAGCTTCCCAACTACAACTTGGAATACCAATGAGGTTACCACTACTAAATGCAAAACCTCCCATGTTCCAACAAGTAGCTGCACGACCAGTTACAGTACTGTGACTCTGTGTCCTTCTATTATTCCATCCAGCTCTGAAGGTCCATCTAGTTCTGAAGGTCCATCCAGTTCCGAAGGTCCATCCAGTTCCGAAGGTCCATCTAGCTCTGAAGGTCCATCCAGTTCCGAAGGTCCATCCAGTTCAGTAGCTCCATCTAGTTCTGAAGGTCCATCTAGCTCTGAAGTTCCATCCAGTTCTGCTGCTCCATCCAGTTCCGAGGGTCCATCTAGCTCTGCTGCTCCATCTAGTTCCGAAGGTCCATCTAGTTCCGAAGGTCCATCAAGTTCCGAAGGTCCATCTAGTTCTGCTGCTCCATCAAGTTCCGAAGGTCCATCCAGCTCTGAGGGCCCATCTAGTTCTGCTGCTCCATCTAGTTCCGAAGGTCCATCCAGCTCTGCTGCTCCATCTAGTTCCGAAGGTCCATCCAGCTCTGAAGGCCCATCCAGCTCTGAAGGTCCATCTAGTTCTGCTGCTCCATCTAGTTCTGAAGGCCCATCCAGCTCCGAAGGTCCATCAAGTTCCGAAGGTCCATCTAGTTCTGCTGCTCCATCAAGTTCCGAAGGTCCATCCAGCTCTGAAGGTCCATCCAGTTCCGAAGGTCCATCCAGCTCTGCTGCCCCATCAAGTTCCGAAGGTCCATCCAGCTCAGCTGCTCCATCTAGTTCTGAAGGCCCATCCAGCTCCGAAGGTCCATCAAGTTCCGAAGGTCCATCTAGCTCTGAAGGTCCATCTAGTTCAGTTGCTCCATCTAGTTCCGAAGGTCCATCCAGCTCTGTTGCTCCATCAAGTTCCGAAGGTCCATCTAGTTCCGAAGGTCCATCCAGCTCTGTTGCTCCATCAAGTTCTGAAGGTCCATCCAGCTCCGAAGGTCCATCTAGCTCTGAAGGTCAATCCAGCTCTGCTGCTCCATCTAGTTCCGAAGGTCCATCTAGTTCTGCTGCTCCATCAAGTTCCGAAGGTCCATCCAGCTCTGAAGGTCCATCCAGTTCCGAAGGTCCATCCAGCTCTGCTGCTCCATCTAGTTCCGAAGGTCCATCCAGCTCTGCTGCCCCATCAAGTTCCGAAGGTCCATCCAGCTCAGCTGCTCCATCTAGTTCTGAAGGCCCATCCAGCTCCGAAGGTCCATCAAGTTCCGAAGGTCCATCTAGTTCTGCTGCTCCATCAAGTTCCGAAGGTCCATCCAGCTCCGAAGGTCCATCTAGCTCTGCCGCTCCATCTAGCTCTGCTGCTCCATCTAGCTCCGTTCCAGAAGATTGTGTCACATCTGAAGTGCCTGTTTCGACTTGTATTGAGACTAGTATTGAAACAGTTCAATGCGAAACTTCCACTGTGAAATCTAGTGTTGCAGTCATTTCATCTGTGACCACTACTGTTTGTGAAACTTCTGCAGTTCCAACCTCTGTATGCTCCACAGTAACCTCAACATCTTACACGGCATCTCCTGCTTGCCCAACAGGTAAGTTTGGAAGAAGACTTAAGACCAAGAATGTTCCTGATGCAAAGTTCAGTATCTCTGATGTTACATTAGTAAATGATCTTACATATTCTGTAACTCTTGGTATGACAGCTGACGAAAATATGGACAAGAAAAATTTGGGTGCTTTGAGTTTGAATTATGGAAATGTTAAGCATACACTTTTCGATCCTAAGGAAAATATTGACAAGATCAGTAACATAAAGGATTGGTCCTATAAATTTGAAGTCACAGCTTTGGATTTCGGTGACAAGATTTGTTTGCCTAACATTCTGATCCTGTTCCAATGGTGTATCTTTACCCCACATGCTTCACTTTGTAAGTCGTGGTCTTTCTCCTATAACTATGATTATAAATTTGGCTGTGGTGATGACCTTGACTTCGATTGGTCTCAATACTGTTGGCCAAAACCTCCAAAGACACTGTGCAAATCCACAAACTACTTAAGTACCATTTGCAAGACTTCGAGCTTCCCAACTACAACTTGGAATACCAATGAGGTTACCACTACTAAATGCAAAACCTCCCATGTTCCAACAAGTAGCTGCACGACCAGTTACAGTACTGTGACTCTGTGTCCTTCTATTATTCCATCCAGCTCTGAAGGTCCATCTAGTTCTGAAGGTCCATCCAGTTCCGAAGGTCCATCCAGTTCCGAAGGTCTATCTAGCTCTGAAGGTCCATCCAGTTCCGAAGGTCCATCCAGTTCAGTAGCTCCATCTAGTTCTGAAGGTCCATCAAGTTCCGAAGGTCCATCTAGCTCTGAAGGTCCATCCAGTTCCGAGGGTCCATCTAGCTCTGCTGCTCCATCTAGTTCCGAAGGTCCATCTAGCTCTGAAGTTCCATCCAGTTCTGCTGCTCCATCCAGTTCCGAAGGTCCATCTAGTTCTGCTGCTCCATCTAGTTCTGAAGGTCCATCCAGTTCTGCTGCTCCATCTAGCTCCGAAGGTCCATCCAGCTCTGCTGCTCCATCCAGTTCCGAAGGTCCATCTAGCTCTGAAGGTCCATCCAGTTCCGAAGGTCCATCCAGTTCAGTAGCTCCATCTAGCTCTGAAGGTCCATCCAGTTCCGAAGGTCCATCCAGTTCAGTAGCTCCATCTAGTTCTGAAGGTCCATCAAGTTCCGAAGGTCCATCTAGCTCTGAAGGTCCATCCAGTTCCGAGGGTCCATCTAGCTCTGCTGCTCCATCTAGTTCCGAAGGTCCATCCAGCTCCGAAGGTCCATCCAGTTCCGAAGGTCCATCTAGCTCTGAAGGTCCATCCAGCTCCGAAGGTCCATCTAGCTCAGCCGCTCCATCTAGTTCCGAAGGTCCATCCAGCTCTGCTGCTCCATCCAGCTCTGCTGCTCCATCCAGCTCTGAAGGTCCATCTAGTTCTGCTGCTCCATCTAGTTCTGAAGGTCCATCCAGTTCTGCTGCTCCATCTAGCTCCGAAGGTCCATCCAGCTCTGAAGGCCCATCCAGCTCTGAAGGCCCACCTAGTTCTGCTGCTCCATCTAGTTCTGAAGGTCCATCCAGTTCTGCTGCTCCATCTAGTTCCGAAGGTCCATCCAGCTCTGCTGCTCCATCCAGCTCTGAAGGTCCATCCAGCTCTGCTGCTCCATCCAGCTCTGAAGGCCCATCCAGCTCTGAAGGTCCATCTAGTTCTGAAGGTCCATCTAGTTCTGCTGCTCCATCTAGCTCCGAAGGTCCATCTAGTTCTGAAGGTCCATCCAGTTCAGTTGCTCCATCTAGCTCTGAAGGTCCATCTAGTTCCGAAGGTCCATCCAGCTCTGAAGGCCCATCTAGTTCTGCTGCTCCATCTAGTTCCGAAGGTCCATCCAGCTCTGCTGCTCCATCTAGTTCCGAAGGTCCATCCAGCTCTGAAGGCCCATCCAGCTCTGAAGGTCCATCTAGTTCTGCTGCTCCATCTAGTTCTGAAGGTCCATCCAGTTCTGCTGCTCCATCTAGTTCCGAAGGTCCATCCAGCTCTGAAGGCCCATCCAGTTCCGAAGGCCCATCTAGCTCGGCCGCTCCATCTAGTTCCGAAGGCCCATCTAGCTCAGTCGCTCCATCTAGTTCCGAAGGTCCATCCAGCTCTGCTGCTCCATCTAGTTCTGAAGGTCCATCCAGTTCTGCTGCTCCATCTAGTTCTGAAGGTCCATCCAGTTCTGCTGCTCCATCTAGTTCCGAAGGTCCATCTAGTTCCGAAGGTCCATCCAGCTCTGAAGGTCCATCTAGTTCTGCTGCTCCATCAAGTTCCGAAGGTCCATCCAGCTCTGAAGGCCCATCCAGCTCTGAAGGTCCATCTAGTTCTGAAGGTCCATCTAGTTCTGCTGCTCCATCTAGCTCCGAAGGTCCATCTAGTTCTGAAGGTCCATCCAGTTCAGTTGCTCCATCTAGCTCTGAAGGTCCATCTAGTTCCGAAGGTCCATCCAGCTCTGAAGGCCCATCTAGTTCTGCTGCTCCATCTAGTTCCGAAGGTCCATCCAGCTCTGCTGCTCCATCTAGTTCTGCTGCTCCATCTAGTTCTGAAGGTCCATCCAGTTCTGCTGCTCCATCTAGTTCCGAAGGTCCATCCAGCTCTGCTGCTCCATCCAGCTCTGAAGGTCCATCCAGCTCTGCTGCTCCATCCAGCTCTGAAGGTCCATCCAGCTCTGAAGGTCCATCCAGCTCTGAAGGCCCATCTAGTTCTGCTGCTCCATCTAGTTCTGAAGGTCCATCCAGTTCTGCTGCTCCATCTAGTTCTGAAGGTCCATCCAGCTCTGAAGGCCCATCCAGCTCTGCTGCTCCATCCAGCTCTGAAGGTCCATCTAGTTCAGCTACAGAGACCTACCCATGTACTGACACCCCTAGACCAACAGCTTGTCTGCCTTCTTCAGCCGGTAAAAAGGGACTTCGTGCCGTCTTCTATCCTTATACGTTTGGTGATGATGACACCCTGAAGGGTCTTGGTTATATGACTGGTGGATATAAGACATCCGGCATCATTGCGGAAGTAGACAACGTCCAGGACTTTAATTTGAATATTCCTCAGAAGTGGAATCCTTCGAGTTCGAATGTTATATATGGTGAAACTATGAAGCAGAACTTCTTGGTAGAACTCACCGGTTATTTCCAAGCTCCTGCTTCTGGCTCTTATAACTTCAAGCTTTCTGTCGATGACGCTGCTGTGCTTTTGCTTGGTGCTGGCCTGGCATTCCCATGTTGTAATACAGACTGTGTTGGTAACAGAGATGCTATGTTTGCTCATTGGAACAATCAAAAGAAATTGCTTGGAGAGGATTCTAGGTCGATTTCCCTTGAAGGAGGCGCCTACTACCCTCTTAAGATTGTTTACAATAACATGGGTGGGCCAGTAGTCTTATCTGTAACTGCAAATGGTCCGGGAGGAGCTATCTCTATCAAGGACCACATCTACAGTTTCGTTAATACGGCAGAAGGATGTCCAGCTTCTGTAAATGTTCGTCGTAACTTCGAATCGTTCGAATCAACTTCATCCATTGCTGAACCAAGTTCGACTACTACCGAAACTGCTGCGTCAACTACTATTGTTGAACCAGTTACAATCACAACACCTTTCAGCGGTAATGCTAATCTTATGGGAATCTCCATTCCAGCATTCTTACTTTCTTTGTTGGCCTATTTACTCTTCTAATGGAGGCGTTTACTAAATTCAACTTTCTTCGTGGAATCATAGCGATTTCCTTCAGTTTTTTCGATAAGTTTGAGTTGCTCAAACATTAATTTCACATTCGACCATTTCTGTCATTATTGACAGCTTTCTTGATACCCTAGGCGTATGAAATAAGCCCGTTAGGTTAAATATATTTAAATTTTAATTTATCCAATTATTTTCATGTAGAACCTACAGAACACAACACATCCTAACAATTTGGAATAATCAGTAATAAGATTCCTTTACGGCCTGTTCCATTTCCCTTTCAAAAAAACCTACTCTACAAGATGTCGAAAAATATATGTCGATTCGTATATACGTTGATTATGCCATGTTTAAAGTTTGAATCCACTTGATCCCTTTGGTGCAGTATCCTTCTTAAGCTTGCCCTTCACATCTCTTAAATCACCCTTCTTGCCAATAACGGTAACATTCTTGGCACGAGACAAGGTATCAATAACTTCACCGACCTTGGCTCTCTTTTTATCGCCACCAGAATTGGTAGGTTGTTGCTTTTCTCTTTGTTGTTGTACTTCCTTTCTTTGGTTATATTCCTTGGATCTCTTTCTCTTTGCAGCTCTTCTAAGTCTTTGCTTGTCATCTCTGGATAATTCATCCTTAGAGTAAGACAAACCGGACTTAAGTTGTACTTCTCTCTTTCCTTCTCGTCCATTTACATTTGATTTCTCGTCACCAATCTTATAAACTTCTTGTGGAGCTAACGCGCTTTCACTAGAAACATGCAATGGTTGTGCATCTTCCATGGTAATAGAGGCTGGCGCTCCATCTGTGACTTTGATTTCCACTTCCTTAAATTTGTGTGGTTTTGGTATGAAATGTGCTGAACATAATGCATCAAGTTTATGAGTGACACTAGAGAATAGTTCACTAATCTCGTCGTGTTGTTTTTGTAATGCTTCACTGATTTCTTGATTGCTATTACTATCGACTCCTTTATAGTCATCCTCGTATAATTCAGCCAAGGATTTACTTGATTTCTGTTCACTTAATTCAAATTTTTGTCTGTTATGGAATGCAGCCACATCTGTCACAAGACGTTTTGGCAAGTCATCGAAGTCATCTTCCTTAATTCTTCTACGGATCATATCTTCCAAGGATTCTGTAACTTCTTGGGTTATCACTGGAACAGGCTTTGCTGTTCTCTCGAATTCTAAACTGTTCGACTCTGGGTCATCAAGTAAAGAATCTTCTGGTCGATCTTTGGCAGTGATTTCACCCTTCATATTCCATTTCTTATCCGCCACAAGTTCAGATTCTAATTTGGAAATTTCAGCTTGGATTTGAAGTTGTTGTTTTTCGAAGGAAGAAAGGTTATCTTCCTTTTTAGTCTTCTTTGGTTCTTCGTCGTCAAATAAATCTAACATTGCTGATCCCATAGCATTATCATATTCTTCTTCATTAAACCCTTCTTCTTCTTCTTCTTCTTCTTCTTCTTCTTCTTCTTCTTCTTCTTCTTCTTCTTCTGCAGTTCTACGGCTCTTCTCGGTGATAGTTGGCTTTGAACCCGGCTTCTCGTAAAAGTCATCGAAGTAGGCCATGTTCTCTTCTTCTTCGTCGTCTCCATCACTCAAATCGGCAAAGAAATCTATTTCTTCTTCTTCATCATCCTGTTCATTTTCTTCCAAAGCCAAAGATTGTCTGTTGAACTCATCTATATCAAAGAATCCATCATTCAAACCAAAAACGTCCTTCTTTGGTTCGAATACTTCTTCCTTTGCTTCTACGGCTGGCGATTCATTATCACAGGCAAGGTTACTATTATCTTCTTCGGCAGATTGGAAGTTTTCTTCAGCTTCACTATCGATCTCGTCTTCAAGTTCATCGTGTTCTAAAGAACCAACTACTTCGTCTTCTTGGTCCTCTATTTCGTTTTCTTCTATTTCTTCCTCGTCGTCTAGGTCTTCTTCTTCAGAATCTTCTTCGTCTACACCATATTTTTCCTTAAGCTCAGGGATCTTTTCAAATAATAAATTCTCTCCTAACCCTTCAAGAACCATCTTGGTTTGCCCATAGACTTGAGTCGAGTCCAATCCTTCGACATAAATTTCATCAAGAACAGTATGGGTCTTGGTTAATGGATCCAAAAAGGACTTCACCAAACGGTTGATCAGTGCAATACTTTCATTCTTCTTGCACAAAGAAAATACCTCTTCTGGGTTTCTAGTCAATATATGCAATATATCCTCGCTCATGTTATATTTCGTTGTATGGGGGATAGAAGGATTATTGAATACAATACTGTCGTTATCATTTCACTTTTTCAATGCCTTCCTCTAGAAAAATTTAAGGGCGATGAGGAGAATATGCAGGATTTTGCTTTTCCATATGAGAAAATTGATCAAATTGTATTGTAGAAAATCACTTTCTATCTAAGTATTTATATGAAACAATATGAAAGGATGTTCTCCGTTAGATAGATCATTGCAATCTATTTCGTTATCTTTCATAAGATGTAATTCTAGAACTTCGTCAAAAAGATGGCTTGATAGACAAATGAATGATAAGTTCACTAAAGATTCTAAAACTAGTAATTATAGATCGCGAGCTGCATTCAAACTCATAGAAATTGATAAAAAATTTCACATATTCAATAAAAAGACTTTGAATATTGTAGATCTTGGTTTTGCTCCAGGAGCCTGGACACAAGTTGCTCTCGAAAGAAGTATCGCTGTGGGTATAAAATCAAATGTAATTGGTATTGATTTAATAAATTGCAACCCTCCAGAAGGTTCGCATTTCGTTCAAGGTGATGTTTTTCAAAACGATACACAGCAAATAATAAGAGATTATTTTGAAAAGTTACAAAGCAAGACATTTACTACTAATACGACTACTCCTGCTGGAAATGAGAATGTCGACATGCAACTCCCTGTAGATTTGATTTTGAGTGACATGATGGCCAATACTTCAGGAATAAAAGATAGTGACCATTTTGCTAGCATGGATTTATGTAACGAAGCATTAAGGCTATCTACTAAATTACTTAGACCGAAGGGAAACATAGTAATGAAGTTCTACACCGGAAAAGAAGAGAACATGTTGAAAAATGATATACAGACTTTTTTCACAAAAGTATATCGGTTTAAACCTGCTTCTTGTCGTAGAGAACTGAAAGAAATGTACTTTATAGGAATGAATAAAAAATAATTTTTTACTTTCTATTATGTTGCACATATGAATTCGATAACCCACCACGCTAAGGGGAATGAAAAAAGAGTACAGTGGGTGCAAAAAAAAGCTTCCCCACCAGGAGTCGAACCTGGAATCTTCTGGTTCCAACCGGAAGTGGTTACGTTAATCGTAGCCAGACGCCTTGACCATTGGGCCATGAGGAACGAAGCTTGACGTTGGAAAACAGAAAGTGAAATATGTGATTTACGCTAAAGTCAAAAAAGCCGTTTTTCGACCTCCTCATCCATGTCTAAGGGATAATGGTGGCCTTATTCCCTGGGAAACTTTTTCTGATAATGAAATAGCCTACCTCAAAGCCTGGAAAGCGAAAGTTATTTAAAAAAAAAAAATCCTAGGTTCCTAGGTTTAAAAGAAAAACCAAACAATATCTCCTCTGTCGTTTGCCCATACTAGCTATCAAGAACATTCCCATAATTATAAGGTAGCAATTCCAAACTGCTATGAAGGTTTCAAGACTGAGCAACAATGGAAAAGATTCTGGCAGCGTCTTTGTGTTGCCCGGAAAAGTGGGGGAACCAAAGCAGTGGCGGGAATACAGCGTTACAATTTTGGGTATCGGATTAGGCAGACGAACATTGACCAATGCCCCCTTTGCCTTGAAGCAAATATTAATAACTTAAGAGACCATGTCTACATATACTGTGAAGTTAGTGTCCAAATCTGGCTGATTCTTGGACCCAGAAAGAGATTGCAGCTTAGAGAATTAGTTGCAAATACGGAAGCATCATTTACCGGCCATTTCAAAATCAATAGATACCTCGTGGCGGTTAAGAAGGTGTTCCAACGTCGACTATCGTTCATGTCCACCGTAAGGATGGACAAAGCGGAAGTAAGCGGGTGGGTATCGTGGTTTAGACCTACTGGTAATGAGGAGTTTTAACCAATTGGTACGTTAAGATTGGTATTTGCAAGAAATTAAAATAAATAGGTAAGTGGTAACACTTACCCAAGTATTGGACCCGAAAGGGAACAAAGGGGTTTTTTTTCTAGGACTTATATAGTTGCATATAATAATTGATTTCCTCCAAGGTTTAAAAAAAAAAAAAAAACATCGACTACCCTGCCCTTCCATCAGAAGGTTGGATACTGAAGGGAATGAATATAGTGGCTTAAAGCTAGTGTGGGAGTTTTAACCAATTGTTAGGTTAAGGTTTGTACTTGAAAAGAGGTTAGTTAAGTGGCAACACTTCCCCAGGTATTGGACCCGAAGGGAGCAGAGGCTTATATGGTAGTATAATAATAAATTTCCTCCATGGTTTATTTAAAAAATATTGACTTTAGCTCGATTTCTGAATCAAATTTTTGTTTTGCTCGGCAACGAAGATAAAAAAAGTGGATCCGCTCCTACGGAAGACTTTTCAGTTGGTTGGCAATTAAACCAGTCCTGAAAACTACTGAAGAGATATTACCTGGTCACGGGAATAATAAATACCTGGGTTGTAACTGTCATACGAACGCACATCTTTCTGTATCTCAAACTGGAGTAGAATCTAGAATACAATATTATAAATGAATATTTCGGTCAAAAAGTCTAGGAGTCTAAGAGGGAGAAGAAGATGTGATATCAGTGCATAAGTATTTGCAGTTATTAATTAAATATCACCATTTGGCAAATTATATATTAATTCTCATTTTGGATGTTGAAGGAAAATATATATAGAGAAAAAACGAAACATATCATACCAAATAACTAGACCATGTCAGATATCAAATCACCAAGAACCATTTCCAGGTTCCAAGCCAAAATTGACAGTGTTGCTTAATATGTGCTTATGGGCTAATTTGCGAAAATTTGGCGCATAAGTCAGCACACAATTCACCATTTCAGTTTACGAAGCATCAATTAATTCCAGATTTAAGATGATCGTCTAGACAAAAACAAGCCTGATATTGTATGTACTCACGATTGAATCGTCAAGTGCCGTAATTCGCAATTATCACGAGCCCTAAACATTAAAATCTAACCCTTCGCGTGTTTGTTGGTATCCAAATATAGTTATGAGTCCTTTTCAAGCAAGTCTACATCCAAAAATAAAATGGTTTATCAAAAGTAACACACTGCCTCGAAGATGCCAGCGTTAACTATTTCATCTAAAGTAAGCTGTTCTAGTCGTAGATTGAATTTTATTTTACAAGATGATAGAGCATATAGTTGCATGAATTTAAATCCTAGAGTGGAGATCAGGTGATTCTGATTGAAATCTATTAAGGAGGTTTGAAATTTAGATCCCAGAAGCATGTTGAGAACTTTTAAAATGATTCAGCTACTAACTCGTACTAGAATTATAGATTCTATGGTTAATGCATTGGATAATTGTTCAGCGCTATGAACGATGTGACAGTTTCCTAGTTGAGAAGTATTTTCATCGAGGCTATGAGAACTTGAACGACGCACCCCTGCTAGTAAAAGTTTGACACAAAAACCTTTTTCCTAATCTGGCGATTGTTGCAATTCGATGTGCATTCCCTATTGTTGAGGTGCATATACCTGGAAAAGAAAATTTCGGATGACATCTAATGTGCAAGTTATTCACTTTTTATGGAGCAATAACAACATTATCCGGGCAAATCTGGATCCGTGTAAATCGACGAGCAGCTTTGTCATTCATTTCTCATGCATCGTCAACATATGGGAAATAAACTTGAATTAGTTATTAAAGCGGTAAATTTCGTCTTTTTCATATGTTTTTCATGTTAACAATTTTGTATATCTTTACTAACTAGCTTTTTACTTTCCATTATGAAGTCTACAGTATTTTTAACAATCATAAGTGCATTAACACTAGTAAATTGTGCCACTGTTCCCGAATCGCCCTGGACAGCACTTACACCTACTGCGAGCCTTGACCCATCTGTCAAAGCATTGTCGAGTTTTGATGGTTCTTTTGCCCTCGCAGTCGTCACTCTATCTGCAAACGGTGTTAACGCAACTACTACAGGTGTTATAAAAAGAGAAGCAGCAACACAGATTGCCGATGGCCAACTTCAGCAGCTCACAGAGACTGAAGGAAATGTACCTATTGCTACAACACTTGGTCAACAAGATGCAGAGTCCATCCAAGGACTCATTCAACAATTGTCTTCCCCGCAACTGAATCAAGAGAACCTTCTTACACAAATTGGTGACGGTCAACTTCAACAAAGTTCAGGTAGTGTTCCAACTGAAATACCAACACCTACAACCGATTCGCTTCTCGCTCAAATCAGTGATGGTCAACCTCAGGAACAGTCTATAGTTGCTCCTTTACTCCAAACAGCTTCAGTCCTTGGGCAAATCAGTGATGGACAAGTACAACAACAAACCACTGCGTCTCTTCTTGCTCAAATTGGAGATGGACAAATCCAGCAGCAAACCACTGCCGATGTTCTAGCACAGATAAGTGATGGTCAAGTCCAACAGCAAACTGTAAAGCCTTCTAGTGCTTCAGTATTAGCTCAGATTACAGATGGCCAAGTCCAACAGCAAACGACAGTTGCCCCAGCTCCTACTGATTCTGTTTTGGCGAATATTTCAGATGTGCAAATCCAGCAGACAGCCACTGCTGCAGCCATAGTCAATTTTGGACAACTTTCTGATGGGCAAATTCAAGACCAATCAACTGCAGCTGGTTTAAGTCAGATACCAGACGGACAACTTCAAGACCTCTCAACTGCTCCTGGATTAAATCAGATTTCAGACGGTCAATTTCAACAGACTACTTCAGCTGAAATTCAATCAGCTCAGATTACTGATGGACAAATTCAAGCGACAGCATCTGCTTCATTTGATAGTTCTGGATTTGGACAAACTTGTGCAGCTCCAAACTCATTACAAGTTCATTTGAATAATGGTGTATTGACCGATAGCCAAGGGAGAATTGGAGCTATTGTCGCAAACCGCCAATTTCAGTTTGATGGACCACCACCACAATCAGGCACTATTTATGCTGGTGGCTGGTCAATCGTTCCTTTAGATTTCCAAGATGGCTCCACATCTACGACCGGTGGCCAGTACGGTAAATTGGCTCTTGGCCAACAAACAACTTTTTATAGATGTTTATCCGGTGACTTCTACAATTTATACGATCAAAGCATAGGAGGACAATGCTCTGAGGTCGAATTTACTGTATTGAAGATTGTTTCATGTTGATACCCATTAATACACGCGCATGACAGTTCCAACTCTACTTTGTTTCTTAGATATTTTAGTTATATACTCTCTAAATTATAACAGACCCCATTTTATATATTTCGCTTCCAATATACTGAAGTATAATACGAGCGATGCATAAGAATGAATCTATCTAGCGCGTGTATGCAATGCTCTGACTAAGTTATCGGATTTCTTTACGAGACAATTACGAGACAAGTACAAATATAGACCCAATTTCAGTTTTCGTGACGTCGGTGAAGTGTTCGACCGAGGCACTTTTTCAATCCACTGTTCCTCTTGTCTGCTTATTCTTGTTTTCCTACGAATCTACTAGGGAATGACCATCTTAATGTCTTCAAACATCCTTTTTCAATGCAGTATCTTCCACTTTGGTATCTTCGAAGGGATGCTCTCCCCAATGTCGTATTGTTTAATTCATACATTCCTCGACATCTGGTCTATGTGAACTTCAGGCGTTAATTGATTTTCTATTCTCCCACACGTCCTGTATAACTTTCCACCCTTCATCCGATCACTTCTAAAACTTGCACCAAACGTCGAGATTTTCTCGTTCTTATTTTGTCTACCGGTCATTAGGCTCTTTTGATCACAAAAACGTAATTTGCCCAAATTCATATGAATAAACTCTTTCAAGAAACGATGCCATGTCATCCTTTCAATCAGTTTATAGTCGGAAAAGTACCACATACCTGGATCTCCACTAGAGGCGTCCACAAAGGCTGGAACTTTCTCTGAGAGCTTGTAGTTCACGCTTGAAATAACGTAACTTGAGTAGGACATGATCTATAGTAATGGTATGAATGAACTGATGATTTCCTGTATTATTATTCCTCCTAATGTTCCCTTGTAAGGTTCAATTGGAAAATTGCTCAGCATTTTTCAAGGCTCTCATCTATTTTTCAACTTTTCCTTATTAGCAGACTCAATATGCAACTGTCTATATTCGTTTTATATATATGTCCTACCTTGTTGATTTATGGAGGGTGTAGGATGTTGTATATTGAGTTGAGTGGGGCAATATGGGATAGGATTTAGTGTCGTACAGGGGCTATAAAAAAGAATCTTTATAGGATGCAATAAGCTGATTGTGCTCGAAGCAGATACTGAAATGTCCAATGTACACTTTCTGTTAAAGTAAGGAGCAAGCCCTCCAATAAATGAGGTCTGGAAGAAATTTGCAGCAAATTCTGCCGCTCGAGGCTATAAATTTAGATTGATTCTCGGTTGGATAATTGATTGTGTTGAAGAAATGTGGAATGAATACAAGGTATTAAAAGAGTATTAAATTTGTTAAGTTTTACAGTAAATCAATCATCTACAATGACGCTAAATCATTTAGAATATAAAAAATAACTTATAAGCGTGCAGCCCTGTACAATTTCTAACATAACTTTGTTTGAATCGGATACACTAAATTATTGTACAAAACTATAAAAAATTCTCGTTAAAACCTCCTATTGTTATATTTTCTATATTACCCAATGTATGACCTCCCCGTCGACATATTACATTGCTGTACATTGATTACAAATACTTCAACGTTGCTCGACCATCATATATCTCAATACCTAGGATCAACATGTCACGTGAGCCCACACGTGCCTTTTAGTATTACTACAGCTGTTGTTACACCAGTAAAAACAAAACATCAATAACGGGCTCTTTGGCCGAGTGGTTAAGGCGGTAGACTCAAGTTCTACTATCGTAAAGATGCAGGCGTTCGAACCGCCTAGGAGTCATTATTTTTTTTTTGGAAGTTTGCGACAATTTTGTATTCACAGTTTTAAAATTGATATATAATACTATAAAAGATTGGGTTTATCAGAAAACTGATATAAAGATGGATCTCTATCCGATATCTGACGGATTTGGTCATGCTGTTGTGATATTATCCCAAAACGAATTATTTGTCTCGAAATATTGGAATGCAAATTTTCTAAAGCTTCTACTTGTGTGTTGAGAAGACCGAGCTTCGAAGTTAATATGCTTGGTGTGTAGTCAATTGAATCCTTTGTCGAGTAAGTTTGCTCTATTTTATGGGCCAATTGTGAGGTTAAATTTTGAATTTGGATGAATTTCATGCTATCTTGTTCGGGGCATGTCTGATTCTTTTGCAAGTAGTTAACAATTTTTTGAACTTTATCGGACAATTGGTCCAAGGATTTCGAAGTCGTTGTACAATGATCACCCACCTTTTGTTGAATCACATTTCGAGTTATTGGTTCTGCCAGTAAAGCATCCCCATTAGAGTATTTCGAATGATTTGAGATTGTAGAATTGACAATTTCCTCTGATTCGGTAGGTCTCACGCTGGTGCTGAGTGGTTGCGTTAAAATTTCCCCCTTGATAATATTGTGACTTTTAAATTCATGTTGTCCATCATAAAACAAAATCACCAAATTATCATCCTGTTCAAGGAATGATACTACCTGTTGAACTACAGACACTGTTGAAGAAAGTGGCGACAAGGTATCTAGTTCATAGATACCAACCAATTCGTATTGGGGGAAGACTGTGCGAAACTGATCAAGACGTGTCTTAAGATATGATACATCCACAATTAAATTATCTAGCACGATTTCAAATGACGTATACACATTGATTGTGCCGTTAGACACATTTCTCTCCCCTAAAAGTATTCCAAATTTATTCTTATTCCTAAATATCACATCTGCAAAGTTGAAAAGGGCTACAGAATTAATCACCACGGTATCCATAGTGTTTATCGTACATAACAACAAAAGCTTCTTATTCCAATTCAAGATTCTCGCCTTTATCCACAATGTACACAATCCTCAATCGCAACATCCAGACACCACACCAAAAGTGCGGCTTTCTTTTCTTTTGGAAAAAAAATCAAAAAAAAAAAAAAAAAAGAGAGAATGAGGAAAAAACTAAAAAAGTGGTTTTAAGAAGAGATAAGTAAAAAGGTATTTGCAATTATTAAAGGAAATAGTCGTGATGATGGTATCAGTACAGGAACCGCTTTCTCGAAAGCGCCAGCTTGTAGAGGCCTCCTCAGGCGACACTAAGAGAATTCGCAATGAACTAAATGCAGATGAATCGAACGATTCTTTCTCTGAGAAGATGTATCTGGCTTACGTGAAGTCTGCTTTGGATTCTTTAGATATGGTATGTATTTATTGCATGTTTCAAGATAAGAGAAGAAGTTGGAGAATCAATCTGTTCCATTCCCTCTGTCTATTTGCCAAGTTTGTCTACGTCATGGTGATAGATCCTATCCTTTTCATATCCATCCCAAATCCCCTCCTCATCCCTTGCGATGGCACCTCCAAATTCCATACTAACAATTTTTTTTAGAATGAAACGTTACAAATAGACACCCTTGCATCGAAAATAAGACTTCCTAGAACTCACAGGGAAGCCATTTCTATCCCTAACTTCAATATCACTCTCAAAATGTTAATTTCCAATATTTCAAAACTTGACAATAAAGCGTGTAATAGTCTTATTATGTCTGTTTTGGAGTATAAGTGGTTAAAAGTAAGTGCCAATGAGCAAGCCGACGAGTCTATGAGCGAGGACCATGTTGTGGTTTCTAAGGAACATGAGGCTATATTTATAGACTTGTATTCACATTTCTTGTCGATTTTAGTGTCATCCCTACCAAAGTATTTACATGATGTCACCACAAAATTGATAACAGAATTTGTTGTGGTCGATGCCCAAAACTTGGTGGGTGGGAACCAAAGACATCACAACATTCTCAATAGAATCATCAAGTTTATCCCTACTTCTGTAAACTCACTCCCAGGGGCTTTGCAGAAAAACTTTCCTCATCACTTAGCATCAAGTACTAGTGCACTTACAAACTATGTAAGCAATCTTTTACAAATCCTCACATACTGTCCAGAACTTCAATATGATATTTGGCAAATGGTTATTGAATGTTGCATCAAATTGGATGTTGAATTGCAAAATGAATTGGATGATTTGGACGATGAAGAAATTGAAGAATTAATCAATGGTAATGATGATGAAGATGACGAAGTACTTATAAACCAACTTTCTGGTGACGAAGACGAAGGAGAAGAAGATGAAGACAAGGATGGTGACGATGGCTCAGACTCTGAAGATGAAGGTCCAGAGGGAGAAGTGGAGTATCTCATGGAAAATTTGCATTCTACATCTAGCATTAAAAAAATTCTGATTAAACTAGACTCCATCATTACTTTACTACTTCGTACAACCGAGTCATCATTTACAGTCGAGGAATTGAATGATGGAAATGGTGTATACTTATTTAACACACTTACATCATTATTCAAAACTCATATATTACCTACGCATTTTACAAAGCTGATTCAGTTCACACTTTTTCATATATCACAGTACCAACCCGAATTGGCTGATTCATTTTTGGTATTACTCATAGACGTTGCATTCAACACCAGTGAAATTCTTGAAAAAAGACTCAAGGCAATGCAATATCTCTCATCATATATCGCTAGAGCGAAAAATCTTTCAAGACATCAAATTGTGTTTGTTGTGAGCTACTTAATCGGATGGTTAAATAAATACGTTATTGAACGAGAATGTGAAGTATTTGATAGAGAAAGTGATAACAAGGGTCGCGCATCCGCATCTAATCCAACTAAGGGTTCTAACGGTGGTATGGAAAGATTCAAATTATTTTATGCTGCTTTCCAAGCATTATTGTACATTTTCTGTTTTAGATATAAAATGTTGTACAAGATCCCAGACTCCTCATCCACACAATCAGATTCTGAATGGGAATGTGAATTGGATAAGTTTTTCCAAAGAGCAATGATTGCTAAGTTCAATCCGCTTAAATTTTGTGACGAAACTGTCGTTTATATTTTTGCAAAGATTGCAACCAAGTTAAACGTATGTTATTGTTACTCTATCATTGAGCACAATAAGAGGGAAAGAATGTTACAAACAAATGGTTCATCTTCATTACCTTCTGCAGTAAGTAACTTCAAACAAAAGCAAGAGTTTTTGGACTTGGAAGCATACTTTCCCTTCGATCCAATAGTATTACCTACAAGTAAGAAAATCATAAGTCAAAACTATGTCGAATGGGCAGATGTGAACCCTAGTAACGAAGATGATGACGAGGGTGAAGATAGCGGTAGTCACCAAGATATGGATAGTGATGATGAGGAAATTACAAGTGATGAAGATCTTTAGATCGATATATAGACAATCAATAATATACTTTTCTTAAATTCTTAAGCATGTAGTTGCTAACTATTCGGTAACAGATAAAAAAAGAAATCTTCACAGCAGCTAAAAAAATATGATTCCATCGAGGATCGAACTCGAGACCTTTTCTGAGTGAGAGAAACGTCATACCGCTAGACCATAGAACCATTTTCAAAATCTTCTAAATTTTTTGATCGTTAAGCATTCACGTGCCAATATGGAGCTGTAAGTGTTCTCTCTCCTTGTTCACCTTATCTAGTAAGTGCTGTAAATAAGGGTGTATAAGAAATAAATGAATCAGTTGTTTCAGTATTTATTTGATTTATAGTTTTGCCAGCTTCGAGTGTATGGGAAAAGACAATCCATATCAAAAATATTATCTTCGCATAAGCGGAATTGCTCAATTCTGGAAGATAAATCACATCACTTGGAGCACACCGGTTTATCAAAAAATCAGCAAGTCACACAACAAATCACTTCAGTATCTAATAAGTGTATGGTAACTATCGTTTGAAAATAGCTGCTTTTTTGAATAATACTTTAGGTTTTGAAAATATATATATGTACGTATAGTTTCGTTCCATTCAAGAAAAAACCCCTCCATGAATATTTTGAACTAAATACAGTGGACATAAAGGGAAAGAGGAATTTTTAATACGCTATTTTATGAGTTCTTCGTAAGATTCTTGAAACTTTACTACTCTCGCTAGTTTTCTACCTTAATATAGTTTAGGAAATTGTTTTTTGCAGCCATCAACATCTTAAACGCAGAGGATCAATACAAGTCAAGGCGCGAGTTCTCAAATTCATTATGAACGTCACAAAGTTAGTTCACTCAGAGAAATATCTAGTACTACTTTACTTCAAATGAGAGTCTATATTAAATACTATGCATTTCTACTAGTCTTGATATGATTAGCTTATAGTCTGCAACGTACAAAGAGCAAGTAAAATCATCTTCATGTTGCTGGGGGTGGAGGAGGATATTCCGGCTCATCTTTGCAAATTGTACAGACACCATGACTGGTACTACCAACAGGAACAGCCCCATTATATGTTATTACACCATTAAGCGGAGATAATCCTACTCCAGGACCAAGGTCAGCTTGTGTAATTTCAAAAAGACTTTTATCATATCCCTTTCCAATTGTTATGTTTATAATATAACTAGCAGCAGTAAGGGTCAAAACTCCGGTGTTCGTACCGTAAGCAAATTTTGTGATTGGGAACGTTAAAGAGATCATATTGCCTCCTCCAAAACCTGCGACTAAATACTTTTCAGTCTGGCCCTGACCCCCCAACAGCAAAGTAGACGTAGGCGTCGAGAGGTAAAGTGTTTGCTTTGGATTAAATGGTTGTTTATACAAATTGTACTGAAAATTGGAGTTTACACCAATATCAATACAGCCAGAACCAATAATCACAGATGTAGCCTTCCATCTATTGTTTCTTAAACAAATCTGACCATCATTTACTATCTGTGGGGGAGAATTTCCAAATATAACACTATTGGGCTGTCTAGCATCACTGTACATATATATGGAACCACCAAGGTAATTTGTCCAAGGGTTGCACCAAATGGAAAATGATACGCTAGGCAGTCTGTCAGATATGAAGTATAAGTCACCTAAGTTATTAAATGATTGGGGACGGAGATCAAAGAGAGCAGATGCAAGCAGTGCTTTGAAATATACTAAACCAAAATTGTAGAATGGACCATTAACTTGACGAATCCTTAACGTTTTATTTGGCAAGCCAAAGTAGATATAAAATTGGCCCTGAACATTGATAGGGTACAAAAAGTCTGGCAGTTCCCAGTTGAAAATTGACCAATAGTATCCCCGCTTAACGTTGATAATTTTGTCAGTGATCGAAACTGGGCCATTTGTTACTGTGTCCTTAGTAATAATTTGAGCATTGACCTTCAGCCATATCACTGCAATAGTGACTAAAGCCCCATATATCGACCATAAATGCATGCTGGAACGTATGATTATGGCACGGATAAATGATTAAGACAGAATATATGCCAGAATGCAATTTGAACTATTTATATTTTTGATGAGGACTGTTGTTCGGCCATTATTTTGCAACAGTGTACACCATCACACTCCCCGAATTAATTTGATTTACCGCTTTGCATTAACTTTACACTTTACCACATGTGTTGTGTCCTGGAATATTTAATATTAACTTATTATTTAAAATCCACATCATCACATATAAATGGAGTATATCGAGGACCCCTTCAGAAAACCGACGCTCATAAAGGATCTTGTACAACATCGAAAACTGAGTGGTTTTAAATGCTGTCTGTACGTAGATAAAAATAAAGAATGATTCTTGAACTATATTACGTTGAACGGGCAGATATGTCATGCTATACTATTTGACCGGCAATTTGGGAAATGTGCATCCAATGTACTCAGCTTAAGAGATGGTAATTATGCACAATTGCGTGCATGTGCATATTTGTGCATGAGATTCTCAGATTTATGGGTGTATGGGAATCGCATTCAAGATGGATTTGGCTCATTTCGCTGCTAAAGAGAATTTGAATATGAAACTTCCTCTTCCGGTGTTAAACCACTATCTTTTTTAAGTCTTAAAAACCATCAGAGTTAATTATTAAAGTTTTCTACAATAGAGTCTCAGATTCTTCTGCAGATTCGACTTCGGAAATTACACCAAAACATGTATAGAGTACAGACATTTCATGTCTTGATTTTAATATAAGCTGTAAAATGCACACATACCATATGTGGGGCAATAAATATAAGAGGCTTTCAGGATTGATACAAGGCTTATGGTTTGATGGATAATCTCAGATTTGTGCCAAAGTAACTGTGCCAAGAATCTCTCGAAGAGAAAAAACAAACATCACAGGGTGAGAATGAAATGTTCCGGATCTCTTATGGTTCAATTGAATCACTTGTGGCGTAGAGGATATTTCAATCATGAAGGTCTTAGTATAGTGTATTTCCATTGAAGTAGGATTAAATGTCTTTCAGGTGAATTGTGGATACTTACATTCCTCGTTAAAAACGAGCGAGAGTCTTGTTTTTGTCAAGAGAAGTATGAAAAAGTAGCCTACTTACGGAGAATTTTCATGAAACATTTCACCTATAAAATTATTTACAAAATTTAAATTTCTATTTACAAGGATCAAATCAGGCAAAGAAAAGAGGACGAGCCGAGTCACAAAATCATGGAATTACAATGGGAGAGACTATTTGGATATTCAAATCGACACTTGTTTCTTCTTCAAGTTGACTTGAAAGAAAAGGGGCATAATGCGGCGGTTTACAATATTACACACAAGTTGAAATAAGGGAGACTTGAGCTGGAGGGACTACCAGATATTAGACACTCAAGCCTCTACTGAATGAAAATATATTAGGGTCCATCTTACTAACAACTACAATAATTATAACTGAAACATTGTGTAACACTCGGACTTATCGGTCAATTAGTAAGATTTTGCAACTATTTAATTATATCTTACATATTTGTATATGAATTCTGCATGATATTTACACAAAGGGAGTGAAAGTAATGGATTTTAGATGCTTAAAGCTTGACTTCACTATATGTACGATTTATAACCGATAATCCCGAGAATGCTTAGATATTAGAGCACGATGAATATAATTATAAAAGGGAACCCTTACTGGTGTGCAGAATCATCCACGGTTCCATAGAACTTCAATTCAAAATGAGTACAAATACTGCTGCCATTGCTACTGGCTCAACAGATAAGAATTTGACCACTATAGCTAATGTAGCCATCCCAATTGTTCCAAAAGATGGCCTTCTTGTAAAAGGTGTTGCATACGCAACAAATCCAACTGATTGGAAGCATTTGGTTTACAAGATGGGAGGAAAAGGAGTCAGATTGGGTTCCGATGCCGCTGGTATAGTCGAAGAAGTTGGTTCCAATGTCCAAGATTTTAAAAAGGGGGATTATGTTTCAACTTTCATGCGTGGCAATATCAATGACAATAACGGTGCATTCCTGGATTACTTCATAGCTGAACCAAACACTACTATCAAGTACAACAAGCAATCCTTCAACAACGAGGCTCTCAAAGTTGGAAAATCTCCTTCCGATAAACTTAACACATTTGAAGGTGCTGCCTCTGTTACTCTTGGCCTTGCAACAATCGGTGTTTCATTAGGTCATCACCTTGCTATTCCTACTGACAAGTCTGTCAATGCCGGAAAATTTATCTTGATCTGGGGTGGTGCCACAGCAACAGGTTTCCTTGCGATTCAAGTAGCTAAGCTTGTTTACGGATTGAAGGTTATTACAACTGCTTCCAAGAAACATAATGAGTCTTTGAGTCTGATCGGAGCTGATTACGTTTTTGATTATAACGATGCTGAAGTTGTTAATCAAATTAAGAAAGTTGGTGGTTCTAACATTAAATATGGATTAGATTGTGTTTCTAACCAAGAAACATTCCAAGCATTATACGACGCTACGTCAGAGACTTCCGAGGTTAACCTTGACAACTTATTGTGCTTGGGTGCAAAAGATATTAAAACTGACCCTAGCAGAAAGGTTAAGTATGGTGATACAATGGTTTACGTTGTTGATGGAAATGACACCCAATTTGCCGGCATTCCAGTTAAATCATCTCCAGAGTTAGTCCTGGACTACAGGAAGTTCTGGAAGAACTTATTACCTCCTGTTATGGACCAAATCGTGAGTACAAAATTGAGAGTGTTGAAGCCTGGATTTGAGTCTGTCGAGGAAGCATTCTCTTTGTTAAGAGAGAATAAGGTTTCCTGTGAAAAGATTGTTTTTAGAAGTTAGAGTAGTTTTGTTTGTAAAATAGACGCATTAAGAATACTTCACAACGTACTATGTTCAAACATTTTGGATGGGAAGCACCGATTTAGGTCTAAAATGGTGTGATTCATATCTACACCAAGAGATTTTGAGGTTATAAAGATATTAGAGAAGATATCTTTGCGCCATGATTGGGTACAAAAATGAGTCAATCAAAATACCTTCTATCTTGTACCTATATGGACAATTTGATAAAACTTTAAAGTCAATTAGCCTGGGAACTGAAGACGACTTCAGTATTAAATGACTAGATAAATACTACAGCGAAATGGCAAGAATGACATACAATAATACAATTAGTATGAACTACTGCAACATTATCGACTGCAATTTGTTTGTACTTATTAATAGTCAAATTTTAAGAACAGATGCAACAATTATCAGGACAAATAAATATTACCAAGGCAGAATGGATGAATTCATTATACATGAACCCACTACAACATGACGAAATTAACAAAACCGGATCAGAATAAATCTTGTCAGAGTTTAAGCATTCAATGCAGCAGAATACCCAACTCCATCTGAAAGGACATTAGTGAACCTGTTTTATACATTGTTATGACACCAATATAAATGTACGACCGCGAATGAAGCCCAACAATGGTTCAATGAGCTTGTTGACTCAAAAACAAGGAGTAGCGTGAATTGGGAAGATGTATATCTTCGGTTCATGGCAAGATTTAGCCCATACTAACTGATAGGTAACATTTTTTATTTTAATATTTTACTTAAATCACGTGCACCGGAAGTATATCCTTATTTGGATACAAATTGGATTTGCACCCGGAGAGATTCGGATAGAGTTTTAAGGAAGGCAAATTATCCCCTACGATTTAGATATTTACTCTTGGAATTTTCCAAATGACGTCAATCCATCCTTGCCTCTATACCAAAAACGTTTCAAGCCCACCAATTTGAAGGACAATAAGTTCTGCAAGTATGCAATTGATATTTTAGAGGTTTTGGACAATATGGAGAATTCCGCAATCTGAAACTTTGTGGAGAATAGCGGAGTTGTACTTTTATTTATTATTATTTTTTTTTTTGCTCATTTTTCAAATTGATTTTGAGAAATTCAAACGTAAAAAAGAGGAAAGAAAAGAAAAAAAAAGTGCAAAGGAGGCCGAAAGGAAGGAGAAAAACCACATTCAATGGGTCACTGAAATTATTATTTAAACAATATTCGAAGCTAAAATTGTAGTACTTGGCAACATCCATCTGAAACATGGGGTTTGTCCGTCGATAGAATACCCGTTCATTTTCCATCGCAAACTCTATCCATGTCAATCGCCCCCCACGTTCCGTCACTCTTATCAGATTTACGTTGTATATACAATAGTAATTTTTTTTTTGTTTAAGAAGAATGTTTTTTTAATTGTTGACTCGGAGCTTTCCGTTTTCTAAGTCAAAATTGTAGGGTGTATAATGCGAAGTCATTTTTTCTAAAGTTGTTCGGTCAAAAGAAAGACTGACTGTGCGCGACTCACCAATTTCAGGGATTACACAAAACCAAAAGGTAGTGCTCCGAAACTAACGGAAGGTTATCCCCATATAGATACTTTAAAACCCAAGCATACAAAGTGTACAGTAGGACACTTGGATCTAGTGACGGTAATAAACACACTACTGGCGAGAAATACTGCGCACTACAGACTCCTGGGACTTCTTACAAACTCACAAACAATAACTTGAGCTGTTGGAGAAAAGCACCAGAGTTTTATTAAATTCAACACTGAACACACTCTGGAGGACTTATATTAAAAAGGAGGACCATAAAACCAATAATCAACCCAGGAACTCAAGGGGGAACTATTTGCTGTGCACCACGAACAATTTGGGGCACATTTTTCTCACTTGGTCGTGAATTGAATTGGACGTATACGAGATGAGTGGCACACAAGTATCCGGTGAGGTATTTACTGGTGGCGCTACCACTTCACAGCATGTAGAGGCCGAAGATGAAGATCATTTTGAAAATACCACCTTCAAGCTCAAAAGAACGAGGTCGATGGGTCTTTTGGATGAATTCATCCAACCAACGACTCCAGCAAATGAAAGTCAACCACTGACGGCACCGCCCAGTGTTGGTCCGGACTTTGAGCATGTTGAAGATCAACACATGGAGCCATTGCCCAAAAATCTTACCTTGGATACGTCTGAGGTACCCGAACAACCGGTACGAACACACACTCCAACATCACCAATACTTTTGAAGAGTCCTGAAATGATCCCTCATGATGACACAGATATTCAAGAAGAACCATCAAGACACGTTGATTACCTCTCGCATAAGTGGGATGTGTCCGACATTTCTAAATCCTGGAGATATGTCATTCAAAAGAGACGTGACGTGGCGGATTCTGCTAGACTTGAAAATGCCAGTTGGAGAACATGGGCGCAAAGAAGGTCCAATTTGAAGACAATTTCTCCCGAGGCAGTGAATTGGTCGAAAGAAAGTGATGTTACTTGGCTTTATGGACCAATTTTGAAAGATGAAGAAAATGTTGTTCATTCAGATGCTGATGACATTTCTCAACATAAACTTAGCACCACTGCAACAAGTTCTGTAGCTGGAGATATATCACTCCCCATTAAGACTCGTTCTGCTAAGAATGGTCCCAAGCCAATCTTGAAACGAAGAACAGTAGAAGATATGATGATTAGTCATTCTAACTTGTTGAAATTACAATTGGCAGAAAATCGATTGATCCAACATAAAAAGCAAGAAGAACAAAAACAGCAACGTAAACAAGAGGAAAGACATCATCAGAGAAAACTTTCCGATAATGAACCACCAGAGTTTGATGATTATGATGCTATCTCAGCAAAATTGAATTCCCAGTACACAACTTCTCGTAATAGTCTGACAACAAGTTTGAAGAACTTGAAGAATGAAACTAAGGAATTGGGCAATTCCATGGGTGGCGTCACATTGACATCCCCAAATAATGCTGTAGATGTAACGTCTGCCAAAGGGGATGAAACAAAGGAAGCAACTAATTCAAACTCCGACCCTACATCTATTGCAACTACAGACATGGAGCAATCGGATAGCGTGTCAAGTGCGGAAAGTAAAAAAGATAGACACATTCATTTTAACGACGAAGTGCAACAATGCATCGCAGTTTATGAGTTTTCGGACGAAGATGACGACGAAGACTACTACGATGATGATTCTGACGACTATGCATATGATGATAGAGAAGATTACATATATGAGGACCATGATAATGAAGGTAGAACAGAAGATTATGAGGATGAAGAGGACGAAGATGAAGATGATGATGAAGGTGGGTTCTTTTTGAAAGTTAGATCCCCATCTTCTGCAAGCTTACATGCTTCATCACTTCCCGGGTTTACCATGCCACTTGTCCCACTGAAAGATGAGGGAACTCAGGGCTTGAATGACCTTAACGATGATGCCCATTCTATGAGTTCCACTGCAAGTAAGTATAGGACTATTCAATTATTGCCATCCACCACTCTTAACCACGGTTCATCAGATGAAGAAAGTGATGATGAGAATCCATACACTTCAAGTTTGAGTCACAATGTGAACAATAATAGTAGTAGAGGATATGATTATCATTACGATTATAACACAGTATATACAGTTGATCCTAACCATTCGATATATGGCAGTAAGGCTCCAAACCAGGAAACTCCAGACGTGGTTGATGTACCGGAAAACATAACGTTGGGATCTAATTTTGACTATAAAGATATAGAAAATGAAGAATTCCGCGGGAAGGATGGAGGTGAATATCACAGTTCTATGCCTATAATCGACCCGGTTCTTATTACGAATAATAATGTGAACTATGGTAACGATCAACTACAACTACAACATCAAGTTGGTGACTTTTCATCATCATTGCCAAAGAATAAGAAAAGTCCATTTGACTTTAATGATTCTGATTCTGACTCTGATTCAGATAGTGATGAAGGTGGCTTATCTATTGGGACCAGAACATCTAGCCATTCGTTGGCTCAACTGGTTTTTGGTAGTGGTAACATTCCTGCGGCAGCTCCCGTGTACGAGCCCATGAGTGTTCCTACTGGAGGATCTGCAGGTTCCGGGTTCTTCAAACAACCCTCTTCTTCGAATTCACTTTCTTCACAGTTTTTTGGGTCTGGTATGACAAAGCAAAAGGGTTCTTCTAGTGCACTCTCTGAACAGTTTTTCAACGCCAAGAAGGATACAGCAAAGGAAAAACAACAACTGCCTCCTCAACACCACACACCCGCGCCAACTCAACGCAAAGCTTCCCCACTCCCACCTCATATCACGTCAGCTAATGCATTTCTGGGCAACATTACACCACCTCCACCCACGCATAACAATGAAGGGGGTACGTTCTTATTTGATTCAGATAGTGAATCTGAAGATGAATTCATAGAGGATACTTCAAATTATGATCGTAACAGTCCTTCCAACAACACACCAAGTTATACAACTTTGTCACAAGTGGCTGGGGAGAATGGCATTCGCAGTCCTTCACCAGATGTTAGTGGTGAATTGGGAACGAGTTCCGCACCAGTGAACATTAACCCCACCAATTCCAACAACCTTGTTGGTCAAGCCAAAGGATTTGCAAATCAACTATTAGGATCTTGGAAGGGTACTGAGAGGGATTCGTCACCAAAGCAATAATGATTAACCTTATGCATATTATGTGTGGTCTGGCTCAATATGGATTTATCATATGCCTGTGTTTAGACGGGGTGTATGGGTTAGAATGACCGAGTTTTCTTATATACAGTTTGAATCTTCTTTCATGAGGCGTCAAACTTATTTGTAGATAAAATAAAAGATACAGAACAAAATAGGGTCCCCAACATTGTAAAGCCCAAACATTTCTTGCTACGACTCGAACTTGTTACTTTTTTTTTTTAAAAATCCTATATTATTTTATTTAGGGAAGCCAAGTGTAAACCCGTATAATAATACCATATCTGATACACACCGAGATTGAGTGAGAGCAAACCATTGTTAGACTTTGAATTATTATTTATTTATTAATTTTTTTTTATAAGGCTGAGATAGCAATCGATTTACTAAGTGACTATACTTACTGATACAAATGAACATATTCTCAGTGATATCTAACCTAGTGTTGGCAGCCTTACTCCCGCTGTGCGCGGTTGACATTCTGTCGTCGCACAAGATTCCCAACCCTGATGATGGGAAATGCCAGCTTATCAGCACGTTTTCCTTGATCACGCAGGCATCTCTTGGGTTGTTATGTCTTTCATGTTTAATTGTCAAGAGATTCTATGAATACCCGTTACGTAGAACATGGCCAGTGTGGCTGTTTGACGTTCTGAAACAGCTTATTGGAGCAATGGGGCTTCATGTTTGCAATGTATTCTTATCGATCCTCAAAGGACAAAAGCAGACCAATGTGTTTGCAGACGACCCTACGAATGGAGGGGGAGCATCTGATGGTGAAGATCCTTGTGATTGGTACTTTTTGAACATTGTTTTCGATTGCACCATTGGTGTATTTGTATTGTATATCATTTTTGGATACGTTAACAAATTTTTGAAAGAAAAATTACACGTTACTCACATTGAATCAGGAGAATATGGACCAGATCCAAACAAACCTTCATTCAGAGCATATTTCAAGCAACTTGCGGTATACTTTGGGTCATTAATGGCCACAAAAGTGGTGTTGTACTACTTTATGGAACTATTTGCAGACCAATTGCTTTGGTTTACCAGTCATGTTTTACTCGTATGGCTTAATGAATATCCTGATGAGTTTGAGATCTTTGTTGTGATGTTTGTGGTTCCAATATTTATGAATTGTTTGCAATTAATATTAGTTGATACCATCATTCAAAACCAGTTATTGATCCAAACAAACACCAGATTACATCATGAACATTGTGATCATGTACCTGTCGACGAACATGACAGGTCTAAAGTTGGAGATACCTACGGAACCTTTGAGAATGAGGAAGTTTAGAGCCATAACTTTGATATTTAACGACATATAATAGAAATGATAAAGAGAGAGAATTGTAGGATAAAATTATATGTAGTGAGAGAATACTCCACCAGAAGGTGGGCTTTACCAGATGGACTCAGTTTAGTTGTTGTTGTTGTAGTAGTTGTTGTTAGAATATGTATATTTGATGAGATATATGGGAATTCACCTGATTTGATTTTGCCCATGTCTTTACTCAGGTGACTCTCCATAGATTTATCAAAGTAGACTCATCAGGGAAGTCATCTTCATACCTTGGACAATATATACCCCCAGAACATGGTATCAAAAAAACAACTTAGCTTACCAGACTGGTCCCGCCACAATTTTTGTATTCGATATTTCTGATGACAAATCCATTTCCCAGTCACCTTACAGTCTCTTAATTCATCTACTTTTATTATTCATATATATTTATTTACAGCATCGGATTTCTAATCTATGTACATGTATCGAAGCACTTAACGTGTTTCAAAACCAAATCCCTTCATGCAAACTTTGTACTTGGCAATCAAGTCGTCACATTTACCGCCTTCTTGACCATTGAAAAGTAAACACTCGTCTCTCAACTTCTTTTCATCCAAGCACACGCAACATGGCTTTGGCTTTTCGTTCTTAGCAGGAAGCTTGCACTCGGTTTCAGACATCTCTTCGTAATAGCTCGTGGGTGGGTGGGGGTGTTTATGTAGTGAGAACAAAGAACAATCCAGTGCTAAATCTGACAAGTTTGTCTTGGAATCCGCACGGAGTTCCTGCAGATGCAAATCAAGACAAAATAGAGAGAAATCACAAAGAGGTGGGCTTTGTGGCCACAAACCCATTCACGAGTTTAAAGATAAACGTAAATCATAGACACCCCCAACAATTGACTACAAGAATCCATTAGTTCAATGTCAGTAGAAACCGACGATGAGAGGCTGCGCGTGTCTATTGATAGCGTAAATCTAAACGACGATCTAGCGGCCGAATCTGAGATTTCTTCTTCTTCCATTTCGGTAGCGTCTACATCACGGCACCATGCTTCTTCCAAGAGACTTTCAAGCTCAGCGTTATCGTTCCGAAACAGCATTGATGCCGAGTCCAGCTTTCTGTCGTCGCCCTACTTCTATGCGACAAACTCGCACCTGGCGAACAATGCCAACCGGGAACAACAACAAATAATGCAAATACTCGAACAAGATACACTTTCTCCACTTGGGCCTAATGCAATCTATAAACTTACAGTTTCCTCGGACTTTGCGCGAACACAGAAGAACCGTGCCCCCAAGAGCCATGTCACAATCAATGGGGGAGAGACCACCGTGTACAACCTTCATACACCCACCACTAGTGCAATCCCACAAATTCATTTACTGGCGTTGACCCAAAGAGTTAAAAACAGCGAATTAAAGGAGAGGTATATTGATCATGACATAGATTCCGAATATAGACGATTTGATCTGCTGAATAATAAGTTAACAGAAGATATACTTCAGAAATTTACTTCAGAAATGACCGAACGGGAATCCCAACAACAGCACCCTACAATCCCAGAAATTTTCAGAGATCCTGACTTCCGTTTGGATGATCCACGTACGTTCAAGAAGGTTGTAGAAAATTCAACCATCCTTTCTCTGGATGAAAACCATCTTGAGGCAAGTGAGTACCTTGTAAACAACACACAGATCCAAGAGAAACTTTCTTCCTATCTTGACACAGTAGAGATCCAATTGGTACAAGAAATATCCCGTTCATCTAATTCATTTTTTAACACCTTGGACGCTATACAGGATATAGAACATCAATCAGGTTCATGCAATCATCGGTTTGATGATATCATCAATTCCCTTCAACTGATGGAAGACAACGAATGTACCAATGGATTAGAAATCTTGAACAAGATAAAGCTTCGTAAAAACGTTGATCGTTTGGAGGCCTCATTGATTCAAATTCAATGTATATTACAGAATTATGAGTTATGTCAAGAGAGTTACTCCAAGGGTGCATTCACCAAATGTCTTTCACAAATAGTCTTATTGGAGCATCTTAGTTGTGGCTCAGAGCGTGAAGATCTCCCCACGGATATTGATATCAGCACATATCCAAACAATTTGCAATTCCCATTAGTTGATTTGACGTCACTTCCCGCCCTTTTCGACTTGCATAATAATCTTCACAAATTGAAATTGGATTGTTCAAGAAGATATATTGGTATTTTTGTAGATACCTTGGCAGAAGATTTGAATGATCATTGCGCTAGTATTCCAGAACAAGAAACTTTGGATCGAATGGGAGGACTTAAAAGACCAAACAAATATCAAACAATCCCTGAAGAAACTAAAAATAAACTCAAGGAATTTGTTGTAAACTTGGTAAATTCAGGGCAACTTACACAGGCATATGCTGACTACCAAGAAAGGATCGTAACTGAAGTGAAAGATATTATTAAGGCTCATTTACCTAAGAGTGGAAATGCCGGGGCTAATCTGGTTGATATGTCCAATGCACCTTCAAGATCTTCTTCCGTACCCCCACCACAGGAGAATAGGGAAGGAGGGAATGGTTATTCTTTGGATTCACAAACTCAAACAAATCAAACTTCTCTTTCTACTAATCTTAAATCTATGTCTGCCACAGAGTTCGAAACTATGCTTACAACAATCTTTACGAACTTATCAGAATGCTTGAGACGTCTTACAGCGCACCAAAAGTTACTTCTTGATCTTGCCCTCACGGCAATTCCAATGACTGATAGCATTGATGTTATGGCACTTGATATCACTACAGCCATTAATAAAGCGATTGAGATTACTCAAGTTAGACTTGCCAAAATTATTAATGTTCGCCTGGAACAAATTGCAGACTTGAGCTTAGATTCATACCTCAAAATGTATGCTCTTTCATCGGCTTACCTTCAAGAATGCGAATTGATCAATCCAGGGTTTATTAGTAATGGAGGAGGAAGCACCTTTAATGATTGGGTACGCAACCACGTTGGCTATTTCATTCATCGGATGCATCTGAACTCATTGAAACTGCTTATTGCGGATTGTGATAAGGAAGTATGGAAAGAAGTACTGGATAGTGGTACATTACAGGAATCGCAACAGATTCTTGATGAAATCATTGGATACGCAGAGTTTGTTGAATCTCAAGGTAAAAGGGGGTTTTCTGGTCAACCTTGGTTGCAATGTATGAAGTTAGATTCAGAGAGTAAACCAGTCGAAACTCCCGTTATTCAAATTTCCAATTCCAGACTTACAATTGGCAACAAGCTGTTCTTGATTCCCACGTTAACAACAAAGGCTCTCAAACTGATTAGAAACTATATTATCTTGAGTAAACTATTCCCACACAGGAGTGCTACTATTGAAAACGATTTATTAAATTATTTCAAACTAATGAACTCGAGATCTTCACAGGCTATTCTTGGAGCAGGTGCTACTAGGACTGCTGGGTTGAAGCATATTTTCCCTAAACATATGGCATTATGTATTCAAATGGTCGGTATTAATATTGAAATTTTGGAAAACATCCAACATGCATTTATTAAAAACAATTCAGATGGACCAGTCAATGTTGGGCCTGATGAATTAACATTCTCACGTATTGCAAGTAATTATAGAGATCACGAGAATGAGATATTCAGCAAGTTAATTGCAATGATGTACGAGCGTACTGTGAACCATTGCAATACAGTGAAGACCATTGATTGGTCCGAACCTATCAAGCCACCACAACAATGTCACCAGTACATGGAAACACTTGTGAAAGATACAACTACAATAACCAAGGTTCTTGTAAAATATTTACCAGAACTTCAATGTTCCCTTATACTTCTGCAAGTGTTTGACAACTACAAAAAGCTTTTTGTTGAATGCTATTGTACCCAACTCCCTCAATTCAAAGATTTCAATGAAAAGCATACTTTGTTGAAAGATATTGACTACTTTAGAGTTAAACTTGGAGAGATTCCTGGATATGGAAACTCTGGCCAAGTTATTTGGGAGAATATTAATGCAATGCCAACCATTGAAGATGCGAAAATGGAGGAGATTATGAGAAGTAATATAGAAGGTGAGAGGAATGAGCAAAAGAAAAGCCAAGAATTAAAGGAAAGAAGGTCGATGGAAATTGTCTCTGAACCAGCACAAGAAGAACCTAAGGAAGAACCTAAGGAAGAACCTAAGGAAGAACCTAAAGAAGAACCTAAAGAAGAACCTAAGGAAGAACCTAAGGAAGAACCTAAGGAAGAACCTAAAGAAGAACCTAAAGAAGAACCTAAAGAAGAACCTAAAGAAGAACCTAAGGAAGAACCTAAAGAAGAACCTAAAGAAGAACCCAAAGAAGAACCAAAGGAAGAACCTAAGGAAGTACCGAAGGAAGAACTTGAAGAAGAACCCAAGGTAGCCAAGGAAGAACCCAAAGAAGAAGTCAAAGAAGAGGTCAAGGAAGAACTTAAAGAAGAATCCAAGGAAGAACCCAAAGAAGAGTCTAGGGACATTAAAAAAGATTTAAATGAATATCCATCTGAGCCAAATAATGATGCTAAAAGTGCAGGTGCAGCAAATACGTCCAATGAAGTTCTCCTAGAAAGTGTAGTCAACAACAATCATGTTGTGAATGGGGGTAAGTCTACAGAGAATGGAACAAAAACAAAGGAACTCTTTGTAGAGGATAACCAAATGGTTTCTACTTTAGAAAACTCAAAGGAAATAGAAAATCTGGAAAAACCTACCAAGGAAGACAGTACCGATGTGAAAGAGAAAGTAAATTCAGAAGTAGATGTATTAAAATAGCCTTAATCCGATAATACAAATTTTAAGGTAATCATTGAATCAACAGAATATTAGTTAATCCGCATAAATATATTAAAATTATTAATCTAACTTGAAGTTTCCTTCAGAATCCTTAATGTAAACCTTAGTATCTTCAGTGACAATACTATCAATTAGATCATGAGGAGCAATATCAAAAGCTGGATTCCATACGTCGATTCCTGGTGTAGCGATCCCAACAGTTAACTTTTCACCAGCTGTACCATTGACATCAAGAACTGGGGCATTGAGAGTTGTTAATTCGTTGCTTGGCCTTTCTTCAATAACAATGTCTGCACCAGTTTCAGTCTTCAAGTCGATGGTAGTTCTTGGAGCAGCAACAATGAATTTGATTTGCTCGGCATTTCTTTTGTTAAAGAAATCAGCAATAGCTGCCAATTGGAATGTTCCAATCTTGTTTGCTGAGTCACCATTCTTGACAATTCTGTCAGCACCAACAATGATGAATTTTACTGGTGCCAGCAGGTTTCTAATAGATCCATCTGTAGAATTCAAAGTAGAAATTAAAGATGTGGCCATGTTGTCACAAATAAGAGAAAATGTAATCTTTTCATAATCTAACTCGTATGTAGTCAACTTTGCACCTTGGTTGTAAGGTCTAGTCTCACATGGATATACTTTTTCAAACCAAAAATCTTCCAGACTTTTCTCTTTGGTCAAGTTCTGGAAAGTGGTTCTGATTATACCCAAAGCGGTACCATGACCAGAAGTGGCTAAAGATCCAGTGTTACAGATAGTCATAATTGAGAATGGACCCTTAAAGTTTTGAGAGCGAAGAGTTTCGGTGATATAGTTCAATCCATTTTCACCAATCTTAAAATTGTTACTCAAGTCTGCATCATACAAATCGACAGCGTATTTGAAGACAGTGTCCAACACTTGTTGTCCAGCCACATCAGATGTGGAGAAGGTAGAAGTGAGTAAATCTTTGATGTCATTGCATGCATTGGAAAGATTGACAGCAGTTGGTCTTGATTCCACCAAATAGTCAATGGATGCAAGTAAGTCCTTTACGGTGATGTTTTCCAACTTGTTGAGCTGGACTACGATGGCAAAGGCCCCTACAATAGCGATAGCTGGGGCACCTCTGACTTGCATTTTCTTGATCGCTTGGTAAGCATCTTCGATGGAGGTGATCTCAATATATGAAGTTGAGTATGGAAGGAGCAACTGGTCCAAGATCTGTAAGGTCTTGAGACTTCTATCAAACTTGATTGCTTGAAGGGACATCTTTCTATAATATTATCCGTACTATCCGTTTGTAATGAGGGTATATGTCTTTTAATTGAGCATCTTATTGTCTTCCAAATATATATTTCACTAACCACGTTCCACCAAGTATGCAGGTTCAGCCACACATTGAATGAATATTGTTCCCCACAATACCAGTGAAATCAAGATAGGTTACCCTTGTATCCCGTGTGTTGTGAGATCGTATACCCAGAAGCCCCTAGAAAGATTTCCATTAAATGACCCCGTTTTTTTATGGAGAATTAAAAAGAAAAACACATGTATTTTCTGGACATCTTATTTAGTACTAAAAAATCAAACGCCTAATACCTTCAACATCCCATTCTTCCTTCAAAGAATTCCATTTACACCCCAATAATCTCTTCCCGGTGATTGGACATCGCCCACCTTTGATTTCTGTAAGTTCCTTCCTTTCATGTACTTCTTTCTCATTCTTCTTCTCATCATCATTTTCATCTTCTGAGTCCAGTTCATTATCTCTTTTTCTGGTTATCTTATGAGACTGTGCAAGATGATTATAAATACATGAATAACAGAAAACATACCCAGTTTCAATGATAGCTGGGTTGGTAATCTCTTCCTTACACAAGGGGCATAATTTCCCAGATTTGTATGTTTTATGAGTCTTCTTTTCCTTTTCTAATTCAGAAACTCTAGTCAATGTAGAAGGAGGAGGTAACATAAATTCCAAGAGGTTCCCCAGATTTTTGGCAATTTTTTGAGTAAAATCTGAATTATTCCACCATTCTAAAAACTTCAATGAGAAAATGGCAATGGGGAAGAATGTACCCAATACTAACTTTATTAATTTCCATGATGGTTTGGTGAAATTTCTTGTTATTATTCTTAAAAGGTATTCAATATTAGTTGGAGGGGCGATTTTATTAGGTTTGGTTTTATCACGGCCCCCTATTCTTTTGGAAAGCTTCTCAGGATCATTCTTATCGTAATCATACTGATTCAACCTTGAATAGTTCATATGGAAAAGATACGTAAGTAATGAGGGCGATTTACTATCACCACTCAAATACAATAACATGGTGACAAAATTAGCTGCTCGAAGAGAACTTTGCACCCAAGGATACCATTCAACAAATTTCTTTTTAAACTCAACCCGATAAACATCCAATTTTGAATTTGGATCTGTGGGTTTTAATTGTCGAGTTATATATTTGGGGTACCATCTTTCATAACAATACCCAAGTTTTTCAGTCAAATATCCCGTACCAGCGACTTCAAATACAGATATGGCTTGTTGTAAGTTGGTTAAACTTCTTCTTTCCTCGATTTTGGAAGGGATTAATTGTGTGAGTCTGGCGCTATTTTGAGATAATCTTGTTTTACGAACTCTTTTCAAACCATAGAAATTCTCCGTGAACAGACCCTGCCAGAAACGTATAAAGTACCATTCTAGGGCCACTCGAAGTGCCAAGTTTAGTTCTTCAAACTTGTTGGCTAGTTGTAAAAGATATTTGGGATATTTGGCCGCATAGTATACAAGGACATATCTTAAAGATGGTGATAACAAAGCTTCTAGTTGGTTTGCAGATATCAATTCAAACAACGTCGGAGTCTCTGAATCTAACTGCGACGCATCAAGCGACGAATAGTACTCCATGGTAAATAGTTTCCTTATTAAAATGTTCTCTAAACACAATTTTGGAGTGCTCAACTGTTCAAATTCTCAGAAATGATTCCCCACAAAAAAAAAACACTCAGTACAGGATATCCGAGGCTACGATAAATACATTTATGTTGCAAAACGAGACTTGCTACCACTACAGAATACTTATATAATGGAAAATTTTGAAAGCATCTCCTCTATATTGAAAGAGTTTTCTATAAAGAAAAGAAGTTTAAAGAGAATAAACAAACTGCTCTCAAACAATGTATGGGATCAAGTTAAATGCATCACTCCAAAATTGAATGAAATCAGATACTTAACCTTTTCAAATGGTACATCCATATCCTTTCATGACATTAATTGTTCGTCGTCACACGTGAGTTCAAGCCCCCAAACTCCTCTTGTTTCCGACCAATACAAATCTATACCCATGTCCGAGAACCTTTTAATAACCGATCAATATTCTATAATCGACATTCCGTCTTCAGTAGTGATAATTCCTTCGAAAAGCAATGATAATTTCCTGGAGGAACCATTCATTGAATTAGAATCTTCCCCTAAATTTCCACCCGATAATCAGCTACAAAGTTGGCATCGGTTGCAAAATCTAAACTCTGAACCATTCACAGATATCAACTTGGATTAAAACATAAATGACTAATATTTATTGTACTTTAAATAAATGTTCGTTTCGTTTAAATCGTCCTTGTACAAAAAAATGAGAAAAACAAACGACAAAGGGTGGAACACAACAACAATAATAGAAAAAACAGGAGTAAAACAAGAATAGGATAAACTAAATAATCTTTGATGGTTCATTTTGACTCAAACTGTGATCAAACTTGAAATTTGTTTTGGAATACATATCCCAAGCCATCAAGTCAAACACATAGTAATCGCCAAACTCCACAAGAGACCCAAGCAGCTGCGTGTTGGCGTGTACCTTGATACATTTGAACCAGTGGAAGATATTTCTTGATTCTTCCAGCGCTTTTTCAAATGGTGACGTCACTTTGAAACCAACTTCGGAATCAAGGTTTTTACTTTGTTGATTGGACTTTGTATTATATGGTCTCCATCCAAGCTGGAAGAGACAAAGCTCGGCTATAGCATTTTCTAATGGGATGAAACCATAATAATATCCATAAAATAAAACCATTGTTAATTCATTGACAAGAATGAGAGATTCCGTTGTGGTATGAAGTGATAACGCTTGTATCTGCTGAACAAACTTGTCGAAGTTATTCGATGCTCTGATACTATTCCAATATGATTGTAACTTGAGTAAATTCAATGGTGGTTTTACTGCTTGTGACTTCTTTACAGGTTCTTGCAGCAGCAAGTGAGGATAGAATGAAGATCTTAATGCCAGATGAAGAAATGGTTTCATGATTGGTGTTGTGTATGGATTATATTGATGGTTTGTTACCAATATCTTGCAGCCACTAGAACATGCCTTTCTTGTTGCTGTGAATGATACAATAAGATCTTGAATTCCAGGGGGTAATTTTACAAGATTCATATCACTAAAGAGTTCATATTCAACCGGACAAAGATTAGAATTCTTCAACATTGAATCCAATATAGTTTCGTATCTACCTTGTAATGGAGCTGAATTATCAGTTGTATCTGTACGTTGTGCTTGAGATGGTACATAAGATTCTTTGTGTTCTTGTTCCTGCTGAGTGCCTTGTTGTCCTATTCCTTGATTTTTCTGTGAATGTTGAGAATTATTTGAATGCAGATTTTGCAACATTTGTGACTGAGTGTGTGCTAATTGTTGTGTTAATGGTTGTTCATATGCGTTTGAATTCTGTAATTTAGGGGACTGGGATTGTGATTGTGATTGTGATTGAGAATGAAATTGTAGCTGTCCCTTGGATTTTGTATCAACTCCACTGTTACCCGCAGCGGCAGCAGACCACTTTAAATTACCCACTGGTTTGGATGGAGTAGTTGCGGGTTTCAAGGTCTTGATTATAGCAGGGCTTGAATTATCCGGACTCACAGGGATGGTAACCGACTTTAGCACCGGAGTACTGATTGTTGGCTTGTTTGGGGAAGATGAAGTAGTCGTACTATTGGATTGAGAATTTGTAACTTGAGGTGGGAACGGTACTGGAGCTGGTGGAGGTTGATTATGGCCGGATGAACCATTAACCAGTGAATCTTTTGATTCATCTCCTTCAGTAAACACACTTTGTGATTGGTGGCTCTGCTCTCGTTGCTTTTCTTGGGCTTCACGGTGATGTATCTTTGATGCTTCCTTGAAGATTTCATCATAAAGAGTTTCGTCATCTACAAAATCAGGTTCTTGATTTGATTCAATATAGAAATTGATGTCATCTTGAATCATCCATATCAAGTCGGGGTCAATCTTATCTCTCTTCAAAAAAGAAATAACATGCTCCAATTTATCAATGTGGAAGGAATTTCGACTCGAGAATGAATCAATTTCTTGCTTACGTTCTTCTGCTTCTGATGATCCATTCTTTCTAGTTTTTTTCTGGGATAACTTTTCATATTCAGACTCCAATGCTTCAGATTGTTCTTGCAATTCTTCGATGCATCTTTCTACGAATTGTACCGCTCCAACAGCTTCGGGAGATAATTCATTTTCCAATTCAAGGGCTGCAAGCATTATCGATTGATTTGAATAAGATTTCATCTTGGAGCTCTTTTCAACGTCTTTATACCTTTCCATGGCTTCTTCCACCAATCGACGGTGTTCTTGTAGCCTTGCCGGGACCACAGATGCTTCTATAGTATCATTCAGTTGCCACGTTTTGATCTGATCTCGAAATTTTTGAAGCTTCTTTATTTCCTTCTTCAAATCTCCCTCCAATTTATCTCGTTGTGAATCATTATTAGAGTCTTCATGTCGCGTATAATAATAATTGAAAAGATCTACACCTTCATTAATCTTTTTGAAGATGGCATCCACCTCTCTGTTAAATTTGTTAGTATACAGTTGAAAGAATAAAAAATTTGTATGGAAGGGTCCATCCCGTCAATGAGACTAAATTTGATTCGACAGCTTATCATGATGAATTTTCGAAGAAAAATCTCCAAAATCGTCTCATTCAATAGCTACGCCAATTATATATATCCTAGACATAGTCCTATACATACTTTTGAAGTTTTCTATGTGACATGTTGTCTAGCCGTTTGATAACCACCTCTCCGCTAAACTTTTCTCTAATGAAATCCGATGTTGAAAATTTTTGAGACCCGATCTTATCACGTGCCACTCAACACCCGGATATCACAACTAAAAATAATTTAGTAGTTATGAACTCCTATAATTCCCTACTTCAAACCAATCTTTACAATCAAAATTTTACGTGATATAATATATATTATAAATACAGATGATACTTCTATTTATATTTTAAGCTTGATTACAATTCGTCGTGATCAAAGTCGTCATCAGAGTCATCATCACCGAACTTAGCACCACCTGGGGCTTCACCACCAGCACCACCTTCATACAACTTAGAAGTAATTGGAGAAGCAATGTCAATCAACTTTTGCTTTTGTTCATCGAAATCTTCAGATGAAGCAGTTTCGTAGTTATCTTCCAAGAATTCCAAGGTTTCCTTAACGGCATCATCCAAAGTTTCCTTGTCATCAGCATCCAACTTGGATCCCAAACCCTTGTCAGAGTCATCGTTAAGTTGACCCTTCAACATGTGGGCGTAGTTTTCCAAGGAGTTACGAGATTCAATCTTAGCCTTTAATTCGGCATCTTGTTCAGCGTACTTTTCAGCTTCTTCAACCATTCTGTCGATGTCTTCCTTGGTTAATCTACCCTTGTCGTTGGTGATGGTGATGGATTCAGACTTACCAGTACCCTTGTCCATAGCTTCAACCTTCAAGATACCATTGGCATCCAAAGAGAAGGTGACTTCAATTTGTGGAACACCTCTTGGTGCTGGTGGAATACCAGTCAATTCGAACTTACCCAACTTGTTGTTGTCCTTAGCTAAAGCTCTTTCACCTTCGTAAACTTGAATCAACACAGTTGGTTGGTTGTCAGCGGCAGTGGAGAAAATTTGGGATTTCTTGGTTGGAATAGCAGTGTTTCTGTTGATCAAGTTGGTCATAACACCTCCAGTGGTTTCAATACCCAAAGTCAATGGGTTAACATCCAACAAGACAATGTCATCAACACCTTCTTCACCAGATAAAACACCGGCTTGAACAGCGGCACCGTAAGCAACAGCTTCATCTGGGTTAATACCCTTAGAAGCCTTCTTACCGTCAAAGTAGTTTTCCAATAATTCTTGAACCTTTGGAATTCTAGTAGAACCACCAACAAGAACAATGTCATCAATTTCAGACTTCTTGGCACCAGCATCCTTCAAAACTTGTTCAACTGGCTTCAAAGTTCTCTTGAAAGAGTCAATGTTAAGCTCTTCAAACTTAGCTCTGGAAAGAGTTTCAGAAAAGTCAATACCATCAACAAAGGAGTCAATTTCAATTCTAGTACTCATTTGAGAAGAAAGAGTTCTCTTAGCCTTTTCAGCTTCTCTCTTCAACTTAGAAATAGCCTTAACATTGTCAGAAACGTCAATGTTGTGCTTCTTCTTGAAAAGCTTGGTAAGGTACTTGACAATCTTGAAATCGAAATCTTCACCACCCAAGTGAGTGTCACCAGCAGTAGCAAGAACTTCGAAAACACCACCTTCAATAGAAAGAAGAGAGACATCGAAGGTACCTCCACCAAGATCGTAAACAATGATTTGCTTTTCACCATCAGTCTTATCCAAACCGTAGGCAATGGCAGCAGCAGTTGGTTCGTTAACAATACGTAAAACGTTCAAACCGGCAATGGTACCAGCATCCTTAGTGGCTTGACGTTGAGCATCGTTAAAGTAAGCTGGAACAGTGACAACGGCATGGGTGACCTTCTTACCGAGGTATTCTTCAGCAATGTTCTTCATCTTACCCAAAATCATACCAGAAATTTCTTCTGGAGAAAAGGTCTTTTCTTCATCATTGTATTCAACCTTGACAACTGGCTTACCATCCTTGTTCTTGTCAATCTTGTATGGGAGATGCTTGATTTCCTTTTGAACGGTCTTGTCGTTGTACTTCAAACCAATAAGTCTCTTAATATCGAAAACAGTGTTGTAAACGTTGGAAGAAGCTTGGTTCTTAGCAGCGTCACCAATGAGTCTTTCATCAGAGGTGAACGCAACATAAGATGGGGTGATTCTGTTACCTTGGTCATTGGCAAGGATTTCAACCTTACCATTCTTCATAACACCTACACAAGAGTAGGTGGTACCAAGATCGATACCAATAACGGTACCGTAGTTGTCGGTGTCGTTGGCACTGTCATCAGCAAAGGCCACCCCGTGACCCTTACTAGAGAGCAATGGCAATACCACAGCCAAGAGCACATATAAGAATGTGGCTCCAGAGAGCAAGAAGCGATTCATCTTCAACATAATGAATAAAAAAGACTAGTCTTGCAGTATATATGAATGTATAAGTTAAGATTATTTTTTTCCAATTTGTGTCCAAACTTTGTCGTTATATATCGCGCCGCGTTTTTGCAGACGTGTCATTAAGTCACGTTGGAAAAAAAGTGTGGTCGTGTGTGCACTACATGTCCAAAAACAATGGAAATTTCTAGAAGGCAAGATAGAGAAATACATGATTAATCAGGGTTGCTGAGGTCTTGAAATTGGTACGTGATTTGATATGGTGTCACTAGAATAGGTGTATTACACGGTTATGAAGGTGACCATGAATTCTAATCGTTACATTACAAAGCATTTTCTATAAAACCCTAGATATATTGAATATTTTCATAAGATTTGAGATTATTTGAAGTTAAAGCTCTTAATTTGGTGCGACTGTGCAACATTATCCTGCATCAATTACGATTTGTGGGGCACGGATTAAAGTCAATTCTTGATAAAAATTGTGCCTACGTGGCAAATACATAGACACTCTTTTGATGTAGTACGTGTAATTTTAAACGATTACGAGGCCCGAAACTCAGTCTGATCATGGTACACCGTATAAATGCAAAATATCCAAATGAATGGCGTTTCATACAGATGAGAATAAATTACGTAATGTCATGAAATGACACTTGGGCTTAACGTTTGTGAAAAGTGGGTACAGTTACATTATTAGATGTATGAGACGAAGGAGGTATATAGATAACCTTGTAGATTATCCATATGTGGTGGCAAAAAATCGGTGCCAGCTTTTCAGATTTCCCCTTTTTGGAAATGCGCTATATCTTAATCAAATAGGGACATGGCTTCAATAAAATGATACCTTTAGTTATTTTAAAAACTTATTTTCTAGGCAGTTATATAATGAAAGGAACCATTGTGAATCTTTCTCATAGTTTAGGAAATGGTATGTCCCCAGCTAAAGGGTAAACATGACTGCATTTCTGGTAAACCTACAGATAATTTCCAATATGTACAATAGTATTCACCCAAATGAGTTTATATCATCAACTATTTCAATATTTTCAATATTTACTACATGTGATATAACAACAGAAATCATCTATAATAATACGCCCTTCACAATATCACTATCATGATTCTTTTTTTCTTTGTTTCATGCATGTTCGTATAACTCCTACAATTTTCGCCTGTACACTAATCGCCCCCAATCTTTATCCCCTCACAATCTTTCTCTGATATTTCCTTCTCTCTCAATCTAACCTGTAAATTACACAAAACCCAACCTGTAACTTTCTCATCGATATTCCCCCTTCTCTCAATTGCTAAGGGGCCACTCTTGACGTTATTACTGATTAAAACAACAATTTGTGTGAAATCATAACTATATTTAAATAAAATCTGCTAACACTGAAACTATCCGTTTGATCAGGAAATAGCAGGCAACTGGAATAGCAAATTAAAGCAACGACCACATTTTAAAAGAAACTAATTTTACCCGTCTCCCACGTCTCCTTAACCAGTTTCGTCACCCCTCCATTTGCATCTGAGTGGCTTCTTACCTTCAACACACCTTGTAATCAAATTGTGTCCACTCCCTATATAAATATAAAGATGTCCAACCCATTTGTCTCTGACGAATTGGTCCAGTTACAGAAGGAAATCACCGCCAAAAACCCTGTGGATGTGTTACAATTCTGTGCTAACTACTTCAACACCAAGTTAGAACTTCAACGTGCTCAATTATGGCAACAACAGAACAAGGCCAGAGCTGCTGGAATTGTTCTTTTCCCTAAGACTGACAATGTTACCGTGAACTCGAGCGGGAATGGTTCAGCCGCTGCTAACGGTAGACAACCCAGCTTCAAATCACCATTTGGTGACAATGACCCTCATCTGATCCAACATAGACACGACGATCATGATGATTACTTGGATGGTCCTGGAGCTCCTGGCTCTGCCCCTCTCAGTGGAGCTCCTAGTTCTGGTTCTGGTCCTGGCTCTGCCGCACCAGCCTTTGGTGGTTTCAAAGGTGGATTTGGTGGTATTTCCCACGGTTCTCCATCAGGAAATGCTCGTGAGATTGACCCTAGTGATCCAGCTTCTGCTCCATCTGGTCCAACATCAACCCCACCTAACACCTCCTCATCGGGCGGTCCAACTTCAGGAACCACCTCTTCCTCATCTTCTTCTAAAACAAAAATCCCTATTGCCTTTAACGCAAACAGAAGAACCTCAGTCTCTGCTGAAGCTTTGAACCCTGACAAATTCAAGGATGAATCTTGGAAACCACCTATCAACGACTTGTCGGCAGACCAAAAACTCGCCCTCAACAGAACTTTGGCTCAAAACTTTTTATTCAAGCAATTGGATGATAACTCAAAGAAGACTGTCATCCATGCCTTATCCGAGAAAACTTTCCCTCAAGGTGCAGAAATAATTAAACAAGGTGACGAAGGTGATTATTTCTACATTATCGAAGTTGGTACCGTAGATTTCTACGTTAATGGTTCCAAGGTCAGTTCTAGTGGTCCAGGTTCTTCATTTGGTGAGTTAGCCTTGATGTACAACTCTCCACGTGCCGCCACTGCCATTGCCAGTTCCGACTCAGGAGTTACTTGTTGGGCCTTAGACAGATCTACTTTTAGAAGAATCTTATTACAAGGTACATTCAATAGAAGATTAATGTACGAAGACTTCTTGAAAGAAGTTAAGGTTTTGTCAAGCTTGACCCATTATGAAAGATCAAAGTTGGCTGACGCCTTGAGCACTGAAATTTACCACAAGGGTGACAAGATTGTTGTCGAAGGAGAAAAGGGAGAAAACTTTTACTTTATCGAAAGTGGTACCTGTCAAGTGCTAAAGGCTAACGAAGGTGTCATAACGAAGTTGAGCAAGGGTGACTATTTTGGTGAAGTTGCCTTGTTGAACGATTTGCCTAGACAGGCCACTGTGGAGGCATTGGACCAAGTCATGGTTGCCACATTGGACAAGTCAGGATTCACCCGTTTGTTGGGTCCTGCTGTTGAGGTCTTGAAGAGCCAAGATCCAACCGTGAACTAGTATACCTTTCATATGACCGGACTATAGACTAGTTAATTTTTTTTCTTCTAAGTAGAAAGATCTACAATATACGATTTTAAAGAATTAAACCCGTAGGATTTTATGTTATTTTATGTAATTGCTCTAAAGAAAAAGTTGGTTAATTATGTAGTAATAATTAGATGGATTCATCCGAAGAATCAAATATCTATTGATTTATCCCGATTTGTTCTGGATCCGTTCGAATACACAATATGATCAGCTTTGAGTCTTTATTAACTCAACCCCTTATTTGTGTCGCTCCCGCGAGAATGCATTTGTCCTGACCTTATATTTTTTTTTTGTTGTCGCATAATAATTTTAACTGCTCACCACGACATTTTCAACTACTCCTACTCTTTTCCATAAACTATTGCCATGATTCCATATTTCCAATCACTCTTGCCACCAACCACTGCCCTGGGAGGCTACCTCCCACATTGGCTCTTGTTTATCTCGGTAGTATCTATCTTTAATTCGTTACAAACATACCAATCAAAGGACTTATCCTTGACCCACCGTGTATACGAGCTGGCTCCTCGTAACGAGGTTACTAATCTTAGTGCACGTACTTTTGGTACCTGGACTTTTATCACCTCAATTGTTCGTTTCTACGGTGCCTACTACTTGGTGGGTAACAAGCAAATTTACGAGTTATGTATGTGGACTTTTGCCGTTGCTGGTGGTCATTTTGTCAGTGAATGGATTTACTACGGTAACTGTAAACTTGGAAAGGGGTTAGCAGGTCCTTTAGTTGTTAGTTCTCTTAGTTTGATTTGGATGCACGCCCAAAGAGACTTCTACCTTGCTTAAGTAGGCGGGAATCTGAATCCTGAAAATAGAGAAAATTTACAATATACATGTATATAGTTGTTTATATGAATACAACCACTCATTGTGCCTGTTTTAGTGTAGGAGAGATCACGAAAGAAAGAAAAAAAAAAAGAATCCAAACTAAAAACCGGTAAGCCGGTTTATCCTAGCATAGAGTTGTAGCAAAATTGTATTCGGTTCGTTCACGGAACAGTCCGAATGAATTGGCGTATACTACCGAGGATACGTTTGTTTCAGCCATGACTATCATATACACTACCTAGTAGTAATAGTAGCATCCACAATAAATACGTAATGTAGTATATGACTAAATCTATGACGGCCAATGTATGCTTGTAGTCGCGAATATATGTTCCCCACAATTAATCAATTGATGACCACTAACAATAATACCCACAATCTTACGGTTTATCTTCTTTCGTCCGACTGGCCATAGGTACACTCTCCTCTAACCAATTGGCCATTTACAGCTAACATGCAAAATAATAATAAATAAAAAAATAATCACTTAACTTCCTTTCAATTATTTCTCATTGCTCTTTAAATCGGTGCAATCCGAAAGACCGCGGAAACCCGCGGGCCCCATTCCAATATTGTTGCCGCGTTATCAGTGGTGTCTGATAAGGAAGATCAAACAAAGCTATATAAATAGGCAATAAATACCCTTTTAATTACCGAATTATTCTATTTCTTCAATAAAATTCACCCTAACTACAATGCACTCAACTTCAATTTCAGTAACTCCCTTGGACTCTGCTCCATTTGGTGCTAAGGTAACATTACCTGAGTATGCCAAAAATGATCCTGCCAATCTTACTGATGAAGATTTCGAAACTCTTTTCAATGGAGTACACAAACATCTTGTTGTGGTGATCCCAAACCAAGCGGAACTTTCTCCTAAGTCCCAATACTTGATCACGAAAAGATTTGACCCAAGTATTCCCGAACCAAAGGAGGTTGAAGGTGCTGGATCTGGTGCTGGATATGGTCATGGTAAGGAATTTAGACATGAGCAATCAGTACTTAAGAAGGATGGAACCACCGTTAAATCTCAACCACAGGTACAAATCTTGGGTCAGGGGAAATTTGGTGCCGATGAACCAGGTAATGAAAATGGTGAAGATATCTCATTGACCCATCCATCGCATACCACTTTCCATCATACTCCATTGACTGAACAACAAATCAAGGAGGAAAACAGAACTAGATTCTACAGATGGCACATTGATTCGGCTTTGTACGACTTGTCTCCACCAGTGGTAACCACTTTGCTTGGAATTAAGGTCCCACCAACCACACAAAAGCAAACAATTGTATATGAAGACTCACCTAATCAAGAAACCAAACTTGAACTTACTCGTGGTGCCACTTGCTTTACCAGTGGTGCCCTTGCATTCAAAGGATTGTCTCCGGAAGACCAAAAATTCGCCCTTTCCACTACTGTGGAATATGCTCCACATCCATACATTTTCATCAGTCCAGCTGGAGCTACCAACGATGGGTTGACCATGGTATCTGAAGATAAGGAATTCTCCTTCGATAAGCTCCCGGAATGGGAATCTTCCAAGGTTAAGAAGTTGCCTATGGTTTGGACAAACCCAGTCACCAAGGAACATCATTTACAATTACATGGATGTTGCTTATACAAGTTGCACACAACTAACGATGACGGGAGTGTCACTACCTTGGACTTGAAGGATGCTAGGAACAAGGCTCACGAATTGATGAGACCAGCCATTGAACCAGAAAAGGTTTTGGCTCATGCTTGGTCTGAAGGAGACTTGGTTATCTTCTACAACATAGGGGTTTGGCACAGTGTCACTGGGGAATTCAAGGGAATCAACAAGGATGGTAAAGATGAAAGAAGATTGATGCATCAATGTAATATCGCATCTGCAGTAGATCCGAAAACTATTCAATAAGTGCTATCAAAGGCCATTTAAAAAAAAAAGAAAACTAAGGAGAGATATTAAGGAAAATTATATGTATTGTATAGGAATAGTCATAGGGATTTTGGCTAACAAAGGTTAGATATTGTAGAATTAGATACTGAGATACTGAGTAATAATCTAATGTAAGGATTGAAGTAAACATATTATATATATAGGGCAATGCTTCTCACTTGAAGTGTTCAGAGGTGCCAAGGACCTTTTTTAATCAGCTGATTAATATATCTCAGTTCATTATTTATAAGATAAAATAGTACCAAAGGTAGAATACTGACAGTTTACTCTAACTAACAACCTAGCTGACTCCATCTGCAGTCTTAAAACATCCAAACACCAGAAAATGCCTATAGTAAATTCTTATCGCATTTTCTTCCCATATGATCAATCCTCTACCAACCAAATACTATTGATTGAATCATGGGACATTACGTCACGCTTGCCACGTGTAACCTCAACCAATGGGCACTTGATTTCGAAGGAAACCGTGATAGAATTATTGCTTCCATTGTGGAAGCAAAACGCCAAGGTGCAAGCTTAAGAGTTGGCCCGGAATTGGAGATTTGTGGTTATGGATGTCTTGACCATTTTTCGGAAAATGACCTCTATGATCACCTGTGGGAGATGTACGCCCAGATCTTGGAGGACAGTCGCACCCAGGGTATCCTTCTCGATGTCGGGATGCCCATCATCCACAAAACCATCAAGTACAATTGTCGGATCATTTCTTATGATGGTAAAATTCTTTTAATTCGTCCAAAGTTACATCTTGCCAACGATGGGAATTACCGTGAAATGAGATATTTCACTCCTTGGAACAGACCAAAGTACCATGAAACCCACATGCTTCCAAAGTTGTTACGGGAAATCACTGGTCAACATTCGGTTCCCTTTGGTGATTGTATCATTGAAACCTTGGATACTACATTTGGAGCAGAAACCTGCGAGGAATTGTTTACACCACAATCACCACATATTGCTATGGCTTTAGATGGGGTTGAAATATTCACCAATTCCTCTGGATCTCACCATGAACTCCGGAAGTTGGACACTCGTTTGGAGCTCATAACCGAGGCCACCAAGAAATGTGGAGGGGTTTACTTGTATCTGAATCAAAAGGGATGTGACGGGGATAGATTATACTATGATGGGTGTGCTTGTATTGTAGTTAACGGTGAAATGGTTGCACAAGCATCTCAATTCCTGCTTGCCGACGTTGAGGTTATTTCTGCAACCATTGATTTGGACGATGTTAGAGCCTATAGAAGTCAGAAGCTGGCTCAATTACAAGCAGTACAACAATTAGAACTGTACCACCGTATTTCTGCAGACATTGAATTGGTTGCTAGTGGTCATACTTTTGATCCAACCTTGAAACCTTCAACAGTCCAGCCGATCCGTTACCATTTACCGGAAGAAGAGATTGCTCTTGGACCAGCATGTTGGTTATGGGATTACCTTAGAAGATCAAAATGTGCTGGATACTTCCTCCCTTTGAGTGGAGGAATAGATTCCTGTGCCACTGCCGTCTTGGTTCATCTGATGTGTAGGTTGGTCGTAGAAGCATGTGAAAACGGTGATAAGCAAGTCATTTCCGATGTGCAAGCTATGTGTCATCAAGAATCTGATTGGATTCCTGAAAATCCACAAGCTATTGCCAAACATATCTTCTATTCTTCATTCATGGGAACTGAAAACTCTTCCAAGGAAACTAGATCAAGAGCCAAGGAACTTGCCGCAGAAATTGGTTCTTATCATATTGACATGAATATGGATACATTGGTTACATCTGTTGTTTCTGTATTTGAAGTTGCCACCGGGAAGAAGCCAATTTTCAAGATTTTTGGTGGTTCAATTACTGAAAACTTGGCACTTCAAAACATTCAAGCAAGATTGAGAATGGTGTTGAGTTATCTTTTTGCTCAATTATTGCCCTGGACGCGTCAAAAGCAAGGTGGATTGCTTGTTCTTGGTAGTGCCAATGTTGATGAATGTCTTCGTGGTTACTTGACTAAGTATGACTGTTCCAGTGCTGATATTAACCCAATTGGAGGTATTTCCAAGACTGACTTGAAAAAGTTCATTGGATGGGCTTCGGTCAATTTTAAAATGCCAATTTTAGATGACTTCCTTAATGCCACTCCAACTGCTGAATTAGAACCAATCACCGAGAATTACGTTCAAAGTGATGAAATCGATATGGGAATGACTTATGATGAGCTCAGTAGATTTGGTAGATTAAGAAAAGTTGAGAAATGTGGACCATTGGCTATGTTCATCAAATTGTATCACGAATGGTCACAACCTCCACTCAACCTTACCGCTGAACAGGTTGCCGAAAAGGTGAAGCGATTTTGGTTCTTTTATGCTATCAACAGACACAAAATGACTACTATGACACCAGCATACCATGCGGAACAATACTCTCCTGATGATAATAGATTTGATTTAAGACCATTCTTAATCAACCCAAGATTCCCATGGGCAAGCAAGAAGATTGATGAAGTTGTAGAGGCAATCACCAAAAGGGAAAAGGAGATTGAAGCTTCCAATTTAAGCGTAGAATAGAGGGTAGATTTGTGGTATATATTTATATGTATATGTATATATGTTTTATAAATGATGTTACTATTTGTTAATCTTACCTCCCCACTTCGGTACAAATCCCAATTCATTCTTCATATACTCTTCAGGTGAATCATTTCTTCTAACAAAATCAACTAGAGATATACTGATTTGACTTGGTATATCTTCATGAATGAAGTGACCAGCATTCTGGGTGTTATTGAACGCGATCAACTGGTATTTACCTTGCATTTGACCTATGATAAGGTCAGTATCAAGGTTTTCATGCCCAGAAAGAATCAATAGTTTGGCTGTTTTATTTACTTGACCACATGTGATGAAATTAGAAGAGAGCCCTTTAAACCAAGTTTCCCAGAATGGTTGTGTAACGTTCAAATCAGTTCTCCAAAAGAGAGGACTAGACTTTGATGGTCGAATAAGCAAGTCCGGCACACTTATTCTAGCGGAGGCCAAGTTGTGAAGTAATCCTGTTTCCTTGATATGCCAATCAATGGCTCTTTGATAGTTTTGGAATGATGTTGGTCTTCTTTTGATGAACTGTGGCATGGCTACAAGTGCCTTGACGGCTGTTTCCTCTACAATGTCAAGCATGACAAGTCCCTTCACGGTTAGGTGCAGATGAATATTGAGATAGTTTGTCAAAACAGCGCCACCTAGGGAATGACCAATAAAATAAAGTGACGAAGATGGCTTATGGATTTCGATGAAGCGGTCCAAGACAAATTTGAAATCATCAGTTAAAGTCGAAAGGGTATAATCTTCAGTTTCGTGGGACTGAGATAATCCATGGCCCCTAGCATCAAAGGCAAACACCCCTGGGGATCCATCCAGAGTACCAGACTCGCGTTTCCATTGAGAATCCAATGCTTGTGTCAAGACAGCAAACGTCATCGACGAAGACCCTGCTCCATGGTGGCATATGAAGATTGGTTCCTTGGAAGACGTTGGTGGCTTATAGTAAGTTTGGAATGAATTATACATTGCATGGACTGGGAAAATACCCAATTTAGCACTCTGATACGACTCAAAGATCTCTTCATCGTCAGGTGGAGTCAATGTGGATGGCTGGTTGTCAATGGACCTTTGATACGAGCTGTTAACGGGTATAGGTGGCTGTAAATGCGGTGGTTGATTCGTACTCTCTATAGAGGAGTCCAGGGATTCTTCCTCTGCCAACAGACCAAGTCCCAACACCTGTTCATGCTGACGTACTCGATTGAGCAACAACTTATGAAGGTCGGACATGACTTTTAAGAGTGCTTAAATGAATTCAGATAACAAAAGGATAGTGGACTGATTTGTAGATTTAAAAGAAAGAAAAAAACAAAAAATAAAATAAAATGATTCATGAAACAGAAAGATTATCGATAGGGAGATCTCCTAGATAGACTGAAATTTGCGTATATACATAGGCCCCATATTAGACGAGTATGGACTTGCTGGAATCTTTTAGAAAGATGGCCTTGTGTCTCTTTGTTGGGTATAGAGCTCTCTCGATCAACGAGACGCCTGTGGCATGTATTCTTGTGTCAGATGAAGACCAACTGGTTTTAAGTATTGGTTATAATGACACCAATAGATCGTTGAATGGTACTAGACATGCGGAATTTTTGGCCATCGATAAGGTTTTAAGTACAAGATGCAATGGTGTTAGCGGTTCAGTTTTGCCGGAAAGAACCACACTATATGTGACAGTGGAACCATGTATCATGTGTGCGTCAGCATTGAAACAAGTTGGTATTTCCACCGTGGTGTATGGGTGTGGCAATGACCGCTTTGGAGGTAATGGTACCGTTCTTCTGATTCATGAGGGTAACTACAAGATCTTACCGGGTATACTAAGAACGGAAGCCATTCAATTATTACGAAATTTTTACATTCAAGAAAATGAATCAGCACCAGATCCAAAGATTAAAAAAAATAAAGATTTAGATAACAAAGAATATCCGACCATGGACTATAGTAGGTACATGGATAGGGCAAGCTTTTTAGAAAGTTACGGATCTGAAAGAATAAATGTATATAGTGGCGACACAGAAATCACGCCTGTATTTGGGAGTGGCTACTCGATAAGAGATTTGATTTCGTTAGAACAGGTTTTATCACTCCCAGGAATCGAAGTCATGTACCCCAATGGGAAAGACAATCTTGAAATATTTATTGAACAAGATTTGAACAGATTCTATAAAATGTTTTATGATATCAATAATGAAGGTCACGTTAACTTTTCAGGCTCAATATTAACTACTGACTCTGATGATTACATAGATACAAAGAGAAGGAAAGTTGAATAGTAAAGTATAAACACAACAGAATTGCGAGAATTGCGAATAAATATTCAATATATAGACTAATAGATGGGGTAAACTCAGAATAGCCAATGTGTTTATTGGCTTGGCGTACTTATCTACATATCTGTACACTTTCTATATCGTTTAGTGCTTTGTATTACCTTGTGTGTATGAGTTGTGTATATTTGGTTTTTTCTGTGCGGGAGTGATACAGAGAAAAAAACTGAATTTAATGGGGTGAAGGTAAACGCATAGCTTGGTAGTTTATCTTTCATTGACGACACATTATAAGCCATGGAAGACTCCGATGATGAATACGTCGCGCCACAATCTCGTCCAGGCACCGTAGATGTAGAGCTGGACGTTGTGCTGGCAGGATCGGAAGATGGAATGGCTCGTCGTACCAGAGCTACTGCGACACCTTCAGCACCTCCAGGAGGTAGAAGTGGGGCTATCAGTGATTTGAAAAGTGCCAATGGTGGGTATGCATGGGAAGATGAATACCAGAGGTCTTGGGATGTGGTCAAGGACGATGACAGGGATGGTGGTCGATCTCTTGATGCCATCATTCAAACAATGATCGATAATCGGAAAAAGAAGATTATGAAAAACTCATCCACACCATTCCAAAGAGGTATTATTAGAACAGTGGTAGTTGTCATCGATGGTTCCCTGACGATGCTGGAAAAGGACTTACGTCCAACTCGGTTTGGGATGATGTTGGCCCTCTTGGCGGACTTTGTGGTTGAATTTTTCGATCAAAACCCAATCTCCCAAATGGGAATAGTCATGATGAGAAATGGGGTTGCATACCTTGTTAGTGAGGTCAATGGACTGCCCCAAACACATTTGGAGAAGATCAGACAACTTCGAGCTCGTCAACATAACCGGTACGAACCCAAAGGTGACCCTTCGCTACAAAATGCATTGGAAATGTCTCGACTGTTACTCAAAGTAAGTTTTGGTCAAAATAATCGAAATTCGAAAGAAATTTTGGTCATTTTGGGTGCATTGTTTACCTCTGATCCAGGAGATATCCACAAAACGATCAATAGTTTGGTCAAAGATGAAATCAAAGTCAGAGTGATTGGACTCTCGGCACAAGTGGCCATCTGTCAAGAATTGGTCAATCGTACAAATCACACTCAAACGGTGAAGACAGTAGCCCCTGCAGGTACCGGTGGCAACTATGGTATTATCATGAACGAGGCACATTTTAGAGAATTGCTCTTGGATTGTGTGGTTCCATTACCCGTAGCAGAAACAGAATCATTGGCCAGTACCGAAGGTACGGAGTCTAAAGGTGTCCCACTTATTAAAATGGGATTCCCGCTGAAAATACGACCAACCCCAGTAACTATGGGGCTCCCACAACTTTTCGCTTCATCAGTGGAAGACTCTGAGGATCGAACTGAAGGTGCTTCAAATAATTTGTCTGGGTCGGGAGTTGGTGGTGTAGGAGGAAACTCTGGGGGTTCCAATGCTGCTGCTGCTAATGGCATTGCTCTCGGTAGTCAGAATGGTGCACCAGCTGCCACCGGGTATCAATGTCCTCAATGTTCCAATAAAGTTGCTCACCTCCCTACGGTTTGTCCCATCTGTGGCTTGATGCTTATCTTATCAACCCATTTGGCCCGTTCGTACCATCATCTTGTTCCTCTCATTGATTTCAAAGAAGTACCAGTAGCTGAATCGTATCCAAGTACATGCTGCTACGGTTGCTTGCTCCGATTCCCTGAAGGTTGTAAGGGAAAGAAAGCAGGAAGTTTGGAACTACTCACAAGTTCACGGTACCGTTGTAAGAAGTGCCAAAGTGATTTTTGCATAGATTGTGATGTTTTCATCCACGAAACCCTTCATAATTGTCCTGGTTGTGAAAATATAAAGTACAGACAAGCATAGCATTTAATAACATATATAGAATAAAAATACCTACAACCCTTCTATTAAACGTACTTTATTATTTTATTTTAAAATATACAATGGCTATTTAGAGCCCCAGGCTGAATTGCCTCCCCAGTTACTACGATCTCCCTTGTTACCACCCCAGGCGGAGTTACCTCCACTATTACCCCAAGTGGAGTTTCCACCACCAGCGGCACCACTGCCCCAAGTTGAGTTACCTCCGTTACCAGAGTTGTTTCCAGCATTACCACCCCAAGCTGATCCAGAGTTTTTATTTCCACCCCAGGTTGAGTTGTCACCATTGGAAGCTCCCCATTGCAGGTTGCCTCCAGCAGCTCCACCACTTCCCCAGGTTGAAGCAGCTCCACCTGGTGTCTTACCCCAAGTGGATGCATTTCCACCTGGAGTCTTACCACCACCCCATGCTGAAGCACCTCCAGCACCACTTATGGATGGAGTTTGGCCACCAGCACCACCCCATGTGGATGATGCACCTCCAACTGTACCGGCATAAGCAGATGCGCCGCCTCTAGGTTTGTTCCATGATGAAGCTCCGCCTCCACCCCAAGTACTGCCACCACCATTTCCAGAGCCAGATGCTACACCACCGAAAGATGGACCAGTTCTACTTGGTTGTCTATTGCCACCTCCTGGGGCACCAATGAATCTTAAGTATGGAATAGATTCACCACGAATCATAACACTAACTTGGTCCTTTCTCACCTTAATCTTTTTAGATTTGGTATGCAATTCAATACGAACGTAAACATCGTCAGCATCAGTAGCCTTACCCATGAGCCCCTTATAGTTACCCTGGATCACGACGACGTTGTGGTTAATCAATTTATCACGTCCTCCTACTCTTGTTCTTAAACCTGAGTTTGCTGCAACAGCTGCAGGAAGCTTTAAGTTTGGATTCATACGGTTCAAGTCAGGTCCCAAAGTCTTGGAAACCATTGAACCCTTAGTGGTGATAGTACTGACATTCAAACTATTGGTAACAAATATACCCAAATTCTCAATGATGTCATTCAGCTTAATGTAAAGAGAATTCTTGTAAATATGTATAATAGTACCTTCTCTCTTACTGTCCCCAAGAACTTCCTTCACAGTGTCACCAACATTGATGGTGGAACCATTACGGTCGGTAGCAATTTGTTCACGGCGAGTCAATTCTAACTTACTGGCAATTCCTGACGGTCTCAATGAAATGAGTCTTCCATCTTGACTCAAAATTTCAAATATTCCCTTGTCAGCACGAACGATACAACCAACTGTCAGGGCATTGACTTGAACAAGATCCTTCAAGTCGTATTTACCACCAAGAGCGTCGTGGCCCAGAGCTGAGGTATCGGTTGCCTTGATAAGGTAATTGGCAAAGACTCTCACATCCTCCTTGGTTTGGTCACTCAACAAAACAACAGAATCATTGTCAATCTTAATAACCAACCCGGTTTCATCAATATGTTTACCTTCAATGATCTTCACATGGTCACCAGCAGTAAAGACCTTTCTTAAGTCACTGGCAGGAACGGTCAATTTTTGATTTACAAACTTTGGATCTCCACTATCGGTCACAGTTATAGTCACTTCGTTCAACGACGTGCTCAACACTTTACCGATTGTCTTGGCTTGTTCACCACGACGGATTTCAACCTTGTCATCAGGTTGGAAAGCACTGCTACTTGATTTGTCAGCACCTTCTCTATTGTTCTTCAAAGAAGCGGCAATTGCGGTCAAATCCAACCCGTCTTCTTCGCTACCAGTTTGGAAACGGTCAAGTTCTTCCAATCTTGGGTGCACATCTTTGGTTTGAATGAAATTCAATTTGAAATCTTTGAAAAGGAACCCTTCGTAGTATTCTTCATTACGGTACACAAATGCTCTTGGGCCACGTCCTGGTTGTAAATAATCACCATCGTACATTCTAGCCTCTTGTTCATTGAATAATCTTGGCATAGGCTTAGACTTCAGCTTAATTCTTTTGCCATCTTTATCCCATTCGTCATTCTTACCATAATCTAAACGAGGAACTAACTTACAACGAACATCCAAACCGTTTTCAGACAAGTTATCAACTACGGCCAAATCTCCCTTATACTTACCTCTAGTAATTCTGACGTAGATACCAGGAACTAACTCAACATCGGAAGATTTCACTTGTTTCAACAAGTCTGGGTATTCTCTGACAGGAACCAAGATTCTTTGTTTGGCATAAACATTAACCATACCAGCAAGAGCTCTTTCAATAGCTTCTGGTTTCTTGGCTTCAATATAGATGTAACCCTTGAAAGAGTCACGTTGGAAAACTGTCAAGATATCCAATGGATTAGGCAGTCTAGCTAATGTTCTCTTTTTCTCATACAACTTCCTCACTAATTCCTTTTCACGTCCAGGAATACATCTGATACCATAAATTGCTGGATCGTTAATAGAAGGCATCAATAACTTCTGTGATACAGTACCACTGGCAGTGGTGTCACCACGATAAACAGTATGTGTCTTTCTGTATCTCTGCTTCAAGGTTTCTGCCAATTTTTCTGCGTCTTGATCTTCAGCCTCTTGACGTCTACGATCAAATTGTCTGTGGAGACGGTCATCGCCTGGTTCTCCACTTCCATCTGCAGCATCTGCTCTGTGGTCATCAGAAATGAATTGTTCACGTAAGAGCTCAGCTTCTTCGTCATCTTCATCCAATTCATCTTCTTCTTCGTCGTCAACCTCGGCTTCAATATCAATGAACTGATTGGCTCTTCTTCTCTTTCTCTTCTTTGAGGAAACTTCTTCCTCTTCTTCATCCTCTTCGTCTTCTTCATCGTCGTCTTCTTCATCCACTTCATTGTCATCATTAGCTTGAGGTTCTTCATTTACTTCTTCCTCTCTTGGACGCTTTTCACCTCTTGAAGAAGGTGGTTCAGTCTTCAATGAAGTTGATTGTTCAGAAGCTTCTTCAAGTTCCTTCTCCAATTGTTGAAATGAATCATCTTCGGATTCATCTCCAGAAATTTTACCCTTGATGTTGGTTTCATCCTCGAATTCCGTCTTGAGTCCAGACATCTTTGTTCTGGAACTTAATGTGGGTTTCGTGGTGTGTTTATTATATTTTAAGTCTATTACTTTTCGTTGACACTTTTGTCTTTTTTTTACAAACGTTGAGATGTCGTGTGTTCCTCAAATTGAGGTTAGTTTGTCAATCATAAATTATATGTATTGACACTATTTGCGAACATTAGTTGAAAATGAGACATATATAAAAAGCGCGGCACAAGTTAAAATGTTTAAACACGAAAAGGATATCTAACTGAGAAATTTGGACGAGGGGTCACACTTCAAAGTTTAAAAAGGTCATTAATGTACAAGAAGTGGTTCATGATGTTTTATTCCTTTTCTTTTCTTTTCTTTTCTTTTCTTTTCTTTTTTTCTAAAGCAATTTATATGGTGTACATGAATATTGATTATTCTAACAATTTCAGTATAATTTAATTCTATCCTAAAGTTTATGATCTGTTATTCATAACCATATCAATGAAGTAATTTTTATGTAGCATACAGCATACATGGTGTAAGTGGGGTTATCCTCTGTGTATAACTTGAATGCAATCCTACTCTCTTACTTTCTTTATATTATAATCTAAGCATTATCATGAATATAATACTAAGTTTGCTCTTTCTATTAATCGCTCCTACTTTTGGTTCAAATCTTGGAGCAGGAATTGAAGATTTAAAACTTGAACCAATATCCTCACTTGATAGAGTTCAAATTATTCACGTTGAAAATATCAAATCAATTACCATGAATATGTTTGCTAAACATGATAATGTAATTATGGTCAAAGAAACAAATTCATCAATAATGCATCAATCTACTCTTGATACAGCTTCACGTATATCTGGAACACCATTCCGAACTCAATTGAATGATTCAAAACTGCAGAAGAACACTTGGTACGAATTCAAAACGATTGGTTCAACCCAATATTTGGGCCCTAAAAGGCCACTTACAGGCTGTTTAAGCAATAGTAAAGGAGATGGCGGTTCTCTCTCTTCTTCATTTTCTAAAACTTTTGGGAAATCAAGTTTTTTCGATCTTTCTTATGGTTATGCTCTTTTAACTTCATTCAGTGTAGCTGTGGGGTATTCATTTACCATTGAATCTTATTATACTGTTTCTGGAAGTTATTCCTGTACTGTTCCAGCTAATACCACTGGACAAGTGTTCATCCAACCATACTATTTGGAATATCAAGATCCTCAAATTCGAAAAGTTAATATTATAGAAGGAAGGGTTTGGCCCAATCCTTTTACACTTTCTCCACATTCAGCTGTATACGACGAATGGGAGTCCATTGATAGTTTGGTTGTGCTTTCACCGGAATCAAGACCAATTTTCACGTGTGTTACCGAAGAAAGTCTACTAGCTTGTGATGAAGAAATCTTGGGTGATACATGGCAAATTTAAAATGGCTGCGAAAAGAAAATAAACAAAATATCGGTTATCAAGAGGCTTAAAAAAATAATGATGTTAATATTAATTATTGTATATATAACAGTATTCAATAAATTGAAAGAAAATCAATAGTAGAATGGAATTTGTATTATTGATTTTGGTGTACTATAATCTATCACGACAATAAAAGTGCATATATCAATGACAAGCATTAACTATACAAAAAAAAAAAAATTGTATTCCATAATCTATCGAAAGCTAATAACATTATATATTTTATCGTGATCTCAATAAAGAATATTTTGCAATCCTATTATCTAATCTTTACAAAGTCTCTAATTGTTCATATATCTGTAGAGAAGAAAATGACTTCCTGTCTGCGCACGACTTCACCGTTGAGAATTTCCTTCCAAATCGCACGCAATGCATATTTATGAGAAAAAAAGTAATTAAGGAAAAATAGCTCAAAACGTTTCTAATATCATTTTATTATCATTATTATTTTTAAAAATGTCTAACGAAATTGCTGAATTAGCTGCTGAGTTGAAGGGTTCCTTGAGAAAGTTCCCAGATTTCCCATCCAAGGGAATTTTATTTGAAGATTTCTTGCCAATTTTCTCTAAGCCAGAATTATTCAACAAGTTGCTTACTGCTTTCAAATTGCACATTGGTGACAAGAAGATCGATTATGTCGTTGGTTTAGAAAGTAGAGGATTCCTTTTCGGTCCTACCTTGGCCTTGCAAATTGGTGCTGGTTTCATTCCTGTCAGAAAGCCAGGAAAGCTTCCAGGTCCAGTTTCATCTGTTGAATTCCAAAAGGAATATGGTTCTGACAGATTTGAAATGCAAGAAGGTGTCATTCCAGAAGGTTCTACTGTTTTGATCGTTGATGATATTTTGGCTACTGGTGGTAGTGCTTTTGCTGCTGGTGAACTTGTCAAGAAGGCTAAGGGTGAAATCGTCGAATACTTGTTCGTTATGGAATTGGATTTCTTACATGGTAGAGACAAATTAGGTAGGCCAGTTTTCACCTTGTTATCTGGTCAAGATAAGAAACTTGAATAAATCAAGATGTGAATATATAGAAGGAGGTATATTTTACCAAATTTAATAGAAAGAATAATAATGTTGATTATATTTGTAAATATATGATGGTAGTGGGTCACAGTGGATAGAGACATCCTCTACTAAAGAACCTAATTACAAAAAACAAAATCTAAATTACTATTATCTCGTTTATTATGCAATCATTTTTGTACATATTTAAAAAATATTTTAACCACTCTTGAATACTAAAAAGGCTACAGCTCCAATATAGTAGTAAACAAAAAATCCCTGTTCATGTGTAACATAAGAGCCAAAGCTCTTACCAACTATCACGTGCCAGGTTGGTCCATATAATTGGTCAAGCTCTTTTTTAAGGAATGCAGCTACATCCTTTTCCGCTTCGTATTTGTTAAGACCCACAGCTGATAATTCAAACACTCTAGTTTGAATTTCTTCAGGCATATCTGAAGCCTTTAGTATTGCTTGAAAGTGGAGTTAGTATGTTGATGTTTTATAAAAGCATAGTATGTATATATATATATATCATTATATATATACACATCCGTATATATTGGTCAAGAAAAATGTATACGTATGTAAATCAATACTTACGGGTCAAGTCGGACATATTGTTGGATGGTTTATTGTATATACTTGGAAGAATTGAATCTAGTTGTAATGGGGTATTTAGTTGTTAACAATAACATAGTGCGAATAAATCAACAGATTTCAAGTCAACATACAGGAATTCCTAGAGATTTCAGTTTTGCCCACCTTAAGGTATGATAAGACATACAAATTAGCAATATTGTAGTTTGAATGGATGAGGAAGTCACAAGTGTAGATTAATCAGTTGGTCTTATCAAGTGAATCATTTCTTCAAAAAAAGTTAATCAATTTATGTTTGAGAATTTCAGTTTTCTTTAGTAATTTACTACATTACGATGGTAAAACAACTTTGAATATAGATTCGTACACAGTTCAATAAAGTCACCATTTGAATAACATTAGTTCAAAGAATAGATCTAGTTCATTAAAAATTAGTCAGCATATGGGTAGTGTCGTACCAGTCTTGTATTAATTAATGCGACTTTGAGAAGGGGGGGTAAGGTAAAAAGGGTGTGGGGAAAGCAATTTAAAGGACCTAAAATGAAAAAGAATATTTGTTTATAAAAAATCCACAAAATATGTCAAGCTACGGATTTATTAAAGTTCCAAGAGATATTAAGAAGGCTATCCCAAATCCTAAGAAGCCAACTTCACAAAAAGTTGTAGAATTACCTTCAGGAGTTCTTGGTAAGTTCATTTTAGAGTATGCTCAAAAGGAACTTCCAGAAAAAGTCTTGAACCATTCATTGAGAGTTTACCAATATAGTGTTTCTATCTTAAAGGACCAATTCCCAGAATGGGATCTTGATCATGAAGTTCTCTTTGTAACTGCATTGTTACATGATATTGGCACTACTGATAAGAATATGTCGGCTACCAATTTATCGTTTGAATTCTATGGTGGAATTATTTCTCGTGATTTGATCTTGGAACAAACGGATGGTAATAAAGTATATGCAGATGCTGTCGCCGAGGCAATTATTAGACATCAAGATCTTGGTGAATCGGGATATATTACATCCTTGGGACTTATCATCCAAATTGCAACTATTCTCGATAATGTAGGGTTAAATTCAGAATATATTCATCCTGATACTCTTGACCTTGTCAATAAAAAGTATCTGCGAGACGGTTGGATTGGATGTTTTGCGAATGCCATAGACAACGAAAACACTCGTAAGCCTTGGGGTCATACTAGTGCATTGGGAGTGGATAAGTTCCGTGATGATGTGTTGGCCAATTCGCTTCGCTATGAGAAATTATAAGTTCCAAGCAACCATTCTTTATATTTAAAGAGCAATTCTATCTATCTATATATATATATCCCTCAATGTAACACTATTTTGTTCGATATGTTATTTGTTGCAATTTGCAACATTCGACTTTTTGTTCACTGATATAACTCAAACAGATCAATAACATATGTGCATTATCTCTTTATATACATCAGACTCAGGTGAGTCTACTCTTATCATCAACTTTTCTGTAACTTACATCAAACTCAAAGTGTGAGATAATTAGGTACTTTGATTTTTCGAGCTACTTCATTTATTTTTTTTTTCTAGATCTTCACGTGACAGCCAAGATCTATCAAACCAACAGGACCTGTGCATTCATACAGCTGCATAGCTTTCACTCAATCCACCCAAGAGTTTCAATAGGGAATTAAATTGATCCATTCGATCTACATTAACATGGTTTCCCCGATTGATCCTAGTAGCATTGCTACACATTATTATAAACTAGCACATCTTTCGGCAATAAAGTACACAATTTACACCACTACAGGTTCCACTACTGCCAACCCCACCAATGATCAAACATTATTAGAGCTAGAACTTAGCATTCGTCATGATAGACCTGGCATTTTGTTGACTTACTACAATAAATGCCTCTATAGATTCCAATTCGTACACATACCGGATGAATCTCTGAATATCACCGACGATTATCCACTACTTTATGAGAAATATTCCAACACCGTCAAAGTTGACGTAATGGCAAATCCTCCAAAACCAACAACACCTGCAAACGATCCCGAGTCCTCAGAGGAGAGCTTATACATCCCCTATATCTCGCTTACATTTCTCAAAGCGGTGAAGAAATTGATCCTTTTCCGATTATCACTGTCATCGGCCCTTCAACTCTTCGGGAACTATGCAGTGGTGAATGAAAGTAACGGAGACAACAAAGACACATATGGTAAGCACATTATCCACATAGACCCGTTACTCCTCTCTAATGGAGACCTTATGGTCTGTATTTCCCAAAAGAATAAGCTCACACTTTTCGATTCTAATGTTTTATTTCGTCAATCACAAAACTCTTCACAACTGGATATATTGCTGAAGAAAACTTATGTTATCTATATTGTTCCTTCGGGTATAAGATGTCACTTGTATTACTCTGACGACCCATTACAAAGTTTTTCCTCCACCCCTCCAAAGAATGGTGAATCCATCATAAATCTCATTAAACTTAGTACTGGGCTTGATTTACAAGCCCAAGCAGATGAATCTGGTAAAGATATTCTTTGGGTGAAACTCATACCAAATCTTCAACATCTCAATAATCAAACCTCAAGAATTTCAAGGTTCATTCATCCTGTTGATAATAGGAAATTCATTTTATGGCCATGGTCACTCTGTTTGATTCAATTTGGATATCATGAATTCAACGTAGAAGCAGAAGTATCTGACACTCTTATGTCTGCTTCCACTTCAACGGAATTCCCCGACCCGTTACATTTGTTGCTGGACTTGATGGACTTCAACATAACCCAACTGCACATCAATCAGATGTCGCCAATGCATTTCAACAGCAATTTGAGTATATCTACATCTAGCAATATTCCTGGTACTCACAATCCTACCAACCCGTTCAGCGTTCCAAGTGCAGGCTCAAATGGAATTACAACAGCAGATAATAATCCCGGTCAACATGCCAGTTCTATAGGTGAAAGTCATGATATACATGGAAGTGATTTTGAAAATATGAATGACGGTTTTTTGAATAACATACAAGATAAAAACCCTAACAATAGCTCTATGGGTATGACTGTTTCTGGTGACAATGAGGAAAATAATAGTGGTAGCGAAATCGACGATCTTTTCGGTGATGATAGTGAAGATGAGAAAGATGCAGAAAATGATAATGATCAGATCGAAGCTCTAAAGGAAGAAGTGGATGAAAAAGAAGGACAGATCGATAATTTGGAAGAAGCGCAAATTCAGAATGATGAATTGGCAGGAGAAGTTAATGGAAAACAAAATGAACCAGATAAACCAAACGACATTAAAAACCTTGATCCCAATGGCCTTGGAATTTCGTTGGCAGACAAGGGACCCACTGAACTCCAGTCCAATTCTGAAGATATAGAAATGACTTCTACTAGCCCGGTAGCACTGTTAAATGAACCGGTAAAATTTCTGGATACTTATATTGATATTCCTAAGGATCAAATGACAATTGCACCACTCAGGAATTATTTGAGCAAATCGAAAACACCCCAATCATACAGTGATCCTGGTGCACCACCACCAATTATGCCTACCCCAGTTTTCCCTGCAAGTGCAGTAATGGGTGGTGCACCAACTACAAATGGAATTCCCTCAGATAATGATGATTCTCAGTCTCGATCTATTTTCCTGCCTCTCTTGTTCAATCCGATTATCAAAAGTAATATTGATACTAAATACGGGAAGGGTGGGAAATTTTATGTTGAGAAGGAGCCAATGGTAGAAGAAAGAAGAAGGAGTCTCAGGGCAACAAGTGTTGTAGGATATGAATCCATAAACACAAGAAAGGAATCTGAAGGAGCAGAATCCCTTGGCAACATCCTTCACCGATACGAGAACTATAAATCAGATGATGGAGAAGATATGAATGAGGAAGAAAGTGACGAAGATGAAGAACAACCGAGAGAAATACTTGATAGTAACATTACCTCGAAAAGGTCTCCCCCATTATTACTTAATGTCTCGAGTGATCCGTTTATGCTGAGATCGAGTGCACATGACAATGACCATTCATCGGCTGCTCTTTCAGGTATACCAGCTCCTTCTGTCAATAACGCAACTTTAAATTCTATTGGAGATTTTAGTTCACCAATGTCAGGTGGTCAAGGAATCCCACAATTACTGAGTGGTGTTCCAAAATTAGAATCTCCATTTGGTGGATTTGGAATGTCGAATGCTAGTGTATTTTCCTCTCGTGGTAATATGGTAGGGTCGATTTCACCAGTAGAAGAGCGCTCAGATGTTTCAGATGAACTGTCTGAGAATGAAGATATGGAAATAGCATCTATAAGTGAAAGCATGGAGCCAGTTCCTGATTCTACAGTTGTCAAAGCTCCTGAGCCCGTACATACGCCACTTGTTACTACCAAAAGTAAATCTGGCTCTCCACCAATATCAGAATCTTCTAATTGTTTACCTCTTATTCTTCGATGCATTAATGTTTCCACTATTCCTAATGTGTTCATTCTCAATAATATTGAGGTCCCGGCACCAGCACCATCAACCAATTTGAGTATGTATGTTGATGACATTGAAGAGAATGAATGGGCTGATGACGAAGAGACTGGAGATCCTCTGGCCCGTCGTGGAATGGTAGTTAAAGTTGGCCATCTTAATGATATTTTAAAGTGGCTCACACCATCTCTCATTTTCGATATGGGATTGAATCTGATTGACAGGCTCTTGGAACTTAAGGTTCCGTCAAGCGAAATGTCTGTTCCTAAGAAATATGTTGTGGATGGTCAACAACCTGACTTTGAGAGAGTATTTGAAGCTAATTTTCCACTTGCCTACAGAATTAACCTTAATGAATTTATCAATGATATGAGTCCAGATGAACCCAGTGAATATTCTTCTGGGAATGTACAACCTACCAGTTCTGCCTCTGCAAATGATATCGAAAGTCAGCTTAGTTTCCTAGATGATATTACAAATGATGAAATATTGAATCCAAGGGGCCAAATAAGAAGGTTACAGTCTTTGGATTGGGACTCGATTTATTGCGATGTTGTTAAAAATAAACAAAATAGTGAAGAATATCGAACAATTTTATTCAATGCTTCAAACAAGAAGCCTACTCAAGATGATGATTTTCTTTTCCCCCTTAAACAATCAAAGGCTCGTGTTCACAAGCAAACAGATACAATTGTAAATTTGAACTCCATTGGATTAAACTTCTGGAAATATTTGCGACTTAGTCCACCAAATGGGCCCAAAAATTTTCAAATGTTATTAGTCTCGAGAGAATTATCAAACACTCACGATATCCATCAAAGCACAGATTGTTCAAACATTTATTCGAAATTTATGGACTCTTTAGTTTACAATTATCGAGAATGTAACTTAGGAAATATATCTCGTATAAACTTAACATCTGATACCAGAAGAGATGTCGATCAATTTTCGAATGGAATGTTATTGGTAGGTGCTTCTTCGTCTTCAAACTTCTATTCAGAAGCAAATAAACGAATGAGTACATTGGCTGAGCAAATCAGAATGGACTTGATTAATAAAACAAATCGGTTTGAATTTGACCGCCCATTATTAGTGATGTTTATAAATTACGATGACTCTGTGAATTCCCTTCTCCGAATCGCAAAGGTTTGCCGTAACTTCCAAGCTTCACTCCATCGCCATCAAGTCCCCTTGGTAGAAGTGTTCAGTTACGTTATCCCATGGTCTCATATCATGAAGAAAGTGGGAACATCAAGAAATTCTTTACGCTATCTTTCAAATTCGAAACTTTGCAAAATTTCAATGAACTTATACAATCAGTGTCCAGATTTAATCCCGCCCACCAAAAAACAACTGGTCAAATTTAAATCAATTTATACTCAATTGGTGAAAGATCCTCCTTCTAAATCTGATTTTAAATTTTTGAATGGTAGGGAAGGCGCTTCTGGTATGGCTTTAAGTGGGAAAGACTACTATACAGGGACGTCATATAATAGTGAAATATTTCTTCATATGGCTTATGAAAGATCTATAGATAAAAATTGGTTTTGTGCTGCTTGGTCTGACCCTCTTGGTCTGACCGCATTTACCAAAACTTGGTTTTGCTCTCCAGCTTATGTGAAGTCACATGGAAAAGATGTTCATGACATTGGAACTATTTGTGATGAAATTTGGGAAATATCAATTGAATTATTTAAGAAATTAAATGATGACATAATTAAAGGAATGTCAGGCTTTGGCGGAAAGAAGTTTTTAGTTCTAACAAGGGTTAACAGTATTATCCCTGATGATGAATTGGTACATTGGAAACGGTTGAGTATGAAGCATAAGGATGTTTCATTAATTGTTTTATCAGTTAATAATAGTCCAAAGATTTTGTTTAATCATAATGACGAGGATTCATCAAAGGATAATTTCGATGAGCAACAACGACAACAACTGTCTGGGATCCAACAAAACCTGACCAGAACTCAGCAAACAATGATGGAATTAACTAAGAATGGTAGCAACGATTTTTTCAAGAATTTCAACCAATATTCTGATGGTGAATCCGCGACGACTTCTCCGAATCTTGCCATGGCAACGTCCCCATTCAATGGTACCGGGATTTCGTTCCATTCACCCCAACAATTTACCAATGCTCCAGGAAACTTCTTATCTCCACAAGATATGATGACATCGAGTGGAGGTGGTGCAAGTGGAACGGGCCATAATTCGAACGATAGCTCTGGAAATTTATATAATAGGTTTATTGGTCGTAATGATTCAATCGATAATATTCTTTACGATTCTAGGGATATTATTCATGCCGTATTACCAAAGGTACCATTACCTTCATTCAATTCACCAACTCGGTTAGGGATGAAAATGGGTTACTTGTTGAAAGAATTCAAAACCCCCAATGGGAACAAGAGCTATTTGGTTTATGAGGTTAATCTACTTAGTTGTTCCAATTACTGGAATTTGAATTCTATCATGAAAGTAATTCTAAGACAATATAGAAATTTGATTACATTAAATGACGTGCTAGGAGTGCGAGATGTTAATACTGGAACCCCTCAAAACGCTAGTGTTGACGAATCATTAGAATATTCTATTTCTGGATTAGTTCCTTGGCATGTTGCGGCAGTTTCCAAGGCGTTGGACTATTTGGTACATATTGATGTGAAAGAGTAATTTTTTATGTTTTTAGAAGAATAAGCATATATCTTAGGCTATTTTTAGCATCGTGATTTGAATTACAGAAAGTAAAAGCTCGGGTCAAACTGTATCACACAATTTCTGTGTCTGGTTGATGAGCTGATAAAGTGAATATATACATCGTAAAATTAAAGTTAAGTATTTCAGGATTGATTAGTAAAATGTGTAAGCTTGACAAATCTCAATAGCATGCAACTTTTGAACACGCATTAATTAATTTCATTTTAAAAAAGCGATAATTTTGTCAACTTTGATATGATGAAGAAAGAATTATAGTGGTTACTCCTATTTTTTTAGGCTTTTATACATTATATGCTACAATGACTGCGTGGATTATATACATAAAAGACGTCATATACCACACACAATAAATGTAAGAATTAAGAGTCTGTGAATATTGAAAATTTCGCTTTTGTTTCCTTTATACACATTTCACTAACGGAAGCGAAATTTCAAGTAAGCGTCAATACGTCTTTGTTGTTGTGCTGTTTCACCGCCATGCATCTTAGGAACTGTCAAACAGCTTACGAAAAATTCTCGCACGAGTATTATTACACACTGTGCGAGGGTGTAAAAAAAAAACCACTAAAAATATTCGGTGCATATTGAGTCGCGTGACTGGTGTCATGTGACTACTGACGCGTATTTGATTTTGTATTTTGGTTGTTTTCAAAAAATAAAAATATTTTGGTGTCACAAATATAGTGTAGAAGTAGTTTAGATATAGACTCTAAAAACACAGTGTAGCATGGATCTCGATAGACAGACGACTGAAGAGCTCATGAATGAGTACGGTAAAATGGGAAGAGTAGAGGAAGAAGGAGGAAAGAAAAGTTGGCTAGATGACTCGTTATTTCCATCTGATTTTATTGAGCTTGGAAGGTCTAATCATTTATCTGATAAAAATGTATATGATGATGACGAAGCATTCAATAAGTTATTCAATCGTTCGCCTACCAAGAGACGTACGGATCCGATATATAAGTCTCAATTCTCGAGGGATGTGAGTCCAATCAAGTATAAGTCATCATTTGATGACCTTAGTATATACAGTGATTTCAATAAAGAGAATGATACAATTGATAAAGAATTAAAGAAATATATTGGGAAAACTTCAGTGTTAGAAGAAGAGAATAAAACGGAGTTGATTATACAGGAAACTCATTATCTTGTGAATAACGTTCCCAGTAATATAATGAATAATAAAGAAGGAGAGAATTATCAGAAATTACTTGCATCATCAATAAATAAATTGGTAAAACAATTGGAGATTACCAAAATTGAAAATAATGAATTGAAGAAGAAACAAGAAAATATTTCGAATTTAAAAGATCAAGTTTACAAATTAGAAAATAATTTAAAAGACTTTCGTAATACCAATGAAAATTTACGGAAACAATTAAATGAAAGAATAATTAAAACCAACCAGAATGTATCTTCAAATAAAGAATGTGAATTACTTCGAAAAAAATTAATAAAATATAAGAATTTATATGATGAAAAGGTAATTGAAGTGAATGAATTAAAGAAAGTTAATATTAAAAGTGAAATTAAAAATGATGAGAAAGAATCATCTAATTCAAATTTAAAGAAAATTATAATTGAGATATTGAAGGAGAATGGATTGGATAAAAGAAACCAAACTAATGATTATAATAATGATAAGGAAAGTCATAAAGAAGAATTGCAAAAAGATATCGAATTACCAATTAAAAATGATAAACAAAATGATCAAAGTTCTATTGATAAAATATTTGAAACAATATCAAAGAATCAAGAATTACGAGCTAAATTTACTAAATTACTTGAGGAAATTCCACCCAACAAGAATTCTATAAAAGGTGGAAAATTAACAAATAATGATAATGACATTGTAGTGAAATGTTATGTTTGTTATCCAGACCTGAGGGAGTCCAAGAATCAAGAAACTTGCAAGCAATGTTCAACAAAAGAGGGAGAAGAAGTAGTCAAGGATAGAAATGATACTATGAATATGATGGGAGAATATAAATGGACATTATAGAGGAAATCTCAACAGAAACGATATTCATAACAATGAACTAAACTTTATAATACGAAGAGAGAAGAAACCCATAATATTATTAACCCTGGCGGTTAATTCAAGTCCTATTCGCATATACGTCAAATTTTAGTAAGAGTAGAGTAATAAATACACCAATGAGATACACGTTCTAAAATAATAATAATAGTGATTTATGTGATATAATTTGAACTTACTACGAAATATGTTTCACAATCATTCTTTAGAGATATTTTTTAGGATCAAAACGTACACATTAGCTGATTAAAGACCCTTTAGAAAGCAACCAAGATATTTTAGTTAGATCATGGGCAAATGATGCATGATATTATTTAGAATAGTGGAGTGGGTGTACACGAAATTCTCATGCATGAAACACAGTCATCTAAATCACTGCCGCATGGAACAAAAAGTTTATCTATCAGGAAATATTGAAATGTAAACAAAGGGTAATTACGTTGTAGGAGTGCACTTTTGGCGAAGTCCAGAAAGTTAAATAAAATAAAAATAAAAATAAAAAATGAAATAATCATAACAATAATAAAAAAAAGAAATATGAGGAGCGAAAAGCAATTTGAAATACGATGTGGAAAAAGTCAATAATGCATGGCGCCGAGATAGGTGAAAAGAAATAGAATTATGGAACGGATAAATAGAACAATACAATAACAATGAGAAAAATATGTAAGATGGACGGTTAGTATAACGATAGAACAAGTGGCCTGACCTTGCCTGAGGAGTATGAGCAGACAGAGAGCATTGTGGAGATTGTTGGTTGTATTTACCTTTTTGTAGGGCTTTGTAACTTTCACTGGAACCCTAACAATATTATTCTAATTATTTATTATTTTTTAAAATTGTTCTATTTTTTGAAATAAAACACGGATTCTATATCTAACCTTCCGAACTTGCGGTGAGGAGGTGGGTCACGGGTTACGTAAGATCCCAATGTATCACCATACTCGCATTCTGGGTCCCACAATTTCGAATTTGATGAACCCGTAGTGTATGTAGGGGCAGTTTTTTTTCCCATTTTGCGCGTACATCGTAGCTGTAGAACATCCGTGCCACGTCGGTCTGTGTGCACTCTGTTTACTATAAACGCGCCGCAGCTTGCCTAATTAGGCTGTCAACATCTGCGAGAAAAACACTGAAACCGATCACAGGAGGGACAAAGCACCGTTAAACACTTTATAGTAATTGAGTATCCCAGAAACTATCCCCATTACAAGGAAAGAACCAACGATTGCTTCCAACTTAGTTTTCACATCTATATTTTGCATATCTAGCCGACTACCCCCATTGGTCATCCCATCAAATAGACGCGATATTTCTAATTGCACTCTCACATTATCCACAGAAACATTTTTGTCTTCAAATTGGATTTCGATTTTTTTTTAATCCATCAAATAGCCATCAGCTCTTTCCGTTGGATCTCTCTCTTTTCTTAAAATTAAGAGAACTGAATACCCTGCTATTATCCTACTAGCCTTTGGTCTTTTCCCCCCATATATTCACAATAATTAAACAAATAGCAAAGAAGGAAGGAAACCCCCCCACCCCCTCCCGGTTGATCCCAACTTTGTTTTAAAATAGAAGAAAAAGAATACTCACTAGCCGGTTTTGGAGATAGTGACGTTATCTGTAGATAGGATACAACCCTGCTCATCATGCCACAAACTATTAATAACGAGAATGAGTACAGGTTAACTCGTTCCAAGGCTGTTCATCTGACCCTTGATGAACAACTGACGACTGGTACCAAGCCAGTTCAACCTCCTGTAACTGTTTCGTCCAACACCACAGCCAATGAGGCAGTTCTGGTGAACACACGCGAGTACTTGGGTGACATGTCTAATCAATATGGATTGGATAAACCCAGTGGTTCGTCTACAATGGGAACAGGTGTCAATTCTAACGTTGCTAATATTAATACTAATACCAGCAATACTAATAACAATAATAGCATGGCAATCCCACCCAGACGTCCGCTTGGAGGTGACATAAAACCATTACAACAAAGATTGAAGCCCAATAGTTCCATTGCTGTTCCTGGTACTCAACAACAATCATCAGCTCCTCCACCTCCACCACCCCACAAAAACCCATTAGCACCAACTGATAATAATACTAATACTACCCATAATCATAATCATATCACCCCTGCATCGACTCTTGCTGTCCCTCCTAGACTTCCTCAAAAACGCCAAGCAACAGAATCATCAACTAATTTGGTGGAAAAACTTCATTATAATGTTTCCAATGAAAATAATCATAATAATAATAATAGCAATAGCACTAATCAAACTTTTAAGAAATCTAAAATCATCGTTGATTATGAATGGGAAGATTTGGATGAAGAAGATATGGATGATCCATTAATGGTTAGTGAATATGTGAATGATATTTTCCCTTACTTGAGAGAATTAGAATTGAAAACACTTCCAGATTCACAATATTTATTCAAGCAAAAACATTTAAAACCCAAGATGAGATCAATCCTTGTGGATTGGCTTGTTGAAATGCATTTGAGATTCAGATTACTTCCTGAAACTCTTTTCCTTGCTATTAATATTATGGATAGATTCATGTCATTGGAAGTGGTACAGATTGATAAATTACAATTATTAGCAACTGGATCACTTTTCATTGCTGCTAAATATGAAGAAGTATTCTCTCCTTCAGTTAAAAACTATGCCTATTTCACTGATGGTAGTTATACTGAAGAAGAAATTCTTCAAGCGGAGAAGTATGTTCTTACTGTACTTAACTTTGATTTAAGTTATCCAAATCCAATGAATTTCTTGAGAAGAATTTCCAAAGCTGATGATTATGATGTACAACTGAGAACTTTGGGGAAATATTTGCTCGAGATATCCATCATAGATTACAAGTTTATCGGGATGATGCCATCGTTATGTTCTGCTGCTGCAATGTATATTGCCAGAGTCATATTGGCCAAGTCCCCTGTATGGAATGGTAATTTGATTCACTACTCGGGCGGGTACCGTGTGAGCGACATGAAAGAATGCATTGAACGTATAATTGCATTTCTTGTTGCACCAGTTGAACACGATGAATTTTTCAAAAAATATGCCAGTAGAAAGTTTATGAAGGCAAGTATACTATGCAGAAGTTGGGCAAAGAAAGTAGTTGCTGAAAACAGAGATATCTTTGCTGAAGGCAATTAAAGAAAGAAGACTAAAAGACATAAAACAACAAAAAAAAAATTTTTAAAGAATAACAATTAATGGTTTACAGATAGATGTTGATCTACTTCAAGTGGTTGTTAGCTGCTATATATACATGCATTATATATAAATATATATACCCATATCAAGAGAGTTTTGTAATCAGTGCTTTGGGGAAAAGATTTGGTGGATGGTATATGTGACACAAAATCGCGTTAATATGGAAATGCAATATTTTTGTATTTATGTTTTCATAAATGCAAATCAATAAGCCAAGTGATAAGAGTAATATACAAGAATGTTTCAAGGATCTATTTTCCTAGTTGTAAACTCTTCTGGAGCTCCAAGCTCGAAGCTTGTAGAGGTTTTGGAAGAAAATGATGCTCAAGTGTATGTCAAGGATGTACACTCCAATGACATCAACTATCTTGATGAATCTAAATCTCCATCCATTCCAACCCACATTATATCCAGTAGCACGCAATTCATAGAGTACTTGGAGGCACATGCGTCAATGATCCCTATCACCACTGCTGAATGGGTTTGGGATTCGTTGAAACATGGACGTCTTTTGAACCCAAAGGCTTACAACCCAGACCCCAGATATTTTTTGAAGGATACATTTGTTTGTGTGGCTGATGATTTACCTGAAGGTGACAAGGAAATCATTTACGGAGGTGTGAGGGCTTTTGGCGGGCAATATTTGGACGCGTTGACTAGATTTACCACTCATTTGATTGCTCTTGATATGAACAATGATAAGAGTGTGATTGCAGCTAGTACCAAAGATCCAATAAATATTAAAATAGTACTCCCTCATTGGATAGATGAATGTTTGAAAAGAGGAGAAAAAGTTGATGAAACTCCATATTTGTTACCAAATCCAACAATTGATTTGAACTCAGACAAGGAACACGGGAAAGTAATCTCTTATGATGAAGAAATAATTCCATATCCACCAACTGATGAAATTTCCAAGCATATTAATACATATCTACAAGATAAACGATTTTATCTTGCACAAGATTGTAAACTTTCATCCAGATTAAAGGAAGCTGTGCATTCTTTAATTGAAAGAAATGGTGGTAAATGTGTAAATGAATTTGATGTGGATCAAGTTGACGTTTACATTGGACATTTCCGTGATGGCCCTGAATACATCACTAGTTGTTTATCTCAAAGAATCATTGTTGGAACCTTACAATGGTTATATAGCATTGTCACTCTGGGTAATTGGGTATTACCTATAAATTCCAATCCACTCCATTATCCAGTGCCTCCTACGCCACTATCAGGGTTTAAAAACTTGAAGGTTTCGGTGACAAATTATAGTGGAGATGCTCGATTCTATTTATCTAAATTAATTACAATTATGGGTGGGACATTTACCAAAACTTTAACCAAAGAAAATGACATTCTTATTGCTGCAAGACCTGTGGGGAAGAAGTATGATGCGGTTAGGAATAGATGGGACTCTGATATCAAGATTGTGAATCATTTATGGCTTGAAGAATGTTATGCTAATTGGAAAATTAGTAATTATGAAGATGCACATTTCCAAGTTATAGATGAGAATAATATGGAGAGTTTATTGGGGAGAATTCATTTAAATCCAAAGGTGCTTGAAAATTGGTATAAAAACATTGATACTAAAGAAATAGATGACAGTATGAGTGAAGATGAATCTACTCAACCAAGATTTGGAAAAAATAAAGAGAAATTAGAGAAGCAGGTTGACAACGAAATTGTCCAGGAAGATGAAATAAAGCTTCAGGAAGAAGATGAAAATGTGGATAAAAAACAAGTTGAACAAGAAGCGGAAAGTCAACAAGTGATAAAGAAGTCAAATAAGAACAATATTCAAAAGATACAGGAACCTGTCACTGATTCAAAACAATTGGATGAAAAGGTTAAAGAAAAGGAAAATATGACTCCTCCACCAACAAGAGGAGGAAGATCTGCTAAACAAAAGGCTGCACAGAAACTCCATTCTGATATGACTGATTTAAATGATTATCAACAAATGTCTAAGAGTGCTAGAAAAATGAAGCATTATATGGAAGATTTGGAGAGTTCCGTGACACCTACAAAGAAAGCTAAAATAGAAAAGCAAGAGGATGGTGGAATATCTGTGGAGAAAGATAAACTCAAAAGCCCAAAGACCACCTCCATCCATACCCACATTATTACTACCGGTTGTGAACTGGAACTCACATTAGGACGTCTGGATATTGAAGAATTGAAAAGACTAGGAATAAAGGTAATGAACGATTTTTCATATAATCAAAAGGTTGACATTCTCATTGCTCCTAGAATTATGAGAACTGAAAAATTCTTGAAATGTCTTAGTCAAGTTACACAAATTTTACACCCTAGGTATCTTTCAGATATATTGAAAAAAGTATCAATTTCCAAAGATGTAACTTGGCCTGCTATTGAAAAGGAATTTAAGGCTACAGATTACTCCTTAGAAAAGATTATTGGTTCCAAACTTATTAACAAGGAATTGGGATTGTCGGAGAATGATGATGGATTACAGAAACTTCTTTCTTCGACTAATAAGGGTAAGGTCTTTGATGGTATACGGTTTAACCTATCCGCTAATTTAAATGGAGGTCCAGATGTCATTACCAAGATTTTGGAAGCGCATGGATGTAAGGAAATCAAAGTGGTTAAATCTATAACAGCATCAAACATGAAGATATTGGTCAAGAATGATGAAAATGTGCTATATGTCGCGCATAAGACGAAGGATGCTAAAACTGTTGTAACTTTCAAGAAGCTGTGCCCGACAGGGATCGCTATTGATTGGGATTGGTGTGTGAAATCAATTTTCAAAATGGTTAAAGAAGATTTCGGTAAATACAAATTGTAAAAAAGAAGTAAATATATTAACAGAATGTGAATTTTTTATATATTGCAATACAAATGCTTAGAGGTACTCTAAATATCTATCAAACTTGGACCATCTGTCCCATTTCTTTGGTATTGGGCTTGTTGTTGCTGCTGACCAGCGCTAGCGTTTCCAAAACCATATCCAGTGTAGGCAGGATTGATCTGTGATGGGTGCTGAGAGGATTGACCTTGACTCAGAGGTTGACTCTGTGCTTGGTAACCAATTCCGGTATTCAAAAATGGGTTCCCGGTAGCATTAGAACTCAACTTTTGTTCTCCATAAGATTGTTTGTATCCAGTACCACTGGAGTTTATGAATTGCTCAGTTTTGGTGTGTTGGTGTGGGATTCTAGTAGCTCCAGTGTTTCCGAATGTATCTATACCAGTACCTTGTGCCAACAAGTTATTCAATTCCGAGTGTGTGGAGTCGTTAAACTTAGAGGCAGTATTTTGTGGCTTCAACTGTTGTGTTGGTTGAGTGAAAAATTGGGGTTGTTGCTGTTGCTGTTGGTTACTGCTGGCCAATTCGGATAACGATGGTTGAGCAGGTTTCTGTTGAGGTGCTTCAGATTGAAGAGCAAATGGGTTGTTAGATCCGGTTTTTAATGGTTGTAACTGTTCTTGTTGTTGTGGTTGTTGTGGTTGTTGGAATTGACCGTAGTTAAATCCGGTGAATTGTGGCTGCGAAGGTTGAGCATATTGTTGTTGCTGTTGGTAGTAATAGCCAGTTTGCATTGCGTTCTGTATTGGGTTACCAAACATATCGTATTGTTGTTGAGCAAATTGTTGTTGAGTGAATTGTGGTTGTTGTTGGTAACCTGTCACCATGTAGTATTGTTGACCTTGAGGCTCATCAGTCAAGTCTAACAAGTTTTCGTTTTGTAAACGCTTTTGCTTTCTCATTTCTTCCTCTTCCATTGATAACTTCAAGGCTGCTTCCAAGTCTGCGTCAGTTTCCTCTGGTTGATTTCTACGTTGTTCTTCTTCGGCAGTCAACTTGGAAAGTTCAAGTGCCTTCTGCAATTCGTCATCATATGGCTCATCATTTGGTCTTGTGTTGGTGGTGTTTCCCCTTGAACGTCTACGTCTACCACTAGGGTTTTGTGACTTTTGAGCTAAATCTCTCTCATGTCTCAACCGTTCATCATCTCTCAACAAGGATACCAATTCCTTGGCCTTCACACGAATCAAGGCACCTTGGTCGGTGTCGGCTTCGTCAAAGTGTATAAACTCACGCAATGTCTTGACAATGTAGAGATTATCCTTGGCCCACAAGACACACTTTTCAGATCCAAACCGAACTAAATAATCTAATACGGTAAGAGATTTGGCAACATGTCTCCAATTCTTCCCCTTATCATTCAATCTTCTGTCTAACATATCCATTATCTCCAAGAAGTCGGTTTGTGATTGATATGTTAAAGATGCAATTTCCTCCATATCATAAGTCGTAGGGCCCAGTGGGTCATTTGAGGTGGCGTTTCTAACCAATACCTGGACGGAGGAGTACCCGTTGGCAACGTTTTTGATAGAACGCACTAAGGACTTGGACATTTTTCAATACCTGTTTCTAATTTTACAGTCTATGTATCTAGTTTGCACAATAGGAAATAGTGCTTATCAATCACTCTCCCCTATTCAAAACTATCGCAAGAGATTATTATCATTTAAAGGGGGTAGTGTACCACTTCCAATCGTTGAAATGTAAATTGCGGATGTCACGTGTTTTCTGGTCAGGAAATTTGAAATCTAACCCGGATAAGCCAAAAGATACAGAAAAGAAATACTACGGAGAATGCATGTTGGTATGTTTAAGAGTAAAGATGTTTATTAGTTTGAAGTGATTCGAACAATGTATAGAGTAGATTGAATTTTTTTGTAGTTTGTTTGCTTTCTGTTTTATGTTTTAATTGGGGAAATTCTAATTCTAACTAAATTCACAGTTTTCTATGGGCGCAGTAAAGTCATGGGGTTTTGACACAAGGAAAAATGACATGTAGCATTTGAACATACCAAGAAATAATTGTATGTAATCGAGATAAGTGCTGCCTCATTTGTAGAACTTTACTTTGTATCCGTAATCAAGACTCCACTTGATATAGAAGGTTTCCCCCCCCCCACACACACACACACACACATATGACATCTACATACCATTACCTGCTCTACTCTTTTTTTTTTCTGCTTTTATATCGAACACCTCAAAAACTGAGAATAGTATATTCAACCATATTTTTGCAGCCAGTGATTTTTATAAACTATAAACATACGTATTATGACCTTGTATAAGGTACTTTTAAAACTATTAAGTATTTATTGTTAGATATACCTATTTCTTACCAGCTTCAGTACCATGATCGACGCTAATGATATTATCGGAACTGGAATCACCTACGTCAAGCTCTCTACCATTCGAATCGTGTGTAGCATCCCAATCTTCAACTTGATCAATTGGAACTTTGACAACGGTATGGCCCTTTTCACCATTTTCCAATGTATAATAAAGTGTTCTGTGTTGATAATTGAAAATCTTTGGCAAAACCTTTGCCCAAACGTAGTAGTAGATGATACATACAATCAAAATTCCAATAGTGGTCAACGCATACGTACAATAGAAGAATGAAACATCAGAACCAATCAAACCAGTTGTAGGTGGGACAAATGCCATGGCAATGACAAAGATTTCATAGAGAATTGTAATAATCAAAATTGGAAGTGGAACCTTGAAGCCTTCAAAAGACAATCCTGCAGCCTTTCTATGTTGTCTAACCATGAGCAAACCAACCACAAGAACTAATTTAAAAATGTATCCGGAATAAGAGCCAATGTCAACAATGAAGTTATAAGCATCGCCTGGTGGGGGGGCAATTAAAACAATCACATTGACAATGTAAGTAGCAACAAGAGGTAATACAGGAGTTCCCCATGGTTTGGTCGTAGTCCACAAATGAGAATATGGTAAAACACCTTGTCTTCCACATTCTCTTAAGGATCTAGAATGTCCAACAACTACTGCAAGTAAATGACCCAATGCAGAAAATGCAACCATTACATTAAGAGCTTTTTTCGATGACTTAGTTCCGAAAACCTTATCGAAGAAAGAACCTGCAATTAAAGTACCAGAGCTCTTGATGTGCTTGATATCATTGATACCAGCGTAATAAGCAGTAACCAACAAAATATATAAGATGAAAACAGAAAACATGACGGCTGGAAGGAAGTATCTGAACATATTCTTTGTCTTTCTTGGGTCGGATTCACCTGCGACAGCAATGACGTACCCAGTTCCACCATAAGAGAAAGAAACCTTAAGGATAGCACTGGAGATAGCATTACCGTCCGAAGTAGAACCCTTCCATGAATCTTTAAAAATTTCTGTAGGGTTTTTCACTCTAGTGTTGTTACCAAGAACAACAAGACCGGTGATAGCAATAAAAAGAACGAAAACAATCTTAATAAATCCTAAGATGTTGGAAAGCTTAAGTGCAATTCTTGAATTAATAATTGATAATCCACAAACGAACGTCAATACTGCAACACCAACGCCTCTTTGTTCCCAAGCAGTTGCCTTGTAGTCTGCAGCAGCAAGGATATATGAAGAGAATGCAATAGCAGAAGATGTCAGAAATGATAAAATGACAGTAACTGCAGCATAAGTAGTTGCAACCAAGAACTTGGGTCTTGGATATGCTTGTTCCAAATAAACAACATCACCTCCAGAACGACGCTTAAAGTACATAACAAATTCAATGTATACAAGCACTTCAAAAAGGGCAATGATAAATCCAGCAACCCATAAAACATAACTGGCACCAATTGAACCAATAGATTTAACAACAGAAGCAGGGGTTGCGAAAATACCAGTTCCAATCATACCCTGAAGCACCATAAAGTATGCGGTGACATAGTCCAAGTTGTAACCCAAGGGGTTGACAGTTTCGACAGGTGCCCCGATAGAAAGCTGATGTTCTGAATCGTTGTCAGAGGCGTATGAATCGACAGGGTCCTGTTTTTCACCTCCCCATATTGGAGTAAGAATATAGTTGATGTACTTGGACATTTGGACGTATTCTAAGTAGAGAAAGAGATGAATTGAAATTCAAGCATTCTACCGTGCCCTTTTAATACCTGGAGCATTCTACCTTACTACCTCATGATTTCTTGTTCGCTCATTGCAACAATGTTCGTGCCACAGCCGCACAGTTTTCGACATTAATTCAAGAATTTCAGCTGTGGAACCCAAACTGTGGAGCAGGAAAACTAACAAATTAACCGCTGAACAAGAAAAGAAACTAATTTATAGTGCCAAGCTCCTCATTGTATCACCTCGTATTATTATTCTTGTCGAGACTCGTTCCATTCCCTATAGTTTCATGAAGAACTTGAAGCTTTCTTTTCTAATTTGCACTGTGTGTAATCTAATTTCGCACCTTACTGTGGTTGCAATTTAATTGATTGCAAAAAGTAACGAATATTTTTTTAAGTTCGGACGCATATCCCCCGCCAAGATTTTATTGGGGAATAAGAACTTTTTTCGGCAGTTTGAAAGTATCCATAGCTTCAAATGCCGTTAACGTACAATTCGATAAGGCTTATCTTTTTACAGCCACAACCCTTTTTTACCAATAAAATTCCCTTTTTTTAAAATCATTGTAAATTAATTCTACCTCTCCAATTGGACCAGTAGTAGTTTTCTGCTCATTCTTCATCATTGTTAATTCTACAGATTTTACTCAGATCTTGTGGAATATTCTATATGTATCAAACTTTTATTATATGCTTGCAAAAGATCCCCTGAAGTCTACGACTTGCAATATATCTCTCAGTAGTTGGCATGTTGGCATGTTAGAAGTTGAATGACCTCATTTCAATTACAATCTTAAAAACACCACAGTATAATTCTGTATCTATGCCACTTGCAATATCTTGTATAATGATCAAAATTTCCTGATTAGGTATCTTTGTCTCGCTTAACCAATATCAGCCTGGAATTCTAGATCGTGAAGGCTTTTTGACATAAAGAAGGTTATTTTTTTGAGTTGGTAATAAGATTCAACACACATGTTGAATTAATTGTGTTGGGCGGTAAATCCACTAAATCAAATACTTAAATTTTTTACTTTACTAGGCTAAATATTAATCGTACCTATATTTTAATGTATCTAAATGGAGTATTTGATCCAATTTCACTGTTATTCAGTGTATTCAAATCCATTTTATTTATGCTTTTTGAATTTATTGAAATTAAATTACTAATTTATATATATAAATTGTGAAAAATACCCCAAAAATTATGAATTTCAATGTTCAATTTCCAAAAAAAAACTACAACATATTTCCCCGTATTTCACTAACTGAAAATTACAAACCAACAGTAGTAATATCTTTATAATTTAATCTAAATTATATTTTACTGGGGGTTTTTTTTTTGAATATCCTTTGTCAGATTGGTTTAAATTTTTCATTAACTACCATATCAATCAATTTAATCCATCCTTACACCTTCTTCTATTTAATTCTTTTATACAACAACACGTGATCAAATTACACAAACCCAAATCAATTTTCTAAACAACAAAAAAAACCATGATTAGAAACAATAAAGGAATTTATCTCTTCTTATTAATCTAAAGTTACATAATATTAGACAAAGTACACATAAATCTGTACACTATAGTCTAATCAGAGTTTTTGCCCTGACCTTTGTAAGATAGAGAATTTATTTGCTGCTTAAATTTTGAAAATCAAGAGATTGTTCGCATAACGCGCGAAAAGGTTTTGATAGTGAGGTTTTTCTGATATAAGAAGTTAATCTAGAACCCTAGTTAAACGGATTCTAGTTGATAATACTGTACGAGGTAAAAGTATCATTGTCCACGAGCTCACAAGAGTTGAACCAATTGTATTTTTCGAGTCTAATTGAATTGATTCATCTGCTTATTAATTGAATTGAGAGAAAAAAATTGCCAATATTTGTTTTTTTAAACAGAAAAATATTGAACAGACACAAACAATCATAAGAATTTCCTATTTGATAAAGGATATACTAAGAGTTTGATTACCTACTGCTAAATATGTCATACTACGATTCTGGAGATGGGAGAAGATGCCGTCGTTGTAAGAGAAAGAGACTTGATGATGAGCCCCCTGAAGTACGTCAATATAAAACATGTGCCAAATGTCGTATTATTGAAAGACAAAAGAAAAAGCTGAAGAAACCTCTTGCTGAAGAGACCATGGCGTACGGTATGAGACAGCTCCAGGAACATGGAGGCTGGAACGATGACTATTTTGTACAAGATGATTATATGGAAGAATCTTCTAATAAAAGAACAAGAATAAGTTCTTCTTCATCACTTGCAGCCACTGCCGCCGCTGCAGTCTCTGCCGGTCTGGATTATTTGCAATATGCAGCTACCATTGGAGATGGTCATTATGATACTTCAGGTTACCAACAACCTCTTCAACAGCAACACACACCTGTTCAACATTTTGTGAGCCACCAACCGAAGGATCAAACAATTCTTCAACAATATCCCCAACAAACGCAACAACAACATTTCCAGCAACCAACTCAACAACAACAGCAACACCATCAAGCCTTCCAGAGTGGACCACAGTCTATGATTGCTACTTCCAATACTGTTAACCTCAACAATAACAACAATAATATTAATAGTGGTTCTAACTTCTCCAATAACAGCTTAGTTGGAGGTGGCGCTTCAGGAACTGGTAATTCTAGTTACTCAACTGAACAACAGTACAGCCAAACCCAAATTTCCAATAAACCAACCTTTTGTGAAGTTTGTGGAACTAAAATTGATATTGAAGTTGCCCATCTTCATTATAATTTGTGTAAGACTTGTTGTATTAACCCATACAGATTACCTAATGTGTATGAGGACTTCAGTGACTTTTTGCAAGAAGTTGCCCCAGATAGAAATCAAGATATTGCCACTCTTACCTTTATTAAGGAAGTAGTTTCCCCTGATTTCAATGAAAGTTTGGATACCAACAATGTCAACCCAAATAATGAAAGACAATATAGAGAATTGATTTTGAACAGTATCAAACAAATTTATCTTAACCCTGTGATGGCTGCTACTGGTTATAGATTTACGAGAGTCTCATCAAACTTGGCAGTTGCCAGTCATACGACTCCAACTGTCGACCCAGCCACAGGTAGATATTCTTATAAGAATACTCAACAAGTGAAGGCGTTATTTAAGGTGAGACAAGATGGTATTGATACCAGTAACCAGCCTCAATTATTTGTGTCATATAATTTGTCAACTAATATCATCATCATTAAATTGAGAAGGAAGATAGAGAAATTGAAATCTGAAGAAGAACTTGAAGCTGTTAATGCCAAAGAAGGTGCAGGCAAAGATGAATCAGGCTTTACAACCAAGGAAACCCAAAGAATTTCTGAAAAATATCCATTTAAGCTTGTTAATTTGGTTGTAAGAATTTTGAAAAATTCTATTCAAGAAAACACCAATTCAGATATTGAATTAGGATTTAACGAACCTACAGGATTAATGATATTTGATATATTGGTGAACAAAGAAAAGGATTATCCTGTTGAAATCCAACAACTTGTGGCTTCTTACTCGAAAGAAGAGTTTGCGAAGGATTTCGTGTCATTTGAAGTGCTTCAAAATGGTGTTAATAAACCGACAGCTGAGTTAAATGGAACAGTGTCTGAGTCCAAACTGGAAAGTGGTGATGTATTCAATAAGGAAGAAGAAGGAATTGAAGAGGATGAAGAAGAGGAAGATATAGAACAAAGAGGGCAAGAATCAGTAATCGAAGACGAAATTTCAGTGACAGGAGATGGTGTGACAATAGACAACAGAACTACCACAAATGATATTGATGAGGTAGTTGAAAGAGAAACTGCCAATGATCAAGAGATATCAAAAGAAGGAGAAGAAGAAGAAGGAGAAGAAGAAGAAGAAGAAGTAGAAGTAGCAACAGAAGAAAAGGAGGTAGTAGGAGAGGTTAGTGAACTGAACCAAATTGGAGATGGAGAAGAACTCGATGGTAGTGCTGAAATTGACACTAGTAAAATCACCGGATCGATATCAAGTGATGCATCAGAAGTGACAGGAGGCGAACTGCTTGTGTCACCTGCACCTGCTCAATCTGCTATTTCTAGTGCCTCTGAAGTGAACCTTGATCCAGTGTTTGGTATGTAGGGAGAACTTATGTAATAATATACAAGCTATTTTTGACGTAAATTGACGTTTGATTTTTTTTTGGCATAGCCCTTCTCAGCCTCGCTCAAGATGTAAAACCGCGAATTATGCAACAATCGCGCGCATACGCAAGGTTGTGAATTTTTTTTTTTTGATGATCTAGGGGTGAGTCGTGCGCGTAGCATCCACAGGGAATATCCGAATGGTTCCTCTATTTTTAAACATTTTGTAAGCCATTTCAACTAGTGTACTTGTTTCTCCCCTATATATCGAAGGATGAAGCTTGTGAATTGCATATTGCTGTTGGCACTTGCCAGCTTTACGCAGGCAATTTGGCTCGACACAAACAACGTGACTACTATTGAGTATGATACCGCGTTGATCGCCAAAGGTTTGCTTGATTATTACGATGGATCCAAGTATGGTGGAACTATTGGGATGTTCACATGGCCATACTATTGGTGGGAAGCTGGTGGAGCATGGGGGTCGCTCATAGATTACACTTACTACATGCAAAACGATACTTTGGTTCCACTCATCAAGCAAGCGCTTTTGTATCAAACGGGTAACGATGACAATTATATCCCACTTAACCAATCCACTACCGAAGGTAATGATGATCAAGGGTTCTGGGGGATTGCTGTTATGGCCGCCGCCGAAAAGAACTTTTCAAACCCAGATGATCCAGCCCAAGGATGGTTGGCTCTAACCCAAGGTGTATTCAATACCATGACTGCTAGATGGGATCTTGGTGAATGTCAAGGTGGTCTTAGATGGCAAATTTTCCAATGGAACTCTGGTTACGACTACAAGAACTCTGTTTCCAACGGATGTCTCTTCCACTTGGCTGCCCGTTTAGCTAGATACACGGACAACAGCAGTTATGCTGATTGGACAGAAAAAGTTTGGGATTGGATGCTTGGTGTTAATCTTATCCATGAAGGTCAATATTGGGGAAACCACGGGAACTTGTTACAACAAGGAGAACCATACTACTTCATCTATGATGGTGTTAATGTAGGTGGTAACTGTTCCAATGTCACCGAATTGTTATGGACTTATAACCAAGGGTTATTCCTTTCTGGAGCTGCATACTTGTACAACTATACCAAGGACGAAATTTGGTACAATAGAACTGCTGCCTTATTACGTGGGGCATCTATCTTTTTCGTTAATAATTCCGTCATGTACGAAGCGTCGTGTCAAAGTTCAAAGACTTGTAACCAAGATCAACGGTCTTTCAAGGCCTATTTTTCAAGATTCCTTGGGTTGACCTCGGTCATGGTCGCTGATACCGAACCAACCATTACTTCCTGGCTTGTGGACTCTGCTAATGCCGCTGCCCACTCATGTTCGGGAGGTTCGGATTGGCATACCTGTGGGTTGGATTGGACCAATTCTACGGGTTGGGATGGTTTTTGGGGATTAGGTGAACAAATGTCCGCATTGGAAGTAATGACCAACTTGCGTGTTCACAATGTACCTGCGCCATACACTGCCAAGAATGGTGGGTCTTCCATTGGGAACCCTGCTGGAGGTTATGCCACCACTCTCACAGACGCATCGCCTTTGGCAATTGATGCAGGTGACAAGGCCGGGGCCAGTATCATCACCGTGATCATCAGTGTTTCATTGATTGGATCGGCAGTGTGGTTACTCATTTAAATCTAGGTAATAAAAGTAAATACAAGAAAAGAAAAAAAAAAACTTAAGAAAGGTCTACATGAATGATTGATAGAGGAAATATTGTACAATAATTAGTTTATTCAGGTTTAAAATGAATAGAAGAAATAAGATTTAGTAAGTAATTGATTTTTAAAAAGGTATAAGACACACATGTAAAATGGAAAGCTTGTTTATTGAAGCTAGAGTTTCTTCTGTAATTTGTAATCCTTCTCCACATTTACAAAGTTGCCTTAAACTGTATTAGCACAAGAGTCATGTGACCACAAAAAAAGACCTACATATAAACCAAGTTAAAGATAACGGCAAAATGGATTCTCAATATTTAAAAATCATAACCTCACAGTTTTTATCCTTTTAAAGCTAGTAGAGATATATCTATATATATACCAGTGTATTTATCATGGCACTGGAAGATCAATTTACTTCAATTCAATGGGACCGTGACGATGTGGCATCTACTGAGGCCCCTGCCCTGCCACCACCACCTCAATATGCGGTCATACACGAAGGGGACGAGCACCGAGAATCTAAGGAACTTTCAGGAGGTGATGAGAATAGTCACGGTGATGCAGAATTAGAGTCGGAAGACCCATCGAATTCCTTGCTTATGTCGCCAGAGAGAGATCATTCGTCTACCGGAGGAGATGATATTGGCCACAATAGTAGTTCAGCCAGTGTTAATTCTTTGAGTAGTGCTGGAAGGGCTGACAGCGATAAACAGATTGCTCCTGATTTTGGCACTCATCACGATGAACATGAAGAGGCTCACCACGGAGAAGAGGAAGTCTTGTTCAATATGGTTTCGACAGTAACGGAACCTATGAGGGACATTGACTCGCAGTCGAAACCATACATTTCATATTTACTAACCACTGTCACGAACAACACATCTATAGCCAAACTTTCTCGGCAAGTGATTGAACCTGAGAAGAATATAGTTGTCAAAATTAGAAGAAGATATGGTGACTTTAAATTTCTATATGATTGCTTATGCAATGATTACCCTCAACTTCTTGTCCCACCTCTCCCATCCAAGCTGAATTTCAAGTACCTCACTGGTGATACTTTTAGCACAGAGTTTGTAAACAAAAGATTAAATTCTTTGAATAGATTCATTAAGTACCTTTGCCAACATAACAGCTTTGCTAGACTGAAGATTTTCCATTTGTTTTTAAGTGATTCAACCGATTGGTCGACTTTCCAAAAGAATTTGAAGATTAGTAAAAATTCATTAGGGGGAGGGTCAGTATCCAATGATCTGGAAATTGATTCTTCATTCACTTCCAATGTCGTCAATAAGGTTGTAAATGAAGATTTACTTACTGAGACAATTATGAATTTTTTGACACCTTCTAAGCACAAACGAGAAAGTAATAAGGAAATTATTGAAATTTCTGATAAACTTAAAAAGTTGTATGAGAATTTAATTAAACTTGATCGAATTTTTTCCAAGCTTAATAAGAAGAATTATGATTTATCATTTGATTATGAACAATTTCTGAATCAAATAACCAAACTTTCCAACGTCAATAATACTACGGAAAGTAATGGTAACACTACTGGTAGTCATGATGCACAAGTAACCAATAACTTCAAAACATTTGCCGATTCTCTTTCATATTTTCTGGAAAATTGGTCGAATCTTCATAAATATATTGATGAATCATTTTTAGTATCTTTGAAGGACTGCGCTAAATACATTATTAGCTTAACCAATTTGATACATTTGCAACACAATAAGAAGATTGACTTGCAAGTACTTCAAGATTATCTTAACAAGGCACGTGGCGAGTTAGCAGGTCTAACTGGACATACACATAATGGTCAAACTAGTGCACCTAACCCTGTTATCTCTGGCACGCATACAGGAGGATTGGTAAACAACACTACCCAATTAATCAAAGATACTTTGTCTACAAGCTCTACAAATCATATTGGATCCTCTCATACTGACAACAAGAAATTAAAGCTTCAAGCCAGAATTGAGCAGTTAGAAGCAGAAATCAAATTACAAACCCAATTAGTTCACGATTTAACAAACCGGATTATCAATGAGGAATACCCTAACTGGGACAGGTTTAACAAGATTGAATTGAAGACAACTATGCTAGGCCTTTGTGATCAACAAATAAATTTTTATTCCGGGTTGGTAAGTAAATGGAGTGATGCAGAAAGCAAATTATTGAACAGGTTACAAGAATTGAGTTGAATGGCAGAGATTCTACCAGTATTTATGGAATTGAAATTCTTTTAATTTATACTTTTATAAATGATCTATGATTTTTGAAGTGGAGGAAATGTAAACAATTTATACTGATGTTGTATTTTAATTTCTTGTTTGTTTGTATTTCCGAAACATTGACTAAAGTACCATTACTATAATCAAAGAGAGAAAGATAAATGATATAGGCAATTTTAGAGACGAAACACTTGACTCGACAATCGGTTGATCGGCTGGATAAAAATTATTTTGACCAACAGAGACGAAAACCATAGTAGTGGATTCACTCGAATAGATATTCTGGGAAATATTTGACTCAGAGATTGAAATCTCATGGTAGTTCGGAAGATTTTGAATTGTGGTCATGGGTATGCTACTTGACACAGAAATAACAGTATCATAAGAGTTTGGCCCACAAGAACTTGAAGTCGGGCTCGGTTGTATCCATGGAACAGACTCCGAACTAGTAACAACCCCAGCATTGGTGTAGGCTAGGGAAGCATCATGAGACTCAAAAAGTTTGGATGGAATATCTGAAGTATCTGGAGTACTACCAAAATTTGCGACTTTAGAGGAAATTTTGATACTTGGTATAGATTCCACACCACTAACTGTGATTGCACTAGCAGTGTATACAGTATTACTTCCATGTAACCTATCCTCTTCATATGATATCTCAATTGTTGAAGAAGTGCTCACCAATACACCAGTGGGAGACACTGCCTCCTCAGATAATGTAAAATCAGACAAGCTTCCATTCCAGTACCTCGATTCAAACAAGTGGGCATATTTCGAGTCCGTTACCCAACTGGATGTCTTATGGGTCGGTAATATGTACTGATATATACTACTTGTAGGTTCCATATGGGTCACCAAGGAGGTTGTCTGAGGGTTTAAATCATTATTCCAAGACGAGGTCTGCTCTACTGGATCAGAGGGTATTGAAGTGCCGGAGGAGGTGATAATCAGAATTGTTGGGGTAGGCACGATACTAGTTCTAATTTCGGGGAATCCATCGGTGGTCGTTGCAAAAAGTATAGAGGATTCTTCAGTAGAAGCTTTACTGGAAGATACCGATATACTGCCAAGACTGGTATTAGTTCCTGTAGCCGTGCTGCTTGCATCTGTCTGAATGGAACTTATAGATGCACTCGAATTTGGCATCGAACTCCCCACTTCAGAATGAAATTTAGCGTCTGAAGTTGAACTAGACATTTCAACATCTGAAGAAGATCTCATCTCACTGGTAAACAGGGTATACCTATTATTGGTTGCAGTGTCTGAGTCCAGTTTGGCAATGGAAGACTCCGGATTGAGAGAGGTTTCAACAGATGGCTCTGTGGCAGTATCAGATATAGTAAAATCTAGCCTTGGTGAAGTTGACGTAATGGTATAACCTTTTGAGTTTGCAGAAGTAGATCCAACTATAGTCGTCTCCAATGAATTAGAATTTAGAGACGACATAGTATTAGGCCCTAATGAAGCTCCAATAGTAGATTCTGCAACAGATGAACCAGCTTCAAAAGGGGAAGAGTTAAGATTGCTAGTTTCCAATGCTTCATCTGTCGATTCAACAGAACTAGTCTTAACAGGGGTCCGAACAATAGATTCTGTAACAGAGGGGCTAGGTTTTGAAGAAGTGGTTTCTAGGATGGTAGCCCCAATTCTACTATCAGGACTAACAGTGGAAGTATTGTTATTAGCTTCACTTGAGATAGGACTTTTGACGCTTAGTGTAAAGTCGTCCGGAAAATCTCCAAGTATTCTTCCTGACCTGGTCCTGATTGTGGGCCAGGTCGATGGTGAAGATGGGGTTGATCCGACGGACTTAATTATTGTATTACTCAATATTGTAAAATATGACAAAGTAGATTCCACGACACCGGATTCCACTGAGGAGTTCGAATTGGATGAAGTAGGGGCCACATCATTGGATTCGACTGAGGAGTTCGAATTGGATGAAGTAGGATCAGCAGCATTGGATTCCACTGAGGAGTTCGAATTGGATGAAGTAGGGGCTACACCACTGGATTCGCCTGAGGAGTTCGAATTGGATGAAGTAGGATCCGCAGCATTGGACTCGACTGAGGAGTTCGAATTGGATGAAGTAGGATCCGCAGCACTTGATTCGACTGAGGAGTTGGAATTGGATGAAGTAGGATCCGCAGCACTGGATTCGACTGAGGAGTTCGAATTGGATGAAGTAGGGGCCACATCATTGGATTCGCCTGGGGAGTTCGCATTGGATGAAGTAGGTTTCACAGCATTGGATTCGACTGAAGAATTGTAATTGGAAGTTCTCATAGTACTGGATGCGACTGACGAGTTCGAATTCGAAGTTCTCACAGCAGTGGATTCGACTGACGAGTTCGAATTTGAAGTTCTCACAGCACTGGATGCAACTGACGAGTTTGAATTGGAAGTTCTTACAGCACTGGATTCGACTGACGAGTTCGAATTTGAAGTTCTCACAGCACTGGATTCGACTGAGGAGTTGGAATTGGAAGATTGCAGAGCATTGGATTTAACTGAGGAGTTCGAATTTGAAGTTCTCACAGCACTGGATGCAACTGACGAGTTTGAATGGGAAGTTCTCACAGCACTGGATGCGACTGACGAGTTCGAATTTGAAGTTCTCACAGTATTGGATTCGACTGACGAGTTCGAATTTGAAGTTCTCACAGCACTGGTTTCGACTGAAGAGTTCGAATTGGAAGGTTTCACAGCACTGGATGCAACTGACGAGTTTGAATTGGAAGTTCTCACAGCACTGGATGCGACTGACGAGTTCGAATTTGAAGTTCTCACAGTATTGGATTCGACTGACGAGTTCGAATTTGAAGTTCTCACAGCACTGGATGCAACTGACGAGTTTGAATTGGAAGTTCTCACAGCACTGGATTCGACTGACGAGTTCGAATTTGAAGTTCTCACAGCACTGGATGCAAATGACGAGTTTGAATTGGAAGGTTTCACAGCACTGGATGCAACTGACGAGTTTGAATTGGAAGTTCTCACAGCACTGGATGCGACTGACGAGTTCGAATTTGAAGTTCTCACAGCACTGGATTCGACTGAGGAGTTGGAATTGGAAGATTGCAGAGCATTGGATTTTACGGAGGAGTTGGAATTGGATGAAGTACGTGCGACAGCACTGGATTCGACTGAGGAGTTCGAATTTGAAGATTTCACTGCATTGGAATTAACTGAGGAGTTGGAATTGGATGAAGTACGTGCGACAGCATTGGATTCAATTGAAGAAGTAGTATTAAGATCATAAGTGGATGAAGGATATATCGCAGGATTATATTTCAATGATGTTTGGGAAAGCGATGTCACTTCTTGTATATCACTGCTAGAAACGGAAGTCTTATGTATTTGGGCAACAGATATTCCCGCTTCAATTTTAATTGAGTTTGCTGACGAGCTATATATATTCGTTGAAGTATACCCCAAAGTGCTTGGAGTTGATTTCTTGGTTATCGAGGACGCATAGCCAATATTACTAGTTGTACTGGAAGTTATTGCAAAAATTGAATCATGGGTTGAAGAAGTTGATTTAATAGTCTGGATCGTTTCTGGCGGCTTAGATGAGGAATATGAAGCAGATGTATGAATGCCTGATGAAGTAGGTTTTGAATTGATTGTTTGAACAGGTTGTGAACTTGAAGTTTCTATGGAAGAAACTATTGTAGGTGTCGTAGATGTTCCCTCTATATTGTCAGAGGATTTACTAGTTGCAAGTGACTTTAAGGTTCTCAGACTGCTTGGCATAGTGTATGAGTTTGGAAGTCTTCGGGAAGTTGCACTTATCGGGGGGTTTGGGGTCGGTAAACACGGAAGACAATTAGCTGGCCTACCATTTGGAGCAGGTCCACGGTAAAAAATGGAGTCATTGGGTCGGAAAAGGCCACCTTTTGTTGTTAGGCTGAACTTTGCAGGATTATACCCCAAGCCCACATCAATTCGAAGATAAGTAACAAAAAAGAATAATCCTCTACGGATAGTTAAGATACCATCGTTAGGGTTATACTGAAAAGAATTGATCGTTCGACTAGTTTTGATTATGTTTTGGTCGCTTAAACCGTATATACGGAAAGTTTTGGTATTGTCAGCAATGTAAGCCATTGAATTTTCTGAAGTTAGATATATTATTTGCAGCTCATCAAAGGAGCCAGGGTTAGATAAAGTAAAAGTTGTCAGAGTCCCAACTACGATACAACCTGACCCTGTAACGCCAAAATATTGCTCCCAATTAGCTCGTGTCAAGCAAATGGTACCTAGATTAGTCATTGTAGTTTTATCTTGGCCAAATGTTGGGACAGCATAGTTGTTGTTTTGAAAATAATAATGAATTCTGGCGCCGTCATAGTTGATCCAAGTAGGTGCTTGGATGTTATATGATGGAGAACTCAGAATGGGAGATTTACTGTCAAACCAAATATTACCCAAGTTATAGAACTCGTTCAATACCCAATTATATGAAGAAGTCGCTAATCCTTTACCTGTCGTCAATACGATATCACCATGATTTATGATCTTACTTTTCACTGCGAAGCTAACTGAGAGCCCTGTAGCATAGTCATCATTACTGATATATAACTTGCCATCTACGTGAACGTCGCCATTAAACACAAAATTTCCATTAGAACTGAAGACAGACCAGAAGGAACTACTTTGTACTTCCAAAGCGCCAATAGTGGCACTACTGTAGGAAACCGCATCGTAGGTAATAATCTGGCCGAGTAATTGCGAGATAAAGAAAAAAAATTGTAGAATCACTTTTTTGCCAATAATCATAATAATTTTTGATTGAACTACATGACTACAGCAAATAAAATTGAATTAAGTTTATATACTTATATATGTATCTACTACAAGTACCAACAAGAAGAAAAATTCTTCATCATCTCCGCCAAGGAGAAGACCTTCCTACAACAAATCTCGCCCGAACTATACTTCAATATGCATCATGTAACTAGTACTATAGAAGAAATGTATACAGTGGGTAGTTGTTAGCGACTACGTCACTACATCCGGAACATTATAGGACAAGAAATTAAGCATTTCTACTCAACACGGGAGCAAGGTATAAAATTTTCCTCAAAAAAATACAATATTTTGTAATTTCAACGTAATTCATGAATTCAAATCTAAAGTTCGTGCCTAGACAATCTTCATGCTTAATTCTAATCTATAATCTTCGTATTTTAGTCTAATACGAACGCGCTAGATGTGGGAGTTGTTAAGATTTACGGTTGCCCGCAATGATTCTATAGGGGTAAAACTTTTAAGTTTTTATTGGGTAATTCTTTGAGAAGAGAACCATGATGATCAGATTTGATCTAATTGAATGCGGGTCAACATATCATACATGATTGTGATGAGGCAAAAAAAAAAAGAATACGGCATTGACAATAGATGTAACCGAAAAGGAGAAATCCACAGAGAGTGAAAAAAAAAAAAAAACGAGTAATATGAGTTTGGCTCGGTTCTAAGCGGATCGCCTAACTTTACGGAATCGGTATATGTAGGGCTCTTACTTCTAATATAACAATACTAAGTTGACACTCTTGAGTTTAATACTAAGTATTAGAGGTTTTCGAACAAGAAAATACATTGACTAAAGATATAACAATAAATCAACTGATTTAGTTCATCCTCAAGCATGGCTCTGACCCACTAAATTTTCTGATACTAAACGAAAATCACAGTTTAGCACTTTATGCGCTTGTTATATAAGGGTGCCACCCCCCACAAAAAAGAAACAAAAAAGAAATTCGTAGTTTTAACTCTTCATACCTCTAAACAATTCTTGTTAAACTTCGTCTTAAAAATTAGTTAAGAAGTGGCATGAAAGTTAGTTGTATTCAAATAGAGGTATTGCACCAATGCTTACCATATGAATCACAATAGTTTAATGACATAGATCTCAGGAGTCACTTGAAGTCAATGGAAGGATAATTAAAAGTAAACGTATTGGATCTTAAGACTCAAAGATCCTTCCTCTTGAAGTCATCACAAATATTAGCCGAGTTAAGAAGCGTAATCTGTTACTAAATTCTTCACAACTTGCTGCAAAATGGATCGTGTACAGGAGCCATCATGAGCCGCACAGGTCGTGAATATATGCAACAATTTCCAAATCGAGATTATCTTGTACATTAGATAATTAATGTCCTTCAAGCAAAGGTTAATTAAAATTTGAAACTTCACATAATATTCAAACATATTAAATTAAACTAGGGGAATCTGGTTCACCAAAGAGAAATAAAGGCAGTGCCTACGATACTTTTTTTTTTTTTTCACTGTTTAAGTAATTGTACTGTTACTCTTAATTACATGCGCAATGCATTTCAGTTAGTGGGGATGCGAACAGAACTACACACCAATCATATCTCACATCCTTGTTGCACGATATACCTGGAAGTACTTCTATTGAGGATTTCTTGCTCGTAAACTTAGCCGAACCTTAATTAGAACATGCAAATAGTTGTCAAGAAGTACAAGCGCTTGGATTTTCTTATTTTTCCGTGTGAATAAAAATAAAAGGAGTCTTTCAAATAGGAAAGTCAGTATTGAAGATTCTAGAATAAAAAGAATAATATTCTCAATCCAAGCTAATTCTTGAAAAAAAGATGATAAATAGTAGTGGTTGAGATCAAGAGATTTTATTAGTAAGCGCGTCAAGAATAATGCTAAAAATAGCACTTCAGTATCCAGGGCATACCAACTGTCGTTAGTGGTAGCCTCCTTCAAATGGGCTTTTTTTAAGATGAAAGATTCACATGACGAGTAAAGAATTTTTTTTGTATATGTACATATAGGGGGGACTGAGGGCCGTTAATTGCCTATGTAACTTTAACCGATATGTAAGACATGCGCAATGAGATAAGTGGGGGGAATCAGTATCCGGCAGTTACGATACCTACATTTATTACTATTTTGCCTATTATTTCACGTATAATTTTTTGTTTGCGAATCCCTCTAATATACAACAATGTAACCATGCACTGGTTTTGTCATGAACTTTACATATTTTTAGTGCACAAATTTTTTTATTTTTTTTTGGGAGATCCCAACGGTCTTTACAAGAACCGATATCCTACATATTGGATCTTTTCTCAAATGCCACAAAAATTAAAACTTGCCAAGAATGAATAGGGTGTAAGGGCGGTGTGAGAAACAAAGTCCGGGAGCGGACAACACACGTCTCCCAATAACTAATACAAAAATATTCTCAAAACGTAGAGTAATCACCTACACAGAAACTACACTCGTATATACACAAGATGAGATTTCCTAGTGTTTCTGTGCTGGCAGCAGCCATATTCCTTTCCGGATTAGTCTCTGCCAACATTGCCACCTTTGATAGTGAGGATCATCCAATTGTTTGTGCTGGGATATATTCCAAAGTAGAGTGGGGTGGTAGTGCTACTCCACATATTGGACTTCAATTGAATGAATACGATGGCGTAAAATATGACAAGACCAAACCCTCCGACAAGAGTTTGGCCATCAGCTATACTATCTTCGAATACAAGGACCTTGTAAATATTGGTGTCCCCACTGAAGACGGTAATTATAAATATATTTGTGACGACTTTGCCATAAATAAATTGAAGGCATGTGACGTATCTCAAAAGGGCCGGTTTATTATCAATCCAAATGGTACCAACTCAACGATTTACTCGTCTCAAATAACTCAATTGGGTCCTGCTCATATCAATTACACCGTATCAGACACTGGTTACTACTGTGTTATTACTGACTCTCGTTCGGATAAGCATTTCCGTGGAGCAGTGAAATTTCAAAATGCCTTTGGGGAACTCAGTGGTAGTGAAGTACCCAAGTTACCTGCGTATGGAATCTTGACCATTTGTTATGCAATTGCCCTTGCCTTGTATGGATTTGAATTCTTTAAAAAGAGAAATAAGAACCAAATTCTCCCATTACAGCGTTATCTCTTGGCTATGTTAGGGTTCCTTACTTTTGACACATTGGTAGTATGGTCCTATTATGACTTGGTCAACCGTACTAAGAACACCTCGAAGTTTGTGACGTTTTACATGTTTATGCTTTCCATTTTAAACGCCGCTAAAATCACCTTTGCGTTCTTTTTATTACTTTGTATCTCCTTGGGATACGGTGTGGTTGTAATGAAGTTGAAGAAGAGTGTCATGCTCAAATGCAAAATCTTGGCTGGATGTCATTTTGCCGCTTCCACTGCTTACTTAGCATCAAGCTATTACACCGGTGCATCTGTTTCCACTTCTTCTGGTACCTTATCTAACCAATCGAGTTTTGGTGGGTTCCTTTTCTTGTTGCCATTGATTCCAATTACAGTGACTTTAACAATCTATTACCTCGCCATTCTTGTATCGATTAAGAAAACCACTGCAAAATTACATGCTCAACGTCAAATTATTAAATTGAAATTATATGAAAGTCTTTTCAAAATTATTTTCTTTTCTGTTATGTGCACCTTTGCTGGACTTTTCTTATCATCATTTATTTATCTTGGAATGAATTCAATTGAAGTCGTCGAACATTATTGGAAAGGTGCTTACTTCCTCTTTGATTTCTGGCCAAGTGTTGTATTCTTTGCTGTGTTCATGGGTGTTGCATGGTTATGGAGACCTACTGAAACAAGTTATATGTTGGCCATTTCTCAACAACTTTCAGGTCAAGAAGTGGAAGAAGGTGAAGAAGGTGCCAATGGACAAGGATACCATCAAGGTACCGAGTTTGAATTAGATGACATGTCCTTGATGAGTCACAGTGATACCGAACAACATTTGCATACTGGAGATGATGATAGTTTTGAACTTGACCGTGAAACTCAAACTGTTGTGGACCAAGAACCACCTTCTTATAGTCACGAGGATGAAAATGCCGATAAGGTGAACCCCAAGAATAAGAATGTTACCACCGAAGATAACCAAAATACTCTCTTTGAATTTGGCGGTGATTCTGACGAGGAAGAAGAACATCCAGAAGATGACCGTTTAGATAGAGATGCCCCAAAGTAAATTTATTCTCATAGTCGCTGAAAGAAGCGGGAATATGAAAACTATCGAAAATAAAATAGAATTACTGGGGAACAGAAATTGGAATTATACCTATTTATATACATATATACACATATACTACTACCAAGGAAGAAAGAGATTAAGTACATAAGCCATTGATAGTTTATATCTACAACAAAAATATTTTACTTTCTTGTATTGTGATTTCTTTAGTTTTCCATTATTTATTCTATGGTCTAAACACCTGCCCAAATTGATCCACCGTTTTCATGGATTTCTTGGCCCAACTTCTCGACTCCGTTATCCCACTTAACCAAGTGGTCATACAAAACCTTGACTTGATCCAAATTTAAGATTCTTGGTTGTAACCAGGTAACAATTAAAGAAGATTCAATTTGGTTAATATATCCCTTAATTAAACCTAATGAGAAACACTTAATGATCAAGTACTCAACGTCATTCTCATCGGCACCAGTGAACTCGGAGATTTCCCCAAACTTCAACACCTTGTTGGCAGCTGGCTTCAAGGAAATCAACTCCAAAAGAGCCATAATAATAATCTTTTGCTTTAAAAAGACTTCATGCTGGGCTAAAAACGGAGCACGCTTTAATCCTTCACTCAACCACTGGTTGAAACCTTTCAAGTTTCCAGTATTTAAGTTTTGAATCAAGTTATATAACCATTCCCATTGTGAACCTTCCAAAGACTTTAAAATGTCATGTAAAATTAACTCACCAAAGTTGTAGATCTTGTCACCCAAAAGGGCAGCAATGGCCAAGTCGTGGCACAAGGACTGTTGTTCCACGATAGACAAGGCAGCACCCTTCTTTTCTGATGCTATGGCAGACAAGTAGAGTAACCCATTAGCATAGTATTGGTTATAATCTTCACGAATCTTGTACAATTGACATTTGGTCAAGTAAAAGGCAGCATTGATAGTAGGTTGGAACTCGTTTTCATGACTACCTTCAAATTTACCATTGATTTCTTCCAAGATATCATCTGCTTGACGTTGTGTGGCATTGTCTTTGGACAACAAGTAGAAACGTGCCAATTGTAAGCTTACATAAATTACCGCTTCATCATTTTCTACAGCTTTCTCAGCATCATCATTCTTGGCGTTTTCAGTCAAGAACAAAGTCTTGATGTTTGTTTGTAAATCCTTCAACTTTTCAGTAGCCTTTTGAACAGATTCCTCGTTGTTCAAATCGCAATCTTCGAAAGAAGATAACAAAAAGTCAACAACTTGAATTTGGTTTAATTTCAGTGAGATTCCACTTACGAATAAGTCATAGATCTTTGTGCGTATGTTGGCATCCTTTGTGATGGGTGAGTTGTAAAATTGACCCAAGGACAAGGTCAATTGATGCCACAACTTTCTTTCATAGTAATCTTCAAATTCGTAGAAGAGGTTCACTAAATCGGCATTTTCAGTTTGCAGTCTTAAAGTGGCCAAAACAGTGGACACGTCCGTGTCTAAATCCATTGCACTCATGTTTTGATATGTATATAAAGAAGTCTATAATTTGATTGACTATAAGCCCTTTGAATAGTTTCACTAGTACATACGCTGAGATTGTAAACCCCATATCGCCACCTTGTAGACTTCCTAATTGGGAAGTAACACGCGCACACTCAACACCACAGGATATATATATATATATATAAGCGACTTTTTATGCAGTTAAACCTTTATGCTTTACTTTTTATTCTCATATAGATGTTTATAAATATATTATAGATAATTAACTAATGCTATCCTTCATATTCTGCCATGATCCCAAATTTTCTTCAAATAATTTCTTTCCTCCACGTATAAAATCAATCATTACTACTAACCATCTCTTTTCAAGTAATCTCATAAAATCTTCAAAATTTACTTCCAATTCCTTCGTTAAATCAACCATATCAACATTTGTAAGGTCTATAAGTTGGTCAAGTTTCACGATTTCTCGTTCAATCTGTTCAATTTTGTTCTTAAATTGATATTGATGAGCATTCGAGATTTCTTCAGATGCCTCCAATGGATTATTAACACCTTCACCTCTTCCTGGTGATGACAAAGCTTCATTCGAACGTTTAAAACTTTCATAGTTTGCACTTGATGTTGATTTACCACCAAATAATCCATACCAACTTTTTTTATGACTACCAGAAAGTGAATTCTTATATTTACGTTGTTTCAGTTCAAACTTTCGCACAGCTTCGGTGATGCTTGGACTATTAAGTTCTAGTCCATTTTTCAACGCTTCATTTATTTGTTGTTGTGAATCCAAATTAATTGTAAATGACTCAAGTTCTTGAGATTTTCTAATTCTTGACTTATACAAAAGTTTATATTGAATCAACTTTAATTTGTAAAATCTCAATAATTGTACTGCAGTCAAATAATGTTGAATAAGCTGATGAATTGGTTCTTGCCATTTAGGTACAAAACTATTCATAATGTATGATTCATAATTTAAAAACACTGAATCAATTGTAGAACCAAACTTTTCAATTTGAGATGCTAATGTTAATTCAGTTCCATTTTGTTCTGGGGAATGAACTTGTAATGAAAAATTATTCAAATTACTTCCCAATTCTATAAGAGTACCAATTAAAGATTTCAAATTCTTACCAGTTCTAGTATTTAATTTATCTAAATCATTAGAAATCTTAATACTATGAAAGAAATTTGTTTCAAATTTCATCAAATCAATTGGAATTTCACTAAATTTTGAAGTTGTTAATAATAAAGATTCAGTATTTGTCTTACCCAGTTCCAAAAGATCTCCTTGTTTCGATTGTTTTAATTCCAAAACATGGATTTGTTCTTTTAATTTGTGTAAATCTTCATTATATTTCTTTAAAGGTCCCAAATTATCAGTTGTTCCACTTGGTACACCAGACGAATCATATCCACCATTAATATTGGGCAAGAGTGAATATAGACCGTTTTGATTAGTTGGATCTATCGGGTTCGCTAACAAAAGATGATCTGGAACCAACGAGATTGGTGGTTCATGTATGGCATTATCCCAACACATTTCGTAGTTTGGATCTAAAAATTTATGAAGAAGTCGACAATTGGAAATTCTTTCATTTGAATTGAACACCAAATCATTCAAAAACGAGCTGAATAACCTTCGTCTAGTTTGAATGATTGACATCTCTTCAGAATTATTTATGGTTGACATTAAATATGTGAAAAGGGAATGCTTTTGAGGGATTGGAGGGATAATCAATGTTGGGAAAAGTCTCATTAAATTATCCCGAAGGGATTTAAACTCACTATATCTTCTCTTAACCACTATATCAGAATCTCCAGATTCCCCCTCAAGTGAAAGGTGTATACAATAAACAATCACTGTGGAGTTCATAAGTCTCTCGGTAGAGGTAACATCTATTTTAAGAGAGCTCTTATTATGAATTATTTGAGAGATCTTGTTGGACATGACTAACGAATCGTTGATATTAAGTCCACCACCGTTGTTACTATGGCTATGCTTATGTTTAATTGGCCGTTCATTGGAGGTCTGGGGTATATTTTGAACGTCAACAATTTCATCTTCGTCAGTGTGATATTCGCCACTAATGGCTATTGAGTCATTGTTAGAAAGCTCATTGTTAAGCTTTCCATACGGGTCGTTGATCACAGATGGATTTCCATAGAACGATGGATTATTATCTGGCTCAATGTCACCAAACGGATTAGAATGGTCATTTGGATCCATGCTGGGACAATGCTAATGACAATAATATGACAGACTTGTGATAAAAATAATTCTTTATTTTTTCTCTAAAAGTATGCCAACTAAGGGTTCGTCTGAAAAACAGAAATAATCTCCAAACACCAGATATAATTATATATATATATATCAGTTCCTAAATTTGGGTTTAATAACCTATACTTTTATTAGGATTGCTCACCAATGTATAGGCATTTTTGCCTTATCAAAGTCGCCCTTTATTTTTGTTGTGAGAGAGTACCCCAACGTTAATATGCAGGCATTACGATAATGATTTTAATGAAATAAGCAAGTTGAAAAGGGTATATAAAGAGTATTATTGTTACAGAAATGGAATAGACAAACTTGTTAGAGAAATATAACTTATTTTATGGATTGAAATGGATTAAATAGATGAATGTCTTGGTATTAGAGTACAATAATTAATATGGTTATATTGTACTTGATACTAGCTTATGGTACTACCTGCAGTCCATGAGATCAGTTTTCTCAATTTGTCGAACTATAAGGTCAACTGTATAACATATTTACTTCCCAATCCATCAAGTAGTACATATATTAATAATTATGGCATCATCTAGAGATAAAAAGATTGCTACTAAAAACATTCAAACTCTTAAGGAACTTCATTTGATTTCGCTTGGAATTAACCTTTTGGTTTTGATTGCTTTGTTTGTATTCAAACGTCCCACATCAAAATTATCATACATTATTTTATCAATTCCAGCATTTTTTGGTCAATATACACTTGAAAAAAGTGGACGTCCAAAATATGGAAGAGATTCAACCGGAAATGAAAAACTTTTGTCTTCTGGTGATGACATTAAACATGAAGGTTTATACGAATACATGTTTGATGTCGTCTATATCACATGGATCATTGATATTTTGATGGTCATTTTCGGTACTAATTATGTATGGTGGTTATATAGTGTTATTCCAGGTTTTGCCTCGTATAAAGTTTTTGGGTTTGTTAAACCATACCTTTTCAAAGGCTCTGGATCTGCTCCAAAATCCGAAGCTGGAGTACAAACCAATGGTGAATCCAAGAAGGATACCTTGAGTAAGAGACAAGCAAAGTTACAAGCTCGTGGTGAGAAGCAAAAGGTTAGATATAGATAGAGTGTTTGTGTAAATATATATGTATGGATAGCCGAAAAACAAAACACATTCTTGCAGCCAAATCCATTAATAAATTAATAATAAACCAAAAGGCTACTACCCTATGATTATTGTATATCTATATGCAACACTCCATTTTAGAAGACGAGAGACCAAAGTCCAAAAAATAATAATTTTGGAAGTCTTGGTATTTTGGTATTTAGAGTGTACTTGTTTATCAATCATGAATTCAACTATACACCAAATATTAAATGGGGAGTAATCGTGACTATGGGCTGTGGGGGTAAACTTTTAAAAAGTAAAAAAAAAAAAACATAATACTAAAAAAGGAAGGCCCTTTGACGAAAATAGGGGAATTGAAGGCTCTAATGTGAAATCAGTGACATGTCACTAGAGGGTAATAAGGGGGAAGTTGATACGGTCATCAATAGATGATTAGACCCTTCTGTTACTTCACTACTTCATACATATATCATGTGGGCTGTACCTGCTTCTATAAACGTGATCTTCAACTACATAAGTTTAAAATTAAAATTTAAAGAACTTTATCTCACAGGAGCAATCTTTCGCGAGATAAGAAACACTGTTGAAACACATTTAATACTATAATCAAACAAAATTTACATGTAGAGAACAGAGGCAAAATAAGTCGGAATCCAGGAGTTAGTGTAATCTTGACTAGTAAATGTAGAAACAAACAAAAGAACTTCCATCTTGTGCTGGTTGCTCTTATTATGGGCCAATCGAGACCTTTGTCTTACTCGTAAAAATAACATACTGCATGGTATTTTTCTCTTTTCCAATCGGCAGTGGGTTTTCTATTTAATTTATTTTGGTATCTATTTTCGCCACGCGTTGTCCGGGTAAACAAAAAATTGCCTCGCTGTACACTTTGCCCCCTTTGAAATATCGTCAAAGTGTTTTTAAAGACTCTTTTTCGACATATAATTCTTTCACTTTTAGGTATTAGATTAAAATAGACAAAATGGACGGAGGTATGTACAGATATAACGAGTGCAATACAGGCATCTCATTGACCGGCTTTAGATTGATGGAACGATTTTAAATCCAAGGTTTTGATTGTTGCTTTGGTGTTGTGAAATCGGCGTAGCTCAAATCATTTTCATTTATTGTTTTGACGATAGACAATAATTTCGGTTGTTTTTCAATTTGAGCATACAATTCATCAAATACAGCTTTACCACCCAATGATTGGTGCCACATGCTAGTTCAAGACTATAAAAGCAGTATTGATCCTGTTGTAGTCGCTGGATGGATTCTTATTTCCGGCTTAATATCGATTTAGTTCGTCAGATCGAATAAGCGCGGGATCTTTAATTTTATTTGACCGCCCTCATTCAAAACATCAAACCTACAATCAATCAATCAATCAATCAATCAATCAATCAATCAAACCAATAAACTTGTCAATAGTCAATGAGTGTTGTATAGTTAATTCCCGACAATTGAGCCGGTACCGTTGATGGTTTATGACAAGCCTTTTTTGTTCTCTCGGTCGGCGGCTAGATCGGGCAATTTAACGCGCGAATTTTTTCAACACCGATTTTTTTACTAACTAATTTATAGAAGAAGTTGCTGCTTTGGTTATCGACAATGGTTCGGGTATGTGTAAGGCTGGTTTCGCCGGTGACGATGCCCCACGTGCTGTTTTCCCATCTCTCGTTGGTAGACCAAGACATCAAGGTATTATGGTCGGTATGGGCCAAAAGGATTCTTACGTCGGAGACGAAGCTCAATCCAAGAGAGGTATCTTAACCTTGAGATACCCAATCGAACACGGTATCGTTACCAACTGGGACGATATGGAAAAGATTTGGCATCACACCTTCTACAACGAATTGCGTGTCGCTCCGGAAGAACACCCAGTTTTGTTGACTGAAGCCCCAATGAACCCTAAATCTAACAGAGAAAAGATGACTCAAATTATGTTTGAAACTTTCAACGTTCCAGCTTTCTACGTTTCCATTCAAGCTGTTTTGTCCTTGTACTCTTCTGGTAGAACTACTGGTATTGTTTTGGATTCTGGTGATGGTGTTACCCACGTCGTTCCAATTTACGCTGGTTTCTCCTTGCCACACGGTATTTTGAGAATTGACTTGGCTGGTCGTGACTTGACTGACTACTTGATGAAGATCTTGTCTGAACGTGGTTACCCATTCTCTACCTCTGCTGAAAGAGAAATCGTCCGTGACATCAAGGAAAAGTTATGTTACGTTGCCTTGGACTTCGAACAAGAAATGCAAACCTCTTCTCAATCTTCTGCTATTGAAAAGTCCTACGAATTGCCAGATGGTCAAGTTATCACCATTGGTAACGAAAGATTCAGAGCCTCTGAAGCTTTGTTCAGACCTTCTGACTTGGGTTTGGAAGCTGCTGGTATTGACCAAACTACTTACAACTCTATCATGAAGTGTGACGTTGATGTCAGAAAGGAATTGTACGGTAACATTGTTATGTCTGGTGGTACTACTATGTTCCCAGGTATTGCTGAACGTATGCAAAAGGAAATTACTGCTTTGGCTCCATCTTCTATGAAGGTTAAGATCATTGCTCCACCTGAAAGAAAGTACTCTGTCTGGATTGGTGGTTCCATCTTGGCTTCTTTGTCTACTTTCCAACAAATGTGGATCTCCAAGCAAGAATACGACGAATCTGGACCATCAATTGTCCACCACAAATGTTTCTAAGAAGTTTAGCCTTTTGCTTAAGAAGTTGATATGTATTATGAACTATACTTCGAGACAATATCTGATTCTAACACAAAAAAATAGTTGTATTCCTGTTAAATTTATTAAATGTTTATTTTTTCTTTCTGTTTTAGATTAATAAAATGATTGAAATATAATTTATGTGTAGATTTATTTTATGGATTTTCGATTTACGTACTTAAACTAATTCTTTTAGAATTGCAACCCGGGAGTTTTCCCTTTAACTCTTCCAAGAACACATTCCTTTGCATATCTAACAATGACATTATCTTCATGTAACATGTCAAAGCTTTCAGTTGCATCTTTACCCGCGAAATTCAAAATTGAACCTTCACCACCTGGGTGATCTTTCAAGAAGGAAGTTAAATCTAAAACCACATTCTTCACAATACACCAACAATCATTGGCCTTATCATGTTTGGCCACTTCTTCAATAGTGAATTCTTTGGAAGGAATTTCAAATTGAGTATATGGATTGTCAGAGCTAGCTTTATGTTCAACTGGGGCAGATTCCTTTTGTTGTGAAACACTTTCACTGTTCTGTGAAATTGATTGCCCCGACTCACTGCCACTCCAATCAACAGTAATGCGTTGAGGGTTATTCACATCAATGTGAAGGCTAATTTGCTTTAACCTATCCAATGCAGAACCTGTTCTTCCTTTAGATAATTTTTGTAAAATATGATTGGTTGCTGAATCAGCAGCAACTCTCCCATATACCACACATGCCAATAAAGAAGAACCACCAAGTCTATTGTGACCATGGATTCCACCTGCAACTTCCCCGCAGGCGTATAACCCATCGAATGGTTGATACTTATTCTCTCCCAATTGATAAAGAACTTCTGATTTATCGTTAATCTTAATTCCACCCATTGTGAAATGTAAAACTCTAGTAACAAACGAGACGTGATATGATTCATCAATTCCAAACTCAAATGGAGTTGCTGGAAAGAACTTTTTACCAAATTTATCCTTGGATTCGCCACGAGCGGCTTTATTGTAAGAATCAAATTGGTGCTTAAGGAGGTCTTTGGAACATCCAATTTCTGCCACCAATTCTTTACCGGAAATAGATTTCATCAAGTTTCTCAGTGTATAATGCTTGATATGGAAATCCAAGTTTTTCTCAGCCTTCGAGTTCAATACTAACCGAATTGGTCCATATTTGAGGTTCTTCTCCATTTCTCCACTTACATAATCTCTTGTTCCTAATTCATCACAGAACCGTTCACCTTTACCGTTCAACATAATACCCCCTTCACCTCTCAATGCCTCGGCTCCTAAAAAGAGAAATCGAGGCAGAGACTTGCCGTTGATAACATCAGTATCAGCTAAACTAATGAGCCCTGTAGGATGAACTTGTACCTTGTCCATATCAATACCCACCCCTTTATTCTTCAACATAATCTTCTGACCATCACCAGTGGCGTGGACACCATTGGTAGATGGCAAGTCAATGATATCAGGTCTATACTTCCTAAGAAGCGAATTCTTTGTGAAATCAGCTGCATATCCACCAGTGGCCATAATTACCGGTCCACTAAGTTCCGCTTTGGTCTTATCAACGAGATTCTTATACTTGAGCCCAATTATATCAAAATCTCCATTTTTAACCAAATCAATCACTTGACACTTTTTCAAAATGGCTACTCTTGTTGGCTCCAGATCAGCCAAATTCTCAAGCTTTTCCAATAACGCATATGTGATAGCCATTCCTGGGAATTTTGCATCTTTACCTCTATGAGTTCTTGGTTGCGAGTGTCCACCCAATCTAGAGATGACCGATAAATCCAACGCAAATACTTCTTGTAACCAATGGACAGCATCGGCAGAATTATAAGTTAAAACCTTAATCAAATCAGGATTAGCTCTATCTTTTGCAGTTTTCAAAGTGTCTTCATAAAATTGCTGTACGGAATCTCCGATCTTCATATCGACCTGGGTTCTGGTCAATGCACCATTGATACCAGAAGTCGCCTTACCGCTATTACCACTCAAAAAGCCTTGCTTATCGAGCAAGACAACGTTTGCTCCTCGTAGGTAACATTGATGGGCAGCAGCTAGTCCAGCTAGTCCACCTCCAACAATTAAAATCGGATTTTCAGGGAGTTGAGCCATTGGTGAAATATAAAAGGTAGTATGACAATTTCTAACCTAGTAAGAGAAAGGTAGGTAGTTGCTTACACTGGATTTGTTTTGCTGATGGTATTATTGGCTGATTAAATATTCCCGCGAAAATGTGTAGATTGCGGGGTGGGAAAAATCCATATCTATTGTGGGGAGATGAGGAATCATCACGGAGTTTAGTTTCGGATACCAAGCAAAAATACCCGGGATACATGCACTGAGTTCCGAGTATCCCCCCATATTTCAAGTGGCACCTTATGCAATATTTATTTTTTACTAGTATTATTTTATTATTAATATTATTTAGTGTGATATGTATTGGAAAGCAAATGAAACATCGTCAAATTCTGCTTCATTGCGGAGGAGTATATCTTCAGTCTTGGCCAATGCACTATTGTTGAGATGATTCCATGTGGTTGCATCCCCATATAACATTGCAGGAGCTTTTATGTGTTGGCCCTTTTCTGTACATCTCTTACAAGAATAAGTATCATGTGTATCACAAAGAACATCAGGTTGGAATTCAAACAATTTTCTTAAAAGATCAGCACTGAATAATCTTTCGACGTCTTCCTTTTCATCAACAACACAACTTGATAGTTGAAGTTTCATAGATTGTCTTTGGAAAATCTTCTCTTCAATAGTACCCTTCAGAATAAATCTGTAAATAAAGCAATCTTTCTTTTGTCCATCTCTCCACACTCTTGCTAACGCTTGTTGATCCGCTGCAGGGTTCCAATCAGGATCTATCAACACAAGTCTATTTGCCCCAATTAAATTAATCCCACATCCACCAGCTTTAGAAGATAATAAAAATATAAATTCTGGAGATTCTGGATCGTTAAATTTATCCACAAGTTTCTGCCTTTTGTTTATATTCATAGTACCATCCAACCTTAAACAGCCATACTTATTGTAGCGACATTGCTTTTCAATAAGATCAAGTGTTTGAGTATAATTTGAAATTAATACAATCTTATCATCTGTTTCAGTTCTAATCTTGTGCAAAAATCTAGTTAAGACCAAAAATTTTCCTGAATACCAAGTTTGAATCTCTCTATTACGCCCCCCACTATTACCACATGAAGATTGATAATCTTCTGGAATCAAATCTTCACATCCTTCAATGTCATCCGGAAGATTAAGTAAATCAGGATGATTACATAATTTCTTTAACATCCCAATAGCCTTTAATGGTTGTGAACCAACTCCCTTTAATAACTTTCTAATCTCAGGTGATGTAATAAAATGATTGTAAAGCAGATGTTGCATGGGTGATAATCCAACAAAAACCACATGTTCATATTTTACTGGAAGATATTTGGATAAAATATCATTGGTTCTTCTAATAATGAATTTCGACACCAATTGGGACATTTCTGTAAGTTTAGCATCCCCCTTTTCTCTTTCTTTATCAGTAGCATCTGCATCTCTGCCTCGTAAGATTGGATTTTCGAAATTTTTCCTAAAATCATTTCTAGTTCCAAGGTAGCCAGGATTAGCAAAATTTAAAAGGGAAAAATATTCTGAAAGATCATTTTGAATTGGAGTACCAGATAAAATAACTCTTCTTTCACATCGTAATGCATTAAGTGCAGTAAATGTTAATGAATCACCATTTTTAAGTCTATGCCCTTCATCTGCCAACATTAATCCAACTTCTGTCCCTGCCAATCTATCAACATTTCTACGAAGTGTTTCATATGAGATAATAAGTACTGGTCTTACAATATTCCTACCTGTAGCAACAGACCATTGCAGAAGTGCTTGTCCAAGATCGGAAGATTTAACGTTTTTACCATCAACTGCCAAAGGGGTGAGAACCCCTTCTCCCAACCATTTAATAATCTCATTGGCCCAATTTCTCACAAGTGAAGATGGACAAACTATAATACATTTTTCAATTGTTCTTTTCCCACGAGGACTTTGTTTTAAAAGTGTCCACATCAATGCTATACATTGAAGCGTTTTTCCTAGACCCATCTCATCGGCCATGATACATCCCTTTGCCTTGGAGTCTACAAGTCCAGCAGAACATCTATAGAGAAATTTGACCCCCGCGACTTGATGAGGACGGAGAATCTTTGCAAGTTTTGGATCTATAACCACAGGAACATCTGGAAATTTATTGAATGTTTCTTCGGGATTCTTACATATTCCAAGGATCTCAGCTAACGATCTATGAGCTGACCTTTTAGGCGGCGTTAATTCCTTTTTACTTTCTTCGTCTTGCTTCAGTTGATCTGCTTCTGCATTTAATTCTTCTTCTGATTTGTCCAATGGGATGACATCTACAGTTGGGTCATAGAGAACTATGGCAAACTCATTTGTTGGGTCATGTAGTGCCCTTGGTGGTAATATAGGTCTTCTTCTAGTGCCTAACGGTGGTGGGGGCGTTATGCCTGTGTCGATTGGTTTCTTAATGAATGGTACTTTGAAAGCTTTCCTGAAAGCAGCCTCAGTTTGATCTTGTGCCTTAAGAACCTGTCTTGGATTAAGAGCACCCACTTTTTTCCGTTTCACAAGTGCCCCATACCCATCTACTCCTTCATCTTCTATATCTTCTTTAGTAATATTTACAGAACTTTCATCATAATTTCTCATTCTAGCACACGCTCTCTTTTCAGATCCATTTGCCCTCGATGCAAATGGGATTTTAAATGGCTGACGCAACCGGTCTGTCAGGTCTACCATGACCTTGGGCTTGGAAGGAGTAATGACCGTCATTGTACAAGGTGAGTAGAAGGCCGTTAAATCTTTATTTAAAAGTTGGTGGTGGCAAATTAGTTTAATAGAATTTATTTTGATTTCAGATGTAAACAAAAACAACGCGAGAAAAAGTTCACGCAGTAGATGTCAAAATATGGATCTACCCATGATGCGAAGCAACTATAGATCTACCACATATTGAAATCACCTGTCAATAATAGGCGTCTATAATTACACTATTTACCAAAGGGTCCGCATATAACCATGGATGAAATACTTGCCAAGGCGGGGAGCCAAGCAGTTACATTTGCCATTAGATCAGGAATCTCTTTTGCGTCTGGTTACGCAATTAAAACTGTAGTTCGATTTATGGAGAAGCTCCCAAAAGATCAACGAGAATTAATTGACTCATTAAATAAGGAGGTTCAAACCAAAGTTTCAATTGTATCAAGCTCTATTGATTTGGTTCGCCTTGCTGCTGCTAGAGGTAATACCATTTTAGAACCAACATTGGACCTTGCCAAGTCTCTTGAACGAGAAATCGAACAATTTGAACAGAAAATCTCATCTGTTTCTCATGGGTTCAGTCTGTCCAATGAACGCCAATCTGTTGATCTGGTGGTATTATCGATGAATAAGTTGGTGAAAAGCATAGAGCAAACAGTGCCTTTACTCCATCTAGCAATATCGACTTCTGGAATTCAAGCCACGGGAAATCTCCCCTCGCAAGTTTCTCCTGGAAGATTGTTACAAGCTTCCACAGCCATTACTGAAGCTGAATCAAGATATGTTTTAGCTACCAAGAAATCCTCACCACGAGAACCAGTTGGTCCCATTTTCGACGTGGTGTTATATTCAATCTTTTATAACCCTAGTCGATTGAAATATGTAGATGATACCCTGACATCGGCACTTAGCTGGAAGGAAGATTTTGCAAGAGCAAACGTTCAAATATATATTACATCATCATTTTCTTACGAAATTGAAATCACTGAGGATTTTAATGATAATCGTTACCATGAAGAAAAATCCAAACCAAGGAAATTTGTTTACGCCATCCTGGACATTGCAAGACTCTTTTTCAGTGCATCAGGGAAATTACTCAAACTTGAAGGTAAGAGTTCCCCAGTTCTCATTCTCAAGATATCAAAAGATGAAGAAAGTTGGATTGCATTTGGAGAACCTGATCTGTTTGACAGTGACAGCGAAAGTGATGAAGAAGAAGATGGTGATGATGAAGAAGAAGATAGTTTCCATGATACTTCACAAGGTCCAAAGGAAACTTCATTGTCTCTATTGGAATATATAATACGGTTATTATCACTCCAAATGAACGATAAGAAATCTATACTTAAAACTACAGATGAAAGATTGGCGTTGTATCTTCGAGATGAGAACTATGTATTGAATACTTCATACAAAAAGGGTTTACAAGAAAAGAAGAATAACGAGAGTCTTACCCTTGATTCGAATCTTAAACGGTTGGAAACCTTGAAAATAAATGGTAAAGATTAGTCTACAAGCAGTCGAGTGTTTCATATGCTAGCATTGTTTTTATTTTATATACTGACGAAATGAATTATAAATAGTAATCGTTATAAATAAATGCTTTATTTGTATTCGAAAGCCAGATTTTCCTGGACTGTTTCAAATTTTAAGGGGGACGTTATATCGTTAAACATTGGGAGCGAACCAAATTCAGAAAACGGGGAACCTTGCGGTTTCCCATCCTGTTGTTTGGGGAAATGAGGACTTGGGGGAGAACGTGACTGAGTCGGTACTTTGTGTTCCATGCTAGCCAAATCGTGTGCACTTGTAGGTGATACTGATGACTTTCTCAATACATCCTGCGAGCTTGACGATTGTCTAGTACCTCCCAAAAACAGTGCATACTGTTCTAGATGCAAATCATGATCCTCACCAAACAAGTTGTTTAAATCCGCTAATGGTTGCTGTGTTTGTGGTTGATATATAGTGGGCTCCTTGTAATTATCCAGTATGCCACCAAATCTATCAGAATAATCTTCTGTCAAGTCCATGTTTCCATTGGTTGCCTTATGATTGTTACTATTGATCGTAGAAAGATCAAATGATGACAGTGAATATGAGGTTGGTGGGAATGCCGCTGACGTTCCAAATGGTTGGTTTTGATGACCATCAGCAGTTTTACTCATGTTTGTTGCAGTGGAAGAAGTAGAAGCTATAGATAATACACTTTCTGGACGTTTAGGTCGTATTGGTTGGTAGTGCAGTGTATAACTTTGTGATTGTCCCGGTTGTGGTTGTTGCTGAGTTTGGGCTTGCAGTTGCAGGGAATGGGAACCTTGTGGTTTGGTGGGAGGTGATTTATATCCAACATCTGTTCTACTAAGTGGCTTGTTAGTCGTATCAAAACTACATGTACCAACTAATGGGAATAACGGGAACATATTGTCAGATAAATCCATATCTGAAGTTGAAGGAGTAGATATGTTCGCCGGATGGTTTGTTGGAGTAACCCCAGGTTCTGAATTCACTCCATCCATTGTTTTCATCTTTGAATTGGACCTCGAGATGTCTGGAGATGGCAGAAACAAATCAAAGAGTCCTAAGCCACCATCAAATGGAACCAATACATCTTCAATTACGTAATGGGAATCTATAGGAGCTGGTGGAGCCGTGTCCCCCTGGCTAGAATGATCACTATTGTATTGGCTTGTGGCAGTTCCTGTGTTTGTGTTTCCATAGTTACCTGCCAGGTGTACATTAACATACGATTGATTGGCACTCACACTTTGCGAACTACTGTTATTGTTAATGGTGGCCAGTGAAGGAGAAGTCTCTAATGGTAAACTTATATCCGAAGCACTTCTTTCAAGAAGTGATCTTCGTCTAGAAAGTTCCATTTTGGACCCAATGGGACGAGATTTGGTTGAACCATTAGCAAGATTAGATGCACAAGTACAATGTGTGTTTTTGTGACATGCACACAGTGCCAAGTGCATCCCGGGACTCTTTCCCTTCTTCCCACATGTACAACTAACATGAAGATTCTTATTCTTTCGTTGTTCTCGACAATGATGACATTGCGAAGCAGGTCTCCCCTTAGGTTTGATCATGGTCAATGGTTGGTCCGTATGTGTACATGTAGTGACTCTATGACCACGAATACACCGTTCACATGCATACTTGACCCCGTTAATAAGCACCATAATGAGCTGGGTTTCTTAAAGTATCAAATAAGTGTAAAAATATCACTAAATTTGTGTGGGTGCGCCTGGTGACCCACGAGAAAAAAAAATATTTGGTAATAATAGTCTTAAGGAAGCAGATAGGGTGGCGGGCGAGAACAAGGACAAGTCGCACAAGAATTGCAATGCCAAGACGGCTTGGTTGGAACAGAGTCTTCTGCTGTTATACCAGGGACCCGGGAAGCTGGGTCGAGGAAGTGTACGATGATGAGGCGTAAACGGCTGTAGATGGTAGCCGCGTGACAAATGGGGTTATATCTCAGGGAAATTGGATATTCCGAGACACACACACACCTATCGGAACCTGAAAGAACCTAATTGTCGGACCGTAACGAGACCCAAAGGAAACTGTAGAGGTGTACGAGTCCAAGAGGCCGCTTAGAAAAAAGTCTATGGTATGTGATGTTAATACTGAAACTTATCCAGAGAAAAACCAAGCACTTAAATTGATCTGGCTTTGTACAAATATGTCATTCTCAAATATTAAAATTTTTCGAGGTTTTGTGTCTCTCTAGACTTTGCACCCCAACGGAAATTTTTATTTTTGAATATCTAAAAAAATTTACGAAGGGTAGAAAAAAATACTACTCATCAACGCACTACGGAGTTTTACAGAGTGTATTATGTGTGGGTGGCTATTCCCGATTGACAGGGAAATTTTCGAAGTTGTTTGCTTTCTACAGCATCAGTAACAACCTTATTAGGGTATTAGAATCGTAGTAGCATATCCTTTACTTTTCTTTTTTCCCTTTATTTCTTTTTTTTTTTTTTTTGTGGTGTATGATTTCCATTCATATGTTGTTTTGCCATACTAAAATAACAAGGGAGTTCCGCGGGATTTGGGTATAATTGCGAGGGAAATAAAACTAGCATGCAAGGGAGATGATCTACATCGGTGAATAATGAGATGATTGCAGAGAAGTGTCGAGAAGGCTTCAGGGAGTTTTTTTTTTTTTTTTTGCCTTCTCTTTATGATCCTTAACAATACCACAATTATTTTTTATTAAGAGTCCCAGTTGGTCGTGGTTAAAAATACCCTTAAGTTTTGTACAACTGAGACTGATAGGCGTGTACGTGCACAAATCAGGGTCGTCCTGCACATGGGTGTCTTGAGCTACGCACACATGATGTAATGGTGCTGTTTGTGGAGAGATAAAATAGGATGAAACTAAACATGGGGAAACGATTTTTTAGAAAGGATGAATAAACGGCGCCATAAGATTTAGGGTTAATCAGAGACGATGTGTGGGGAAATGTTTCAGCGGTTATTCTTGGAAAGGAAGTGGAGTATTCTGTTGGACAGTTTATAACATTGAAAATAATTGAGTAAATAATTAACATCATGTACAAAAAAGATGCAATTTATAGATTTCAAAAATGGACTTAGGAATAGGAAATAGTCTAGAAACCCGGATATGCGAGTAGAATATCCGGGCAGTATGACCTACTTTGGTTAAAGCACTAGCTAACCGCCTTGGCTTAACCCTTGGTTGATGCCCCTCCCCACATGACTACACACAGGAAAGTGCGGAGATTAGCGATAAGCTCTACCAAATAGGAATCCCTGTAAACGTAACCTTAAAAACTCACACACAAAAACCCATCCGATTATGTAGAAACAATTATTTTTTATAGTTGTGGGGAGATCAAAAAAGTCCGAGAATCTCTCATTCTTATAGATATAAAGCTTGCTATAATTTCAACTTATTTTTCTTGCCTTTATCTTTTTATATCAGACAGACACAATGCCAGACATTGAAGAGGTTCGCAAACACAACACAAAGAAAGATTGCTGGGTAATTATCCATGGCAAAGTCTATGATGTAAGTGACTTTGTGGATGAACATCCGGGAGGTGCAGCAATTATTGTAAAGTATGCTGGTAAAGACGCAACTAAGGCCTTTGATCCGATTCATCCAGGGGATACTTTAGAGAAATATTTGGATAAAAAGTATCATCTTGGGGAGGTTACAGGAGACCTTACCAAGAAGAAGAAGAAGAAGAAGGCAGTCACACCAGCAGAGGCAACTTTGGATGAGAAACCATCTCAAGGTTCTGTTGTGGATGAATTTGATGTTGAGTATGATGAACAAGACGATAAATTACCAATGTCTCTGTCTAGTGCTCCACCAGTTTTAGACGGTGGAGTCGAAGTTGAGTATGAAGATGACGATGATGATGATGATGATAATCCAAAGGAAACTGCTCGCAGAAAGGATATGATCAAGAGAAAGCCAGATATTGGCCAGATCTATAATCTTAATGATTTCGAGTTTGTTGCAAGACATACAATGGAAAAGACTGCGTGGGGTTATTACTCCTCTGGATGTGATGACGAAATCACGTTAAGAGCCAACCATTTGGCCTATCATCGGGTATTTTTCAGACCTAGAGTTTTGGTTGATGTCACCAACATAGACTTAACTACCACCATGCTTGGATCTAAATGTGCTGCACCATTTTATATTACTGCCACTGCATTGGGTAAATTGGGACATCCCGAAGGAGAAGTTGTCTTGACTAGATCAGCAGGAAAGACCAACATCATTCAAATGATTCCTACCCTTGCATCTTGTTCATTTGATGAGATTGTGGATGCTGCTATGGATAAGCAAACTCAATGGTTACAATTGTATGTGAATTCCGATCGTGAAATTTGTAAGAAGATTGTTCAACATGCTGAAAAGAGAGGAATGAAGGGATTATTTATCACAGTTGATGCACCTCAATTGGGTAGAAGAGAAAAGGATATGAGACTGAAAAACATTGAAGATGTTTCCCATTTACAAGAGGGTGATGAAAAGTCCGACCGTTCCCAAGGTGCTGCAAGAGCTATTAGTTCTTTTATTGATACCAGTTTGAAATGGTCTGATCTTAAATGGTTCAAGAGTATTACCAAAATGCCAATCATTTTGAAAGGGATCCAATGTGTTGAAGATGCTCTTTTAGCTGTGGATGCTGGCGTTCAAGGTATAGTATTGTCAAACCATGGTGGTAGACAATTGGAATTCTCCAAGCCACCAATTGAAGTTTTGGCGGAACTTATGCCCATCTTACGTAAACGAGGGGTTGATCCAAATAAATTTGAAGTTTATATGGATGGTGGGGTTCGCCGTGCCACTGATATTTTGAAAGCCGTTTGTTTGGGGGCTAAGGGGGTTGGTATAGGAAGACCTTTCTTATATGCCATGTCCACCTATGGGGATGAAGGGGTACTTAAACTCATGACTATATTGTTTGACGAGATGGTTATGAATATGCGTCTTTTGGGGGTTACTTCAATAGATCAATTAAATGAGTCCTACGTCGATACAAGAGGCTTGACCCATTCGTTCATGCCTAACGATAAGTTATTTGATGGTGTCTACGAGCCACTACAATCTCCAGCATTTAGAGATAATAAAATGTAAATAAATTGTAAGGTTCATTTTCGGATGCAAATTTTATTTATATATGTGAAATATACAAAGAGTTAAAAAAGAAGATTTAATTTTAGAAAATAGAATAAATACAAAAAAAAAAAAAAAAAATAAAAACAAGAATGAATGGAACAGGAACAGGAAGCGAAGAATTGGTTTATCGTGCAAAAAATAATTTTTGTAGCCGATGAAATCTGATGCCAGGCGTTTCGAGAAGAATGTTCCCTCACAGAAACACACGGCCATGTACCGTAACTAACTTGGTGGAAAGTTAAGATGAATGGAAGGAAATAATTTGCAGTAAATGGAAGAAAGATGCATGGGAATGCGCCTATTCTTGACGTCTTAGAATCTATTTTAGCCCATACATACGTAATCCATAATCTTAGTACAATGTACTTTAGTATATCGGTCGGTTGAAGTTCATATCGAGTATCACCTCTTCTGCCGAGACATTTACTGGTAATGTAGCGCCACTAGCTCTTGTTTTTTTTTTCGTACTACTATTTATTATTTTTAACTCCACATGCCTCACAATTGTAAAACACTCGCGAAACAATCTGTATGGCCCAGAACTCGCACACCCGTGCACCCGTGTTCGTTTCGACGCGTGTACCTGCCAGTGAGAACGATTTGAACAACAAATACACAATTGAGAGAACGTACACTATAAACCAATATTCTTTTTTTTTAATTCTTTTACAAAGAAAAGACGTTTCTTCACATATACACCAAAGATACACATCTGAAGTGTGCTAGAACAGCGAATAAAACGTCTGAAGAGTTTTGAATCAACGGGCGATCGCCAACCTTCGTTGTTATTTCCTCTATCTCCAAATCTTTTTTTTTTTTGGCCTCACGTTCACTAAATCGTCGTCAAGTAAACAGGGAAAATTTTTGTTTTTGAGGAACACTTTATTTGTATACTTTATTGAGAGAGTCACCTTTTTTTTTTCTTAGGAAAGTCAGTGCCCCATATAGCAGCGATCTCAAGCTGATTATACACATATACACGGCCTATTTAATCCCGGAACTAAACCAAACGGGGTATACTCCATTCAATTGGCCTGAAGAACAAATCTAAAGGAGAAATCAGCCCCCCAAAAAACGGACCAATAATTATACACAAACAAATACGTGAAACAAACTTTTAATCTGAATCACTCCTCGAAATGGTTTCTTCATACGATATTGGGACCAAGTGCTGGTATCCAGATGAAACATTGGGGTGGATAGGTACTGTTGTCACCAGTAACACCACCAGTGGAGGGAAACATATTCTCGAATTGACAGCTGAAACGGATGATTCGATCAAATTTACGGTAGAATCAACCAATTTGGACGAAGATAACGACAAATTGCCACCTTTACGTAACCCTCCGATCTTGGAAGCTGCTGAAGATTTGACCAGTTTGTCCTATCTTAATGAACCGGCCGTGCTTCATGCCATTAAGCTCAGATACTCCCAATTAAACATTTATACCTACTCTGGTATTGTTTTGATTGCCACAAATCCATTCCAACGTATAGATCAATTGTATTCGCAGGACATCATCCAAGCGTATGCTGGCAAAAGAAGAGAAGAATCAGATCCACATTTGTTTGCCATTGCTGAAGACGCGTACCGTTGTATGAAGAGTGATGGAGAAAACCAAACCATTGTGGTTAGTGGTGAATCTGGTGCTGGTAAGACCGTCAGTGCTAAATATATCATGAGATACTTTGCCTCTGTTGAAGAAGATTCTGAACTTGAATCCAGCATTGGTACTGATCACAAAGCTGATATGTCTGATGTTGAAAAGCAAATTTTGGCTACAAATCCTATTATGGAAGCCTTTGGTAATGCAAAGACAACAAGAAATGACAATTCTTCAAGATTTGGTAAATATTTGGAAATCTTATTTGATAAGGAAACCTCCATTATTGGTGCCAGAATTAGAACATATCTTTTAGAAAGATCAAGATTGGTATTTCAACCAACTTCTGAAAGAAATTATCATATTTTCTATCAACTTTTAGCTGGTATGTCTTCTAAAGAGAAATCTGAACTTGGTTTAACCACAGCTGAAGATTTCAAATATACCAATCAAGGAGGATCACCTGTTATTAATGGGATGGATGATGCTAAAGAATTCCAAATTACTAAAGATGCATTATTATTAATTGGAATAGATGAAAATAAACAAGCTCAAATCTACAAGATTTTGGCTGCTTTGCTTCATTTAGGTAATATTGAAATTGCTGCCACTAGAAATGATGCTCATTTATCATCTGAGGAACCAAACTTGGTCAAGGCTTGTGAATTATTGGGTATAGATGCATTCAATTTCAGTAAATGGTGTACCAAGAAGCAAATCACTACTAGAGCTGAAAAGATTGTAAGTAATTTGAATCATAAACAAGCTTTAGTCGCCAGAGATTCCTTCGCCAAATACATATACGCAGCCTTGTTCGATTGGTTGGTGGATTATGTCAATGCTGATTTGTGTCCACCAGAAGTTGAAGAAAAAATTAAGTCATTCATTGGTGTTTTGGATATCTATGGGTTTGAACATTTTGAAAAGAATTCTTTTGAACAATTTTGTATTAATTATGCCAATGAAAAATTGCAACAAGAATTTAATCAACATGTTTTCAAATTGGAACAAGAAGAATATATCAGGGAAGAAATCGAATGGTCATTCATTGATTTTGCTGATAATCAACCATGTATCAATTTGATTGAGAACAGACTAGGAATCTTGTCGTTATTGGATGAAGAATCTAGACTTCCAGCTGGTAATGATGAATCATGGATTGATAAGATGTATCAAACCTTGGATAAGGAACCAACCAACAAGGTGTTCAAGAAACCAAGATTTGGACAAACCAAGTTTATTGTTAGTCATTATGCCTTGGACGTCACCTATGATATTGAAGGATTCATTGAAAAGAATAGAGATACTGTTGGTGAGGGACATTTGGATGTCATGAAGAATTCTACTAACGAATTGTTACAAGACGTGCTATCAATCTTGGATAAGAATGCTGCTGCCTTGGAGGCCAAGGCTCCAGCAACCAAGACCAAATCAATTGCCAGTAAGAAACCTACTTTGGGTTCCATGTTCAAGAACTCTTTGATTGAATTGATGAAGACCATTGATTCTACTAACGTTCATTACATTAGATGTATCAAGCCAAATGAACAGAAAAAGGCATGGGAATTCGATTCATTGATGGTTTTATCACAATTGAGAGCTTGTGGTGTTTTGGAAACCATTAGAATCTCCTGTGCTGGTTTCCCATCCAGATGGTCATATGTGGAATTTGCTGATAGATATCATATTTTAGTTCCATCTAACTTATGGATGAAGGTGATGAGTGGCGAAACCACTCAAGAGCTGGTCAGTGACTTGTGTAACAAGATCTTGGAAGATACAATTGAAGATAAGAGTAAATACCAACTTGGTAATACCAAGATTTTCTTCAAGGCTGGGATGTTGGCACATTTCGAAAAATTAAGATCTGAGAAATTATTTAAGGCTGCAGTCATGATTCAAAAGAACATGAGAAAGGTATTCTATCGTAAGAAGTATTTGGCCATCAGAGATTCTCATATCAACTTACAAACTCTTATTCGTGGTTACCTTACTAGATTGAGAGTCAAGACTGAGAGGGAAGCACATGCTGCTACTCAAATTCAGAACTTGATTAGAGGTTTCCTCGCTAGAAGACAATTCCAAGATACTATGGAATCTGTTACTACCTTACAAAGACACATTAAGGGATTACAAGCTAGGCGTGCTTTCACTACTATGAGAACTGAAAAATCTGCTGTTACATTGCAAAAATCATGGAGAGGATTGCAAGAAAGACGTAACTTTAATTCCCAAAAGAAGGCAGCTGTTGTTATTCAATCTACTATCAGAAGAAAGATGGCATACAATGAGTTTAAGCAATTAAAGACTGATGCTAAGTCTGTTAACCACCTCAAGGAAGTTTCCTACAAGTTGGAAAATAAGGTTATTGAATTAACTCAATCTTTAACTTCTAAGATTCAAGACAACAAGAAATTGATTGCTGAAATTTCAAATTTGAAGGATTTGTTAGATCAATCTAGTTCTGCTCATGAAGTTTTGAAGACAAGAGAAATTGAATTCAATGAGAAGTTTGACTCTCAAAATGTTGAACATCAAGCTGAAATTGAAAACTTGAACAAGGAATTGGAATCCATCAAAACGGAATACAATGCTGCTGAAAAGAGAATTGAAGTATTGATTAAGGAACAATCCGACTTGAAACTTGACGTTCAAAAGAATATTGAAGAATTAAACAACTTCAAGGGCGAATTAATCAAGCGTGATACCATTGAAGTTGACTTGAAGTCTCACATTGAACAATTAAAGTCTGAACTCACTTCATTGCAAAACCTGCAAGTATCCAAATTGGCCAATCCAAAGACTAGAAATGTCACCAAGAACCGCCACAGTAGTGCATTGGCATGGAATTCTCCATCTCTTGAACAAAGTAACAGACCTGTTTCTGTCATTGCTGTTTCAAACAATGAAGAGACTAACATTGATGATATCAACGATGAGTTATTCAAGTTATTGAGAGATTCAAGACAATTACATAGAGAAATTGTTGAAGGTTTGTTGAAGGGCTTGAAGATTCCACCAGCAGGTGTTGCTGCAGACTTGACTAGAAAGGAAGTTTTGTTCCCAGCTAGAATTATCATTATTATTTTGAGTGATATGTGGAGACTTGGTTTGACTAAGGAAAGTGAGGATTTCCTTGGTGAAGTTTTAGCTGCAATTCAAGCTATGGTTGCAAGCTTGAAGGATGATGATGTGATACCAAATGGTGCCTTCTGGTTATCCAATACCCATGAATTGTTCTCGTTTGTGTCGTATGCTCAACAAACCATCATTGCAAACGACACTCTTTCACACGAGATGAGTGAAGAAGAATTTGATGAATACTTAAAACTTGTGGCTGTTGTTAAGGAAGATTTTGAATCTTTACTGTACAATATTTACAACATGTGGATGAAGAAAATGGAAAAGGATTTGGAAAGAAAGGCAGTTTCAGCTGTTGTTTTATCTCAATCATTGCCAGGTTTCATGGCACCAGAGGCTTCCCCATTCTTGGCCAAGGTCTTCTCCCAAGGAGTTCAATACAAAATGGATGACATTTTAAGTTTCTTCAATTCTGTATACTGGTCTATGAAGTCATACTTCATTGAACATGAAGTTATGAATGAAGTTATTGTTGAATTGTTAAGATTCGTCGACGCATTGTGTTTCAATGACTTGATTATGAGAAGAAACTTTTTGAGTTGGAAGAGAGGTTTGCAATTAAACTATAACGTCACAAGATTAGAAGAATGGTGTAAGGGCCATGAAATACAAGAAGGATCTGGTTACTTGAGTCATTTGTTACAAGCTGCCAAATTGTTGCAATTGAGAAAGGGTACACCGGATGATATTGGAATTATTTATGAGATTTGTTACGCTTTGAAGCCAATTCAAATCCAAAAATTGATCAGTCAATATTACATTGCTGATTATGAAACTCCAATTGCACCAGATGTGTTACAAGCTGTTGCTGACCGTGTTAAGCAAAGTGATAGCAGTAACAGTGATGATTTGTTTGAAATGGTTGCTACTGATGGTCACTTTGATGATCCATTCAGAACTGTCAACTTGAGACCATTCTCCAGAGTTGAGGCATACGTTCCTGCTTGGTTAAGTTTGCCAATTATTAGACGAATTGTTGAGTTGGTCGCAAAGAATGCTACTGCTCAAGAGTCTAAGTCTAACGAGTATGATGAACAAGATGAGTGATCGTTGGGTTAAGTTGTGTGTATTATAAGTCTATTATGTAAACAGAAGAGAAGTGATTCTAATATTATAAATTAAAAAGAAGCCCGTTTTTGTAGATTGTTTGTAATTTTCTATATCTTTCTCTTTTCATACTCTTCAGGAGTTTTAGTTTTCATTTGTAAAGCATGAAGTCCGTCATGTTCAAGTTCCTCACTCAAAGTTCCGTATACCAATCTATGTCTTGCTGGTAAATTCTTCCCTTCAAAAACACTACTGACAATTTCAACATTGAAATGAGATTCAGTTTTGTTTGTAGCCCCTCTTAAACCAGCATGATGAGCGTGTTTGTGTGAATCATTAACAATTGAAAAATGGACAGGTTGAAACTTTTCATGGAGTTTCTTTACTATTTTTGTCTCTATTGGACCAGCAGAAGGTGAAATATTAATAGAGGTACTCATTTTACGAATGTATCTAAGCATTTGAGTTATATTCTAATGTTTGAATTGGGGTTACTCATTTTTGAATTTTTTGACTAATCAACCTGAAAATCATATTAGATAGGGTGGTACTGCAGACTGTGAAACAATTTACTAAGGTGGAGAAAGGGCTATACAAATTGTTTAATAAGAAATCGATAATTTCTATGGATTGTGGGGAATTCCAAGAACGAAATTCTCTAACCTCATGATTGTAGTGAGTAGTTGAACGGGTCTTTAAGAAGGAAATTTACAAGCGTGGCTATATGTTTTTGTTGGCACTAAAGAAATATACAAATAGCACTTTTCAACAAGATATCATAGACTCTAAGGTATAATAGTAAGATTGGGTGGGGTACAGAAAATAAACTACTACTTTATGGTATAAAACGATAATATCAGTGGTCAACTTTTGGACCGTTTTCATTTTATTTTCGTTTATAGTCACAATTTCTTTGGATCATATCCTTACCACAGCCATCATCCGTACACCCTAAGTAATTTATACATGTACAGCTAAATATAGAAATTTATTTACCTTAAAACATAAGTGAGCTTAATGAATGAAATATGTGGTTCGATGTAGAATGAAAACGACTATTCAAGTATCTTATAAAAATGAACCACGATCTATTATCGAAGTACTTGGCATGAGATCGAAATTGGAACTTAAAAAATAGAAATTAAAAAAAAAAAAAAGCTTCAAAACGCACAGGGTTTCCCACAAAATCAAAATCATGGCATTTGCCCTTGCACGCCCCCCTGCCAATATTAGAATAAACGGTAGGATTAAAATACAAAGCTGTATTGGTGGCAACAACACAGATTTCTAAGAAACAATGTCTTCATCTGTTCCATACGACCCATATATTCCAAACCAGGACTCGTCCGAGCAGTCGAACTCCCGGACTGCAGCCATTCAGGCGGTATGTATTAATTTATTACTTTGTCATTGCTGTTCTTTTCCCGTTAGTACCGTAACCCCCTCCAAACGGTGAAAAGGCATTTAAATGTTTTACAAAGGAAATATATACTCATGGATATCATTACTAACTATTGCAGCAAATCGATGATACCGTTGGTATCATGAGAGATAATATCAATAAGGTTGCCGAACGTGGAGAACGTTTGGATTCAATCGAAAACAAAACAGATAACTTGGCTATTTCTGCCCAAGGGTTCCGTCGTGGTGCTAACAGAGTCCGTAAGGACATGTGGTGGAAAGACATGAAGATGAGAATGTGTATTATTTTGGGGGTAGTGATTGTTTTGATTGTGATCATTGTTCCAATTGCAGTTCATTTCAAGTAAGAGTGGGAAGATGGAGGGGAAATAGTTTAGTTAATATTATGTTTACACCTTGGGATTCAATTTGTAGGGGTACCTTTCGGCCCTATAGCTGTATATCATTTTCTATATAAGTATGTATTGACAGTGACTGTCAGCGCCAGGTTGCAGTTCAAGGACAGAGAGAGGTTTGGAAGAAAAAAGGAAAAAAAAAAAATCACGTCAGTAGTAATTTGGCTTCGTTATCTGGTAGACCTTTTATAATTAGTGAAAGAAGGAGCTTAATGTTCTTCCAAGGAACTTTCGTAAGCGGCAGAATCCAACAATTCTTCGTTGGTTTCAATGGTCAGTGGCTCAGACAATTTAATGTGAGCGATCCAACCTTGACCCATTGGGTCATCGTTAATCAAACCTGGAGTAGATTCCAATACTTCGTTAACAGCAATGACTTCCCCAGAGACTGGAGCGTATATTTCAGAAGCAGACTTGACACTTTCAACAGATCCAATGGATTCACCGGCTTCCACAACAGTACCAACTTCTGGAAGTTCAATGAAGGTGGCATCACCCAAAGCTTCAGAAGCGTAGTTGGTGATACCAACATGAGCAGAGTCATCGGAGTGGACAGCTAACCATTCGTGTTCAGCAGTGAACTTGACAACCTTTGGGCCGTCTTGATACTTGTAGATATCAGAATCTTTGTTGATTCTGTAGATAGCAGAGTTAAATCTAACTGGGTTAACTCTGGTGATGAGTCTTGGGACAACTCTTGGAGCAAATCTTGGGGCTCTTAATAAGGTAGAAATCATTGTGTGATGTGAATAAACGATGTATAGTTAAAAATTATTACTACTTCAATTTTTTGTATGGGGCAGTAATCGCGTTTTATATGTGTGAATTATTTTTCTTTTTTTTTTTCTCACGGGTTGACTCTGTTTCATAGTAGGAGTCAGTTTTGCCGTGTGATGAGTTCTTAGTGCTTGGAGCGAGTCGAAATAAATATCCAACAACCTTGGTGGGCCATTTTGTGTCCAAATAGTATTCAGTAACTTTTGATATGGTGTCTGATGGTTCCATATATATATTTATTGTAGAAACTGACATTGAACTAAAATGAGGTATATACACTTTATTTCTTTTTCTCTTATTTTTTTACCATTTTCTCCCCTTAATTGAAATCGGGTGACTGAAAAGTTGGTGGGGGGGATGTAAAATACGAATTTATAGGAAAATGAATTTAGGATTATGGCTATACATATCCGAATCGTAGTGATAGCAGAACCAGAATTATACTTTTTACTTAATGTTTGGCAATTGAAAGGTTGCGCAAAAATATATATCCACTGAAGGAGAGTAAAATCATTCTCAGAGAAGACAAAAAATACTTAAATTTTTATTGAGTTTGCTACCCTTACCAATTCATAACCAGCATGACATGATTTGTAGTTTATGTGGTACTTCTTATTTTGCATGTGTATAATCTAGTATTTATATAGTTTGTACTCAGAGAAAACGTTTGAAACCTCGCATGTATGATTCTCAAACAGTTGGTTTTAAATTGTCTTAATTTTTAATAATGAACTTTTTATAGTAAATAGTCTAATATAATCCATTTATAAATACTATAATATATGTTTCAATTCTCTCTCATATTATCATTTTGTTGTATCAACCCTTTTACCACACAGCAACTATTATCCGGAATGTGTATCCGGGAAAAGATCACCTGATAAGAAATCCGGAGTAAATTTATTTGTCGCACCTGCACATGAAAGGTGCACCCCCCATGCACCCTCTTTTAACTACCCCACGATCTAACCTGGAATAGTACAAATCGAAATGAAACCTGCAAAACTCCCTAAACCTAAAGGTGATATGAGGTCAATTAAGGGTCCATTAGAAGTGCTAGAGTCAATATTAGCATGTAAGACAATTTCTTACTTGAATCAAAAAGATGGTTAAAGAAGAAGCCTAGACAGATTCTCGAAGATTCTCGTACATTCTATGCGTTTCCATTAGATTCCGGAGTTCCCACTATGTAGAAACTTCTGGAAAAAATCTGGAACCCTCCGCATTCATATAAAAGGAGTTTAAACTATCCCCTCCTTGAGTAGATTTTAATTAATCTTTATTAGATATTACTTTTCTATTACACTTTATAATACAAAAAGGAATACATTAAAATAAAATATGTCGAAAGCCATCGGAATTGATTTAGGTACAACTTACTCTTGTGTTGCACATTTTGCAAATGACAGAGTTGAAATTATTGCAAATGACCAAGGTAACAGAACTACCCCTTCTTATGTTGCTTTTACTGATACCGAAAGACTCATTGGTGATGCTGCAAAGAACCAAGCTGCTATGAACCCTCATAACACTGTCTTTGACGCAAAGCGTTTGATCGGTAGAAAGTTTAATGATGCTGAAGTTCAAGAGGACATCAAACATTTCCCATTCAAGATTATTGATAAGGGTGGCAAACCAGTTATCCAAGTTGAATTCAAGGGAGAAACTAAGGTATTCACACCTGAAGAAATCTCCTCTATGGTCTTAACCAAGATGAAGGAGACTGCTGAAGAGTTTTTGGGGGTTCCAGTTAATGACGCTGTTGTTACTGTTCCTGCTTATTTCAACGATTCTCAAAGACAAGCTACTAAAGATGCTGGTTTGATTGCTGGTTTGAATGTTTTGCGTATTATTAACGAACCAACTGCTGCTGCAATTGCCTATGGTTTGGACAAAAAGGGAACCTCTGGAGGTGAAAAGAATGTTTTGATCTTTGACTTGGGTGGTGGTACTTTCGATGTTTCATTGTTAGCTATTGATGATGGAATTTTTGAAGTTAAGGCTACTGCCGGTGACACTCATTTGGGTGGTGAAGATTTCGACCACAGATTGGTTAATCATTTCATTACTGAATTCAAGAGAAAGCACAAGAAGGATTTGTCTACCAATCAAAGAGCTTTAAGAAGATTAAGAACAGCATGTGAACGTGCTAAGAGAACCCTTTCTTCTTCTGCTCAAACTTCTATCGAAATCGACTCTTTGTTCGAAGGTATTGATTTCTACACTTCAATCACTAGAGCAAGATTCGAAGAACTTTGTGCTGATTTGTTCAGATCTACTGTCGATCCAGTTGAAAAGGTTTTGAAGGATGCTAAGATGGATAAGTCTCAAGTTGATGAAATTGTTCTTGTTGGTGGTTCTACTAGAATTCCAAAGGTCCAAAAATTAGTGTCTGACTTTTTCAATGGTAAGGAACCAAACAAGTCCATTAACCCAGATGAAGCCGTTGCCTATGGTGCTGCTGTTCAAGCTGCCATCTTGACTGGTGACACTTCTTCTAAGACTCAAGACTTGTTGTTATTGGATGTTGCGCCATTGTCTCTTGGTATTGAAACTGCTGGTGGTGTTATGACCAAATTGATTCCAAGAAATGCCACTATTCCAACAAAGAAATCTGAAACCTTCTCTACTTATGCTGACAACCAACCAGGTGTTTTGATTCAAGTGTTTGAAGGTGAAAGAGCCAGAACAAAGGACAACAACTTGCTTGGTAAGTTTGAATTGTCCGGTATTCCACCAGCTCCAAGAGGTGTTCCTCAAGTTGAGGTCACTTTTGACATCGATGCAAACGGTATCTTGAATGTTTCTGCCTTGGAGAAGGGTACTGGTAAGACTCAAAAGATTACCATTACCAACGACAAGGGTAGATTATCTAAGGAAGATATCGAAAGAATGGTCAATGAAGCTGAGAAGTACAAGGAAGAAGATGAAAAGGAGGCTGCCAGAATACAAGCAAAGAACTCTTTGGAATCATACACTTACTCTTTGAAGAATTCCATCAATGACGGTGAAATGAAGGATAAGATTGGTGCAGATGATAAGGAGAAGTTGACTAAGGCAATCGATGAAACTGTTGCCTGGTTGGATGACTCTCAAGCTGCCACTACTGAAGAGTACGCTGACAGACACAAGGAGTTAGAATCTATTGCTAACCCTATAATTTCTGGTGCTTATCAATCCGCTGGTGGTGCTCCAGGTGGTGCTCCAGGTGGTTTCCCAGGTGGTGCCCCTCCTCCAGCTGCTGATGAATCTGGTCCAACTGTTGAAGAAGTTGATTAGGTTAAAAAGTTTGACTAAAGGTTCAATCTTCATTTCATGGTACGTGGTTTATTAGGTTCTTGTTTATATATTATAGGTTTTAAATGAATGTTTCATATAATTAAAATAAAACTTTTGTAGATGTAGTTTTTTTTTATACAAATTGTACTAATTAAATACATTCTAGGATTAAGCAGATTGTAGTTGTTACAATCCAATTACAAATTAGAATAGTTCCAATTTTCTTATCCACAACCATGTTGTTTGTGGTGACTCTCATTAATAAGAATGATAGACTTGCCCCCAATCCCAAAATCAAAATCGCAAGAGTTGAAGATTTTTTTAAGATATATGCACCTTCATAGTCAGGCGAGCCATTTATAATAATGAGCCCACTGACTCCTAAAGAGGAAAATGTAAGAATGGGGCCTCCAAAGCATGCACCAAATGCCATTAGAGGCATTCCCATACTTGCTATTGTATAATTAGATATGAAATCTCCAACAGAATTACCTAATGCAAACACCGTCAATCCCAATACTTCGTCGCTAATGTTATAAATCAATGATACAATTTTTAATATGGCAACGATTTCAGTGGCAAAGATGGACACCCAAGTTATTGAAGTAATAAATCCAATTACTGACAGTACGTAATAAAAGATCCTAATGCGTCTAATACCATTGATTTTCTGGTAGAACAAATATACACACATTGAAAGGATAATGGATAATATCACAGATATAGGAAATACTGTAGACCAGAAATGTGTGACATGATCAAACCATACACATGCTATAAGTGTGACCGCAAAAAATATCTGAATTCGAAGTAAAGTCCTATCAAAATCATAGTCAATTGGGTCGTCGTCAATGATATCCGTAGATTGCTGGGGTGCAAATTGAGAGTCGAATTGTGCCCTCTCTTGGAAATCTAACTTGTGCACTGAGGCTTGATCTCTAACTGGAACCGAGACTCTTAAAAGAATGAATATTGGTAACATGGCAAGATTAAAAATTTTATTGTGTAAAGACATCGTTTTGAATGAAGTAAGATTTGGAATAAAAAGTTTTGATAGTAACGAACTTGTAGATCGAGATGTAGATATTATGTTCCCCTGATATCGAACTTCCAAAGATTCCAGATCAGAATCATCATCTCTGTATCTAGTTGGAGGTGGTCGTATGTTGGTCTGGGTCTCTTCTGGTTGGGTTGAAGACATTTCAGGCGCTGTTGCCAGACGACCGGTGATTACAATATCGTTGTCAACGTCATACGGAAGTTGGATTGATCCATTATTTGAGTGTTGTTGTAAATTCTTGAGGAGTACGTTCAACCCATAATGACCCGTTGGTAAAGAGGAGGAAGTATTACTTCTTAAAACACGTTCCAGAGTCAATTGATTGTTGTGATTATTTAAGAGCTCTTCAATGGTTGGGAGTGTATCCAAATCTTCCAAATAAACGGCATCACCATCAACATCGCCGAATTCCTCATCAACTTCATCGTTTACGCTGGATAATCTCTCAGTTCCATGTATATAATTTCCCCTTGCTCGAATCTGTCTCATTCTTTGTCGGCTCCTAGATTTGGCAATTGAGTGCGAGGATATGACAATGACAACGTATATCAAATATAAAGATACCAACACTATACAGTGCATAGTAGTTAATTTCTGTGTGAGAGATGCGTGGAACAATACTATCGTCACAGCTGCAAAGAACCCAGCATCTCTTATAAAGGGGACTTCGGGTACTTTAAACGGGTGCAAGATTCCCATGGTACCCACAACTACTGTGGTTATGAAAAATGCAGCACCAACCAACTCAGAAATTGCCAAATCGCCAGATCCCAAGTCCATCGCTGTGAAGGTACTTAATATATCTGGAGCTCCATTCCCCAAGGCAAGAAGAGTGAGGCCTGCCAAATTGTCAGACATCTTCAAAAAGACCGATATAGTGTATAGATTTGGACATAGATAATCAGAAGCTGTTAGGCCCAAACTGACAAATAATAACCCAAGTATGATTAACAATGGGACAATCGCTCCTAGACGAAGAAATGAAAATGTACAATAGTACAAACGAAGATAATTTATATATCCAAGTTTATAATCTGAACATTCTTCACGTATAAATTCACATTGATCTGCTCGAGGGATCTCGTGTATAGCAGTACAATTGTAATTGTTATTATCAGAAGAAGTAAATGCATTGGAAATAGATTTTTCAATCAGCAGATCAATACCATTTGCCTTGGCCAATTGTACATGATGGACAACAAGAAAAATGATCGACCCAACATAAATGAAATTTAGTCGCATATTTCATGTGGCGTTTCTATCATTGAGGTCACCGCTATCCTAGTACGTGTGTTGTTGTAAGACTAATAATTAAGTATTCCGGTAAAATCCAAACCACCCCCCCTTTTGGGCTGTGAATCCTTTTTTAATCTGCAGGCCAATCGATAATTATAGAGAGAGAGCACATAACTGAAGACAAACGGAATTTACAAGCGCAATGGGGCTTTTCTAGACAATACTGTGAATCTATGGTATTTATTGGGGTTGCTTAATAATCTAAATCTAAATTATCTTAGCTCTATTTGTTTCCCATATTGATTTAGTGTTAGACTTTCAGGAACCTTTTCGTTTGTACGGCACTTGTTTCTCTTACATGTTGTAATATTATATAGGTATTCATTCTGAGCCCCGTACCGTGTACGGCAGTGTAACAGCAAAATTATTCAGATGTTTAGATGCTTTCTACGGATTATATTGAACAAGTTTCGAATCAGCCGTACTAGAAATTATTGAAAATTTGAAGAACAACGGATTCGTTCTCTTACATGAAATTGATGTTCCATACAAAACAAGAAATACTTTAGAAGTTTACCAATTACCCCGATTCAGGATTAAGTTTAAGAACGAATTGCAATTGTAACCAAAGAACATTTAAAGATGAATTAAGATTTCAAACGGCGTTTCTGGAAAAGATATTGATATGTGCATGGAGATATGTACACATTTATTTTTTTTTTTTTGTATTTTTTACAGTTCCGGAACCTTAACCAAGTAATCTTGAATTGGTACGATTATATAATCGCTACTATATTTAGGATATACCATGCGTAAAATACACTATGGGGTCATTGTAAATGACTATTTATGGTAATGTGTTGGGTATAGAGGGCTATAAGGACTAGTATATATAAATGTAAAGTTAGACAGACAAATTTTTGTTGTTTTGTAGAAGTAGAAAGACTTGGGAAAACAAAATGTTTGCATACAAAATGACCAGAAATCCTGAGCGTAGTCAATCACCATATTACAGTTCTAGTGATGATGATAATTCTTCATTGGAATATCTGACCTCAGGTGATGTTAGTGATAAGTCTAGTATTATCGTATATGAAGAAGTTCCTGAACAATATTATGGGGTAACATCACCATATTACGATAATGAGCATTCAGAGGAAGGAAGTAATCTTGTTTTCGGACCTGATGTAGATCGAGTCTTAAACCATAATTCTGTTATCCTTCCAACCCCTAGAATTCAAGATCTAGGAATGAGAAAAGTGACAAAGTATCCGACAGAATTCCAAAAGCCAATTAGTACTTCACACCCATACACTCCATTTAAATCAATTGTAATGGTTGCAAATTCTATCCAGCTTCAGGAAGGTTTTCCTATGGTTTATTTTCCTGAGGTTCTCAGTTCTCATGATATCATGCTGACTGAATGGCAAAAGTTCCTCGATGAAATGAAATTGGCTGCAAACCCAACTCTTGGGAGTCAATATGAATCGAATTACCCTTATTTGAATAGGACATCGAATGTTGGACAACGTAGAAAGAAAACATCAAGTATTTCCAGTCTATCGCTGTTGATTGAAAGAAGAGGAAGAAGAGATGGCAGGAGTAATGGAGCCATATGTCTGCTTTTTAAAGTAGGTACAGAATATCTCACTACTAGACGAGAACGAGAAATCGGACATCCATATTACAATACACAAGCTCAAAGGTTTGCCAACTATGAACGTGATATTGATTACTTTGATTTAAATTCAATTGATACATTATCATCTGTGATACACAATTGGAATGTAATGTTTTTCAATAATAGAAGTATCAACATATGTCTTAAACTCCCAAGTGATGTTCAGGCCGATTACGACCACGCATCAAACGCCTTTGGAAGAAGAGATGCACGTTTAGTAAGCACTCAATTAGATCAAGACGGCGGGGACGCATCATTCAAGAAATGCAGATTGGTAATTAGCAGTTTATAAATTATGAATAGAATAAATATGATCATATCTACAATAGGTTACAGTGTTACGAAATGTTTAGCTGATCATTGCACCACTCCTCATCCGGGCACACGAAGGTAATCCCTTAGAATAGCAAAGTATTCAGATGGAGTGCTGCACCCAAGATCAACATATTAGTCTCCAGACCATCCCAAGTACGAATACACAACTATATCCCGATGGTCATGGGTCAGAACGCCGCAATGGGTTCAACCTCAAAGGAATGCTTTAGCGTTGCGAATGGCTGTGTAATTTGCGTTTGTTGAAGAAAAAAAATTAAAAAGTGAAAAGATTGAGATGCGCAATCCCTTTTATAGTGGTAAAAAAGTTAAGATCCGGGTAACTTTTCAGGAAAAAGGGTTGACAGTTCAATTGTGCTGCAAAAGCAAAAAAAAAAAAAAATACCTCAGGCTTACATAAAGTCCAAAAGGATGGTGTAAATGAATATAGCCAAATATCTATGTTTCTACTTCTATATAGTTTTATAAATTATTGTATAATTCTCTCTTCGAATATATTCCATTCCCATTCAGTTTTGCTTCTATTTCTTGCAGATTTTGAATGAGTTGTATCACTTTTTCAAAGACATCTTCATATACATTATCACCCCAAAGGGTATCCATGTGCTCATATCCTTTACATCTTATGGTATCGATCAATTTAGTCGCCATTCTCCCATTTTGTGATAAAATCAATTCTTTTGTACTTTCAATATCCACCAAAATGTCACTATCTCCGTAAACCAACACCATGGGAACGTCTAAATGATGTGATATAGGAAATGGTGCAACCCTACTCGTGGTTAGTTTCAGGTCATGAGATAATGTAGAAAGTCCACTAAGACCAATATTACAAGTTTCATCAAACATTTGAAATCTTCTTGAAGATATAATTTGAAACCAATGTATGATAGACTTCACTGAAGAATTTGAAAACATATGAGGATAACCTAAACGTTTTTGTTGTGTAGAGATGTTTTTCCCAGACCATCCAAATAAAAATTGAAGAGAAACATCCACCACTTTTTGATATAAATCAGGTCCCATAAGGTAACACCAATATGAAACTGAAGGAAGAATTGCTCTTTGGCCAAAGAGACTATACAAAAATGAATTATCATTTGCAGTTTGGTTGATAATAACCTTGAGCAACGAATGACTCAAATCACGAGGTACTATCGCTGGTGAAAGACCTACAAACAACCTTATACGTTCATTGAGATCTGGACGTAAACTTAAACTGGCAAAGAGTTGTGAGCATCCTTGAGAAAACCCAACGTAAACTAGTTTGCTGTCCGGTTGATAAAATGATAAAATATACGTTATAGTATCAGGAATATCATAGAGAGCAAATTCATCCAATGAATAATTCCAATATTTCTTATCAGATACTGACATTTTCAAATGCTTTCGAGAGTACTTGTTACCTCTATTATTTCCTAACCATACTTCATATCCTAAATCCACTAAAAGGTATGGAAGATTCTTTTTCTTGGATGATCCGACAAGAAATAACTCAGAGTTAGTAAGAAGTCCATGATGGAAGTACACAATCTTGTCATGATCCATTGTCGGTCTACGCGAACTGATACTGCTCTTGCTCTCTAATTTGTGGATAACAAGTAAATATCCATCACTGGTTGCAACTACGTGTTCTCTAATAATATACCCACTGATTTGGGCAATATCGGAGATATCCTTGGCATAAGCAACGTCGGTTAAAGGTTTGGAGCTCACCACCTTTGGTGTGCAAAAGTACTTCTTCCAAGCAGTGATTGAAGAGAGAACTATTACCCTAGTAGCAAAACTTAATATTGTGTACAATTTAAATAAAATTGAAAACATTTCAAAGACTCTTCAAAATTACCGGGTAAATGATTCAAGTATGTATATTGTAATCTCTACGTCCAAAAGGTCATGGAGTTTATATATATATATACCTAGGCGGTTTGTATTCTTGTTTAAAATTTCACTGCCCCTGCCCTAGCAACAATTGCTTTGATGATACATACTCTTGTTATCAGCTTGAAATTTGTGTTTGTGAGTTGCATCAAAAAAAAAAAATTAAGATTTGTAAAAAAAAAAAAAAAGAAGGCATACATGGTAACCTGGTGACACACTCTATGATGTATTCTATTTACAATATGTACAAAGGTTGTGGTATCTAGAATATCCACCATTTCTTTTTCGTAGTCTTAATTTGTTGCTGGTCATCCTCGCCTAACATTTCTAATGCGAACTTTCGATGTTCATCCAATTCTCTCAACATTTGTTCTTCTTGATCTTGCTTGATTCTTTCAGCCTCTAAGAAATGTCTATCAGAAGGCTTGTGCATGGCCATGTCTGACTCCTTGTATTTTCTCATATCTTCTGGAATATATTCGGCATCTCGCACCTTTTTAATGATAACTCTACTTTCTCGTGGATGATACAAATCATCATATTCTTGTTCATCCAAACCAAAGATTCTTTCCTTTATGCTGAGTCTTGCTCTATAGAAGTCAGAAAACACATTCTCCTTCCCATCATTCCAACGGTAAAAAAATGAAAAATAAACCACTATGGATCCTCCAAGAAAAGTTCCAAACCATCTTGATCCAGTCTGTACTTTGATGTTTGTGTTAATCTTACGCAACACTTTGTATTGGCCCGGGTAGAGCAGAGACGCTGGTCTTGGTGTGTAGTTAAGTCTCTTCATGGTCTCATTGACCTTCTTGTACTGCGTGGGGTCTCTTGGTAATGAAGAGAACCCAGATGGCAGATTACCAGGAATCTTATATTCCGATGGATACCCACCAGCTGGTCTGGCATCTGTAGGGTCGTATGGGTTGTATGGGGCCTTTGGAGGGGTCCATCCCTTTGGGTTTGGCCTTCTCTGGAAGTTAGGGTCTGATTCTGGTTCTGACATGATGATCTGTTTAATTGATAGCAGTGGTGCTAGAACAACTCTTAAACTTTTTTTTTTGTTACCATAAACTTTCGCACAACAAAAGTAATTTATTTTTAGAGGGACAAAGAGCTGAAAAACAAGTGGATAAAATACCCAAGGCTGTGTGCGTGTAACTGTTCTAACCTCTACAATTCATTGAGATATTTCAGAGTATATCATGACGAACTTGGTCTCGTCAATTCTCTCATTTTTCTCCTTGGAGACTCTTGATACAAGACTACATGCCCCTTCAAATACAGAAAGAAAACAAGCCATCATAGCAAGAGCCAACCCCACATCAAAATGGAATACTTTGGAATATAAATTCTATGCATTGGTATTCATTGTGACAGTTCCATTGATGTATAAGACTGCCATGGATGCGTCCAATGAAACAAACCCAAATTACCCGAAATTTGAACATTTATTGAGTCAAGGTTGGATGTTTGGAAGGAAAGTCGATAATTCAGATCAACAATATAGATTCTTCAGAAATAACATCCCCATGCTCTTTGGAATGATTGTATTACACACATGTACAAGAAGGGTACTGAATTGGGCATTCCAAATTAAGAGAAGAACTTCATTTGACTTTATATTCGGTCTTGGGTTTTTAGTAGTGGCTCATGGAACAAATTGTTTCAAGATTTTACTTCATATTGCCATCAATTATATCATTGGAAGATATATAACTAATAGAAAAATTGCAATACTCGTATCATGGGTGTATGGTATTCTGTCATTATTCTTGAATGATGCAGTCCGTAATACCCCATATGGAATTGGATTTCTTGATAATGGCTACAAAGGTTTGGTCCCTAGATGGGATGTATTCTTTAACTTTACCTTATTAAGAATGTTATCCTTTAATTTTGATTATTTGGAACGTAAACAAAAATTATCGGAAGATAGAGAAAAAAGTGCTGGAACTGAAATGGGTGGAGGCGTTGAATGTTTATCCTTGAACTTGCCTCCACTTGATGATAGAAGTCGTTTAACCGCACCATTACCATTGAGTGACTATTCTATCCCAAACTATATTGCATACGTCTTGTATACACCATTATTCATTGCAGGTCCAGTGGTTACTTTCAATGATTTCATTTATCAATCAAATTATAATCAAGTCTCATCAGTAAAGAATTATAAAAGAACATTCATTTACTTTTTAAGATTGGTTTTTTGTATTCTTGTGATGGAATTTCTTCTTCATTTCATGTATGTGGTTGCTGTATCAAAGACTAAGGCTTGGCAAGGTGATACTCCTTTCCAAATCTCGATGATTGGATTATTCAATTTAAATCTCATTTGGCTTAAGCTCTTAATTCCTTGGAGAATCTTCCGTTTTTGGAGTTTATTAGATGGAATTGATCCTCCAGAAAATATGATTAGATGTATGGACAATAATTATTCTGCATTGGCATTTTGGAGAGCATGGCATAGATCTTATAACAGATGGGTTGTAAGGTATATTTACGTTCCTCTTGGAGGCGGAGGCAATTACCGAATTGTCAATAGTCTTTGTGTCTTCAGTTTTGTTGCAGTTTGGCATGATATTGAACTCAAAATGTTAATGTGGGGTTGGTTAGTGGTGATTTTCTTACTTCCAGAACTTGGTGCAACCATGTATTTTAAAAGATTCCAAAATCAATGGTGGTATAATTATTTGTGTGGAATTGGGGCAGTAGCCAACATTTGGATGATGATGCTTGCCAATTTGTTTGGTTTCTGTTTAGGTAAAGATGGTACTCTTGATTTATTACTGGAGATGTTTGGTACAGTTTCTGGAATTGAATTTTTCATTCTTTCTCTGGGTGCATTATTTGTTGGATCACAAGTAATGTTTGAACTTAGAGAAAGTGAAATGAGAAGAGGTGTTAATGTGAGATGTTAAATGAAATTAGGAATACGTGGTATGACATATTGGGTTGTAGATATATCTGTATATGATTGAAGTGGAAAGAAGGACACGTGTGTTATTTTTCAGAGTAAGTATTTACTAACTTCTTAAAAGCACATCAAGTTCATTTATAGTGATACTTTGATTTATTCTGATCAAATGCAACAAAGGATTTTTCAATACGATCAAATAAACAAGGCATAATATTTGGTTGCAGAGCTTTATATATTTCATGCTAGTTTAATTAGTCACGATTTACAACACCTTTGAAAGTTACTGTATCTTTCAGTATGTGGTGTGTCATAAATAAATTGGAAAATATGTACAATATGAAGAAAATGAAAGTAGTTACAAAGCGAATAGAAAATAGAGAATTAAGCAAAATTTGGAAAAAGTGGTATGAAATTTGTAGCTGTAGAGATGAGACAGAACAATTCGAAGACTTGTTGGGAAATAGGTCACTTTTTGTATTACTCTTGCTTCTATACCAATAAAGTACTACTTTGTTTCTCAATCGAGAATACTCTAATACAAAACCCAAAAAAGGAAAGACCAACTCCATTCTGCGTCATTTAAAATTGGTGTCAGCTGTACAATTCTCCCACTTTCACAAGCTGTAACGAGAGACCTGGAACCCCCTAATAACTCTTGGAGATCAATCTTAATGTTTCTTCAATAGACAACCTTCTGTAAGCACACAGTTTCTGCAACATAATTCGCGAGTTTGATATATAAAATAAGTTTTTTAATAAAAAAAAAAAATATGGTAAAATCAGTCAATCCTCTTCTACCCTGATCTCTCCTATACATCGTGGAAGAAGATGGCACCTCCAACTCTAGTTCATTCCCGTGCAGAGATCTGGAATCGGTATAGAGAACAGTTTTCTGATCCAGAAAAGTATCAATGCCATCTCAAAAGCATTACTCAACATGAATGTACATTTCAAGTTTCAAAGAATAAACCTCCTGAGATTATTTGTCTTCCATTTAAACGAATCTTTCAAAGATGTTTGGAAAATACTATCACCAAGGATAAATCTGGTAATAAGATTAAAAGTCAAAAATGGGTCAATTTTGAAGTCACCGACGAATCAACTAATCAAGATTTAATGAGTGAGGAAAAATATGGGAAAGATGTCAATGACTTTTTAAGTGCTGAAAAGGAACTTCGAAAGTTAATGGAAGGAGAATTACAGTGAAGTGATATTGGTGTAATAGGATTCCGCTTGTAAGACGAGAAAAAAGTGACAGTGCCGTAGTGCTAGTGCCGAATTGTCGCTCTGGTTCTGAGTAAAAGCTGCTCTGTGGATCTGAACTCAGGGAAAGCCACTGTATGGTAACTAGCTCCTCTACGAAGAGTCTCTTTAAAATGATTATACTCGTTAGAGAAATAGAGCCTCCACGGCTAGTGGCCCACGGAGTGCCAACGGAGCGGTTTGCAGCCCCGAGGGGGGAGAGGGAGTAGTATCACCCTACATGGTTGTCATACGCTCTGTTTGTTCCAAGGTGAGAACCCCTTACATGGTACCTAGCTCCTCTACGAGTAGTCCCTTGGAAATTAGAAGAAATTTCCATTACATAAGATCTAAAAACAATTCTACACGGATAATGTTATCTAGCTTGATATTATGCATTGTACAAATAGAAATAGATAAATGGGAGGGGGATGGGGGAGGACGACAAGAAGATATGAGACGAGGCTAGTGATATTCAATATGCAATTAGATGAAAAATTTCCTAATAAGTGGAACCTTCAGGAGGTTGTTGTAACTTCTTATTAGCAGGTGCAGCCATATTTTTACGTAACTCCAACAAAACAGTCTCCATAGTATAAACACGCTTCCAGTTTTGTAAAGTATCGAAACGATCTACGACAACCTTTCCAGTTTCATCAACACAAGGCAAGTTGATTCTGGACACAAAACTCACTTGTGGCGGTTTGTCCGGATAAGTTTTGTCACATACAATTTGTAACGAATAGATTCTATTCTCGTGAGTTGAATGTGGAGGGCCCAAAATGGTACCGTTCCAATAAGTCATGGTGATATCATCTTGATTTGATAAACCGTATGAAATAGACTCAGCTCCAAGCCCCTTTTCACCCTTTTCTAACTCTTCCAAGAGTTTAAAATTTCTAGGACTGTATAGTTAGTAATCATGAATGCTTTAAACCTATATATAAATGGATATGGATAATTAGATGAGGTGGGGTAGATGATTTACATGTGAATTATGTCATTCAATCCTGATGAAACTTGTAAATATTCAAAAAGGATCAGGTTTTGATTCAAGTAATACAAAAATAGAACCCTAGAGGGCTTATCCATTATGTGGATAGCCTGCGTATATTAACAAGAACTACGGTCCATGTACCACCCTCCCATTCTAGTTCAAAACTTGTGTACGTACATCTTTGACATGTTTGGTTTTATTAGATTATGATAAACGTATAAAGAAAAAAAGACTTCTATAGCAAATGAATGAGTTTAGTTTCAGATTTTTATCGCTATCTCTCCACAGTCAAAATCGCACTTTTTCCAACTAATTGAATGGTTACGGGAAAAAAGTATGATTTGAATATTGTAACGGCACACGACTAGATAGGATTAATATGTAAACAAAGATTCTATGATTTACAAGCGAGATGAATCGATAAATTGGGAGATATAATATAGATTAGGATGACTTGGGGTAATACAGATCCGACTACATCATCTCCATTTGTAGAGCATCCTCTGTCACAAAGATTTCATGATGAACAAGATGATACCAAGCAAACAGTTTCCAAATTACAATTTCAACTTTCATCAGCACATACAGAACGTAAACTATTAATGGAAAGTAAGAATGAACTTATTAATAAATATGAAGCATTACTTCAAGGTAAAAATGAAGAATTAGAGGTATTAAAATCTAACTTTGATTATCTTTATTCACAAAGAGACTCATGGAAGTCTAAACTTGAAAATGCCGATCAAATTCAAATAAAGTCCGATGAATCATATCAAAAGCAATTAACACAACAAAATAAGGAATTAAGTAAATTAAGAACCTTGAACATCGACTTAACTTCTCGATGTAATAAAAGTCAACGAGAATCAGAACAAATAAGAAATACTGTGGATTATGTTCAAGAGGAAAATAATCTGTTGAATGAAAGATTAGATGATTTAGTTGAACAAAATTCAGAGTTGTTGAATCAAAATAATCAATTAGTTCAACAAGTTAATGACAATATCGTAAAATCTAAGCATACGATGTCATCTGTTGCACAGATTGAAAATCTCAAGGGTAAAATTGAAAGTTTACAAAAGACAAATAATACTTTACAATCTAAATTAGATTCATTATTACAACATAAAACATCAGTGGAATTACTTAAACAGAAAAATATATCATACCAACAAAAGATCAATTCATTTGCAGCAGTGGAGGAGAAATGTTGTAAACTTGAAATTGAAAATCTTGAATTAAAGGCAAAACTTAAAGATTTTTTCGATATAATAGAAGGATATACTGAAACTGATACACGAGAATCAGCCCAAAGTAAAATAAATCAATTTATTGATCAATTCAAACAAATACAGAACACTAATTTAATACTTAATGATAAATATAACGAAGCCCATCAAGAATTGAATTTAATGAAAGATCAAGTATCCAAATTAGAAGAAGAAAAGGTAAATGAGTTATTACCAAAGATTACTTCATTAACTCAAGTTTTACAATCTAGACAAGAACTAATTGATAAATTTCAAAAGCAAAAACTATTAAATGTTAAAGAAATTGAATTTTTAAGAGAACTGTTGAAAAGTATGGATAATTTGAGTATTAAGAAGGATACTGACGTCAATTCTAAAGAAGAATATGTAGTCAAATTGGAAAAACTAGTTGATGAATATCGAAATGAAAGAGATTCTGCATTAAAGAAGCAAGAAGAGTACAAGCAAGAACCAAAGTTGGGAGATAAGAGACAATGTTTACATCAAGAACGTGATGTTGATATCACTAAATTAGAAAAGCAAAATTTCGAAATTCTTGCATCCAACAAGGAATTGAACGATAAGTTGAAAACACTTGAGTTAAAGCTAAAAACTTTGGAAGAATTAAAAGAGAAAAGAGAGCAGCTTAAGGTGCTTCAATTACGTTCCAATTATGTATCAAGAGATCAAGTTGTTAAGCAACAGACACTCGATGTACTTCGTAAAGAAAATGAAGAGCTTCTCAAACCATTGGTGGCTAATGAGAATTCTGTTCCAAAGGCGGTATTTGAGCGTCAAGAAAATGATAAAGCTATATTACAAACTAAAGTTGATCAATTAAGTAAAAGAATTAATCGATTAAGAGAAGTTTACTCGAAAAAAAGTTGTGAAATCTTGTCCATTATTTCAAAGTTTTTTGGATATTCTGTGGAATTTCTTCCAAGTCCAATCAATCCAGAAGATTTATCATCTAGTAGAATAAAATTGATTTCAAAGTATAGTTCAAAGGAAGGTGATAATTCATATTTGGTGATTGATGTTCATACTAAATCCCTCAAAGCACATGGAACTGGTGATTTCAAAGACTTATGTGAAGACTTGGTGACCAATTGGGTCAAGGATAAAGATCAAATTCCATGCTTTTTAAGTGCCCTTAACATGAGTCTTTTTGAGCGATCTCAAAGTATTTTGCAATAAAATTTTTAAATAGATTTAACTCTCTACACAGATAGTACTTTAAGGTAATCTTACTATTCTACATTAATATACATTCTATTTAAAAAGAAACATTATCAGAAGTTAATGATAACACCTCTGCCACTTTCTCCAATATCATTTCTGGACTTGATAAATAATATTGAACCTTTTTAGTTTCTCTATTCCACACCGTTCCTTGGTTTATATCCTCATACCATTTCATGTAATCTTGAACAAGTTTTTCTTTATCTTGGGCGGTTCCATGCTTTAGGGCAAAATTATAGCACCAACCCCAGCAGTCACCAATATGTTTGTTTCCTTGTAAAGCTCTATCAAGCCAAGTTTTGGCCTTGAGAAACTTACCATCCATCCAGAAAAATATTCCAATATTCATTAATATTATTGGGGAATTATTGGTACTTTTAAGAGCATCCACAAATGCATTTTTCCTCTGTGACATTTTAGAAAGAAGATACAAATTTTCTACCCAAATATCTGGAGAATCGGGGAATTGTTTTAGAGCCTTATTGCAGATTTGTCTTGCAGATGCCATGTCCAATTGACGTTTCTCAAATCGAATTTTATATGCCCAAAGACTTGCATCAGTAGGATTCTGAACGATTGCATTATCTAGAGTGGCACGGGCTCTTATTTGTACCTTCAAATGTATTTCATCAACTTCTGCTAGTAAGCACCATAAGGCAGTTGAATGAGGGCATTTACGAACTCCAATAGATAAAGACTCACGAGCCAATTTAGGATTTTTCTGGTCATATAAAAGAACTTGGCCCTTTTGTAAATGTAATTTTTCACAATCAGGAAACAATTCTAATGCTTCGTCACAAAGTTCAATAGTTCTTTGCACTTCAAAATTTTTCAGTTCTGATAAATATCTTTCTAAATGGATATGCTTGTACCAAACTCGAGGAGATTCTCCAGGTATATTTTTGATCATATCATTAGAAATTATTGCTGCAGAATTGACTTGTCCTGTTTGGACCTCTAATTTAATTCTTGCAAGCCAAACTTGCTCATTCTGTGGGAACTTCGCATGAGCCCTTGTTAATATGTCTCTAGCGGATTGAGTATCATCTTCCAACTTCCACAAATCCTTAGCATACATAAGATAGTATAATTCATTCTCAGGATTAAGTTCAATAGCACGTTCATAATATTTGAATAGCTGTGAGAATTCTTTTGAAGACTTTAATGATTGGAATAACTTGAGCCAACCATCCATATTTTGTGGGAATTTGGAAATAATATACTGATAAATATAGTCCGCAGTCTTTGTATGAGATGATTGGGCGTATTTCTCAGCTTCTTCTAACCATTTTTGGAGAGTTTGTTCACTATTTACATCATCTTCATCTAAAGCTACTGATACAATAGACTTGCAAGTATGAGGGAACTCTTCTGTCTCGGCGATTGCGGCTTCTGAAAGCCATTGTTGTCGATTCAAAAGCTTCAGTTCATCAGTTGTATTCTTCTTGAGTTCCTTAACTGCCTTTTGCATGAATTTTAATAATTTAGCCTCGGATATACCAACATTTTCACGTTCTTCAAGTTTAACGGCAGTAAGCCAAATCTTATAGTTATCATTCATTTCCTTTCTTGCCTTATTAATAAGCAGTTTAGCTTCTGTATAAGGTGAAAGATTTATTAATGGAACCCAGAAATCCCATTCCTTAGGACATAACTCTACAGCTTTACTCAATAATTTCTTGGCGTCCTCTTCATCCTTTTCAAGTTCGATGAGAGCTTTCCATATAGTTACACTATTAGGAATTGCCTCAAGTGCCTTCATTAACACTTTCCGTTGTGATAAGATATCCAGCGGATGTTCCAATGATTTGGCCTTAAGCCAAAGTTTTTCAGAATTTCGATTATACTTTAATCCTTCTCCACAAATCATCTTACACATTCGAGTTCCCTCTGCACTATTTTGATGTATTCTAATACTTTCAAGCCATATGTCTTCATTTCTTGGTATTTTATGACATCCTTCTATTATAAGGTTTTTGGCAGTGGTAAACTTTTTTGCTTGTTCCTCAAGTCTTGCTGATGCTATCCATGAATTAGGCTTCAAAGGTTCGGTTTTCCGTAACGAGGCAAGAATCAGTCTACCCCTTTTAATATCATCAATTTCTGCATCGGTAATAGGTTGTACTAAGTTGTCATCCGTATCAATGGAGTTGGTACCTGAATATCCGGAATTATCTAGAACGGAATCCAATTGTTGACTCAATAATTTCTCCTTTGCTTGTGAAATCGATTGGATATTAGTTGCTGATTCAGCATCAATGGGAGCAGATGTTAACATCATGTTACCTCCTCCACCAAGTATACTATCTGGAACAGCATAAAACCGTTGTTGCAGACGCTCAAGAAGACGAGCCCTTTTGTTACGTTTTGTCAAGTCCCCTACTTCTGGTATGCTTTCCCATTGCCAAGCTTCTACAGTTGATAATGATCTTTTAAGATCTGCAAATTGGTCTCCAATCGAAGGCTCCTTTATACTGTCCTCCTTCACCAATACGGAATTGGCTTTTCTTCTGCTTTCAAGTTTACGATCAACCTCTTCATAAATTCTATCAGCTTCTTCGTCTTCTTCATTAGAGTTTCCTTTTGATTTCCCTAAGATTCCCAACTCTCCACCATCATATTCAGAGTTGTTCTCATCGATGTCTTCATCTTCTCCAGGAACAATTCGAGAAGCACTTCCCACATCTGCGGATGTTGTAAACCCTGTAGCACCTCTTCCTATTCCGGCAACATACCCAGCAGGGGCTTCTTGGTCCAAAAAGGCCTTCCTTTCCATCTTATGATGAAACAGTATTATACTTATAAGTTTACAATTGTTATCCGAATATGTATGTATCTACATCAGTTGCTCCTGTGTATATATTTATTCCTGTATTCAAACACAAATCTGCTTTTAATATTACGTTATTTCAACCTTCCAGTATAGGAAGAGAATTTGTTGTATATATAATGTATTTCAAATATAGTGGTAGCTGGTGTATCTACTATATTGTAATTTTGAAAGTTATATAAAATGTTATTCGAAGTCTTCTTGTAATTTGTTAGCTAACTTACTTCATGTGATTCAAGTCACGTGTCATATTTTATAGCTAGGGAAATAAATACCCTTTGTAATATATCAATTGTTATTAGCTTGTTCCTTCTTAGCGACTCATTACGTAACAAGTGATAAATTCATACTTAATGATCGTACAATACTGCCAAGTTCGACTCCAATAAGATTATAAACTTCAGAAAAATTATAGATACTATGTACATTTTCTTCGCAGATGATCATAGTCGTGAGTTCTATTCGTGTATAATTGTTTTGCTAATGATGGATAATGCATGTAGAACATAATTCTGGGCAAGTATATCGAAAGTGTGTGTTGTTTTTTTTGGAATTTTGGATTTGCTGCAAATTTCAAATAACCAACAAAAAAAATTTTCAATATTTTACAAATCTTTTTCACTCAATTGACGTTGCTGAATAGTATAGGGACTATAAGTAGTTCGTTAGACCCTCTCACTGATATCAACTAGTTCAAAAAAGTAAAAAATAATGCGATTTCTGTGGATCGAACACAGGACCTTCAGATTAACTGTGACTGTAGTTTGAACTTCAGTCTGACGCTCTCCCAACTGAGCTAAAACCGCTTTATGTGCACAATTTAAAAAATTGAATCACTATCCTAAATGAAATCTATTGCAAAATTCTGATTTTATCTAAATTTATCATTGTAACAAGCCCCTAATAGAGTTGGGAACTCATTCTTAACTAGTCTTACAGCTTTTGAGACTTTCAATATAATAAAAACAGAATTGTTGATGAAGATAAAATTTTGGATTTTGACCACACTCTTAATGATGGGCTGGTGGCTGCAAATTGTGGCACGACGAAGTGACGCCAGAAATACATCGTTATTGCCTTGCAACATAGGGTTAGGTACACTAACATCAACAACTTCCCCTCCTACACTGAAAATCTTGTGAACTTAAGAGATCATATGTTGTGAGTCAGCAAATAATTTGAGGAAGTTGGTCCACTACACAATTTGCATTTCTCTTTAAAACCATAGAGGAAATCAATATATACTACTATACATTGCAACGTTAGTTGCAAATACAGAAGCATCATTTACATGACCTTTTCAAAATCAAAAGATACCTCATGGTGATACTGTGCTACTGCTACTGTGAATCCTCACCCTGGCCAAAATGAGGGCTATGATCAGTTAGGAAAGACAATGCCGTCCATGGTAAGTTTTACTTCAACACATATGGGGATATTGTAATGACAATAAAGATGGCGCACAGTGTGGTCAGCCAGGATGTGGTCAATAGTTTACCAGTAGTTTGTGTGTTGAGCACGTGAACTAGACATGATAGGTAAAAGGAAATGATTCCTGTCACCTAAGTAAAAAGATATACCATAAGAATGTACTAATTTGTGTAAATCACGCTATTTTTCATCTATCTTTGTCATATTTCAAGTCCTTTTTCACCCGTTCTAATTGTTTTCTTAGTACATATCTCCCTGGACGTTTTGTTAATAGTGCCTCAACCGTGGATCATTTCACTATTAAGGCACTATATAAAGGATGCAAAAGGAACAAACCCCCCAATTTCTCACATCATCCATCACTTCCAATTGCATACAATGTCCCTATGTAACTCTGCATGACTAGTCTTATTCATAATCCTCTTTAAATCTTGCTTCTCTTCCTTCCTCTGCTGCTCTTGTTGTGCAACTTCCTGTACACAACCTCGATGATTTTCTTTTTTTTTTTTTTCTTCTCTTTTTTTTTTTTAGTTTGTAAAAATTTAAAAATGAAAAAACGAACCATCATCTCACCATAAACTCTTTAACCATACTAAGTTTGTTACTGTAGAAAATGTCTAAGAGATCTGCTTCTGAGGACATTGAAAGTGGCAGCAATTCCGCTGCCCGTACCTCGGCAACTGCCTTGCCACCGGCCAAAACTGCTCAACTTGAAGGCGATGACGTAGAGATGGGTGACTTTGAAGATCCTTATGGTGATGACTTTGAATCCGATGGAGAAATCATCGAATTGGACTCCGCTGAAGAAGATGAAGATGCAGAAACCGGAGACGCCAAAATGGAAGAAGAGGAAGACCAGCAACAAGCACAGCAAGAATCCACCCTTTACCTTCCACATAAATCTAAACCATTAGGTCCTGATGAAGTTTTGGAAGCTGACCCTACTGTATATGAGATGTTGCACAATGTTAATATGCCATGGCCATGTTTGACGGTAGACATCTTGCCAGATGCCTTGGGTAACGAAAGAAGATCCTACCCAGCATCTCTTTATGTCACAACTGCCACGCAAGCGTCCAAGAGCAAAGACAACGAGTTGATTACCATGAAGTTGTCTTCGTTGGCCAAGACCTTGGTAAAGGATGAAGATGATGAAAACAATGAAGATGAAGATGAAGACGACGAGCACGTGGACCCAATCATGGAGTCTGAAACCATCCCATTAAAGCACACCACCAACAGAATCAGAGTGTCCCCTCATGCCGCTCAAACTGGTGAATACTTGACTGCCACCATGTCTGAAAATGGAGAAGTTTACATTTACGATCTTTCTGCACAATACAAGGCATTTGACACCCCAGGTTACATGATCCCTAAGACTGCCAAGAAGCCAATGCATACCATCAAGGCCCACGGTAACGTTGAAGGATATGGATTGGATTGGTCTCCTCTCATAAGCACTGGAGCTCTTTTGAGTGGTGACTGTTCTGGACGTGTCTACATGACTTCGCGTACCACTTCCTCATGGGTCACTGATAAGACCCCATTCTGTGCATCTTCATCTTCCTCCAATGCTTCTGTGGAAGATATCCAATGGTCCACCGCTGAAAACACTGTTTTCGCCACTGGTGACACTGATGGTTATGTCCGTATCTGGGACACCCGTTCTAAAAAGCACAAGCCAGCCATTTCTGTCGCTGCTTCCAACACCGACGTCAACGTTATCTCATGGTGTGACAAGATCAACTACTTGTTGGCTCTGGGTCATGATGATGGTACTTGGGGTGTTTGGGATTTGCGTAGTTTCAGTGCTGGTCCAACCAAGCCATCTCCAGTTGCTCATTACGACTTCCATAAGTCTGCCATCACCTCGATCTCTTTCAACCCATTGGATGAATCCATTGTGGCTGTTTCCTCTGAAGATAACACTGTTACCTTGTGGGATTTGGCTGTTGAAGCTGATGATGAAGAAATTTCTCAACAAAGGAAGGAAGCTCAAGAATTGCACGACATTCCTCCACAATTGTTGTTTGTGCATTGGCAAAGAGATGTTAAGGATGTCAGATGGCACAAGCAAATTCCAGGCTGTTTGGTATCCACCGGTGGTGATGGTTTGAACGTTTGGAAGACTATTTCTGTATAGTAGCCTCAAATTGAGGACAATAAATTTCCCATGGGGGAACACCCATAAGGGGGATAAATAATGGATATATGTTCTAATAAAGTAGATGATAGAATTTTGAATTGGTAGATCTAAACTTGTAAATTCACTTAGGTAAGGGTAACTTCATAGACAACTCTAAGTTTTGGGTGCAAATACTATAAATCAAAGAAGAGTACTCTCTTTCTCTTTCTCCTGCACAACTTTTGAGCACAGATATCAAAAATTTCTTCCACATAGAGCAAGGCACATATAACCATCACTTTAAATTATCATTAAAACAATGGCTAAGAAAGATAAAAAGTCCAAGGAGGCTAAGAAGGCTCGTACTGCTGAAAAGCAAAAGAAAAACAGTTCCAAGGCTGAACAAAAAAATAAAAAACTTGCCAAAAAGCTTGGAGATGAAGATGAAGATGATCAAGATATCGATGAAATCTTGGAACAATTTGCCAAGGAACAAGCTCTCTTTGAAGCAGTCCATGTAGACACATGTTCAAGACCTTCGAGACGTTTGGACAGTACCATGATCTCAAATCCATTGCACGGGAAGAAGGAACTCATTCTCTTTGGTGGTGAATACACTGATCCAGCCACCTCTAAAGCCCATTTCTACAATGAATTGTATACTTATGGGGTTGAAAATGACATCTGGAGAAAGATCACATCCAAAAACTCTCCCTTACCACGTTCTGGACATGCCATGTGCTCCCACCCTTCAGGGATTGTGTTGATGTTTGGTGGTGAATTCTCGCTGCCTAAGCAAAACACTTTCTATCATTATGGTGATACTTGGATCTTGGATGCTGAATCCAAGGAATGGACCAAAGTAGAGGCCAAGCGTGGGGGTCCCACTGCTCGTTCTGGTCATAGAATGGCTTGTTGGAAGAATTATATCATCATGCATGGTGGGTTCCGTGATTTGGGTAATATGACAACTTACCTTAATGATGTATGGGTATTTGATGTTTCCAGTTATAAATGGATTCAAGTTGAATTCCCACCAAACCATCCGATCCCTGATGCCCGTTCGGGACATTCCTTGATCCCATGTGCTGATGGTGCTGTTGTTTACGGTGGTTATACCATGGTGAAAGCTCGTAAGGGGTTACAAAAGGGTAAAGTGTTATCTGATTGTTGGATGTTGAAAATGAAACTGGATCCTAGTGGGGCTCGATTTGAAAGAAGACGTAAACAAGGGTTTGTTCCAAGTGCTAGAACTGGTTGTCCCTTGGTATTTCATAAGAATAGAGGTATTATGTTTGGGGGTGTTTATGATTATGAAGAAAGTGAAGAACAAATTGATTCTGAATTTTATAATAATCTTTACTCTTATCAGATTGAAACCAATAGATGGTATAACTTGTCATTAAAACCCAAGAGTAAGAAGAAGGTTCAAGTCAAAGAAAAATCTAGAGATGAAGATCTTGAAGATTTATTGAATTCTATTTTGGCCAAGGCTCATTTGAATGATGATGATGAAGATAATGAAGATGAAGAGTTATCACAGATTGAAAAATTGAAGCGTCAAGAAGAAGAGGAGGAGGAAAAGGAAAACAGTGTTGTTTATCCAGTTATGAATCAACTTCCACATGCCAGATTCAATGCCACTACGTGTGTTGTGGATGATACTTTATACATTTTTGGAGGACGTTTTGAAAGAGGTGAGCATGAATTTAACTTGGATTCTATGTATGCCATTGATTTGGGTAAACTTGATGGAGTTAAGGTTTTATGGGAAGACTTGCTGGACTTGGATAAGGATATTGTAGATTCTGATGATGAAGACGATGACGATGATGAAGAAGATGATGACGATGAAGAGGAAGAAGCTGAAGAAGCTGAAGAAGAGGAAGAAGTCGAAGAAGAAGAGGAAGAAGAAGTCGAAGAAGATGAAGATGAAATTCCTGATCCTAGACCATGGTTACCACATCCTAAACCATTCGAAACTTTAAGAGCATTCTATGTCCGTACTGGTGCAAACTTTTTAGAATGGGCTATTTCAAGTAATAGAGATGCTAGAGGTAAGCACTTGAAGAAGGCATCGTTTGATTTGTGTGAAGATAGATTCTGGGAAAGAAGAGAACAAGTCAGTATTGCTGAAGATCATTTGGAAGAATTGGGAGGTGTTGGAGACGTTATTGAGAAGGATATGAGTAAGGTTACCAAGAGAAGATAGACAATAAATAGATTTAGACAGAAACAGTAAATAATATAACTACAAAGTAATATCTTAATGTTTTTTTTAAAAATTTCTATTTATCTTCTATTCATCTTTCCTATTATACACTATGCGAAATGGATACCAACTTGGTGGAAGGCATACAATAACTTCAAAAAGTCTGTTTGGTCCATCTTAGCGGATCTTTGTTCCAGGAAGCCGGTTTCAGTGAGAACCTGCTCAATTTTGGCCTTAACTATGTCGGTCATTGACAGTTTATCATCCACCATCATGGCCTCATTGTCTTGTGCGTTTGAAGTGGCCAAAAAGGTCTTGTAATTCTTTTCCAAGATTTCTAAAACGTTGTTGGATTTAAACCCAGCAGCAACAGTCTTATTCTTTCTCACGAAACAAATACGTAAAAGACCGTCCCATTCATTGAAGTCAACGTTTGGTCTTGGTTGTTTAACTTCAATTCTAACCACCGAAGATTCAACTTGTGGAGGAGGACGGAAATTGTTCTTACCAACCTTCATGATATGTGTGACGTTGGCCCACATCTGCACGTTGGCAGAAAGTCTACAGTAGAGGGAGTCTCCCGGTCTGGCAAGTAATCTCAAGGCAAATTCACGTTGGAACATAAGAATAGATACTCTTGGAGGTCTTGGTTGATTGAGAAGCTTGAAAACCAATGGGGAAGAAATTTGGTATGGAGTGTTAGAGATGCACACATCAAAGTATGGAAGTTCAGTTTTCATGAAATCCCCCAACATGATCTCCAATTTCTTTTGAGCTGGGGTTCCATGGACTCTCTTAGTTAATTCTGCCGCCATTCTAGGATCCATTTCCACGGCCACAACTTTACGGGCCTGTTCCAAGATACGCACAGTCAAGTTACCGGTACCTGGACCGACTTCCAAGACGATATCTGAGGGTTTAATACCGGCCTTATCGACAATCCCTTGAGCTACAAGTGGGTTCTTCAAAATATGTTGACCCAAATTGGTGTTGAACTTGAACACAGAGTTCAAGTGCTTTTCAGCAGACACTTTGGCCCCAGTGGGGTTTGGAGTGCTACTGAACTTCTTGGTTGGAGCTTTAGCCATGGTTAAACTATGGTTAGTGATGCGTTCAGCGTGTGAATGGTAGTGAGCGATGAGATGATTTGAATATATTTCTCCAAAAATAAAAAAATAAAAAAATAAAAAATAAAAAATAAAAAATAAAAAATAAAATAAAATATTTTTTATTTTTTGGAATTTCGTGATTCTTGTGTGCAGTAAAAGTTCAGTTGCAAATAACAACATTTAAAAAAGAGCATAGGGAAATTACAGAAGTGGGCTGGTTAAAGATGGAAAACAAAAACTTCTTCTCTTTTTTTTTTCTTTCCACATGGAGTTGTCATCACAAGAAGGAAAGGGTGAATTGTACACATACATAAAAAACACTTATTATTTAGTTTAAGTCTTAATTAAATTTTTTAAAGTGAAGGAAAAAATAAAAGCTTAGGTGGATGATTTCCCTCTCTGTGTAGATCTCCTCAAGATTTAATAAATATTACAGTTGGATATATTCTACACTTATACTGTATATTCTACTGGATATGTGCTCTTTTCATTGATATCCTTCCCACACTTCTTTCTCTTTTCTTGTATGTTATTTTTGCAACATGTTTCACAGCGGACTGCATCCTGCATGGCATGGATTGTAAACATGCAAGGGAGCCTCAAAAGGTTTAACACAAATGCTTGTTTTAATTACATTTAACAAAGCATATTTTTCGTACTAATCTCCAGCCTTAAGGGCGCCATAGAAAGTGTAACAGTTCGCATGCAACTAGATAGTCGCTATCCAACTAACTTTCCTCTATACAACACTTTATGAGCACATTATCACGAATACTAGGGCAAACCCCGAGGTTTTCCTTTTTCAATGAGCTCATTGCTGTGTCATCAGTACTGGCACTGCTGAACTATGACTTGTTCAAGATCAGCAAAACTGTGGACGGAATCATTGAGTACTTGGAAGAAGTACTACATCTGTTTGAACAGGCCCGACGGTTAGATCAACTGTCACAAAATGATTTGGATTGGATCTTTGAAGGTAAAGATGGACTTATGGATATCATAAAAAACTTGGAGAGCATTGATGGGATAATATCGCAATTACTTAACGTTGTGGATGCTTCTCCCCAGATCCCGAGAACGTTACAACTCTTGCATAAGTTTGAAAGAACAAGCGACCTATTGTTGGATGTTAAGAAACATTCTATTGTTTATAAGAAAAAACTTGATGTATCAATACATTTTAAAGATTTGGATGGGGTGATCAAAAGTTTAGTTTTAGAAATGAATCTGTGTCTGAATATGCTATTACAATTAAGATCTGATGGGAAAAAGAATCATAAAAATGGAATTGATAATGGCGATACATTAGAAACAATCGTTGAACAAATGAAAAGCAGTGGAGGTGGACAATTGAAGCTCCCGACAGATGAAGTTCTCTATAGTCAATGGTTAGAGTTACAATCTCGAGTGAAACCATTGGAAGTTTCTTTACAATTTCTTCCGGTAAGAATTGAAGAAATGCAAACAATTTGTAAGTCACTTACTAATAAACTGATAATTGATTTTCCTAAACGGAAATTGGATGATAATTATGCAAATTTGGTCAATAAATCAAATTCTCTTCGAAAACAACTTGAAGATGTCAGACAAGAGATATTTGCCAGTAAATGGCATGATTTATTCGAGTTTTTAATACGTAAAACATCTGAAATGTGTATGGAGTTATTATTGCAGGTCAAACAACAGGACAAAAGCGAAGATATTGGGTCCAATTATCGGCTTTGTTCGAACGCCATTACCATAATTAATAAGGCATTTGCTGAAGAAAAAATTACTGGAGATACATCTCTAATTATTGAATTTAATGATAATTTGATTCCTAAGTGGCAAACTCTCAATGAAGAGATGTCTAACCAATCCAATCATGAGCCCGTAGGTGGTCTGAAACTCAAAAGTTTGCCCGTGGGTGTCAGAAATAGCGCTATACTCAAACCATACCATATAGTTCGGAAAAGTCCAACCCCAGAAGCAGAAATTAATCCAACTGCTGAAAATGGATTTGGAATTGATTTCGGTGTTGGTGTAAAGGCTATTGATCCAACAAAAGTCCCATATAGTATCCAACAAAAGGATAAAGTTAGAGATATATTTGCTCACCGGAAATCCCAACCAAAGGGTAAAGAACTTATGATGAAATTAGCTAAAACTGAAGATGAAGAAGAAATTGTTCATAATAGATCAATGACGGATTTGGATTTTGATGAAGAAGAGGATGAAGATGATGATGATGATGACACTAGTACTCTTGTTACAACGTCCAAGACTAGATTTACTTCATTCGAAGATAAAGACATTTCTCGAGGACTTTCTAGGCTTAGTGTTGATGAAACACTTGGTAAGCAAGTCCTGTGGGATTTCTTGAGAAACCATAAGTCAGATTCACCATCTAGAATTCCATTAATTGTAGTTGATTTCCATCTTAAAGGATTTCCACGAATTCATAAATTAATTAGCCCTTGGTCAAGAATTCCTACCATTAGCCCAAATCATCCAGTTTTCCATTCCGCTACTCCAAAGATTAGACTAAAATTAAAACCTCCTGCAATGATTGTGCGAGACAAAGTTTTCCAATCACCTTCACCTAGAAATGGAAATTCAGATGATAATGATGATGATGTATTCAGGAAACCAACCCGTAGACCGTCGACCATTGACTCATCCAAGCATATCTTGAGACCAGCTAGATCTATGTCGTCGCTTACAAAGACACCAGAACTCAAGTACGAATCTCCCACTTGGCGTTCAACTTCGCCTGAAAGACCTACCTCCTCTATTGGTTCACGCTATGACGATAAACACTTGTTACAACCATTAACCAGTCCCAAGCCGGGCTGGAGATAACAATCATATTACTGTAATATTTTATATTAATGAATGACGAACTATATACATATGTAAGCAACAACAGATATTGCAGCTTTATTTCTCCTTGACGTCTTTATCCTTGTTCATAGTCTTACTGGTAAACCCATCTAAGAAAAAGTCCCTCCCAAAGATTCTATACATTAAGGAATTTTTCTCAACTTCCCATTTTTCCTTCTCACCAAAAGTTCGTACTTGTCTATCTTCAAGAATCTCTCCTTCTTGCACCTTCTTGGTCGACTTTCCTTCAAGACGCCTGTACATTTCGTAGGAAGATATGAAAACAATGGGTATAGAGAAGAGGACAGCATAAACACCGTAGTATCTAATCTTGAGTTCCTTTGGTGCTTTCTTCCAATTGGGCCGGCCCGTATCTAATAAGCTTTGAAGGAACTCAGAGTTTGCAGGTTTGGGCTTAGGCTTAGGCTTAGAGGATACACGAGAGCCTGCTCCGTTTCTGAGAAACGGAGAGTTATGGAAATCAGGTGGTTTGGACATATTTGTTTGGAGTATTATCGAAGTGATAGGTAGCACTTTTGCTGTAGATGAGATATACCTAGAAATCACATATTGGGGTTTTTTGTGTGTAGGAATAAAAAAAATATGTGTTTCAATGATTAGCACTGGCTGCGAAATTGAATAAAAGACTATAAAAGAAGGTTGTATCTTCAGTGCTTAATTGTGTGATTGGTCATGGGGAGTTGAATTGTGTGAGTGGGGTGATTGGTTGGATATTTTAGCTTGTTATTTTTTTAAATGATTTCATGAATTAATTTGTACTTGGAAATATTATGAAGTAACACAGTTGCAAATTAAACAACTTTTATGTTAGTAGTACCTTTATTAAGAGATCAAATGAAGATTATTATCCTGATAGTATTTGGTAGTCTGTATATCATTTACTTGATATATTGAACTCAAATGAAGAGCTAAATGAAGAGCTCTTTTTTTCACTGGGGGTTCTTGATCTAAGTATCTTTGCTAACTCATCTATTTTTCTGTATATTTCACACTAGAAGAGAAAAATTATACTATATATCCTCTATATCAATGATTGGACTTGCTTGGTAGTCTTTCCATAACATAACCGTATATATTTTAAATTAGCAGGAAATTAACAAAAAATCATTATTAATATATCTTTCTTACATAAATTCCAACATCCTTATATTAATGTATTATTTTCAAATTTAACCCTTTTAAGTAATGCATATCCTTCCTCATACAAACATCTTTCACTCTATATCTTTAAATCCAATTGATATTATGATTTAAAGTGGATATAGGTTGATAATTTTTGTGTGGGTGTACGGATGTTCTCAAAAAGACGATGTCTGAGTATGAAAAACTGGCATAATTAACTCTCAATAAAAACGGGCGTGTGGCGCAGTTGGTAGCGCGTTCGCTTAGCATGCGAAAGGTCTCCGGTTCGACTCCGGACTCGTCCATTCTTTTTTGCTAAATCATTTTATTTTTGGTGGCCTTTATTTTCATTTCTTACCCTTTTGGAATAAATGATCCATCAAAAGTTTATTTTTAGTCTCTACATAATTAGATAAAGCCAAGTAAGTCTTTATTCAAATTCTGAATATCTCTATATAATAAAAAAACACATATACCAATGACTTGGAAGGACAACTTATCAAAAGCTCTTGTTTCTTATCCTAAGCCAGACATTAAGTTTGCGTATGGAACTGCTGGATTCCGTACTAAGGCTGACATTTTAGATTATGTTAACTTTACAGTAGGAATTTTGGCATCCATTCGTTCTGCTTACCTTGATGGTAAAACTGTCGGAGTGATGGTTACTGCATCCCATAACCCTCCTCCTGACAATGGTGTTAAGGTTGTTGATCCATCTGGAAATATGCTTGAGCTGCTGTGGGAATCCTACGCTACCACGTTGGCCAATTCTACCCATGAAGAATTGATCTCAAACATTGAAAAATTGGTTCAACAACTTGGTTTAGACACTGGAAAGCTTGATTCATACGCAGCCCGTGTTGTCTTGGCCCGTGACTCTAGAGATTCAAGTCCTCGTTTGTCTCAAGCATCCATCGATGGGTTAAGTGTATTCCCTCTGACCACCTATCAAGATTATGGATTATTCACTACTCCACAATTGCATTACGTCACTAGAACTCTGAATGATGCTGCCTTTGGAAAACCTACTGCTGAAGGTTATTATGAAAAAATGTCATTGGCTTTCCATAAGATTTTCGAATTATCTGGGGGTGACTCCAACAAGATTGACATCACTGTAGATGCCGCAAATGGTGTTGGAGCTCCAAAGGCCGAGGAACTCTTTGACAAATACTTGTCCGACAACATTGCCTATCAATTAGTTAATGCTGAATATTCCAAGCCAGAATTATTGAATTGGGATTGTGGTGCTGATTTCGTAAAGACCAATCAAAAATTACCTAACAACGTTTCTAACCCAGAAAAGAATAAATTGTACGCATCCTTCGATGGAGATGCTGATCGTTTAATATTATACTATGTGAACTCTAACAATGAATTTAGACTTTTAGATGGTGATAAGATTTCAACTTTGATTGCATTGTTTTTCCAAAGATTATTCCAAAACCTTCAAGGTCTTGATTTAAACATTGGTGTTGTTCAAACTGCTTATGCAAACGGATCTTCCACTCAATACGTTGAAGATGTTCTTAAACTCCCAGTTCGTTGTACTCCTACTGGTGTCAAACACTTGCACCATGAAGCCACCAACTTTGACATTGGTGTTTATTTTGAAGCCAATGGTCACGGTACTGTTGTTTTCTCACCAGAGGCTGAATCTAAGATTTTCAACCATGTTGCTGCAAACAAGGAGGAAGAAAAGGCTTTACAAATCTTGCAAGAATTTACCAAATTAATCAATCAAACTGTTGGAGATGCTATTTCCGATTTACTTGCCATTTTAGTTGTGGTCAATTATCTTAAGTATTCTCCAGAAGACTGGGACAAGTCTTACAGTGACTTACCAAACCGTTTGATCAAGGTTATTGTTCCAGATAGATCCATTTTCAAGACTACAAACGCTGAAAGAACTTTGGTCGAACCTCAAGGTCTTCAAGGAAAAATTGACGCTTTAGTCGAGAAGTTTCCTAAGGGTAGATCATTTGTCAGAGCTTCTGGTACTGAAGATGCCGTCAGAGTTTATGCCGAGGCTGATACTCCAGAAAATGCTGAGGAATTATCCAGATTGGTTGGAGAATTAGTTAAATAGAACAATAGATGAAATGGAATGAATTACATGTAACATAAAGAAAACCGATAACTTGTCCCCACGGGGACCAATTTAGAAGTATTAATAATGTTTTATTCTAATCCTATTTATAATTTGCTTTCTTATACTCACCCGGAGTAACCAAGCTATGCAATCCCCATACTCCTCGTTGAGACTTCTTGGCACTTTTTTCTAAAGAACGGTACCAATCCTCATTTTGTCCAAACTCAGCACCAGTCTTGGCCTCGTAGACTACCCCGATCCCATTTCTGATCATTTCAGCACTCACATCGCGTTTACCATTCCATTTCCAAACTTGAGCTCGTGCTACAATACGTTTGTATTGATCTATCAGGTACGGCGTGATTCGAACGTTTTTATCCATGACGTAACTTTGAAGCCAGTTTAAGGCCTCTTCAGAAAAAGGTTGTGCTGGTTTACCCCAATGAGCTCTCTCTGGTGCATCTACACCACATAACCGGATCATCAAAGTTTCATCTTTTAATTCTGATCTCGTAGTTGGAACAGAACGTAGCCATCCCCAACCAAGCATGACCCCACCTGGAGTGTGGTAGAAACGGAAGTTATCACCATCTCCCACTCTTGTGACCTTGCCGTAAAGAGATCGTTGACTTGCTAATGTGCCAGGTGTGAGATCAAGATACGTTCGAACTCGCTTGACATAGCGTCCATAAAACCTATAGCCAAGAATGACAGACCCAGAAACTCCTGCTGAAAGAAGAAGCACTTGCGGATGTAGAATCCCCACATCATTGGAGTCGTCGTCAGCCATGAGTACAATCCAAGACTAGCACACTGTCGTCTAAACAATGTATAGTAAAATATAACATAAACCAAAAAAAAAAAGAGGGAAAAAAGAAGAAGCTCCGCGGATTCGAACTGGTGCATCAGAGTCTGTCTCACATAAATCAAGACATCATGAGGGGAAGGGGGGCTTCAGTCTAATAATATCGTCTTTCCTTTCATTTCTTTTAACGTATTTCTTTTCAGAATTCATTTTTTTAGTACCCAGGATAGAGATAGACATGGCACTTGCCGATGGGGAATACGAGATTGACCTCTCAATATTAGACGGATCATCTTCATTTGATGATTCTTATGCCATTCGATATGGGTTTATACCAGATTCTTTGGATCAGACGAAGCCATTAACTTTATACCAGACGGATCTGGAGGTGATATTGAAGGCGGCATCTAGTGATAAAGAAGGACCTTCTATAATATTTGAAGGGGTAGGTCGGACAACACAGTCATCGTCAGATTCATATTATTTAGCCTTTGATAAAGAGAATAAGATTAAGCTTCAAAAACTTAGAGAAACTATTCGAGTAAATAAATCACGGAATATGGGTAAATGGAGTTCTAAACTTGACAAATGGGATAGACTAGAGACTCAACCTGTATCAGTTCCTGAAGTCTCACGAGTCAGTGAACCGAAAAGAACAGCACCTAAGGTTGTACAACGAGAGAAACCCAAGATTGCATCTAAACGACCCCCAAAGAAAGAGTCTCCAATAATAAGTGAATCTGATTTTGAGGATTTGGAGGAGGATACAGGGTTCCCAGAGTTTTCATTTCCAGGAGATCTGGGTAAGAAGGAGAAACTACCAGAGAAACTACCAGAGAAACAACCAGAGAGACAACCAGAGAGACAACCTGAAAGACAACCTGAGAGACAACCTGAGAGAATTCCACAAAGAATACCAGAAAGAGAAAAAGAAAGATTACCAGATAAAATACCAGAGAAACAACCTCTTAAAAAGCAAGAAGAGAAGGAATTGGTTAAAGATACCACAAACAAAATTGGGAAGACTAAACAACCAGCACGCAAACCAGTGGTGGAGCCTCCAGCATCGGTTGACTCAGATGAAGACTTTAAGGATTTAGAAGATCAACTCCAAGAGGTACTTGATGTAGATGACAGTGATGAAGATGAGTACGGGTACTCAGGAAGTGGACCAATTAACATTGAGATTGACGAAGGACCAGTTGAAGACTCCAAATACAAATTTTATAACAATTACAAGGAGAATTCCCACAAGAAGCCCATGAGCTTACACGAGTTGGTGAAAGGACACCGCAGGGACGACGAGGTTAGCAGTGAAGAGGAGTAGATAAATATATCAGGGAGTGGAAATACGTAAATAGGTAGCTTATTATTGGAATATGATAAGCAGGAAACAATTTTTTTATTATAAAAAAAAAAGTAAGTGAAGTCAAATTAAACGACTGGAATGTAGAGAAGAGTAGAATGAATGGAATATAGGGCCTCTATAGTGTGTTAATTTTGTAAGCTCTTTGATGGAGTGCCAGCTATCACTTTTTTAAGGCTTCTTCTTAAATTTACGTGCAGGCCATATATTAGGACAACACTCTTTTTAAAGATGAGCTCTACTAAACGCCCCAATGGAGATAAAGAAGAACAACTAGAAAGCAAGAAACAAAGATTGACGGATGAAGGTCAAGCCTCTAAAAGTTTAGGAGAAAAACCAGGCGATTTGGCTCAGTGGAAGAACTTAATGTCGATGTATATACCTACAGATAAAGATCAATACAACGAGTCATTTGAAACAAATACTGGTGGAATTTCAATCATAGAGAAGAATGACCTTGAATCGGTTATAGTGACGGGATCTGTTGACGGGGTGGTGACGTTTTGGAGTAGAAAGAATGCTGCATCCAAACCATCCACTGAGGGATCTTCTCTTTGTTATGTCAAGCAATTCACAGCACATCCAAACAAACAAATTGTACAGATCATTTTTTCAAATGATGCCAGGATGGCAACGGTAGCCCAAGATGACCACACTATGAAGATCTTTGATCTCAATACATTGGACATGATCCAAGTGATACGATTGAAGTTCAATCCTGGAGTGGCATGTTGGGCGAAAACAGACGCTGGAGAAACATTGGTGGTTAGTGATGGGAAGGCAGTTCATTTGGTTGGAGAAGACGACGAAGATGATGATCTTGACGTACTGAAAGTGTCTAGTGATACAATCCATCGGTTCTCGATAGAATCTATGGCATTCAACCGGAAATACAACTGTGTAGTATCCACAGATGTAAGAGGATTTATAGAATATTGGGTACCACAAGCAGGTTTCCCTGTACCTAACACAGTGAAATTCCAATACAAGACAGATACTGACTTATTTGAAATGACCAAGAATAAATGTCGTGCTCGGAAGTTTATATTCTCTGGGAATATGGAGATGTTTGCAGCAGCATGTACCGATGGAACAGTCAGAGTTTGGGATATGGCTAGCGGGAAGATCCAATTAAGAGAACCTGGGAAATGTGGTAATCTGGTGACATATGACCCTTCTGATAGTTTGTTGATATTCACTACCGATGATGGCATGGCTAGGGTTGTTCCTATTCTGTCACAGAGTGAGGTTGACCAGCCATTAATTAGAGATGACCAGCTTCATATAGATCAAATCTGCTTATTGGGCCGTACAGATATAACTTCATTCAACATTGAAATGGTTTCATCTGAGAACTCAGCATTACAGAAAAAGCTAGAACGTGATCCCTTGATAGTCTGTACCGGGAAAGATTCTAGAGTGTATGTATTTGGAGGCAAAAAGTTAGATCCAGAGACTAATAGAGATCATACTTTAGAAGAAACTACAGGGAATTCCATTAATGCAACAGGTAAACTTACAGGAATGAAGAAGACAGATAAATCAATTGCTAGTGCAGTTACCCTTCACACAACAGTTGGTGATATTAAAATCAAGCTCTTTACCAATCAAACACCTAAAACTGCAGAAAATTTCGTATTACTCTCGAAAAGACATTATTATGACAATGTGATATTCCATCGTGTTATAAAGAAGTTTATGATTCAAACAGGGGATCCCTTAGGGGATGGAACTGGGGGAGAAAGTTGTTGGGGTGGTCATTTTAAGGATGAATTCAGTCCTCTGCTTTCACATAGCAAACCATTTATGGTGAGTATGGCGAATGCGGGACCAGGAACTAACGGATCTCAATTCTTCATTACTACAGAGGCTTCCCCATGGTTAGATGGGAAGCATACAGTATTTGGCGAAGTCATAGATGGACAGGATACGGTGAAGGCGATAGAAGCGGTGGATACAAACAAGGACGACAAACCATACGATCCGATCACAATTTTATCAACTACAGTACATATATAAGTGAAATATATCGGTGAAGGTGAGAGAGTTTGGCGCAGTTGGAATAACTGTAACTCTTTCGGAATCTTTCAATGCTCGAAAAGGAGAATACTGAAATAAGAACCGATACGTTATTTTTGTACCCCACATGGAGCCTCTTTTGGAAGCCACGGTATGGTGAGATCTTAATGGTTGACAAGATAGACGGTTATGCATAAGTAAGGGAGCTAAAGGTAAATCTATGGAGACTACTACAATTTAGAGCATAGACTTTTCAAATTACATATACAAACATGACTTAAAAATTAGAGTTAAGAATTAGGAATTTCCATATTTGTAGACTTGATAGAAAACCCGCCAGTAAATATGGGGAAATACTATACTCAACTCCAGCTAAGTTTGGTATTCGGGTCCGAGATTTTTTTCACTCCGAGAATTTTCGCAAAGCCGTATGACTGACTATTTCGCGTACCAAGCTCATATTTATATATGGGGAAGCGGAGATCAAATCATTTAGTTAGTTTTGTACATCAATTCACACACAATGTCTCTTCGCTACATTGATAACGCTCGTAAGATTCTTTGCATTGGCCGGAACTATGCTGCCCATATCAAGGAACTTAATAACGCTGCTCCACTGCAACCATTCTTCTTTTTGAAGCCTTCATCGTCGATCTTGAAGCCAAACAGTGGACCATTTTTAGTCCCAAAGGGGGTTGTAGTCCATCATGAAGTGGAATTGGCGTTTGTATTGAACCGTGATCTCAAGGATTTACCTACTTCGTTTTCTGCTGAAGAGGCCTTGGAGTGTATTGATGGATATGCTCTTTCCATCGATATGACTGCTAGAAACGTGCAAGATGAAGCCAAGAAGAAGGGATTACCATGGTCCATTGGGAAGGGATTCGATACTTTCCTCCCACTTTCGAACTATATCCCAAAGGAAAAGATCCCTGACCCGTACAATGTTGAATTATCATTGAGCGTGAATGGAGAAGTCCGTCAAAAGGATATGACTAACTTGATGATTTTCCCAATTCATCGTATCTTGTCCCACATGTCTGCCATCATGACTTTACAAAAGGGAGACTTGATTTTGACCGGAACTCCAAAGGGTGTTGGTCAAATCAACCCAGGTGATGTTATCAGGGCCACCATTGGTGTCGATGGAAAGGAGATTGAGGATGCCACCATTGAAATCACTGCTGAACAAAAGCCTGGTCCATATGAATTCAAAGAAATCTAAGTAGAAATAAATGAAATGAATTAAGTTAACAGTCTAAATATTATTATTTGATGTAATTTCTATATGAAAACTCCTTCAGCAGGAGGTGAATATTGTCTCAAGATAATGCCAGCTTCACTCATAACCTTATGGGAAAGCTCATCCATTGAGTAACTCTGCGCATAGACAACTTCTTTAATACCACTTTGAACAATTTTTATTGAACATGTCAAACATGGACATGTATTACAATAGAGTACACCCTTGTCATTACTTCCAGTACCGTTGATTCTATCTCTCCCGGCCTCCAACAAGGCGTTTTCTTCCGCATGGAGACAAAGACATGTATTCAAGCCAGCACCACTACCTTGGCCCTTGTTACAACGTGGACATCCTCCTTCATTACAATTGGTGAGGTTTCTAGGAGTTCCATTGTAACCAGTTGCAACCACACGATTACCCCGAACAATGACACACCCAACTCTTCTCTTCATACAATTTGACCGAAGGGCAGCAAGATCGGCCAAACGCATAAAGTAGGAGTCCCAGGTTGGTCTTAATCGAGATAAATCCATGAGAGATAACTCTGAGAGCTTGACATAAAGATCTTTAATGGACGATGAAGTATTGATGATTTTGATTTGGGCTTGATTATTTATTTCAATGAGTGGGTTTTCCAGGGCAAACAACAAGGAATCAGATCTATCTACAAACTCAGAGATAGATTCTTTGGATGTGTCGTGCACCAGACGTTGATAACGAAGCAGAATAGGCGCGTCTACGGAAATATGAAGGAAGAATGGTCTTTTTTGAAGCGCAGAAAGAACATTGATGTCGGCTATGGGCGAGAGAACAAACTGAGTTCTCCAGTTGAATGTCACGTAATCAAGAAGTTTATCAAGATCATTGAATACAAGACAAGAGTCATGATCTGAAACTTCAGGTTGAGCTGGGGGAGTGCCCGTTGGTTCATCATTTGGGTTATATTTAATCAAATTGAATCCCTGGAACGTCAAGTAACGCGCCACTTCTGATTTTCCAACACCCAAAGTACCCGATATTCCTATTAACATGGTGGTTGTGGAGCTAATTGGGTTTGAAGTTAATGATAAAATGTATTTGTGGTGTAAGATTTGATGTACTGGAGATTTTTTCCTAAAGTGCGAAATTGGATAGGTTGACATATGAAGAAGGGTAATATAAAGAGAGAGAGATAGATTAGACGATGAGATAAATAAAGGAATGGCTGGGGAAGGGTATATAAGTATATATAAGTGTAGCTGACGGAGGATTGAATTTACGAAACAGATTTGAAATTATTGTTGTAACAAGTGGTAGATGGGGAGCGAGTAGGATTATTTCTTTGCAGCCATTTTTTAATTAAGAAAAAAGTTTCACTTTAAATGAAAACTTATGACTAAAACAAATACAAGTCATCTATATACCAAGTTGTATATATGCTATATATGAGTTTTGAACTGTTCACCATCTTGAAACAAATGTGAAACGTGGAGAAATGAAAAAAAAAACAAATACTTGGTTACCCATGATGTGGCGCGGGCTATCCATTGTAACAATTTCTCAATTTTTTAAGATCACTAACTACATAATTCTATTATCAAATTACTTTCATAATTGATATATCCTCTCTACCAGTTCCTATTCTCTTAAGAAAGAGCTTACTTAGTTTACTACACCTTTCTTCTGTCTATGCACACGACTTGCCTCGTTATATAGATTAGCACAATTTCCTGCATTCAACACAATCTGATATGGGAGCCCCTATAAGACCAAAAGTAACTCCAAACTCTTATCAAATCTGTAAATTCATTCTCACAAGGTCGTACACTTTATTATACACCTCAATTTCTCAAAATATATTAGTTAGAACCAATACTCCTCCCCCCATTGCTTCAGACTAACAAGGAACCATGCTAATAAACGTTCTATTGGTTCTTCTAGTGAACCTCGTGATAGCAACCTGTACTTCCTTATCTGGCCATTGTGCAATTTATGGTACATGTGGCAAAAAATCCATGTTTGGAGCATCATTACCATGTCCTGGACTAGTCAAGGCTTCTGCCCCTTCAGAAGAATCTGCTAGAACCCTTCGTCTGATCTGTGGTGCTGACTTCCCCGTAGATAAAGTTTGCTGTTCACCAGATCAAATTGCTGCTCTTCAATCGAATTTGAAGAAAGTTGACCCACTTATAAGTTCATGTCCCGCATGTAAACGGAACTTTTATGACTTTTTCTGTCAATTTTCATGTTCTTCAGACCAGGCAACATTTGTAAATGTTACTAAAGTAGCCCTTGCTTCCGATACAAAACAAGAAGTGGTCACTGAATTATCTCAATACGTCAATGCCACATATGCCGAGGAATTCTTTAATTCATGTAAAAATTTGAAGTTTTCAGCAACAAATGGCTTTGCCATGGATCTTATTGGAGGCGGAGCCACCAATTATCAACAATTTTTGAAGTTTCTTGGTGATGAAAAGCCTCTTTTAGGAGGATCTCCTTTCCAAATCAATTTCGAGTATAATGGCGGAGACAAGGCTGGTCCTTTCAAGTTGAGAACTGGGGAAATGAAACGTTGTGATGACGAAGAGTATAAATGTGCTTGTTCTGATTGCCTTGAATCATGTCCAAACTTGCCAGAATTCAAAGATTTTAATGCAACTTGTAAAATTGGGCCCTTACCATGTTTTAGCTTTGCTGTGGTATCAATTGGTCTCACATTGATTGTAGTTGGAATTCTTTTCCATTTAAAGAAATGGAAAGGTCATCAAAAGGGAAACCAAACACCAGGTGGAATAATCTCTGAACAACATCTGCTGCCCATCTTGGAAGAGGTGACTCCAGATGATGAGGAAACAGATACAATAGTGCCAATTCACCCACTGCCATTTGATTCCTTTTTCGCCTATACTTCATTCCAATTTGCTTCAAACCCATGGAAAACAATCATCTCTTCACTTGTGATTACACTTCTTCTTTCTTCCGGTTTAGGAACTCTTAAACTTGAAACTGACCCGGTCAATCTTTGGGTAAGTCCAAATGAACCGGCCTTTTTAGAAAAGCAATACTTTGAGGAGAAATTTGGAGAGTTTTATAGAATAGAACAGTTGATCATTAGTAGTAATGATTCGTCACCCGTTCTTTCTTGGGATACCATTCAATGGTGGTTTGCTAAAGAACAAGAACTTACTACATTAAACAATAGTCTTCTTTCTTCGATTTGCTTCAAACCTTTGGGAGAAACCTGTGCAATTGAATCATTTACTCAATATTTCCAAGGTGATATCAATTATCTTACTCCACTGAATTGGAAACAACAAATCAGTGGCTGTACATCTTCTCCAGTCAATTGTTTACCTTCATTCCAACAACCTTTGAAAAGCAATTTACTTTTCGACAATGAAAACATTCTCGAAGCACAGGCTTTTGTCGTAACCCTTTTAATCAACAATAATCTGACTGATGTTTTATCAACAAAATTGGCTACAGATTTTGAACTGTCATTGATTGACTGGATAGAAAATTCACTTAAGAAGGAAGCTGCAAAGTTGGGTCTACATGTCTCTTACAGTACAGAAAGTTCTCTTACCACTGAGTTAAATCAATCAACCAACACAGATATTAAAATTGTCATTATTTCTTATTTGACAATGTTTTTATATGCCTCTTTGGCTTTGGGTGGTAGAATCCCTCAATTTGGTAAGGGACTTAAATCCTTGGTAACCACTCGATTTCAACTTGGACTTGGTGGTATTGCCATCATCCTACTCTCTGTAAGTTCATCAGCTGGGGCTTTTGCATTCATCGGCTTGAAATCAACTTTGATTATTGCTGAGGTTATCCCTTTCCTTGTTTTGGCAGTAGGTATCGATAATATCTTTTTGATTGTACATGAGTTACAATTGGTGAGTACCTTGACCCCCAACGACTCAGTGGAAATGAGAATATCTACCGCTTTACGTAACATTGGACCTTCATGTTTAATCAGTGCCCTTTTACAATTATCAATGTTCCTCATTGCTACATGGGTGGAAATGCCCGCGGTCAAAAACTTTGCCTACTATTCAGCTGGTGCTATCTTGTGTAACTTCTTGTTACAAATGAGTGCATTTATTGGATTATTAGCATTAGATCAAAAACGTATGGAGGAAGGTAGATTGGATTTATTCCCCTGGGTGTCTGTGCTGGTTGAATTGGAAGATCAAGAAGAACAACAAGAAGTGCAACCGGCATTTATTCGTAAACTCTCATCTATGGTATCGAATTATCCAACTACCATTCTCACTCCAAAGATTAAAAGAAAACTTATAAGTTTATTTGTTGTTTGGTTTGCTGTATCATTGAGTCTTCTCCCCAAAATTGAATACGGATTAGACCAACGTATTGCCCTCCCAGCAGATTCATATTTGGTAGATTACTTCAATTCAGTTTACAAATATTTAAATGTTGGTCCTCCAATCTTTTTTGTGACTAAGGATTTGGATGTGACTGAAAGATCAGGCCAACATAAACTTTGTGGGAAGTTTTCTACATGTAATGAATTTTCCGTGGCCAATATTTTGGAACAAGAGTTCAAACGTGGGAATAAATCTACCATTGCTGATCCAACTTCTAGTTGGTTAGATGATTTCTTAACTTGGTTGAATCCTGATCTTGACCAATGTTGTAGATTAAAGAAGAGTACCCTAGACAAAAAATCCCCAGAATTCTGTGGGGCCTATACACCCGAAAGACAATGTCAAAGTTGCTTTGCCGATCATAGTCCGCCATACGATATTTCCATGGATGGCTTCCCTGAGGGAAAGGATTTTATGTTTTACTTTGACCAATGGATAGAGGAACCCAGTGACCCTTGTCCATTGGGAGGTAAGGCGCCATACTCCAACAGTATTTCTACACATGCCAATGGCTCCATTGAAGCCAGTTACTTTAGAACTAGTCATGTCCCATTGAGATCACAAAATGATTTCATTGTAGCATACAAGAATTCCCGGAGAATAATCGATGAGATAAAGCAATATGAACCAGATTTAGATATTTTCTCCTATTCTCCATTCTATGTGTTCTTTGTACAATATCAAACTATCCTTACCCAGACACTTGGATTATTAACAGCCGCTGGAACTATTATACTAGTGGTGTCTACAATTTTACTTGGAACCTGGAAAGTTGCCACGGCTGTGACTGCCACCGTTGCCATGATTGTTGTGAACATCTGTGGAGTAATGTCAATTTGGTCGATCTCGCTTAATGCTGTATCTCTTGTCAATCTCGTCATATGTGTTGGACTTGCCGTCGAATTCACCATTCATATTGCTCGTGCATTCACAAGGGCAGAGGGGAAAACCTCATCAGACCGTGCCCTTGTGGCCTTACAAACAGCCGGAGGATCGGTTTTCGGAGGTATCACCATCACGAAATTGATTGGGGTCAGTGTTCTTGCGTTCACTAGAAGTAAGATATTCGAAGTGTATTACTTTAGAATGTGGATTTCTCTTGTTTTCATTGCAGGAGTACATGGGTTATGCTTCTTACCAATCTTACTTAGTTATCTTTAAATAGTCAAAATAAAAGTTAAAATAGATGTTACACTACTAGAATTCTCTTCAAAGAGGAGCTTGGCCTCCACGGCTAGTGGCCCACGGAGTGCCAGCGGAGCGGTGTACAGCCCCACAGGGAAGGTTCTACGAACCCAGAAAGGGACCTAGCTTCTTCTACCAGAAGTTGTATAAGTGTATATAAAATACATCTCGTGTGAATGGACTTTGTACAATATGCGCTATCGGCTACTACAAATCTAAAATTAGCATTCCTGTTTAATTCCAGAACCTTCCAGAACGAAACGTTTCCCAGAGCAATCATAACTGGTGCTGGACCTACCTTCTATACTATCTCCAAAATTCGAAATGCACCCCCACGTGTAATCTTTTGAACCAGCAGGGCTAACTGGGTACGATGGCTGGTTGGTCTTGTGGTTGCAAAATACTCAACATAATTTAAATCTTGACGGTTCTGCACATGACGGAGAAAAATAATTTTAGCAATCGCAACTTTGGGACATTTTGTTGCGAAATTGGGTTATCCACAATGCACTGGGTTGCCGCTACATTCTTCTCTCTCGATGTAACTCTTTGTAGAATTAAAATGTATGTGCTTTCCCAAAGCTGGGTGGTGCACCCCAAACAACTATACCACTCTACGTAGCCCACACGCTTCTCGGGGACATCCATATACTGGTTAGCCTCACGTCGTCGTCGTCGTCGTCGTCACTCACTTGTCGTCAGGCTAACCCGCATGTCCTGAAAAATGGAAAAGAAAACTTCTCGTATTTCCATACATCGTCCATCAATCTGACTGCTCGTCTAAGTCGCACCGACACAGCGCCCCTCACTAAATAGGCTGGTTGCCCAACTTTTGACCTGTATGTAGCGCGGTCTCCCCCTCCCTAAAATGTGTACCCACTGTATTTTGTGTCATTCGACTGCGGCTTGTATCCAGGATTTTTTGCTTGTCATGCCGTAGTCTTCGTTTTTATTTTCTCGAGTACAAAAGTCCACGGCTACACACTTCTTCCATTAGAAACATTGTATAACTTGAATATAATTGGACTTAGCGTACATTCGTATATACAATATGTCTACTTTCACATTTACATGGTACGTATAGGTGCCACATGTGGCGACGAGGAGCCCTCGAGGGGTTTGTTTTGGGTTTGTTTTGGATTTCATTTTAAGTTTGGAGGGGGCACAAGAGCCCAAGGGGGAAGTTGGAGGTTTTAAATTTCCACGCAGAAGTGTGTAACGCCCCCCCTCTTTGCAAAATGTACCACACGAATTAACCCTGGATACAACCATAGAGGACATGTAGTGGGAGAGAGACAAAGCAGAATAGACAACAAACGGCCAAGGAGAGGAAAAAAAAAAGGATGGAAAAAAATATGAGCTGATTAATGGGGTTCCCCCCGTCAAGAATGGAGAATGGAGAATGGAGAATGGGCTAGAGCACACCAGATGACTTGGATAGGACACTCCTGTGGCTATGAGAAAGTCTAGTCCGACCGCTAGACCATGAGAGCTTGTTCCAAGGGGATTAATAAGTCCAGACTTTTCTTGTGTGGTTGCTCAAATCCATGTCTCGTCTGGTCTCTTTCTCGAGGTGAGTTCATCTAATTCCTCGCTAGAGGAAGCAGGCCTCCACGGCTAGTGGCCCACGGAGTGCCAGCGGAGCGGCTTACAGCCCCACAGGGAAGTAAAGGGTTCGATTCTGCGGGGGACTTGCAAGACGCTCCGCTGGGCCCCTACTCGGGGAGAGCCACTGCGTGGTGCCTAGCTCCTCTTAGAGGAGATACCCCGTAAGGTAGTCTAGGTACTAGTAAGATGCCCGACTGCTTTACGGAGTGCTTTATTTTATTATACATTTTTGCTTTACTCTAACTCTATATGACTGGTTGAGTTATTCCTGTTTAATATTGTCTCTCTATACCGCTCACCATGTTTCTTAAATACTGATACTAACAATCTTAGGCCTAAGGGACCAACCGAAGTTATTCTTACCGGTACCTTTGATAACTGGTCCAAATCTCTTCCACTTGTTAAGCAAGCCGATGGTTCATTTGAATTGACTGTCCCATTACCAGCTGACTCTGAAACTCTTCTTTATAAATATGTCGTTGATGGTGAATGGTCCGTTTCCAAGACCCAAAACATCACCAAGGACGAATCTGGTATTGAAAACAATATCATCAACAAGGCTGATTTAGTCGAAACCAAGGTTGCTGGTGGAATTGTTCCAGAATCCGGCTTGCCAATTGCTGCTGCTGCTACTGGATCTGACTTGAAGACTACTGTCTTACCAAAGTCTGAACCAACTCACCCAACCATTGCTGGTGAACCTGGTATCTTTGTTCCAAAGGACGCTGAAGCTTTGGCTGCTTTCAACACCATTGAAGAACCAAGAGAATTGAACGGAGGTGCCGACGATGCTGCTGCCACTGCCGCTGCTCTTGAAGCCGAAGAAAAGAAGAAGCAAAAGAAGAAGGTTAAGAAGAGTAAGTACAAGGCCAAGAAGAAGAAGAAGGCTGCTGAAGGTGCTGCCACTACCACCGAAGGTGAAACTGAAGAAGCCACACCAGAACCAGAAAGTGGTTTGGACAAGGAAGATGAGGCTACTGCCACTGCTGCCGCTGTTGCTGCCGTTGCTGCTGCTGCTCCAGTTTCCAAGGTTGCTGAACCAGTTGCTCCAGTTGAAGCTGCAGAACCAGTTGCCCCAGTTGCCCCAGTTGAAGCTGCCGAACCGGTTGCTCCAGTCGCTCCAGTTGAAGCTGCTGAACCAGTTGCCCCAGTTGCTCCAGTTGAAGTTGCTGAACCAGTTGCTCCAGTTGCTCCAGTTGAAGTTTCTGAACCAGTTGCTCCAGTTGAAGTTGCTGAACCAGTCAAGGTTGCTGAACCAATTGTTTCTGAACCAATCGTTTCCGAACCAATTGAACCAATTACTGAAAAATCCACCACCATTCCAGAACCAACTGTTGAAGCCACTGAACCAGAACCAATACACACCTTGGACCCAAAGGCTGCTCATCCTGAAACTGAAACTGAAGTCATCCCAGAACCAACTATTGACCAAGCTGAACCAGTTGTTGAAAAGGAAGTTGATGCTTCTCCAGTAGCTGCTGCCCCAGCCACTGAAGAAATTGTCATCACTCAAGGTATTGCCAACCCAGAAGCTGCTATTGTTGCTGCTGAAGGTGATGTTACCGTTGAAGAACTCAAGCCAACTGAATCTGAAGCTGCCAGATTAACCAAGGAAGCTAACGTTCCAGCTGACGTTGCCGCCGAAGCCATTGAAGCTGCCGCCCCATCTTCAACCCCAGCTGCTGCCACCACCACCACTAAGTCAAAGAAGGATGACAAGACTGTTGCCACCAAGAAGGATGAAAAGAAGAAGAAGAAGGGCGGATTTTTGTCCAAATTGAAGAAGATTTTCAGTTAGAAAGATTTAGAACCCATGATTCCCCCCCTGCCTTCCTTAAGGCCAAGCTTAATAGAGCTGTTAATTCTATATATTCGTAATTGTATAAGTATTTTAAAGTATCGTAAGAGAAGAAATATCCAAGGAGAATGAAAGTGATTCCTAGTAGGACTACACTACAAGAATTACAAAGTCTGACATGAGCCACAAATGGAAGACATTAAGAATCTCCTCGTAAGAGGAGCTAGGGCCTCCACGGCTAGTGGCGGACGGAGTGCCAGCGGAGCGGATTCGCATCCCCGCACGGAAGACGTGGGATCTACCCTACGGGGTCTGAAAGACGCTCCGCTGGCACTCCGTGGGCCACTAGCCGTGGGGGCCTTTGTTCCTCTAACGAGGAATAGACTCTTGTTTTTTTTGCCGCCCTTTTGATTCTCTATATCTACAAAGTTTTTCTTCATTTTTCAATCTATTTATTACCTATTATACACGAAGCTACCTGCTTAACGGGCCTCAAATTGAACCATTCTTCTGGTTCTAGCCTTGTAAATGACTCTGTGACCACATTCCTTACATCTGATAGCATCACCCTTACCTAATGAGAATGAACAGGCACATTGAGCACAGTTGTACTTAACACCAAGAGACTTGTTGATGACATGTCCGTGGGCAGCATGTGAAATCGATGCCGGGACAGAAAAGCCTTCTCTTTGAGGGGATGACATGATGATTGATTGATACAAAGAGTGTACTTGTTGGTTGGGAAACCTTGTAGTGGTTTTTTTTTCTCTGTAGAACTTTTGATGAGTGAGCAGAGTACATGCAGGATCTGGAAAAGAAAAGAAAAGAAAAAAAAAAAATATGAATAGAGGAGGTTGTGGTGGTTTAGTAGTGGTAATAATTGGGTAAAAATATTGAAAGTGTAAACTGTTTGAATATTCTGTATATGAAATGGATTCATTAAGACTTTAAAAATCAAATTTTAGATAAAATTTGATGGGTTTACCCCACTGGTCTATTCTTGTAGACCACCGTGGGTGTATGGATGTTGCTCCTGTATGGTGAACACCCTGTTTTCCTTTTTTTTTTTTTTTTTTTTTTGCATTAGACAATATTTTTCCTACTACAAAGACAGATCCTTAGCTGTATAGAGAGAGATTGTTTAGATACAATTACATAGTACTTCTTACATATTTTGAACGGGAAAGAGAATCTTCCCTCGTAAATTCGAAACCAACTCATTTTTTAACTGGTGATTCAAAAAATTTAATGGGGTCACACAATTTAGTCCAAACGGATAAGTAACTGCCTACCAAAACTTACACACTCCCCCCCTTCTTTATACTCACTACAACTGTTGCCCAGCCTTACTACATACCCCTTAAACCCCTTAATACCATCTACATCGCAACTACATCCCTATGCCCTATACGAGATAAACGACATGGTGGGAAAAAAATGCGCCCATTTGCAACATTGGCCTCGGCCTGTAGCTTCGTTCGCATCACATCATTTGCAGTCTAAACGCATATTCAGCCATACCATTACCACCATGATTACGTCAATCTATGCCCAACATCTAGTCTGTATAGAAACATCGACGCCACCAACCCACCCTATTCGCAATTTCCTCGTACGCGCCACCCACCACTATCCACTCCCTTTATACAAATATATATATATGTGTACAAGTTTACCTATTCTCTCTTTTCGTGTCACCCTCAATCCCAACTGAATATTTTCCTTTGAATTTTTGCCCTTTAATTTTTTCCTTTCTGATTTGAAATTTCTTCATCAGTTACACTTATATTCATACCAATGATGTTTAGACTGTTGTACAACGCTCCGCAGAGTCTTAGACCCGCCCTCTTGAAGGTGAGAAGTGGGTTGAACCCTCAGAAGTCCGCCCAAACCCCCGGTGGCAACCCTTCTCAGTTGTTACAACAACAACGTTCCATAACGGGGACTCCAGGCCAACAGCCTCGTACAAAGCATAACAACAACCACAAGAACAACAACAATAACAACAACAACCGTAACTCACGCCAGGCGGGCCACCAGGGCCGTGACCGTCCGTCAGTGATTGATTCCCTCAACTTTAAGTCTCCCCAAGACCCAATCATCTTGGAAGCTTTGAACCATGAATACCGTAGAAAATTGGATTATTTCGATGAACAATTGGCGTTGGCTTTCCAATACTACAAGAACCCAAAGCTTGAGCGTGAGCTCGTTGCCTGTGTGCACAACACGGTCCAGTTGATGGATGAAGACTTATTCCGTCCCTTGTTAAGTACCAAGGATCTTAACCTGTACTTGAGTTGTTTAAACAACGCCACTTTTGCTGCCAGATCCTCTAGACTTAGATCTAGTCGTAACCGGGACTCGGACAACTACAACAATGCCAACTTACAACACGATGTCATGTTGAAAACTGCATTGATCAAGATGAGTGAATGGATTGCTCAAGGTGAATTCAAGGAAGTCTTGAATGAACTGTGCTTGAGAAACTTATTCTACACCATGTTACAATTCAAATTACAACCAGAAATGATCCAATTATGGGAAAATGGTGTCAATGATGAAGTTACTGGGAAATTATATTTGGGTCAACTGGCCTTGGCAGTCATTTTGAAAGTTGCCTTTGAAGAAGGTAGATTTACTTATGAAGAAGTATTACAAATTTTTGAAACTACTCAGAAAAAAGTTGATAATAATAATGAAAATAAGAATTCTTCCAAGATTTCTCATGAACTTCTTTCATCAATTGGACGTATTTCCATTGCTGCAGGCGACTACTCACGTGGTCTCGACTCACTTGAATCACTTCTTGCAATTTTTGAATCTCAACCACGTCATCGTAATTTGATTCTTCATTCTCTTGCAGAACTTCATTTGGCCTTTATTGGTTCTTGTAAAGATCTTACTATTGCTCAACATTTCTTTGATAAGATTGTTGATGGTAACCTCCCATACAAGGTTCGTCTTAAGGTTCCATACGTTCATTCTCTTCTTGAAAATTGTTATGAATTGGATGCTCCATTTGAAAAATTGGAATATTTCTGGAAACGTACCATTGATCATTATAATGTTACTAGTGGAAATGAAGCTGCTAATTCTCGTTATTCCAATTTGAATAATGCTTTTTTCGGTCTTTTTTTCAAGAAATATCCTCAACTTACTGAAGAATCTCATGAAAAGCTTAAACTGATCATTTCCACTTATACCAATACTAAGGTTGTTGATGAAATTTTCCTCAACACTGTGATCAGTAACTATTCTTGGAATGACAAGCAAGTTTTAGAACAACTTATGCAATCTTATTCCGTTTATAACGTGAAAAGAACCCCTGTTTCCTACAGAATTTGTCTTAAAAAGACTGGAATGATTCAAGAATACACTTCAGAAGAAATTTTAAATAAATGGAATGAATCTTTACAATTTTTAGATGATCAAAAATTCTCATATATCCCAATTGCTGATTGGGCTGCCTTGAGAGATTCCACTATTTTAAGTCAATATTCTACTGAAAGAAAAAATCTTTATCTTGCCGTTGCTGATAAGTATAAAGATTACATTCAAGATTATCGTACTTGTGTTCGTTTCTGCAAACATTGGCTGAAACAACTGGAACATTTCCGTGATATTAGAAAACTTTCAGATCCAAATAATTCATTTGAATGTGATGTTTCTATTGAAATCCCACAATTTCTTCATTTAAGAAAGAATATCGATTTTAACGTTTTATCAAGAGAAATTCTTTCAAAGAAATAAACAAGTAAATGAATGACATGTACATAGATATAATAGAAATAAGACAAGATTAATGAGAAAAGAATATATATATAGAATAGGAAGTGGAGAGAATTGTTCTAACAGTAGAATTTTAAAAAACTGCAATTATTGATATTTATCCCATTTAGTTCGAACGCGCACGCGAGTATTCTTTTGTAGATTTTGAGGCAACTAATGCATTTTATGGGCGACAAGATGCGTCATGAATTCGAGGCTCAAATTGATTTGATTTGACCCCCTTTTCCCTGCTTTAATGCATATCACCCCCTTGCTTGATCATGGGCTAGGAGGTTTAGCGACCCATAATCAATACACAACTTGGCCTGATTGCTTTGAAATGGTGAAAATGTCAATTTGTACCACAATGCTGCAATTAATTTGTGGCCATTGAAGTGGGGTTCTCTACTTCTGTCATTGACAAGAGATTTGATCTACCATTCCGATTCAAAATTAATCTAATGATTTCATGAAACGCGCTGATACAATTTGGCATCGGAAATGTTATTTCCCGGCATGAAGCGTGGATAATTGCCTTATATGATCGAAATGTGGTAAATCCGATTTTTGGAGGGACATTTCATTTTTGACGCACAACAACAATTTATTTCCAAAGTGTGTTCCACCTAGAATAGAATTGTTGTGTGAAGGATTGATACCTTTCAAACAAATATCGGCTGTTAAGTGACAGATTCTTAAACATGCTCATAATGCAAAGGGAGGGTTTCCTCTGTCATTGAAAGACCAATAGTCCTCAACCATGTCAGAACAAACTCCTAGAAACCAAGTTTCGTCACATACCTCCACACTCTCCTCATTGAAACCTCATCATGATCTCTATGCAACAACCTATTTTAAATATTTTTTGAATAAAAAGCAAAAAAAAATAAATAAAATGTCGCTAAGGTGGTGACGTTGGTGCACGCCTGAATAATCTTACAGGCTAAAGTTGTCCACATAGCTTAATTGGAATAGGTACATATTATTGTGTATTTTATGGTGTATCTACGTCTTTTTAGTAAGATTTAATGATTGAACCTTTCCACCATTTCTTGGCTATCGGAAATAATTTCCCGCATCTAAGAGCATGAAACTTTTACTGTGTAACAGGATCATTGACAGCAAGAAATAAGATGGTTATTGAACACAATTCCTTCTTGATTTGGGTTGCTGGCAACTAAGATACTCTCCTCTATGTATCTTTATACTCGCTTTTAACCCATGGAGTGACTATGTAATCACACCAATGGCCCACTGTAAATTAATTATAGCCATCGATATGCACGAAAGGGATCATGACATACTGGCAGTTCTACACGACCTGCAAAGTTCTTCAAGAAACTTTAAAAACTTGGCGCATAATTGAAAGGGTTTTTACGAGATTATCTCATCACCTAAGACCATCGGGAATGCTTCACTTTTCTCCCGAACGATACCCTATTAGACCCCACTCTGCTCTCATTCTGTAAAGGCAACATGTCTAGTATATCCCAATCAATTCTGCTTATCCCAGTAGATGGCAACATGTCCAATGACGCACTTATCATGTCTTCTAGCATCAACTAAAATAAACATTTACTACCCCCCAAAAAATAAAATCGCGATACTGCTTTAATGACGTAGGCAATGAATCAGTACCTCCTGATATTTTTGATCTAGGCGGAGCGTGTGACCCCACAGTGGGATCTGCACCACTCCCACACAAGAGATTGCAGTAAAATAAGACTGAACTTATGAGAGAGGAGGAAAACACCGCTCAAGCCCTATTCCAGTATCTCCCAAGTTCGATATAAGCCTCTGTGCAACGCAGAAGGTCCTTTGTCCACTTTTTTTTTTCTTTGCTTCATCTTACGGCAATTATGCATGGTCTGTTTTTTGTTCTAAAGTGTGAAATAATTTCAAATGTGAAGGGCATCGTCATACAGAGCGCATTGGGTTTAGTTGTGCGTCATATAACGGATTTGAAATCTTCTATTGCCTTTTCCTTCACAGCGCTCGTAACAGATGCGCTTTTAGATGTCTGGAAGGCAACCTTTGAAAATAATATTTCGCCTAAATGTGCAACCCTGGTGCCTTTCAGTACCCTTTCGACAAAATCTGCGAATTGCAAAACTCTCTACAGAGCTAAAAAAATCTCAAAAGTTGATAGCCAGGACAGTCCTCTTGGTGCAGTAGCTTGAAGACTATTTCCTTCTCATCGTCCCCCACTTGCAGAAAGAGTGAAAGAAAAATAACAATGACTGGAACGTAAATGTACGACGCATACGCACCAACTTGCCTTTGTATCCACAGATGTAGCTGCATCGCTTCTATCGAGCAAAGTTTACTTGCAGATAATTCCAGTTCTGATCTGTATGAAGAGGCAGAGAATCGTGAAACTTTTATGGTATAAAAGAATGGAAGTTTCCCAACTACCCATCAATGGATTAGAGAAAAAGATTCTAAGAACTAATACACACAAAATGCAATTATTCAGCATCTTACTGGGATGCTTGGCATTGACTAGCATTGCTTCTGCTACTTATTCTCCACAAGCATGTCACCCTACAGGCTCAATGAGCAGTGGTCTTAAAGTTAATTTTTATCCATACACCCTTCTGGATAAGAAAACCATGGCAAGCGTAGAATATGTTTCTACCGGTTACACCAAGAATGCTATTCTTAAAACCATCGATCGTGTCTCAAACATCAATTTCAATTGGCAATGGCCCTACTGGCCTTGGGACAAAGGTGTACACTATGGCTACATCTACAATTATTACACCACTGCTTCTAACTTTACCACTGAACTTACCGGTTACTACTACGCTCAAAAGACTGGTACCCATACATTCTTCTTGGCTGATATCGATGATTCCGCAGCTTTCTTTATCGGTAACGGTGTTGCCTTCAATTGTTGTGAGGATCAACCAGCTTCAAACCCTTCCCAATACACCTTCTTTGTATCAGAGGGTGTTGGAAGTACAAGGGGTACTGCTTACTTACAAGCTGGTAACTACTACCCTATTAGAGTTGTATACTCTCAAGCCGTTGCTCAAGCTGCCTTGAACTTCCAAGTCACTGATCCTTGGTTATGGACACAAGCGGTTCACATCAACACATATGTTTTTGCAACCAAGTTCACGTGTCCAAAGCCAGTTACTGTCACTTCTGCTTGGACAGGAAAGGTTACATCTACTACCACCATTGCTAACGGACCAACCACTACCGTTGAAGTATTCACCCCTACTGTACCACCTGTGACTGTCACTAGTGCTTGGACTGGTAAGTCTACTACCACCAAGACTATTACCAATGGTGTAACTACCACTGTGCAAGTTTTGACTCCAACTATCCCACCAGTGACTGTCACTAGCGCTTGGACTGGTAGTTTTGCTACCACTAAAACAATCACTAACGGTGCCACTACAACTGTTCAAGTTTTAACGCCAACTCCATCTTCGATTGCTCCAAGTGGTTGGACTGGTACTAACACTGTTACTACTACTTTTGTCAGTGGTGGCTCTAGTTATGTCCAAGTTTTAACGCCAACTCCATCTTCGATTGCTCCAAGTGGTTGGACTGGTACTAACACTGTTACTACTACTTTTGTCAGTGGTGGCTCTAGTTATGTCCAAGTTTTAACGCCAACTCCATCTTCGATTGCCCCAAGTGGTTGGACTGGTACCGCCACTGTCACTACTACTTTTGTCAGTGGTGGCTCTAGTTATGTCCAAGTTTTAACGCCAACTCCATCTTCGATTGCCCCAAGTGGTTGGACTGGTACCGCCACTGTCACTACCACATTTGTTAGTAATGGTTCTACTTACGTTCAAGTTTTGACACCTTCTGCAGTAACCTCTGCTACTACTGAAGTCACCTCTGCTACTACTGAAGTCACCTCTGCTACTACTGAGGTCACTTCTGATACTACTAAATTCTCTACTGCTACTGATGTCACCTCTTCCACTACTGAAGTCACTTCTGCCACCACAGTCACTTCTAGTAGCTCTATCACTAGTTCCAAGTCCAGCTCAACTGCAGTTGTCACTTCTAGTGTTTCCTCGATAGCCACCTCGTCAGCACCAAAACCATCCATTAATCCTACAGTACCAGCATTCTGTGCCCCACAAGGTGAAGCTACCCCAGGTCTTAAAGCTTCCATCTCTGTATATCCTTACGGGGATTTTAATATCAATTCCAACATTGACTTTATGATTTCTGGTTACAAGAAGTATTACAGTTTTGCTTCTGTTACTGGTGTTACAAACCTCACCTTAGACTTGACACAAAAGCCTCATCTTAGTTTCATCAACAATGTTTGGGGAATGTCCACTAATCAAAACTTTGTTGCTGCACTGCAAGGTTATTTCCTTGCATCTGAAACTGCTCAATTCACCTTCCTGATTTCTGTAGATGATGCTGCCATAGTTCAAATCGGTGATGGAATTGCCTTCCCATGTTGTCAAATTACTGAAGGTGGTTCTTCTTCTGCTCAATTGTTTGCTCGTCTGAACCCAACAACCAACGAACTTGGAAATGCTACCGCCACTGTTTCTCTTCAAAAGGGTTACTACTATCCATTCAAAGTTGTTTACAGTAATCTGATTTCTAATATGAAATTCTTTATTTCAGCAAGTACTCCAAACACTCCAAAGGTTGATATTGATAGTGCACTTTTTACCTTCCCTGACTCCAGTTCTACTTGTTCGGCTCAGGTCAAAGCTCGTCGTGGAGAAGATACTTTCACCAACTCCACTTACACTCCTCCATCTATTGCTGAACCAAGCGTTTCCGCTGGTGGTAGCGGCAAATTAATGACATCTATTCCAGCTTTGTTGGCCACTTTGTTGGCTTACTTGGTTTTGTAAATTGTCTCATGATACCTCAAAATACCAACGTACATCCATCATTATACCAATAGGCATGAATATGACACCATATTCCCTTACATATTTCAGAGAATAATATATTTTAGAAACTATAAACAATTGTAGAATATGAAAAGTAGTTGAGAAAGGGTTGTATTATTGTAATATTATGAACTCCAATATGGAGACCACTTTATATACTTACTAATAAGAACCTCGGATGATTTAGTGAAGATGGGTGCAAAAAAAAAGAAAACAAACTAAGAAGTGAAACATATTCCCATATCCGGATTTAAAATGAATAGAATACATGTTAATTTCTTACCCCATCCGCACCCCCGCCACATTTCTGGTTTAGTCTCCACGATATTGGTAATACTAACAAAATACTTTGCATTGTAAACGTAAATTTGCTTTGTTCATAGTCTCTTTCACCAGGGTCGTGCACAGTCCAAAGCCCATACAAGAACAAAAGCTCAATGAAGGAGTTGTATTCTCTGTCTTACCTTTTCCAAGATTTTTCTACACAACTTTTTTTGAAAAGAAAAGGAAAAAGTAAATCCAAATCAAAGTCTTACAATTAATCCTCGTATATCCTAAACCAAAGCCTTTAAATATATATATATTTGTGGGTGACATGAACACGTCACGTGCACATAAACAGGATACATATATTACATAAGCCAGAGATAACTCTTGAAAAAATGCATATACTCAGGGTAACTCTACTTTGTTAATTTACATGGCAGTAAGATATCCGGCTCGGTTGGCTTACTGGAAGTCAAATTAGAACTTTACATTGATTCAGAAAATTCGTTATCTATTGCCGAGGCAAAAAAAAAAAAGAGACCTACTTTATTAGTTCTACAATTTCCCTGCATACACCCCACAGAGGCTTATCCCCATACAAGAAAAGTCTCACAAAGAGAACCAGAACAGAAGGAGACTCCTTTTTAATTTGTAAACTACAGTTGGGGAATCGACTATGGGTAGTTGTGTTTCAGTTCCCAAGGAGGACCTGTCAAATGTGACCAAAGCCTCGAGTTCTGGGAGATACACAAAGACCAATCAAAAGTTAGGATCTAGCCAGCCATTGAGAGAATCCCCAAATGTAGGTAGTAATAGCGTTAGTGGTGGTGGGAAGAGATTGGGTGCTTCAACCGAGACTGATGGTTCAATTTCTGCTCGTGAGGCTGTAGCTAGAGCAGCGGAAGAACGGTATTCTAAACATCAAGCAAATTTACAACTGAGTCTGCAAAAATTAAAAACCATGGCAGGGAAGAGTCGTGAAGAGAAGGGATTGTAAAGTGGGATTGAGTGCTACTATTTCACTCTAATTTACATAAGCCTATACCAACTAATATTTCAATTCTCCCACTCCCTCTTTAAATTACAAATAGATGTAATACAACCTGCATGATAGAAGTCAAAAAAAAGTACCCCAAGACCTCATAACTCTACTTATCAATCTGTCAAATTCTTACTTTCCATCATTCTAGACTAAATTAATTTTTAATTTTGTAAAAGAAAAAGACAACCTACAAAAATTGAATTGATTCGCCTTTACGATATATACCTTGAATAATGAATAGATGATATTAATCAATCCCTTGTATGGAATAAAAAACTAGAAATCAAAATATATTAAGATTAACACATGTAACAGTCACGTGACTGTCTCCTTAATCAATTTATATATTACCAGTTAACGACATTTTATACAATGGGAGAAATTTACATTAAGAATTTTCATTGTTATTGATGTTTCAATTTGGTATCTGATTAAACGGTATTGAATTTTCCTTTCTGATAGGAAGAGGGAAAAAAAAAAAACAAAACCAGGGAGGACATATGTCGTCATCTTGATTGAATATGATTCCTATTATCCATTCTTCCTATTTGGTCACCCCCATATTAAAGAAATCAGTCCACTATGCAGCACCTCTTCCAATTTAACCTTTAGATATGTCGTAATCATGTAACTACATCTATGTCATATATATTATTTCCTTTAATCCAGTTTGAAGATGAAGGGGGTGTAGGTGAAGGAATGATCTCCAAATTCAATTTCCACTTGACAACATCTAATCATCTGTTCAAGCCCGCTTCACAACTGCACAGATATTCAATTCATCATTTATTATTACAATCAATGTATTGGATCCAAAATTTATCTTTGCATATTTAGCTCCTCCTAAAATAGAGTTTGTGGTTGCATCAATAATCTTCCCCGATATCTCCGCAACATGAAGAGCGTAATCCAAGGGAATTTGTTCCATTGTGATTTTTGTGGCACCTACAAGTCTATGATCCTTATCACACACAATTAGGGAATCAAATGCCGATTCGGTGTGGTACAACGCCAATGCGTCACGCACAACTTGCACTGTAGATTCCGGGAGACCTGGGGCATTTGGGGACATTTCGGTCAGATGTTGGTGAAGATCGGGGAAGGTTGTAGAGGAATAGTCTTGTCAACAGTTCCACAATCTATAGACTCTATTTCCTTTTTTATTTTTTTTTGGTTTTGCGAATTTGATTCAAATTAAATTTACCTGTGATTTTTTTTTTTTTTTTTTGTTAATGTCAAGGATTTGACCTTTTTTAGTAGTATGTGGTGCATTGTTGCACACTAAATTTCTGTACAATTTTCAATACCACTTGACAACCAAAAGGTACCCATGCTTTCGCTTAATGTTTACGAGTGCCCGTACAGTGGCATGGACATTAAAACTGTCTACTGTATAAAGTGACACATTTAACTAAATAACATCTTCTAATGGTTTTACTTATTCGTATGCTATAAACTACTTTCTTTAATCTATACTCTATTATCATTACAAAAGCTTCTTTTATGAGTCTCGGCCACACCCGAAACGCATACAATGGAACAATTCGTCCAAATTCCCGGTCTACTACAATGCATTCAGCCTTACAACAATGTAACACTCGTAGGTCATGTCTCCCAATCCAATCTCTCAAGTGTAATTAATACCCCTATTGCATTCTTCTCTGCATACATACCCACCTTATCAAATCTACCCCAATTGTAAAAAGGCTAATATTTAGCTTATACGTAAATTACACTTCAGTGAAAAAGTGGGGGAAACCAATACCCAATTCTTGGTTTTACTTTATTCATACCCCCCCCCCGACCCGGAAAATCGGATACTCAGACTGATTCGTCATTACTATCACATACAATTTTATTTCCGAAAAAAAAATCAGTCACCTTGTAATGGTCATGCCTTTGTTGCAATCAAAAGGGTCCCCCCTTCTAATCTTGCCACCCCCAATTTTTTTTTTTGCTTTAATTAATTATTTTCCGCCAAGTTGACACCCCAACACCCGGATGTATTCGGGACTGTCATTTTTCAACGGGTCCCTTGCTACATAACTAATAAACGTTTACAAACTAAATATAACGCTGTAGATTTTAAATTTATAAAACAAGGAAAAACATTTATTTTACTTTATCTTTTAATTTCAATAGTGACAATTAAATAAGTTGTGGATACTCTTAACATATTGTCCGATTTCTAAACACTACCCAGAATACAAATAGCACCCCCGATTAGGGAAACGCGTTTAATTGAAGATAACAAACAACGCACACAACGTTTTCTACTCAGAGTTAACAGAAGAATAAAACTCGAAATTTTTAGCGGTAACTTTACGTTTAAATTACCGCATCAGATACTTTGAAACAAGCTCTATTCATTGGACCCTTCCAAAAGAAAATAGAAGGCTTTCAAATTTATTTACTTAACGTTGTAAATTTACACATTTTGGTGTTGTTGCTTTCACTTTCCGAGTGACTGTGACTCAAACTAAAAAAAGAAAAAGAGCGCGCTTATCAATTCAGTGGAGAAATAAATATTTTGAGATAAGTAAATATTTATTTCAGAGATTGTCAAGAGAATTAAAAACAGTGAATACGGAGATTAATTTTAGAAACTCACCTTCTCCGAGCCCTTACTAGTAACGATGTCTGAAACAGTGCCAAAGAAGAGACTTCTCTCCACGTCGTCTCCAGAAGGATTACTGGTGGCTTCAAGGATCACGTCCACCAGAATTGCAAATTTACTTATACGTGAAGGACCACAACCTATACGTAGGATCACGTCACAATTGGCGGTTGAAGTTGTTGGGTTTGACTTGCTTTCACTCTCAAAGCAAAGAAGACTTATTATGGCCGCCATGGAACAAGTTGACCCGGAAAATAACGTTGTATTTGAAAAAATAGGTTGGGGTCAATGGGCGGTAAGAAGAGTTGATTCTGACTATATTTACACAGAGGGGAACTCTGAAGCGAAGTTTCTGCTTGATGAAGAAGCCAAGAAATTGAGTGTTCAAGAGTTACGGAATCAAACTGGAGTGAAATTGGGATGGACAAAGAAACAACCACAATCAGGCGTACTTTCATCGATGTCACCACCTAAACTCAAACACCCTGTGATCCCGGCAGATGCATCCAAGCTTCGTAGAGAATCTATTTCTGCCAACAAACATAATCTCCATAATATTAAGGTTCCCATGGAGACGTCGACCACCACTTCAAATGCTATTGAATCTGATTCCGAGGATGATTTTGCACTTTCAGATGAAATGGATGATGTTGATGATGAGGAAGACGACTCTGATGAAAGTGATGATGGAGCTGGGGACAGTGCACTTTTCAAGTTTGATGACGATTCATTACCCAACCAATCCATTGATAAGTTCAAAAGACAATTGAAGTCTCCACCACCGATCAAGTTTGCCAACAGAGTGCCACTTAAAGTGAGTCCACCACCGGGGACAGGACCAACCATTATGAATGGACAAAGACGTAGATCGTCGACATCAACCACCAATTCCGTTTCTAAATCGTACAGTTATAGTCAACGACATCAAATATTCAATCGTTCAAGACTCAATTCGTTAGAAAACCTTGATAATTATATTCTCTCTTCTGCCAAGGGGTCTGGAGCCTCTTTGGCATCACCTCCACCACCAGGAGTTACTTCGGCAGTTATTGCCGCAGCAGCTAATGGTCAACCAACAAACAACAACTATTCACAATCACAACAATACTCACCGGCTGGTCCGCATGGTAATTCGTTGTCTTCACTGCCATGGAACCCAGGATATTATATCCATAATTCGTCGGGGTCACCCGATAGTATTGCAGCCACTATGTCTGGAGGAAGAAGAAAATCATCATTTAATGAATCACATATTCGATCTACATTATCATCTTCATTACCGAAAGTTCAAGTGGAGATGAAAAATGGTACCTATGAAGATTCAACCCATTCACGATCCACGAATTCTGTGTATAAACACCTGCCACCAATGTCGAAGGTGCAATTGAAAGGAGAACAACCTCTTAGTGACACAGATGAAGAAGATTGGGCCACGATAGGGGCAGAACTGCTTCGTAGTGGGATAGCCAGACGAAACAGAGCCGCTGAAGAAGCTGAAGCCAATAATCGTAATAATAACAATAGCAGTAGTAATAATATTGAGGAGAGAAATGCAGCATATGCATTGGTTGATCTAATGTCGGTATGAAAGGACGAAACTACGCAAAGTATATAGTCAATGAATTAACAATAATGAACATGAATTATAAAAACAAGTACGAGAAAAGGAACATAAAGAAGAAAACTTATTTCTTAATTCTATATTTATTTATTAATTAATATATTTATTCAATAAGAGAGAGTGTGTGTAGTAGTAGATTGGCGAGATAATGAATGTGTGTGTTTTGGGGGGTATCAAGGTGCATATATTTACGACCAAAAAAGAGAATATTTGATATAGAAAAGAACAAAGAATATATTGTGGAGAGGGACTTTAAGTAGGAAGGGAATGTTAAGGGTTCATAGTTAGTTAGTGTTAGTAAAATAGGTAATAAGCAGAATATTGATAATATATACTGGAAATGAGAGATAGAGTCCACTTCAATATATTACCAAGTGGCAACCACTTTAACACATTTTTACAACCGACTTAAAACCGACTTACAACCTACAACATACAATACAACACAACACTTTACACCAAATTAGCGCAAATTTCCCCTTTACAACTTCATTTAATAGAACTTCCTTTTATAACACATTATAACCCTTTGCAACACATTATATATATTTTATCTTATTAGTATCCCTGTCTTTTATCAACCAGCCATTTTTTCCTGCATGTGCGCTTCCCATAATAATTCATTTTTGTGAACGCGTCTTTTCAATTTCGCTCTTTTAGGAAAAATTTAGAATCATCACCAAAATTGAAATCGCTATCTCCATTAGAAAGAACTGGCGTTTATTTTTATTAATTTTTTTTTTAGAAACAACCTTTTCTTCACAAACACACAATGGCCACCACTACTACGTCGGCTATTTTGCCAACCATCCAGATCGATGTGAACTACAGGGAGCTTCTGGAATCCATCAAGGACTTCATGCTTCATTTCAAAGGTTCTACTTCGACTGAAGATGATGCCATGACTGATGATGCCATTACTGGTCCAAAATACATGGATCTTTTACAAAAAATTGCCAACCGTGAGCTTTCCACGCTCTACGTTGATTTGGATGACTTGCAGGCCTACCAAGACTACCTGACTCTTTCCGTCAACAAGAACTTGGTACAAACTGTCATTAAGAATACTCATCGTTTCATTGAAGTTTTCAGTAATGTGGTGGATGATATCTTACCAGAACCAACCACTGATGTCAGTTATAAAGATGACGTCTTGGATGTGATCATTCATCAACGTAAATTGAGAAATGCAAGACTTCAACAAGATACAGCTGAAGAGTTCAATAGTTTAAGTCAAGGATTGAACACCCAACCTCCCGCGGGAGAGCAATCTGCTTCTACTGTCCCAGCCGATAATACATTCCCTTCAAAACTTACTAGAAGATATTGTCTTTACTTCAAGCCACTCTCACAAAAGAAACGTTCCCTTGCAGTACGTGAAATTAAAGGTGGATTGCTTGGTCTGTACATAACCGTCAAGGGGATTGTCACTCGTGTTAGTGACGTGAAACCTTCAGTCTTGGTCAATGCCTACACTTGTGACAAGTGTGGGTTTGAAATTTTCCAAGAAGTTACCTCGAAAACATTTTCTCCCTTAACTGAATGTACTTCTACTCAATGTCGTGCTGATAACACCAAGGGTCAATTATTCATGTCAACCAGAGCTTCCAAGTTTTCAAGTTTCCAAGAAGTTAAGATCCAAGAATTGGCCGATCAAGTCCCAGTGGGTCACATCCCCAGATCTCTCACAGTCCATGTCAATGGTGACTTGGTACGGTCGCTTAACCCTGGTGACGTGGCCGACATCTCGGGGATCTTTATGCCCAGTCCTTACACCGGATTCAAGGCCTTGAAAGCTGGTCTTCTCACGGAAACTTACTTGGAAGCACAATACGTGAACCAATTCAAAAAGCAATATGAATCTCTTGAAATCACGGATGAAATTCGTAACAAAATTGAAGATTTAAATGCTCAAGGTAACATTTATAATAAACTTTCGCGTTCCATTGCTCCAGAAATTTATGGACATTTGGATATTAAGAAGATTTTACTTCTTCTTCTTTGTGGAGGTGTTTCTAAAGAAATTGGTGATGGTCTTAAGATTAGAGGGGATATCAATGTATGTCTTATGGGTGACCCCGGTGTGGCTAAATCACAACTTTTAAAGGCGATTGGGAAAATTGCTCCACGTTCGGTATACACCACCGGTAGAGGTTCTTCTGGGGTTGGGTTAACTGCAGCGGTCATGAGAGACCCAGTGACCGATGAAATGGTCTTGGAAGGAGGTGCCTTAGTTTTGGCTGATAACGGTATTTGTTGTATTGATGAATTCGATAAGATGGATGAATCTGATCGTACTGCTATCCATGAAGTCATGGAACAACAAACCATTTCCATATCCAAGGCTGGTATCACCACCACTTTAAATGCTAGAACATCGATTCTTGCCGCTGCTAACCCTCTTTATGGACGTTATAACACCAAGCTTTCTCCTCATGAAAACATTAATCTTCCAGCTGCTCTTTTCTCGAGATTTGATATCATGTATCTTATTTTGGATCAACCATCTAGAGAACTTGATGAAAAATTGGCTCATCACGTTGCCTACGTCCATATGCACAACAAACAACCAGAAATGGACTTTGAACCATTGGAATCTTCCACCATTAGACAATACATCTCGATTGCTAGAACTTATAGACCAACAGTTCCCAAGGAAGTTGGTGATTATGTCGTACAATCCTACATTGGTATGAGAAAGGAATCTCATCGTAATGAAGGTTCTGTCAAGAAATTCAGTCATATCACCCCAAGAACTTTACTTGGTATATTGAGAATGTCTCAAGCTCTTGCCAGAATAAGGTTCGATAACATTGTTACCGTGGAAGATGTTGATGAAGCTTTAAGATTAATCAAGGTATCTAAATCTTCCTTACATGCCAACGACGACGTTATTCGTGAAGATGAAACCCCAATTTCCAAGATTTATCAAATCATCAAGAATTACGCTACTATTGACGGTAGATTGGTCAGAAGTGTACCATTAGCAGATTTAAGACAACGGATAATTGCCAAGGGTTACACCATTGAACATTTCGAAGAATGTATCAATGAATACCAATACTTGTCTGTTTGGCAAAGAATTGATAATGGTGAATCCTTGATGTTTATTAATGGTGATGATGAGGATATGGATATGGAATATTGATGTATTATATAATGTAAAATAAAAGTAATTTAAGAAAAGCAGATTGTAGAGGGACAAGGGCCCCACGGCTAGTGACCAACGGAGTTCCAGCAGAGCGACTTGCACACCATGTAGGGTAGTACTACTTACTTCCCCGCGGGGCTACGAGACTCTCCGCTGGGCCCCTACTCGGGGAGAGCCACTGCGTGGTGCCTGGCTCCTCTACGAGGAGAGTAACTTTTGCAGCCAAATTCCTCGTTAGAGGCACAGGAGCCTCCACGGCTAGTGGCCCACGGAGTGCCAGCGGAGCGACTCGCAAACCCCATAGGGTGGGTAACTCACAACCCCTTGGGACTGTAAGACGCTCCGCTAGGCCCCTACTTGGAGAAAGCCACTGCTTGGTGACTAGCTACTCTATGAGAAGACTGTGCGCACAGAAATAAAAAAAAAATTCAAAAAATAATGACTCCTAGGCGGTTCGAACGCCTGCATCTTTACGATAGTAGAACTTGAGTCTACCGCCTTAACCACTCGGCCAAAGAGCCATTTTATATCAATTTAAAACACGTGGTCTTTTAGGAGAAAGTGTCCAAAATCCGGATTTTTTTTTTTTTCGTTTTTAGACGATAAGTAAGAAAATTCTTATCCATTGAGATATTGATTTCTCTTGAAGATATTCACATGGTATGTCGATCCTTCTCGACCTTCTCAATACCGATACGGAGGACTCACCGTGTCCACTTTTCATGGGAAACAGTGCCGAACTAGGATATATATGCGCTGGACTAAGATATGAGTGCCCCACTATACCACCACCAGCAAGTTTCCTGTTGAATGGACGAGGACCATTAGCCGCCAAGAACTTGGAAGGATTGTCGATGGAATATATCCTTGAGAGGACACCCACCAAGGAAAGCATGAAGATGAGACAAATGGTGCAGAATCGGGAATTCCCTCTTGAACTTCTTAGTGAATTCTATCTCCTGCGGTGGTACAGGCACTGCGCCAATCACTTGGAGTTTCTGATTCCTCTTTTAAAGCAGCCATTGACTACCCGGCAAATCTCAAAGAAAATGATGGACTTTCATATCATGTTGGATATGGGGGTTACCATAGATAATAAATGGATCGAGGAGATCGTCGCCAGAGAAGCAATGAATAAGGTATTGTTGCAACGTCGGGACCGAATCGTGAAGGCTGCCCTTCATTATAATGAGGCTGTCGACATATCTAGCACTTATTCGTTAGACTATTGGCGGGAAGGCTTAGAAGATGTGATCAATCATCATCTAAAGTTTCAAGAAAGGATCGCATGGGTCAATTTAGTGCCCAAACTTTTCATCAAGGCCACTGACAATGGTCGTTTACAGGTTGCCTTCCTCGTCCCTCCTAAGCTACTGGAAAAATATCCATACATAAGTTGGGTTGATCATATCAAGACGTTTTTCACCGATGATTATTTTAATTTTACTTATATTCCTCCAATAAAGGGAGAACCAATAGCAGTTAAATTTATTTACTTGGCTGAAAATGAAAAAATTTGGAAGAAACAACTTGAAAATCATTGGAAACGGAACAAACCAACAATTCTTAATTATAGTCAACCGAAATCTTTAATTGAGCTGAATTCAAAGGCAAAGAAGACTCTGGAACGTGTGATATATGCCATGGTTGCATTGTCTGGGACGGAAACTCCACGGAAAGTTATGACGAGTTCTAATTCAACATGCAATATTCTTTCTCAACTCAATTATTGCAGCTATTGTCGTACAACTTCACATTTAAGAAGGGATTGTGAAGACTCCCCATGTCCTAAATGTCCAGGAAATATTCGTCATCCTCCTTCTAGATGTCCACTAAACGCCACCAAATAGGGCCTTTTCAATTCTTTAACCACCAAAAACAATAATACTTCCTCGATAGAGGAACAAATGCCTCCACGGTTAGTGGCCCACGGAGCGGCTTGCACACCCCGTAGGGTCGCACTACTCACTTCCCTGCGGGGCTGTGAGACGCTCCGCTGGGGCCCCTGCTCGGGGAGAGCCACTGCGTGGTGCCTAGCTCCTCTGCGAGGAGTCCCCGTGGATCTGACTCATAACTTATATAGACAATATACAATGAAAAACTATTCATTATCTTCCTCGGTAGAGGAACAAGGGCCCCCACGGCCAGTGGCCCACGGAGTGCCAGCGGAGCGGCTTGCAGAACCCCTAGCATAACCCTCATCCATATTCACATCCCTGTGGGGCTACAAGACGGTGATAGCTTACATAGACAGTAGTTACAATGACCATTCTATTTATTTTATTTTTGCAGCAAATTAGTCAAATTAAGCTTAAAAAAAAAATATAAAATGTAAAATGTTTAAAGTCTAGCTTCTACTACTAAGTTATACTACTACTTGTATACCACTACTTGTATCTCACTTGTCCTGGTCATATTTTGGAGGTACTTCCTGTAAAAAACTCTTGACACATTCATACGAAAGCCTCACGATTGTTCAAATGGAAGCCCCCTGAAATGAGCCGCACGCCAATTGCATTCGACAGGAGGAGGGAGGCTTTTTTAATTCTATTCTTTTTTTTTATGTGTCATATCTCCACTTTTTCTTCTAGTTATTGAGCTGTATCATGAATATAAAGCTCGTTATCCTCTTCTGGATAACCACCGTGTGTGCGGTTAACCTTCCAGGAATTGCCTTCCAATCAGACCTCTCGCGTGGCCAGAATGTCCACTGTGGGAGTGTCAAACATGATGCTAACGGGAGGTACACCCCTCAAGTGAAAGCTACCCTCAAGAAAACCTCCGCGGAGAATGGGCAAGTACCAGTGTTTATCTTGCATTATGTCGACATTCTTAAATTGGACCGTTTACCCGCCGCATTCAGTTTTTACAATGACGGACTGGGATATGACGGGACGGTTGATTTCAAACAGAACAAGTTCAATGTCAAGGAGAAAAGTGGAGAAACGGTCAATTACCTCAATTCTGGATTTACCGAGGCTGGCCAAACTCTTTCATTGGACGTCAAAGAAACTGGGTACTACTGTGTATATGTGGCTCCACAAGCGGAAAACCTGGAATATAAAGTTGACGTGGAATTTGTTAGTTCCCATGGAACTGTTTCATTCCAGGGGGCAATCAAGCATTCTCAAGTAGGTACTTATCTCTTGATTGGAATCCCCTTGGCAATCTTTTTAGTTTATTACACGTCGTCTAGATTCAAGTCATCTTCTCTGGGACTGGTTTCTCTGGGGGTTTCCATGACCACAAAGGCCACCATCTATGGAGTGCTTGCTCCACTGTTGATGATTGCCTTGGTCCGATACCTCACTTTTTTCACAGTTTCCAAATCGTCATTCACCGGGAATTGGCATGAACAACTCTTTAAATGGCTTGAACAATGCTTTATCATCACCATGCACTACTTCACCTTATTGTTTGCCATGGGGTACACGGTCATATACTCGCGTGTCAACAATAGAAAGACCAGAGGATACTCAACCTCTTCCACATATTACCGTAAGATCCCTTCAAGACTCTGGAATAGAGCTCTCTTATTGTACGTGGCCAACATCGTGGTGTACTCGGCAATCACCTTGTTCAAGCTGGTGGAAAATATTATCATGGAAAGCATTTTCACGTTACATAATCAAACCCAAAGTGGATATGAGCTCGTAGATGCTCTTCGTACCGGTAAGAATTTCCTTACTTTTGTCAATGGATGTTTCCCATTACTTTGGTTTCTTCAAACTACATTTTCCTACTTTGCTACAAAGCGTACCATCAACAAGTTCCCCAAGTTTTCCACTCTGCCACTGCTGTCACTGGGTGCCACCAGTGGAATTTCTGGCTCGTTCAGATGGTCTAGTATTGTGATTCTTGTACTTCCGTTGATTTATGGTATTTTCTCCACTGCTGCGATGTTTGTTCAAGCTTACAAAATGAGTAAATTGGACGGGGCGAGCGCCCAACCACCTGCTTCAGAGGATGATTGGGTCAAATTTCAAGTTATGTCTATTGTACAATCAGAAAAGGTTTATTTTGATTCGACTCCACTACTTGTTTCGTCATGGATGACTGATTTGTACATATTGTTGACGGTTATTGGAATTTTCTTTATCTGGATGAGAAAGAACGTTGGTGTTGTTCAAGTAGAAGAAGAGGAGATTTTAATGGAAGATCAAGAATGATTACACGTTTATAGAATATATGAATTTGAGAGTCCAATCTTGAGCCGCCCACTAGGGAAGATAGTACCGCCCTACGGGGTCTGTAAGCGACACCACGCAGTGGCTCTCCCCGAGCAGGGACCTTACTGCCCCGCAGGGAAGTGAGTAGTGACCCTACGGGGTTTGCAAGCCGCTCCGCTGACACTCCGTGGGCCACTAGCCGTGGAGGCTCCTGTTCCTCTGGCGAGGAATAGTGAACCCCAGATCTCCTCGAAGAGGAGCTAGCTACCACGTAGTGGCTCTCCCCGAGCAGGGGCCAGCGGAGCGTCTCGCAACCCCGCAGGGAAGTGAGTAGTGGCTACCCTAAGGAGTCTGTAAGCCGCTCCGCGGGCACTTCGTGGACCACTGACCGTGGAGGCATTTGTTCCTCTAGCGAGGAAGTTTGTTTCATCTCTAAAGTGGTATCCCACATTCGAATAGATACTCATTAGATTCTCCACCCACCATTGATATGGGCTTAGCTGTCCTCCAATTATTAGCTCTTCTCTAAGTTTTTATGTTACTCATTCTCCATTGTAATTCCCAAAATGGAAGATTTCTGAATCTGGGGAACGCCTTATCAACGCCGCAGTAATCAACTCTTCCTCATTGCCAGGCCCAATATAGGAATACATGTAAACAAAATGGGAAATCTGATACAAACAGGGGTACCGCCGAGACTTATTCAACACCCTTGATACTGCTCTCATACCTGTAGCAAAACATATATAAAGCAGTCCATGGAACTAAATCAGAACCGATTTTTTTTTTGTTTCTCATCAACAAACAAATTCAAACAATGGCCGCTCAAAAGATTACTACCACTTCCACTTCTGCTACTTCTGCTACTGCTGCAAAGAAGCAAACACAAGACAAGGACAACTGGCGTTTCCCACGTGGCGCATACCGTTCAGGTGGATGTGTCATTGCTTAGATCGTTTCTAACAAGACCTTAGCTTGAACCTAACCAACTTAGGATTATAGCACCCAATATTCACATTGGAAGAGATCATATCTTTATATATCTATAATAAATGTTTTCTATTCTTAAGTCAATACGTAGATGGTAGCCCCTAACATATAGATATGGCTGCAAATAAAGTCCACCAACCTTCATTGCCAGTACAATCAGCCGCCATCTTTATGCATCTAAAGCATAATTAGCCGCACCTTTATGGTGACATGCATGTACAAGGAAATCTCCAACTTCCTCGTCAGAGGAACAGGAGCCTCCACGGCTAGTGGCCCACGGAGTGCCAGCGGAGCGGCTTGCAAACCCCATAGGGTCGCGAACCCCGTAGGGTCGCACTACTCACTTCCGTGCGGGCCTGCGAGACGCTCCGCTGGCCCCTACTCGGGGAGAGCCACTGCGTGGTGCCTAGCTCCTCTTCGAGGAGGGCTAGTGACCCACTAACCACCCCGTCGGGCTGGTAGAACTGACCTCTACTCAAGAGACCCACTGCATGTTCGCCAATGTTTTTCTGTGTTGCTTCTGCTGGTGCTGCAAAATAAGGAGAATCGTAAAAATTTATTTTATTTTTAGATGCATTTCCCAATTCGGATCTCGTGGGCTACACACATACAAATACAACAATGGGGTATCACTTGGCATTTAAATCTTGTAGAGTACCACACTTACAATATACATTCTTGAATCCTTCATATACATTCTTTGGTTCACCTTCCCTCTTTATGTACTCGCTTATTTTTATGTCAAAGCTGCTTGTCATTACCCGATTTGAAAATACCTCCGGTACACCACGTGACCACCAAAGGGAGATTTACTCCTCCTTTTTTACAAAGGAGAAATGTTAAGATAAAGCGTCCCACACGGCCCAATTTTCTTTTAATAAACCCTCAATTTCCTTCATCTATTGATTGTATTTTATATATACTTATTCCATTATGAAATACTTGTCATTAAATGGAGTAATTAGTATCTTCCCTTTGATAGCTTCTGTGTGGGCCCAATCGCCCATTACCACTAACAAACAGCTTTCAGCTACAAATTATGTCACTTGTGGCGGAATTAAATACGAGGACAATTCGTGGTACAACCCAATGGTCCGAGCCACTTTGAAAGCTATCGAGACCCAATCTGAAGAAGAACGGGACGAAGAAGACTCTGCTGAACTCCCCTTGTTCATTTTCCATTACACTGACATCCTCAAATTGGATGGTTTGCCATCAATAGAAGAACTCACAGACCCAACCCAACCTTTGGATGGAGTTGTTGATTACGAGAACCTCAAATTTAATGTGGAAGTCAATCCAGAGTTCAAGGATGATGACACAATTCGTTTCCTCAATACCGGGTTCACCACCGTTGGGGATGTTGTGGAGTTTAACGTTACTCAATCAGGGATCTATTGTATGTACGTTGCACCCCATGGTAATGTTGAAGAGTTGCACGTTGACGTTCAATTCCAAAGTTCCTATGGTTACATCCCTTATGCCCTGTACATCAAACATGTTCAATCCAAGTACTATGTCATTCTTGGCTCCATAATCATTGCTTATTTGCTCAATTATATCATCAAATTCAAAGTTGGGTCCGATTTTAAGGATTTAAACTCGGTTTCTATCATCACCAAAGTGGTTATCTTTTATATTCTTGCCCCACTGGTGCTTATTTCCTTGGCTAGATATGTCTTGTACTTTGTGTTTCTGCTGTTCCCCACAGTAAGTTTAGTATATGATGATGTTTTCAATTGGCTCACCGCATGCTTTGCCATTGTTTGTCGTTGGTTTACCTTGTTGTTTTCTATGGGGTATGGGGTCATTTACTACCGTAGCAGTTATCTTGGCCCCGCTGACAGCTCTTACAAAGAACTTCCAACTAACCTTTGGTCTAGAGCATACATCCTTCTTCTTGCAGATTTGACTTCAACAACCATCTTTGCCCTCACGAATCTGCTTATAAACAGCAGCTACGATGGTGACCTTTTGTTTGGCTCCCTTAACACCATTTTCAGTGTGATCACCAGCTTGTTTCTGCTTGTTTGGCTCATCCATTCAATCATTAGTTATCGTGCCACCAAGACTCTTATTGAGAAATTCCCACCTTTCAGTCTGGTGGAATCAAACTCTGAACTTCTTAAATCTTTTAGACGCTCCATCCTCATTATTTTCGTCCTTCCAGCGGTCTTTGGAGTAATTTTAGGAGTCATTTTAGGGGTCAAATCTGCCGCACAAATGTCTCCTCCAGAAGATTTACCCTTGGACAGTTTCCATCAAGAAATCGCCTCGTTAAAGATCTTTGAATCGATGTATTTCAGCGCTGGCCAATTAACCATTGCCGCTTGGATTGGTGATATTTTCGTCTTGTCCACAGTTGGTGCTCTTTTCTTTATCTGGATCAAGAATAACTATGGGGTTTGTAGAGGTAAAGAAGCCGATGACTTCATCATTGACGATGAATAATTTTTAATTTACATATCTAAAATTGAATAGCAACTTCCCACGTACCCTGTAGCCGCCACTACCCTACGTTCCGGGCTATGCAATGCTCTGCTGGGCCCCTACTTGGGGGGAGCCACTTCTTGGTGCCTTACTCGTAAGAGGAACAGAAGCCTCCACGGCTAGTGGCCCACGGAGTGCCAGAGGAGCGGCTTACTGACCCCGTAGGGTAGCCACTACTCCCTCCCCTGCGGGGCTGTACGACGCTCCACTGGCCCCTACTCGGGGAGAGCTACTGCGTGGTGCCTAGCTCCTCTACGAGGAGTTCTACGACCTGTCAACTTTCCTCGCCAGAGGAACAGGAGCCTCCACGGCTAGTGGCCCACGGAGTGCCAGCGGAGCGGCTTGCATACCCCGTAGACTATTTACTTCCCTGCGGGGCTTTCTGTGGGGCTGTACGACGCTCCACTGGGTCCCTGGTCTCTACGAAGCTGTACTTGTTTATTCAATTTTGTTCTTTATTATCTATACATTAAGCTTCACATAATTCCTTGAGGAAATCCCCAGCAACCCCCTTTTCTTCAGCTCTCATCAAGCTTTCACCAATCAAAAAGCCATCGACATTGTCTTCGTACTTGTACTTCTTGACGTCTTCAACAGAGGTGATCCCAGAAAGCGCCAAAACCATGACATCGCCCTTTCTGGCACTGCCCTTGGCCTGGGCCACCAAGGAGCTGGTGGTGTTCAAATCAACGTCAAAAGTGGTCAAGTTACGGTTGTTGACTCCAATGACAAGTGGCTCGTTGGTGGATCCTTCAAACGTCAATTTGAGGGCGACTTCGAGTTCCTCGCTATTGTTGACTTCAACCAAGGGGACCATCCCCAAGGACAAGGAGTATTCGTAGAGTTCTTGCAAGAGGGAGGCATCTTGTAACATCTTGACAATCAAGAGAAGAGAGTCAGCACCAGCAAGACGAGACTCAAGAATTTGATACTTGTTGAAAATGAACTCCTTACGTAAAACGGCTGGTCTGACGTAGTCTGGGAAAAGTTTAGTCACGGTGGCCTCATCAATCACCTTACGGATGAGGGACAAGTCGTCAAGAGACCCTTTGAACCAGGTAGGTTCAGTCAACACGGAAATGGCAGAACATCCATTCATGGCGTAGACAAGTGCCTGTTGACCCGGATGGGCATCCACATTGATGTCACCTTTGGAAGGAGATGCTCTTTTGAATTCCGAGAGGATCACCGTCTTTGGGTTAGAATGGAGACGTTCGTAGAAGTTGATTGGTGGAGGAGTGATGTTAAGGGAGAGGGTAGATTCTAATGAGGAGAAAGATTTCCCTGGGAGTTGTGAGATTTGTTTGTAATCGGCGATTCTTTGATGGTAGATTTTGGTAAGAATATTAGAGGAGCCACTGGAGGCAGAGCCGACAGTGGTTCCGGAGGAAGAAGCAGCAGTAGTAGCAGCAGCAGCAGCAACAGCACTAACGCCAGCACATTCGGCACTGGCTTCTTTGTTTTCTTCCCAAGTTCCTCCTTCAATATCCATCAAATTATCAATCATCAACTGTCCAGATTCGGTCAAAATGGACTCAGGGTGAAATTGAACCCCCTCGATTGTATAAACCTTGTGTCGTACCCCCATGATAATCTCTGGCAGAGTTTCAGTCCGGGCGGTAACCTCTAAGCAATCAGGCAATGTCTTTTGGGTTCCGGCCAACGAATGGTACCTGGTGACGGCCACAGACTGCGGCACGTTGGCAAACATCCCCTTGCCATCATGCTTGATGGTGGTGGTCTTCCCATGGACGATTTCTCCGGCGTAATCAACGACCCCACCAAAGACGTCAAAGATCACCTGCTGGCCCATACAAACCCCCAAAATGGGTAACTTTCCTTGGAAATACTCCACGATGGCGCGCGAGACCCCCAGGTCGGTGGTTGGGTGTCCTGGCCCTGGACTGATGAAAATAATGTCGGGTTTGATCTCGTTGACGATGGTGTCGATGTCGATCTTGTCGTTACGGAAGACGCTCACCTTGCCGCACTTGGGCGACTGGCAGAGGAACTGGTACAAGTTCCAGGTGAACGAGTCGTAGTTGTCGATCATCAACACATGTTTCCCGGCGGGCTTGGCGGTGGTGGAGGGCATTTTGTGGAAACACTAGTTGGGTCTTGAAGGTTTGGTTCCAGGCCAGGCGATTTTTGATTTTTTTTTTGTGGGCCGCCAGTGCGTGAGAAATTTCCTGAGTCAGAGCCCTGAGGGCCGCCGTTATTTTCCGTATGCAGGGGATCTACTCTATGACCCATACCTACATGGCCAGGCCAACGAGGTTGGAGGGTTGGGACCACCACCCTACGGGGTTAGTGAGCCGCTCCGCTGGCACTCCGTGGGCCACTAGCCGTGGGGGCCTGGCTCCTCTAACGAGGAGAGGAGGTGGAGGGTGTGGTGTGGGAGGTGTTTGTGTAGATCTTTTGTGCTTTAAGCAGCAGCAGGAGGGGGGGGGGGGGGTCAGGTCGGTTGTGGTAGGAGACAAGATGGAGGCTGTAGAATTGTATAGGCATTACTGTAGGAATCTCCTCGTAGAGGAGCTAGGCCCCCACGGCTAGTGGCCCACGGAGTGCCAGCGGAGCGTCTCGCAGCCCCCCCGCGGGGAAAGGTGAGTACCTACTACCCTACGGGGTATGCTAGCCGCTCCGCTGGCCCCTGGGAGAGCCACTGCGTGGTGCCTAGCTCCTCTCCGAGGAGATCTGAGGTTCTCTATTCCTCGTTAGAGGAACAAGGGCCTCCACGGCTAGTGGCCCACGGAGTGCCAGCGGAGCGGCTCACATACCCCATAGGGTGACACCAACCCTCTCTTCTCCCCCCTCCCCAGGTCTTGGCTTCCAGACCTTCAGGACTTCGTACGAGGACAACGTAGACGGTCAGGTATCTCTCTACAAACACTCTAAATTCGAATGGTTCTATTTTCTTTTTCATATATACGTTCTAAACTGATGAGTTGACCTACTCAACGGACTTTACTGGATGTCTTCTTCTAACTCTTGTCAGAATGGGGTCATCTTCTTTCAACATGGACTCATCAAGTTCAATGCCATCGACCTCCTTGCGCAAATGGTGGATCTCTACCCCTTGTAGAAGGACAGAACTAACGATTTCCAAGAGAAGCATAAAGAGAGACGAGAGAATGGCAAGACAATAGTTGGAAATACTGACACCAATGTCCAACCAAGAACCTTCAGTTCTCACCAAGAAGAAGAAATTAAGGGAAAGAATGTCACTGGTCAGGATGATCAAGGTCAGAATGGTAAACTTCTTGATATCAAGCTGGTAGTTCATGATTCCAAGACATGTCAGAAGAAGAACATACGGAATGATGAGCTTGAGCATGAGAAGAGCACCCATGGCAAATGGATCGAAAATGGGCACAAGACGATACACCGAGTCGAGGGAGAAGGAGGAGATCGAGGAAACGTTCCCGGTACCGAAAAAGGCAAATTGTAAGAAGAAGAAACCAATGATGGTGATTCTAATTACTTGAAGCCAATATCCACGTGGAGGGTGTTGATGTAAGATTTTGGAGGCTGGGAATTTCAATTTTTGTTCAATGGCAAGCCATTGAAGAAGAACAAGAGAATAACCAACATAGAACAAGAGTTCGAAAGAAATGGTTAAAATGACAAAGGTGGGGACAAATGTCAAATAAATGATCAAAATACGAAGCTTGTAATCTTTTGAAGGGTCCAAAGTGTGACACATTGGGAGAACCACGAGTGACACCACAAACACAGTCCAACCAAGGATTTGGGAATGTAAGGGTAACCCTGTTCTAGCTTGAAGGGAAATCACCGAGACGTTGGTGGCATAGGTCATAATAAGAATAGAACCTATTTGAGCAAACAAAATGGTGAAATGGGTCTTGGTGGTGATTTTTTTATCCAAGGCATAGATGCCCCAGGCTCCAACTATAGTTGCTAGTACGGCCCCAGCATTGATTTGGATCAAATCTTCAACTTTCACTGGGTCCAAGTTGGTGAATATACACATACTGCAACAACTGACGAACCATGATAATTTCTGGATTGTGGTGATGACTCCTTCAGTATCATTAACAATGGCTGGATACAACCCAATGAGAACAAAGATGACAGAGAACATGAATCGTTCAAAGAATCCATAAACGATCCCTTCGTACATGGACACAAAACTGACAAGGACAAAGAGTCTGGTTGGGTTACTGATACCATAAAAGAAGTCCAGTAACCCAGTGGTGAGGATGGTTCGGTCCTTGATGATGTTGTACCAGAAAAAGAGCGGGAAGGCCGCGTACATGTAGTAATTGAATGGGGAGTTCTGGTAATGGAGAATGTATGTGATGATGGCTGAAAGGGTAATGAATGTGGAAGAAAGGAGGGAAAATGGAGAGAGTGGAGAAAGCTGGGAGTTAGAGCTCTTCTCCTTCTCCTCCTCAGACGAGGAGGTGAGAAAGATCTTTACAAAAATTGTAAAAGAATAAACAATCCAACCAAAGAATCCCAAGGTAACAATCGAACGAAGAAGCAACCAATTGTAAGTTTGGAGGTAATTCAACCCATCAAGGGCAGTCTTCATGAGTTCTTCCAGAAGTTCTACCGCAAGGTAGTACGTTGGACCATCTTCAAAAGTGGCCGAGGAGAGTAATTCTTCGATTTCTTGTTGATATTGTTCAACTGGTTTTTCAGCAAATGGATTATAAGGCTTGAAATTGAATTGATGGTTGAATACTTCAGCTTCCTTCACACGATATTGTTCTACAATACCCATAGCATTGGAATAAAGAGCCCTGGCCTTGGCTAAAGGTTCTGCGTCAAGATACGCCAAGGGGAGTTCTCCAACGGAATTTGCAGGATAATTAGCACCAATCAAGTATGCCATGAGTGGAGCAATATCTGCCTGTTTGACATCATTACGGACCAAATGATCAAACCCCCAAGTATCGAAATAAGTCAGTTCATAACCACAATTTTCTGTACTTTGTAAAGAGAGTTGTAAGGCTGGATCCACTGAATCCTTGATCTTTTTCGGCTTATTGATCCCTGCACCCCAGGCAATGAGAGGAGTTCTTGTATTGTCTGGATGTCCATCTCCATGGGATCCAAAGTCACTCATCCCATGGTCAGCGGTAAACACAAATGCCGAGTCTTCATCACCAAAGAATTCATGGATTTGAGGGATAAGCTTTTCCAACTCACGATCAATGTACTTGATGTTATCGTAATATTCGGCCAGGTACGGTCTGTAGGCATGACCAGCGGTGTCTGGACCAAGTAAGTGTAAGAAAAACACATTCCCTTGTTGACGAAGTTCAGCCAGAAGGGTCTCATTGGTGGTCAGATTCTCCATCAATGCATTGAAATGATTGAACACAAATGAGTCCAATTCAATCGATGATTGAGTAAAGTCTTCAAACTCATGGCCGTACATACAGGCGTCTATACGTCCAGGGACAACGTTGTCTCCATAGGCAAACATGGGCAAGATATCTGGCAGACCAAAGGAATACGTGTGGGTTGATTGGTTGAAGAAGGAGTCAAAATCGACGGGGTTTTCCTTCCAGCCTTTAGTCACGGCAGACACGTCTTCATAGAACCCGGCAATCATGGCTACATGTCCTGGACGTGATTCAGTGGGCATCCGAGTGTTGGAGATCCCCCAGGTGGCTTCGGTTTCAACAAGAGAGCGCAAGTATGGCGCCAAGTACTCGGCCCGGCCCAGCGTCGGGTGGACCAACTCCTGGAACGTCTTGTCGGCTCTGAGCCCGTCTCCAACGATTAAAAAGAGTCTTTTGGCCGGCGGAGTGTCGGTGGCCTGGTGGTTTTGCATCCCATGGACCAATGGCAGCACAAAGTAAATGTCAAAGATCGACCAGAGATAGAAGCAATGGAAGGCAACCCCGACCACAAGCAAGAGTTGACGGTTTGTGAGCGTGAGCTTGAACATGGCTGGTGGGTGGACAAGCGTGTAGGAAGGTAAGACTGTGGTGGAGGGGGGGGGTCCTTGTCAGTGCTCGTCTTCTGTACCTTGATGGTCCACAAAAGAACGCGCACGCAACGTGTCGCGGCGTGGAGTAGCTAAAAAGAACAAGGCAAAAAAAAAACAACAAAATGGGAGGTGTGCAGGTAAGCGCTAGTGGTTATTGACGACGGCGGTTGGAGGGTGAGTAATGGGTTGGAGGTAGGAGGGAGAAGGGAGAAGGGAGGTAGGTAGGTCACACCGGGAAGTGCCCTACGGGGTTGGTGAGCCGCTCCGCTGGCACTCCGTGGGCCACTAGCCGTGGGGGCTTCTGTTCCTCTAACGAGGAATTTGGCTGCAAAAGTCTCCTCGGAGAGGAGCAAGGCACCACGCAGTGGCTCTCCCCGAGTAGGGGCCAGCGGAGCGTCTCGCAGCCCCGCAGGGAAGCGAGTAGTGCCACCCTACGGGGTTATTGAGCCGCTCCGCTGGCACTCCGTGGGCCACTAGCCGTGGGGGCCTTGTTCCTCTAGCGAGGAATGAAGCACTCGGATTCCGTGTAGATGAGTGGTGAGTCCATCCAGTGACCCTTCCCCATACTGGATGTACTTAGAGAGTTCATACCCAGGAGGATATCCACGCCCAGACAGAATTCCTGTAGGTATCATGGAGGGGATAAGATAAAGACGTCCGAAGCGGGAAGTCAGTCAAGTATACCGGCTGAAAGGAGGGCCATAGTACTGCTAACTTCACTCAACAACAACTTGTAAACCGTACCTTACCGACGATCTCCATCTCGTAGAAGCAGCCAACCCAAAAGTGATTCTCTACTCACCATTGATGGAGTAGGCTCCTCCAAATCTGTAGACCCATAGCCATAATGACCAGTAGAGATGACCATTCATCATAACTAGAACCCCCCGAGAACGAGACCCGTAAACCTAATCCCACCACAATTCACCCAGAGTCTACAAGGGACTACCTCCTACAAAAAATGTTACATGGGGCATTAATAATTATTCCATTATATAATAAATACAATTAAGACAGACCAGCTAATCAACGACTGAATAGCGAGGTGGAGGTCCATTCTATAAACACGCCGTTCTAGGCACCATACCACCATCTCAGCGGGACTGCAAGACGTTCCGCTAACCTCTGCTCGGGGAGAGCCACCGCGTGGTGCCTTGCTCCTCTCCGAGGAGAGTAACTTTTGCAGCCAAATTCCTCGCTAGAGGAACAGAAGCCTCCACGGCTAGTGGCTCACGGAGTGCCAGCGGAGCGGCTCACTAACCCCGTAGGGCGGCACTACTCACTTCCCTGCGGGGATGTTCAACGCTCCGCTGGCCCCTACTCGTCGTGAGTGAGGCCAAGTTCTTGGAATCTATTTTGGGTGCTCACTAGGGGAAAAACAATCGTTGGAACTCCGTAACAACCTCTCGATGCTTGTGTGCCTCGCTGGCGTACTGTTCGGCCACAAGAAAGTCTTGCTCGAGACATTGTCTGTAAACGTTGAAACTTTGCTTGTTGGCATAGATCCGGGCCTGATGTTCCTCGTCCCGTTCCCTCCGTTGCTGTTGATATTGGAAGATCTTTTGCAGGTACGAGTGGAACTCCCGGTCGTATTTCTTCATCTGTGCAACCAGAAGCATATGTGGTTGTAAGGGGTCGATCCGTGGCGCCACCGGCACCGTGTACCAGCGGATTTCAGGGTACGCGCCAAGGTCCAGAAGACTAAGTGTCGAAGTTGAATGGCCACGCTTGGGGGAAGCGTTGACCGGTCTATACAAGGTCTCAGGTTGCACGTTCGAATCGGTGAACTCGTGTTGACGTTGTCTCTTGGAGGAAAACATCGGGTTCGATCTTCTCTGACGTTTCCCAGGAGTCGTCGCGGTCGTCGTGAAGTTAGATCCGTCCTGATCTACGTGTGGGAGGTCGTTGTAGAGATCCAGTATATTAGACTGGAGATTGAAGTCTCGCGCCGTCTCCTTCTCTAGTGTGGCCTCAAGATCATCAAGATCAAGGGGGTTGACCTTGCTCTTCTTGTTGGGGAACTCATTCAAGGTGTTTCTGATATTGCTGAGTGGTGCAGTGCCAGGCTTGGGGAAAGTGGTGGCGGGGTCCCGTCGTGGAGTGGAACGTTGTGGAGAGGTGCCACGCAGTGGAGAGGTTCCACCACGCTGTGGAGATGTACCACGCCTTGGAGACATAGTCGTACCCCTTCTGGAGTACGAGGGTTGCAGACGTTGTCTCGTGGAGAAGGTATCCCTTGTCACGCCATTAGCAGCCTCCCATAACGTCTGTGAAAAGGATAACGGGTCATGACCGCCTTGATCAGCATGGAAAGTGACGCCGATGTTCTGGAGAAAGTCAGAAATCCCACCACTCCCACCACCACCACGTCCCGCATGGGCCGACTTCTCCCTCGACGACCCTGTCTCGGCCTTGACGTTCTGCAGAGCGTATCTTCCGTCACCCAGCGGCGTACGGGTAGGTGTCGGAGATTCTACATCTACATCTACGGGCGCTGTCTGGGTGCCATATTGCCGTGGCTCTTCCTCCTCTTCCTCCTCTAGAGAGTCCTCCTCCTCCTGCAGCTCATTGGCAGAAGCAAACTCGTCCTCATCATCCGATAGTACAATGGGGTCACTCGAATTGGTCCCCTTTTGTGTGTCCGGCAGTCTCCTGTTGGTGGGTCCACCCTGCCATGCTTGGCGATATGCCTCGCGTTTGCGTTCCTGATACGCCGCCCGTTCGGCCTCTCGTTCGTGCTGTTCTTCTCGTTTCTGCCGTATGTACTCCTCACGAGCCAATCGATCATGCAACTCCCTTCTTTCCCGAGCTTGTTGGTCTCTACGGATCTTCTCGGCCTGTTCTTTCCTCTCTCTTTCCTGTTGTTCCCGTCGTATTTTCTCCGCCTGTTCACGTCTTTCCCGGTCATACGCCCCACCAGTCCGGTCCCCTCCACCAGTCCCAAACCTCCTATACATCTCATAAAATGAGCTCGTGAACCCTTCATATACATTGGGTCGATGTGTTTGTGAGTGTGAGTGCGAGTGCGACTGACCTTGCGATTGCGACTGGGAGTAAGCAGCAGCACCAGCAGCACCACCACCACCATAGCCCCATGAGCCAGCACCGGCCCCGGCACTCGCTCCCGCACCTCGTCCAGTGGCAGGTCTCCCGGCTCTGCCTACACCCGTGCCATTTTCACGGTCATACCTTGCTCTCTTCTGACTATCGGTCAAGGTCTCATACGCCTCCTTGATTTGTATAAACAAAGCGTGATGTGCCGGATCCTTTGATTTATCCGGATGATATTTGATGGCAAGTTTCTTGTACGCCCGCTTGATCTCGTCGTCCGTGGCGGACACCGTGACGCCAAGGACTTTGTAATGGTCCATTTCTTCGATGTCTGTCTCTGGGATCCCCTGACTATTGCTATAGGAAATGTCTCTTGTTTGTCTGTCTCTCCTGTTTGTTTGTGCCTATTTGGACAAAAATTGCCCATGCGGCGCATTGATGAGCGCGCTATGTGCAGACGGGTGCAAAAAGTAGCCCACAACGGTGAACCAGTCCGGTAGGGTAAGAAAGTGGCAGAGGATGTCAAGGGCAGGGGGGTTATTCTACTAGGGTCTGGATTCATCCAGAAGTCTAAAAAGCAAAGGAAGGAGGGGAGTGGAGGCATAACTCCGGAGAGCAATCCACCAGCTGCCTTCCCAGCGGAGCGTCTCAGAGCCCCGCAGGGAAGGGAGTAGTTCCAGACCCTACGGGGTATGCAAGCCGCTCCGCTGGCACTCCGTGGGCCACTAGCCGTGGGGGCTCCTGTTCCTCTGGCGAGGAAGGTTGCTAGGTAGTAGATCTCCTGTAGATGAGTCAGGCACCACCTCTCCCCGAGGAGGGGCCTGCGGAGCGTCTCGTAGACCAAATTGGCCAGCTCAAGCACTGGCACTGGGTGGGTCAACAACGATGAAGATATCGTGGGGATACACGGGTACCACTGAACCGGTCTCCCCGAACAGATTGACACGGTAGAAAGTCTCAGAGAGCCACGGGGTGGGTATGTGAGGTAACCCACCCTACGGGGTTTACAAGCCGCTCCGCTGGCACTCCGTGGGCCACTAGCCGCGGAGGCATTCTTCCTCTGACGAGGGATTTACAGCAGATATCTCCTCGCAGAGGAGCCAGGCTCCACGCAGTGGCCCTCCCCGGGCAGGGGCCAGCGGAGCGTCTCGCATACCCCGTAGGGCTGTAACCCTCTCCTCTGGCACTTCCTGGGGCAGCTTACAAGAGCTTTCACAAGAGATTACGTTATCATACTATTACTTATTATTACTCTATTTACTCTACCGTCAAGTTATTCTCTTCCACAGCCCTTCCCAAAATCTGCTGTGCATATTCAGGGATCCCTACAGTCTTCACATCGGCTTCCAATTCCTTCAACTCCCCCGCAGAAGTCCCACCGTATGCCACCGGTAATTGTACACCAAGCCAATCGATCAAATCGCCACCATTCATCACTTGGAATTTCTTCGCAGTGTCTGCACTAACAACCCCCAACGCCTTGACCGCGGCAAACATCCAACTCATCAAAATCGGCACATTGATGAAGAACTTCACCGAGAGAAGCTCCGGGTAATGGTCCCCGAACAACGAGATGATCTGCTTGGTCGCAACCTTCATCCCGGGGTCCATCCGGAACATGGAAACGTTGTTGTAGTCATGAACTTGCGCGGCTCGATTGTTTTCTTCCTCAGTGAATTTTAAAAACAGGAGACTTCTCTCCATAAGACCAATTCTCCAACGAAGGAATGGACTACCAGTGTCCTCACCTTCATCATCACCGTATTGTTCAAATATCTTCTTGGGGGACTTTATGTTGCCATACAAGTTCCACGTCACCACCGAGAGTCCCAGCTGGTCACGTTTAAAGTTGGTGATAACCCCCAACAGGTCCAATTCCAGTCCAAACTTCTCAACGTACGCGGCACTCAACGGATTGAATTTGTTTCTCCAATTCAACGTGGCCACAATCCGGTCAGCCGCGGTGTCAACCACATATTCACTGGCAACCAAGAACTTGTACAAGATTTCGTCTCTAACGTCAACATCTACGTATTCCTTGTCGTCGGAGTTAATTCTATATCCGAAGATCTCGTCGTACTGCGGGTCGTCAAGCGTCAACAAAAGCTCGGGCACACGGCTAATGAGCTCATCGAGTTTCTTCTGGTTATCCTCGGAGACGGTTACAGAGGTCACAGGCATCGTCAAAGTTGGGTTATAGGAAGAGTTCAGGAGATCCCTGGACCTCATTCTCAAATTTCATATACCGCGAAAGTGAAAGCCGTGCTCGGAGATAATTTGCTCACTTGTTTGATCACCCCATGCAGACGGACCAGGGGGGAGGCAGGTGAGTGACATACTGCCCGCAGGGAAGTGAGTAGTGCTACCCTACGGGGTATGTAAGCCGCTCTGCTGGCACTCCGTGGGCCACTAGCCGTGGAGGCCCTTGTTCCTCTAACGAGGAATAGACAACCTCAGATCTCCTCGAAGAGGAGCAAGGCACCACGCAGTGGCTCTCCCCGAGCAGGGGCCAGCGGAGCGTCGTACAGCCACGCAGGGAAGTGATTAGTGCAAACCGCTCCATTGGCACTCCGTGGGCCACTGGCCGTGGGGGAGCCCCACAGAGATCACAGTAAACGACCCTCTTAGACCTTAGATTACTTCGTATTCCTCTATATTTCTTCTATATTAATCTTACCCTATCTACATTCTCTGACTCTCTCTCTAATTTCCTCCCCCTGGAACAATCTTGAACGAAAGAATGTCGTTCTTCCCGCGATCGACAGTATCTTCTTCACCGACTCTGGACCCGCCCACGCCTTCAATGGCGGCAATCGTCACATCCCCCATGATCTTACGTGCCACCGAGAGCACCGGGGTGCCTCTCTTCACCAACACACAGTCTCTGAACACTTGGTTTCCGGATCCACCCGTGAAGTTGTTCACGTTACGTACCGGGTACACAGGGACAAGCTCCAACGTGTCTGCAGCAGCCTGCAAGAGCTGAACAACTCCAGTCAGACCAAATCTGTACAAGACCAAGTCTCTAATGTTTTCAATTCTACGACGTAACTTCTCGTCTAAGGGCTTCAAGCCGTATTTGGCAATCTCTTCAGGAGTCAAATCGTCAGTAGTATCAACAAATTCCGTCCCTGCATCGTATTTGATGTAGTTTTGCAGGGCCAATTTCCTTAAAAACACCTCGGTGATCAGCGACGTGAGCACACACTTCAGCTCTGGATGTTGTAAAATGATCTTGGAAACATTCTTATCAGAATCTGGATGATCCATCTTGTTTAATGAAAGAACAGTGGGGAACTTCACCAGCATGAAGGCACGCACAACTCTTTCAATGGTGGCAGTGTCCCATTCTTGAAGTGGCCCCACGTCTGGCACCTTGTCGAGGGCCAACCCAATGAGATGCTTGGTGGCGGAATACCCACCCAATTGTTGTCTCAAGGTTTCCAAGTTGGTGCTTTTGGTGGCAGTGTGTCTACGAACGACAGACCCCCATCTTTCCATCAAGTTCCCCAAAATCCATTGGAAGAGTTCATCTTGAAGCCACTCAATATCGGCCAAGGGATCATACCCTCTAGTGGCCTTACCCTCGGCGTTGGTGGTCCCACTGGCATCGACAATATGGATCAAACAGTCAGCTTCGGTCAAGTCTCCCAAGAATTTGTTCCCCAACCCACGGCCCAAATGAGCATTGGGGACCAATCCAGCAACGTCCAACAACATGATGGGCACCCCACGTTTCCCGTCTCTACAGTAGCCGTAGTTTGGCTTACACAAGTCCTGTTTGCCGAACCTGGCACAAGCACAATCCACCTCCAAATACCCTGTGGCCTTGTTTGGATCGATTGTTGTGAACGGGAATGCACCCACCTTGGCGTTTGCATCGGTGAGCGAGTTCAAGGTGGTGGACTTCCCGGACGAAGGTTTCCCCACGAGCGCAATAACAGTTTCCTTACCCATATCTTTTTCTGGTTAGAAGTAGATACGATGAGCTCACAGCGTTAATGCCAACCTTTAGATGAAAAAGGTCGCAGAGACAGAAAAAAAAAAAAAGAATTTTAGAGCAGGCCACTAAAAAAAAAGCGTGAGGTGATTGAGCAGGTCGTAGCATCCTCTCACGGGGAAGTGAGTAGGGGGAGGGGTTACCCTACGGGGTTGGTGAGACACTCCGTTGGCACTCCGAGGGCCACTGGACGTGAAGGCATTGTTCCCCTGACGAGGGAGTGTCGTAGAAAGAGTGTGTCTCCTCGTAGAGGACCTAGGCACCACGCAGCTCTCCCCGAGCAGGGCCCCAGCGGAGCGTCCTACGGTCCCGCAGGGAAGTGAGTAGCTACCCTACGGGGTTTAAGAGCCGCTCCGCTGGCACTCCGTGGGCCACTAGCCGTGGGGGCTCCTGTTCCTCTGACGAGGAATAAAAATCTGGATATGGTTAAGAGTAAGTGCCAAAGAAATGTAAACACACTCACCATTCGGTATTGTATGTCCGGTCTACTGGGCTTGGCTGGACAATAGTCACTGGGCCCTAGTACTCCTCCAAGGTGGTACAAGTATCTTATATCCCTGTAGATATCCTCTGGGAGGAGTCCGTAAACTCCTTAGTGGCCAACTCGAGATGGGACACCGACAAGTATCTTAAACATTGTTCTATAGCATATGGCCTAAAAAATGTTTGGACCACGAGAACCCATCCTGTATACCCGTACACGAGTCTGGTGGACTCTTGGATGGCAAGATCTCCTCGTAGAGGAGTTACGATTTACGCAGTGGCTCTCCCCGAGCAAGGGCCTAGAGGAGCGTCGTGCTGTCCTACAGGGTAGTGAGGTAGCCCACCCTACGGGGTTTACAAGCCGCTCCGCTGGCACTCCGTGGGCCACTAGCCGTGGAGGCGTTCTTCCTCTTCCGAGGAGTTTTACTGCAAGAAATCTCCTCGTAGAGGAGCCAGGCTCCACGCAGCGGCTCTCCCCGAGTAGTGGCCCCGTGGAGCATTATACACTCCCGCAGGGAATTGGGCTACAACACTACAAGGTTGTAAAGCCGTGGTGGTAAAATTGTCTCTTTTGCAGCCATAGTGTTGCCAAAAACTTTTTTTTGTTTCAGATTTTTTTTTTTTCTCTTTCTTTTTCTTTTTATTTTTTTGGGGGGAGTAGAAGGCCAATTGTTTTGCAACCTAGACCCAGTGTAGCACTTTCTTCCTTCAATCGAGGTGCCTTTACCCCACCTCTCGTTTATTAGTGTAGGAAGTCGTACCACATTGCCAAGTCTCTTGGACCGCTGGTGTGCAGGATTTGCAACTATGGGGGACTGCATTCAGGACAGCCTGTTCATATAAATAAGAGTTTGTAATACAATCTGTACAAAAAAGGGTATTGAAGTTGTGGGTACTCTGAGTCTATCAGGTTTTATCTGAAGGGCTTCTTTCCATCAGCTCCCCCCCCACTAACTTTATTTATTTCAACTGCGCCACTTAACTTCTCTCTACCACTCTCAATCTCCAGTTTTTTTTTTTTTAGTAGTGCGCGCGCATTTGCACGGGGTTGGTTGTAAAATCACCACAAAAAAATCTTAGCCTTGTTTCAAAACAATTACCACGTATCAGATACCAAACACCAATCTAGTTACTACTTACACCAAATCAACAATGGCATTCACAGTACAATCGGTGTTGTCCAACGTGTTCGGAGGTCTTTCCAGTGATTTCAAGAAGAAAAACTTTTCCCTTTACGGTCAATGGATTGGTATAGTAAGTATTTTCCTTTGTTTAGCTCTTGGAGTTGCTAATCTTTTCCATGTATCCGTGGTGATTGTATTTAGTATCATTTGTATTGTTCAAGCGCTTGTAGTGACATTTGTTGAAATTCCATTCTTATTGAGAATTTGCCCCTTAACGGAACAATTCACCAATTTTATCCGCAATTTCGATGAAAATTGGCCAAGATGTGGATTTTATTTGTTGATGGGAGTTATTCAATGGCTTTCATTGACTGTTCAAGTGACTAGTTTGATTGCTGTTGCTGTTTTATTTACGTTGGCAAGTTCATGTTATGCCTTGGCTGCCATTAAAAAGCAAGATTATTTGAAGAGTTCCATTCAAGTGACTGGACCAAGTGATTCATTGGAGGGACAAATTGGTGAACATGTTGTAAGAAATGTATTATAAGGAAGAAAAAATATGAAGATAGTAAATAAAGAAATAAATGAATAGTATGAAAGATGAGGAGGAGATGTATGAGAAATTGTAGAGAGAGAGAGAGAGAGAGAGAGAGAGAGAGAGAGAGAGAGAGAGAGAGAGTTAAATAGATAAGGAATAATGAAGGGGGAAGAGGGTGAATCAATAAATGGAAATGGATGAAGACTTTGAGAGGGAAGTAGACTTTGAAGAGATGTTAAGAAGAAAGACTGGAAAGAATAAGGTAGAAAGTAGTAGACAGTAGTAAATAGCGGAGTCACGTGGTTCTCGGCACGTGCTTTCTTTTAAGAGAGATTAACTGGGAAGGTAGGAGAAATACCTTACAGGGGTTACCTTGAAGACTTAATACGATCCACTGGGTTGTTTTCCTACCTGAGAAGAGCCATTAAGTTATGCTAGAGGACTTCTTTTCACCCTCTACAAACACACATAGAATTCCTCGTTAGAGGAAGAAGGCCTCCACGGCTAGTGGCCCACGGAGTGCCAGCGGAGCGGCTTGAAAACCCCGTAGGGTGGTCTACCCTCACTACCCTGTGAGACAGTAAGACGCTCCGCTAGGCCCCTACTCGGGGAGAGCCACTGCGTGGTGCCTAGCTCCTCTTCGAGGAGTCTGTAATGGAAGCAGAGAGTCTTACAAACTCCGTAAGATGTCTAGTCGTCTACTGTCTACAAGTTTTTGACTCTCGCATACAATTTACTTCCTGTCTTTCCGTTATTTTTTTGGTCTTGTGGCTGCAAAACGGGAGGTGGGGCGTTGCCCCCACGCGCATTCTTCCTCATTTTCCTGCTCGTGGGGTGGGGGCGACCAGCCGGGCTATTTATTTCATTTTTTTATTTTTGTGTAATTACCTGTTTTGTGTAACATGAAAATTATATGAGAAGGAAAGATTTCTAAAAAACAGAAAGGCGGTGGAAAGGACAAAGTTTAAAGGGAAAGTCATTCTATAGTTGGGGATAAGATAGGAATTAGGAAAAGATGTCGACATTAGGCTTTGTAGAGGATAATACCCCCGCGCCAGATATCCCGTTGAAACCAACAACCCACCAGAAACTTCAAGTGAAGAGCAGCTCAAATGGTGCAGGAGGAGATGATGATAAGACTGAGAAGAGCGGAAATAACGGAAATAAGAGCACCAAGGAAGGTACCATCAATTCATTTGATGGACATTCAGGTGTAGTATCTCTTTCATATGATCAAGTCAATGATAATGCCGATGAATTGGTAGAACTTCGTGGGGAAGGACGATACTTTGGAGTGACGGACATTGGGAATGCCATCAATTCTCAACAATCCTTGGGACCCTTGTGTGCCAATTGTCACAAGAGAGGCCATATAAGAGCCAAATGTAAGACTGTAGTATGCCACAAGTGTGGGATGGTTGGGGATCATTACGAGACCCAATGTCCTACCACCATGATTTGTCTGAAGTGTGGACAAAAGGGCCACATCGCGCTGAATTGTACCAATAAGCAGAAAAAGAAAGAATATTGTAGAGCATGTGATACGTTTAGTCATAGTGATGACAAATGTCCAAGCATATGGCGGTCTTATTTGACCCTTCCTCAGAAGAAAAAGGAAGATGGACAAGATAAGGACCAAGATGAAGACGAGGATGTCTTGGAGACTGTGTTGCCCGTGGTATATTGTTATAATTGTGGTGATGACATGCATTATGGAGATGAATGTCCTCAAACCAGATCTTCTAGAGTGCCGAATCAAAGTGGGAGTGCCTTCAGTGGGTCTAACTTGCCAAGACATCTTAGAGAGATCTATTTTGAACGGTTAAAGAGTAATAGAAATTCATATAATTCGTATGGATCGTATGGTTCTGGGAACTACTCAGGAGGTTATTCTGGTGGGTATTCGTCTGGTGGCTCGGGGGGCTCTACTGGCTCTCGTGGCGGATATTCGGGTGGATACCTGAACATTGGGAACCATTTCATTGGCTCTATTCCTGCCAAACCAAGCACTCATACAAGATTTGGAGCCAGTTCCAGAGACTTCGATAGAGGTTCCAATAATAATAATAACAACAACAATAATAATAATAGAAACAAGGCCAATTCCTCAAAGAAGAGACCAACAGGACCTAGAGAGTCCGGTTCTGGAAGACCCTCTGGTCCTAGAGAAGGTAATGGAAGACCAACAGGCCCTAGAGCTTCTGCCCCCAAACTGTCCGGTCCCAAGCCGTCAAGATCTGGTGTTCTCCCCAAGAACAACAACAACAGTAATAACAACAAGAAGAGAAATGCTGCTAAGAATGGTTTGGTGGTGCATTCTCCTTACAATTCTCCCTACAATTCCGGTGGGAAGAACAATGGAGGCAAAAACACCCAAGCCCCAACTAGACTGGGCATTCTTTCCGCCCGTAAGAACGGGAACAACAACAACGGCAAACGGGGTGGTCTGGGGCCAAATTACTAGAGCTGCGTCCGGTGTACTGTTCCAATAGAGATACCCTACGGGGTATGCAAGCCGCTCCGATGGCACTCCGTGGGCCACTAGCCGTGGGGGCTCCTGTTCCTCTAGCGAGGAAGGTGACCAGGTAGGAGATCTCCTCGCTAGAGGAGCTAGGCACCACGCAGTGGCTCTCCCCGAGCAGGGGCCCAGCGGAGCGTCGTACAGCCCGCAGGGGAGGGCGTAGTGCTATCCTTCGGGGTATGCAACCCTCTCTGCTAGCGCTCTATGGGCCACTAGCCGTGGAGGCTTCTGTTCCTCTGACGAGGAAAGCCAGTGAAGGGAAATCATGGTTGATAATTAGAATTATAGAGTATCAAAATGGATAGAGTGAGAAGAGATTAGAGTGGAGATCTTGGAGTTGAAGATCGAAGATGTAGAGGTGGAGGCGAGTAGTAGAGGTGTTGTTGGGTTCGGTTTGGTTGCTCTAGGGTGGACTATCTTCCGCTGACGAGTAAATCAACATAAGTATACCAAAAGAGACTCAGGATGAGGTGTACTCCGCACAGTGGCTATCCCCGAGTAGGGGTCCAGTGGAGTTTCGTACAGCCCCGCCCCGCATGGGAGGGAGTAGTGCAACCCTAGGGGTCGGCAAGCCGCTATAACCAGTACTCGTCAGACAGTGGCCTTATTCTTACTTTGTGCAGCCAAATTTTACAGGAGTAATTGCGTTGACAGGACTCTCTATCACAGGTGTTTGCAGCCATTATTACTATCAAGGGTAACTCCTAGTGTTACTACCAACCAGACAAAATGGCTGGAAGAGGACTCGGCTTTTGATAGAGATAGTTTTTCTTACTGAGAGATAATACTTGCAGACTTCTTTGTATCTGAGCCTGTGAGTGCCAATTTGAAGCATACTCATACCAACAATGAAACTCTTGACCCGTAGCTTCAGGGTGTGAAAATTTGATTGTGGTCCAGATATCACAAATCAGACTACCAATACATTGGAGGAATCTTCTGGATGTACCTTCGATGTAGCCCCACACGGTAACAATAACCGCTTGGGGGTAGGAGCACGCAATAGTCCAAGTAAATCCAGACATTTATGTGTATTAATTGTAATCAATAACTAGATGTGTTTAACAAAAAAGTATACAAACTTTGTGAACTGTAAAGTGTCACAGACATAAATTTTAGAGCAGATAAATTTTGCAGCCACAAATGGAAATGTCAAAAATAGAAAATGATACAAAATAGACAACGGCATTCAAACAGTGTACACCCACTGCATATTCCAAACAAGCACACACACTCCTCGCTAGAGTGTGGTGCCTAGTTCCTCCTCGAGGAGTCTTAAACAAATGCATTCAAATAAGTTACCATTATAGATATTCCCATTATCAAAATGGCTAGAAGGAAAAGAGCCAAACCAGCCGTAAAAATACAAGCTGCTAAGGGAGGGCAACCCATAGAATGTGCCTTGGAGCAGAAACCAAGGAGCCACGTCACGAAAATAGTATACGATAAAACGATGGAACCACCTTCGTATTGCCAACTTCTTCCGTTGTGACACATGTACAATTCTTCTCTAGACAGAGCATTTTTCGAACACTTCAGGCTTCTTATCACCGCCACGCACGTAAAAGCAAGCACGACAACCTGTTCAGCCAAGCATAAAGCGTGGAACACCATGCAGCAATACAGTACCTGGCTGATCATATCCTTCAATTGTTCTGGTGTGGGTTCTTCATACTCACTTAACAGGCGTTCAAAGATTTCCTTAAAACTTTCCAGTTTAGGTGCTTCACTATCTTTTTCCTTCGTCATACTAGGAACCAGCTCATTAACTTCGTTGTTGTATGGGGAGAAAAGCACTTATGTGCTTGTATTTATAGTGAGAACCACATCATAAAAGAGATGGTGGCATAGGGGTGCTAAACTTTCCCCATAGAATTGAGGGCCATGCCATAGTGCAGTTACTCTGCAGGGGGTAAGCGCAGTGGCTTTCCCTGAGAAGGGGTCAGCGAAACGACTCACAGCCCAGCAGGGAAAGGAGTAGTGCCATCCCCTACGGGGTTAGTGAGTCGCTCCGCTGGCAACCGTGCGCCACTGGCCATGGAGGCTTTACTCTTCTGACAAGGAATAGGCAGTGGCTCTCCCCAGGCAGGAAGCAAGCGGAGAGTCTTGCAAGTCCCGCAGGAAAGAGTACTAATGGGGCTAGCGAGCCGCTTTAATGGCACTCAGTGGGCCACTAATTTCGCTAGCGAGGAATTTTAGCTGCAAGAAGCTCCTCGTGGAGGAGCCAGGCGCCACGTAGTAGCCCTCCTGGGCCCGAGTCCTACAGCCCTCGCATGATTGTACCACCTTCGGGTATGGATGGTAGCCCACATTGTTACGCTAAAGTTTCCACATTAAGAGATGGTTGAGTTTTTCTCTGATTGCTATATTATCCGTGCTATGCATCCGCCTACCTTCCATTGCGTAAATGGTTAGCTCTCAACTCCTCTGTGAGATGAAAAGCTCATCCTACATTTTCCAGGGTGTACATTGTGACAGCTCTCCAGAAGACTCTACACTTTCAACTTCCATAGAATAGATTTCTCCATAGGCTCTCCTAAACTAAACCATCAGTTTAGAAATAACAAGAAATGTAGAACTTCTTAGTCTCTTGCATATCTTCTAAACATGCTCTCTATGGCCCAGTGGGCTTGTTATACCTCCCATGGCCAGTGGCCCACGGAGTGCCATTGGAGCGGCGCATAACCCCGTGAACTACTCCCTTCCCTGCGGGGCTTTGAGAAGCTCCGCTGGCCCCTACTCGGGGAGAGCCACTGCGTGGGGCCTAGCTTCTCTAACGAGGAGATCACCTACCTGGTAACCTTCCTCGCTAGAGGAACATGAGCCCCCACGGCTAGTGGCCCATGGAGTGCCAGCGGAGCGCCTCACTAACCCCGTAGGGTGATGGGTACTTCCTATCCCACCCCCTCCATTGCTGCAAAAACTCTCAACTGTGTACTCCGGGGATTTCCCCACCTCTATCTCCTTCATGGGCATGGCTGCAACTGTCAGGGATAGCTCTCTGCTTTACGTCACGTGCCGCAGTCTTGGGGATGTCACACCCAAGAGAGTTGAGCAACTTTCCAGACTCGCCTACACTCTGAAGAACGTGGGGAATGTGATTACAAATTACGTGCAGCATAGGCCCACATACAGGGCGTATCTACAAGTAGTTATACAAAACTCTTTCGCCCCTTTCAACCGACCTCTCTCAAATTCCTCGTCAGAGGAACAAAGCCCCCACGGTCAGTGGCCCACGGAGTGCCACCAGAGCGGCTCACGAACCCCGTAGGGCCCGGGCCGGGAACTACTTCCTCCCCTGCGGGACTTACTCCACGCTCCGCTGGGCTCCTATTCGAGAAAAGTCACTACATGGTGCCTAGACTCCTCTACGAGTATCATCACACAGTCTTCCTCATCGTCTTGGCATGGTCTTGGAATAGCTCGTGGTGCGCCTTGCGTTGCACGGAGGTGATTGTTGGTGGTGTTGCATGGTGCTGTGGCGCACGGCTCGTAGTCGGGCGGGGGTCTGTGTGCAGTCGTTGACAGGGCGTGTCTGCACAGAAAAATCTCGTGGAATTCTTATCTGTTCGATCTATTCCCACACTTCCTCTCATATCTTCTACTACTACTTTTGTTGTTCAGTACATCCATCACCGCGTGCTTAGAGTGTGTGACATTGGTGCCATGTCCTTTTTAAATGTGATGGAGTTCCGTTACCCGGCCACAAAGTCGCCCGAGTCCACGCAAAGACGGCAATGTGTGACCGACGAATATGCGTTGCTTACCACCATCGTGATGGCCCTAGTGATTTTTATTGGTGTCCCCATGTGGCGTGCCGCCAGCCAGTGTATGGCGTTCAAGGTTCACATGGACAAACTTGGGGTTGTTGAACCGGGCAAACACCCCCGTAGTAAGCACCACCGTGGGTCTGGCCGCCACTGTAAATGATCCCGCGGATATATCCCCCAACTCGGAACGCGATCCGACTCAATTGTCCGAATCGGCAACAACTTCAAATTCGCACTCACACCAAATTTTGCAACCATCACATTCTCATACTCATATACATACCATGGACCATTCAGAACCAGTGATGAACCCCGCTCATGACCATCACGACCACCACCTGCCCTCCAAACCCCTTCTGATCCTTTCCTGGACTTTCTACCACTCAACAACCCTCCTTCATATCCTTCTTTGGATCATCATCTTACTCCCATTGCTGTTCACTCAAACAAACAATGACTTGATTTATTTGGCGAAAAGATTGGGTAAAATCCCCACCGTTTGTCTCCCCTTCACCTTATTCCTCTCCTTAAGACCTAGTCCTCTCCCCAAGGTACTTTACTTGTCCCTTTTACCCATTCATAAATGGCTTTCTAGAGTCGTTATTGTCCAGTCGGTCGCGCACGTGACCCTCTATTTGGGATACTTCCAATATAAAAATACCTGGTCTAAGATGTGGAAATTAGAGAATTTATACGGTTGGGTGGCATTATTAGGGTTTCTCATTATTATCATCACCTCCTTACTGCCTTTAAGGAAAAGATACTATCAGATTTTCTTTATAAACCATTATATTTGGACATGGTTGATTGTCATTTCTCTTCAATTCCATGCAAGACCTGTCAGTGTTACTCCATATACCTTGTCCTGCTTGTTGGTTCTTTCCGGACAAATTATCTATAGAGTATACCTTACTAGAGTGACCACCTATACTACTGATGTCCAAGTGATTGACATTCTGCCCAATTTGGCCCTTGTGGAATTCCCACTGGAAGTCATTGCTCAAAGGGCTACCAGTCCTGGTGCTCATATAAGATTAGCCAAATATTCACTGTCATTCATTGCCCGTACATACCATCAATTGGTCCCCAACTACCATCCATACACCTTGGTGAGTCTCCCACTGGATCGATACCAGAAATTGATTGTACGTAAGGGAAAATTTGCCTTGGAAAATGATCGTAAATATCTTATTTGTGGATCTTATGATCCACATCTAGCCTTCATTTCAAATCTGAATGCTAATACTCAATTCTCCATTTCCAAGCTCAAAATCGATATCAAGAGACTTTTGGTGGTGGTGGGTGGATCGGCCATCTCGTTTGCTCTCCCCATTGCTCGTGTGATGAATTACCATGGGATCCCGGTGAAAATCGTCTGGGTTGTCAGAGACTTTAGAGATGTGGTTGTTCTTGGACATGTAGGTGATTTCATCCAACCAGATGACTTGGAGATCTTTGTTACCGGGAATCCAGACTTTAAAGATGAGAAGAAGGAACAAATAGATACGGAGATTGTGGAGATTGATATTGGATGTAGAGAGAGTGAAGATGAAGTGGATGAATGTTCGTTTATGGAGGATGAGGGTGAACAAAGCGAATCCGAACGAGATCTGGACAAGTTGGATTCCAACCACCTCACCACAACTACCACCCCTCTCAACCGACAAAAACTGACAAGACTGTTCAAAAAGAAATCACAAGATTTCACCGAGAATCTGCCACTTCTCTTCAATGTAGACGAGGGAAGAAGTGAATCACCTCCAACACCATTCCGGTCACGGAAATCATCGGTTTCCTCCCATTCAGAAACATTTGTCCTCCCCACCGATATCCCATCGAAGTACACCACGCCATTCCTTCGAACAGTCTCAAAACTTAATCTTGCAAACAAAATATACAAGGGCAGGCCCACGCTTAACCATCGGTACTTGCATTGGTGTACCAACAGGAGCAACTTCACCCAATGTTCGGGGCCAATTGCCACGGGAGATAACTCGTTCGTTTGTTGTCGAGAAATTGCTGACAAGCCATCGAGTGCCCCAGAAGTGCCACTGAATTGTTGGGTGGTTTCTGCGGGGCCCCGGGAATTAGTCAGGAACGTTGCCCTTTGGTCTCGTGAGAATGGATTACAATACCATGAAGAATCATTTAATGTCTAATAGAAGAAGAAAATACGAACTAAACTAACTAACTAACTGTAGAAATGTCCGGTAAGCGTCCTGTGGGCCCCCTCCTACTGTGGAGAAGTGGACGTACAGCCCCACAGGGGAGGGAGTAGTGCTACCCTATGGGGGTATACAAGCCGCTCGGCTGGCCCCTGCTCGGGGAGAGCCACTGCGTGGTGCCTAGCTCCTCTACGAGGAGATCTACTTCCTGGTCACCTTCCTCGCTAGAGGAACAGGAACCCCCACGGCTAGTGGCCCTCGGAGTGCCACCGGAGCGGCTTGCAAACCCCCATAGGGTAGCACTACTCCCTCCCCTGTGGGGCTGCAAGCCGCTCCGCTGGCCCCTGCTCGGGGAGAGCCACTGCGTGGTGCCTAGCTCCTCTACGAGGAGTGTCTTCCGAGCTCCCACATCGTGCCTTCCTCGTAGAGGAACAAGAGCCCCCACGGCTAGTGGTCCACGGAGTGCCAGCGGAGCGGCTTACCGACCCCGTAGGGTATCCCCTATCCATATCTTCTCTCTTTTTTTCCCTCTTTTATGCCTTCTCCCACTACCCAGTGAAACCCCCCTCCTCCAGTCTTCCCAGTGCCTCTCCTATCCAACATCTCTCCACTCCAACTCCCCTGTCAACGATGGCGGCGGTCTGGGGGACAGGTTGCAACCTGCTTGTGCTTCCTGCAGGACCACCTTCCTATTTAGGCACAACATAAACAGAAAGAAGAATGTCGAGATGCACACCCACACCTCAACCATGTGGAATGGCAGGGCACAAAGAACGTTGTTTTGAGCTGTAGATAGCGGAGAAGTGCAGCGATCGATCCCCCAAGACCCACTGTTACTTGTAGGATCTCTCGGACCGATATTGCATAGGAAGGGCCCCACCCAAATCAAAACACGCCCTCAGCTTTTAAACCCGTCCATACGCAGGACAGCCCACATAGATCAGAGTGCCCCAAGACCCTTGCTACACACCCATCAAGTGCATCAGGAAGTCCCCGCCAGAGAGTTAGAACTGGCAGTAGGAAGGAACCAAGCCCCGCGTGTGTATACCCCCCAGCTAGCCAGCCGTAGGAGTGCCAGTCGTAGAAGTTTCTAGAGAAATGTCGATCGGATCGCAATATGAAGCGTTGGAGGTGATTGGCCGAGGCTCGTACGGGATCGTCCGTAGAGTCCGCCAGATCTCCGATGGGACCGTGTTGGTCCGTAAGGAGATCGAGTACAACTCGATGAATGCGCAGGAGCGGAACCAGCTCATATCGGAGCTCCGGATCTTGCGTGAGTTGAACCATCCGAACATCGTCAAGTACTACGCCCATGACCACATCCCGGAGAAACTGCTGATCCACATCTATATGGAGTACTGTGACGGTGGAGATTTGGCGCTGGTAGTGTCCAACTTCAAGAAGAACCGTGAGGTTGTCCCCGAGGAGTTTGTATGGGAGGTTCTTGTACAAACGTTGTTGGCGTTACATCGGTGTCATTATGGGATCGAGGCCGCCAAGGTGAACCTTTTTGAGTCTGGCCACGAGGGTAAGAACGAACCCAAGATCGATTCCGAGACTGTGGTCATCCATCGTGACATCAAGCCAGACAACATCTTCATGATGGATGGTGGAGAGACCATAAAATTGGGAGACTTTGGACTTGCCAAAATGCTCACCAGTAGGAACGATTTCGCCAAAACTTATGTAGGAACCCCATACTATATGTCTCCAGAAGTACTCATGGATAACCCATATTCTCCCGTGTGTGATATCTGGTCGTTGGGGTGTGTGTTGTACGAGTTATGTACTTTACAACCGCCCTTCCAGGCCAAGACCCATTTACAACTTCAACAGAAAATTAAATTGGGGACCTTCCATCCGGTCCCGGAACAAAACTATCTGTCACAGCTTCGTCAGATCATTCATGAATGTATCACCGTGGACCCGGACGTTCGTCCGCTGTGCTTTGAGTTGCTCGACACGCTCCCAGTGCGGTTTCTCCGAAAGGAACGAGAACTCAAGGAAAAGCTGGCCACGTTGGCAGACTTCCAAAAGCAACTCATGATGAAGAACGATGAGCTCAAGAAGAAGGAGTCCTTCCTCAACAGCTTGGAGCGCAAGGTGTTCACCCAACGGGAAGACCTCGAGACCGAGTACGTCAACATGCAGAAGAAGTTCAATGCCCAGCGTAAACGGGTTGAGGACGAGTTGATGGGCGAGTTCGAGCTCCGTAAGAAGGCCATGGACCAAGAGGCCCTCGAGGTCTGCAACGGGTACAAGCGCGAGTTTGCCATGGTGGTGGAGCAGGAGGTGAGACAACGGGTCAAGGAGATCATGAAGAATGTTCCAGTCACCACTGGTGGGGCCGGCCCCGCAAGTGTAGTCAGATCGTCTTCGAGCGAGTCCCATGGCAGTGGTAGCAGCAGTAGGCCCGTCTCTTCCTCGTCGTCCGCGGCGGGGGTGGGCGGTACTACCGCCGGTGCGATGACAGCACAGGGCAGAGTGTACGAGACCCAACAGCCCACGTCGCCCAGCAAGCTCCCTAGACCACAGGGACCACGGGACATGGGTCTGGAGAGAACCCCATTGAAGCTGCGTAACGTGAACGACTACGAAGAGTACCACTACAAGACCCCGCCCCCACCACATCTACAGCAGCCGACACGGATGCCAGGGAACAACTACCGTACCCGGATCACCGACGAACTTGCACGCGTCAACATCGAGAAAAGACACACGCCGGAGTTCGAGGAGTTGTACTACCGGAACAACGTCAACAACTACCGTTCATAGCATTAGCATTAGATACATTAATACAAATTTCCATATATACGTACACCCCGTAGGGTAGATATACTCTCCTCCCCGCGGGGCTGTGAGACGCTCCGCTGGCCCCTGCTCGGGGAGAGCCACTGCGTGGTGCCTAGCTCCTCTACGAGGAGATCTACTTCTTGGTTACCTTCCTCTCTAGAGGAACATGAGCCCCCACGGCTAGTGGCCCACGGAGTGCCAGCGGAGCGGCTCGTAGACCCCGTAGGGTGGTACCAGTTCTCTTTCATTGCAAGACGCTCTGCTGGCCCCTACTCGGGGAGAGCCACTGCGTGGAGCTTAGCTCCTCTACGAGGAGTGTTTCCCGCTCTCTATTCCTCGTGAGAGGAAGCAGGCCTCCACGGCTAGTGGCCCACGGAGTGCCAGCGGAGCGGCTTACCGGCCCCGTAGGGTATCCACTTCCTTGTGCTGGGCTCCTCCCACCTCCTCCTTCTACACCTTACAACCTGCATCTACACAGAACCGTTTCTTCGTATCTCGTTTATTATATCTTCTATTTCTTGTTGTTGTTGTTGCAGGTGGTGTTCTACCACTTGGCGCCGGTCAAGGCCTCGTAAGCCTCGATGTACTTGGCTCTGGACTTCTCCACAACGTCGTCGGACATGGCAACGCCGTCCTTGCCGGCAAGCCCGTTCAGGGTCAACCAGTCACGCAAGAACTGCTTGTCGTAGGAGTCCTGTGATTGCCCCACCTTGTAGGTGGAGGCGTTCCAGAACCGCGAAGAGTCTGGGGTCAAGACCTCGTCAACAAGAACCAACTTGTTGTCGGCGTCCAATCCAAACTCGAACTTGGTGTCGGCAATGATGATGCCCTTGGACTTGGCGTAGTCTCTGGCCTTGGTGTAGAGCTCAATGGCCTTGGCAGCGACCTCGTCACACAACTCCTTGCCCACGAGCTTCTCAGCTTGTTCCGGGGAGATGTTCTCATCGTGTTCACCCTGTTCAGCCTTGGTCAGCGGGGTGAAAATGGCCTGTGGGAAGGCGTCACTCTCTTGAAGAGTGGTGCTTTCGATCTTCAAGGTGTGTACAGTGCCGGACTTCTTGTACTCCTTCCAGGCAGACCCGGTGATGTAACCACGGACAATGACTTCCAAGGGGATGAGCTTCATCTTTTTGACCAAGAGAGCTCTCCCGGAAAGTTGGTCCTTGTACTTGGGCTCGGACAATTCCTTGGGGAGGTGGGCAAAGAGCTCATCATCGGATGAGGTCTTCAACTTCAAATGGTTAGGCACGGTGTCTTTCAAGAAATCGAACCAGAATTCTGACAACTTGGTGAGAAGCTTACCCTTTTCTGGGACACCATTCTCCATGATCACGTCATAGGCAGAGATTCTGTCGGTGGCCACAAACAAAAGAGTCTGGTCATCAACCAGGTAGATGTCTCTAACCTTCCCTCTGGCGAGAAGTGGGAGGATCCCATCGAGGTTTGTGGTGGTTAAGGAGGACATTGGAGTGTTGTTCTGGACTGTGGTGGGCACTAGCTGGGGTTAGACAGAGTTCAAAGTGGTAAAGGAGAAAAAAAAGTGTCCTTTTGTAAATTTGTTACCAGACCGACCTGGGGGAGTCAGCCCGGAGATGATGCGCAAAATTGGCGTAGAGTCAAATTTCCCCTACAATGCACCCCGTTCGCGCACGGGCAGCTCGATCAATTTGATTACCATGAACAAATTTTTTGACTCGGAAAAGTGAGGAGGGTCACGTGGTATGTCACGTGGTGATGGGTTGCAAAATATGATGTCTTTTTACCTCTTACCGTAGAGGGGGAGGAGGGAAGTGGGAGATGACTGGAGGGGTGTTATAGGAGAATCTTACAGCTCCACGGAATGCCAGCGGAGCGTCTTGCAGTCTCACGGGGAAGGGAGTTGATACTTCCCTACGGGGTTAGCAAGCCGCTCCGCTGGCACTCCGTGGGCCACTAGCCGTGGGGGCTCATGTTCCTCTAGAGAGGAAGGTAACCAAGAAGTAGATCTCCTCGTAGAGGAGCTAGGTACCACGCAGTGGCTCTCCCCGAGTAGGGGCCAGCGGAGCGTCTTACAGTCCCACGGGGAAGGGAGTGGACACTTCCCTACGGGGTTTGCAAGCCGCTCCGCTGGCACTATGTGGGCCACTAGCCGTGGGGGCTCCTGTTCCTCTACGAGGAAGGCAGGACGTGGGAACTCAGTTGACTACTCGTGGGGGAGCTAGGCACCATGCAGTGGCTCTCCCTGAGCAAGGACCAGCGAAGCCTCTCGCAGACTCCGAAGGAATGTGTGTGTGGTGGCTCCTCAAATATGAGGACCCTAGTTGAAATCTATGGGGGTGGTCGGCGTGTAGATCCATTGACAGTACGGCCGTCTATAGAGGGTTAGATTATGAAATTGAGAGTAGAATACCCAGAGATGTATACTGAAGAAGAGTAGCTAAAGTCATTGCCTCGACATCCTCTAAGATTGAGGGAAAGCCGCGTAGGGACTCGTTTCCCACTGCTTGTTGGCGGTGCTTGATATACAAAACTTGTACTACAGTCACTTACAGGATGCAACAACATACCACAGAGGTACCCCATAGACGCATGTACGTCCCTCTCTGTGGGACTGGAAAACGCTCCGCTGGCTGCTGCCAGGGAGGGCCACTACGTGGAGCCTTGCTCCTCTACGAGTAGTCATCCGAGTTCCCACGTCCTGCCTTCCTCGTAGAGGAACAAGGCCCCACGGCCAGTGGCCCACGGAGTGCCCAGCGGAGCGGCTCGCAAACCCCGTAGAAGTAGCGGTACGCCCTTCGCTGCGGGACAGTAAGATCCTCCGCAGGCCCCTGCTTGGGGGGGGGGACCACTGCGTGCTACAGATACGATGCAGTCTATTTTTGGACACTAGGATAATTCTCGACGTAATTCTCTGAAGGTACTCGTTCTCCTCAGCACATGACCGGCACTGGAAGCATGCGACTTTACACTTTACACATAAGCCCTCTAGCTGTCCCCTTTTGGAACAGCGCGCCCCTGGTCCGATTGTTGTGGTTCCCCTCGTCATCCCCCTTTTAAAAAGTTTATTAGTAATTGTCCATGCAGTGAACAAATTCATGCGCTCTCCTGCATTCGTCGAACATCCGCCACGCAGCTCCTCGTGCTGTCGGCGGGAAAAGGTCACGACCACTCTGCCAGCCAGGACTGTGTCAGGGACATTAGGGGAAGTCAGTCCATCCTTCAATCTCCCATACCACCAAAGTGCCCCTCTCTCCAGAAGTGACTGAGCCAATACTGAAAAATAAGTTAAGCCTCACTCCAATGAGGCAATGAAAATAAACACGCAGTACATATTATGAAACGTGTCATTAAGCTATGAGCTGTGCGTCTCTGCGCCCCTCCCCCCTCAACTCCTTCGTCACTAGACAGTTACGCGTCTACGCATCCACGCCATAGAAGAACCAGTCGACATGATGTTCGCTGGCAATATAAATAGCCCATGGAACGCCACTGTCTCACTGCCAAGAAATTTTCCCCTGGCTTGACATATTTGACACATTTGACACATTTGAGTTCATAGTATATAGAAAATGTTTGGCTTTGGAGAAGATCACCATCAACAAGTTTACGGCGAACAACATGAGGGAAAGTTCTCTCACGAGTTGATTGCCGGCGCTGCCTCGTTTGAGGCCGCCAAGCTCTTTGAAGACAAACAAAGACGTGACGGAAAGCCCGTCAGCCATGCCTTTGCCAAGGAGCTTCTTGCCGGAATTGTAGGCGGTGAAGTTGACAAGCTCTTTGAAACCAAGGGGTTGGACTACTTGGACCGTGACCAGGCCAAGCAACAAGCCATTGACCAGGCTCAAAGCCAATACGACAACCATTACGGTCGTGAAGAACAATGGTCTCCAGAAAGAGAACCACCATTTGACTACCAATCTGACAGATACAGATATTAAATGAGTATATGAATAGAATGAACGATTTCGATTGATGAGTGGTGTAGGCATCCTCTGAGTTCTTGTGACCGTCTTGTAGAGTGTAGATATACCAATTGAGGTGTGTGGCAAGACCCACAGACTTGAGGAGGGAAGGGAGAACCGCCAGCCCTACGGGGTTTGTGAGCCGCTCCGCTGGCACTCCGTGGGCCACTAGCCGTGGGGGCTCCAGTTCCTCTAACGAGGAAAGTGACTAGGGAATAGATCTCCTCGTAGAGGAGCTAAGCACCACGCAGTGGCTCTCCCCGAGCAGGGGCCAGCGGAGCGGCTTGCAACCCCGCAGGAAGAGGATTGGTACCACCCTACGGGGTTAGCAAGCCGCTCTGCTGGCACTCCGTGGGCCACTAGCCGTGGGGGCCTTGTTCCTCTGATGAGGAATTGCTGTGGGAAGCTAGGCACTACGCAGTGGTTCTCTTCGAGAAAGGGGCCAGTGGGGCGTTTTAAACTATCGCAGGAAGACAAGTAGAACGACCCATAGAGATCTGATACCCTATCAGTATAACACCAACGGGATTTTGTAGGATAAGATCACTTACCTAAGCCGATGGATACGTCCTCATGGCGTCCAACGTCACTAGGGGATCTCCCACAGTTGGTAGTCAGTGTATATACTATCCATGTATGCATAATGCTTACAAACCCCGTAGGGTGGTACCAATCCTCTTCCTGCGGGGTTGCAAGCCGCTCCGCTGGCCCCTGCTCGGGGAGAGCCACTGCGTGGTGCTTAGCTCCTCTACGAGGAGATCTATTCCCTAGTCACTTTCCTCGTTAGAGGAACTGGAGCCCCCACGGCTAGTGGCCCACGGAGTGCCAGCGGAGCGGCTCACAAACCCCGTAGGGCAGTTACCACCCACTTGCTTCCTCTGGGAAACACCTTGATACTCTAATGACCCCCCCCCTCCCACTCGAGACAGACCCATGATTTAGATCTTTTTTTTTGCAACACCCCCCCCCTCCCTCGGTGTGTTCACGTGTTTGCCCACGTGACCTCTCTTTCTTGAATACACGCCTATTTCCACATACAGGTCTACGCGCTTTCCCATACAAAGCGTGTCAAACAAACCATCTCACTAAAACTCCCTGGTTTCTCTCTTTTATACGGGTTATCCATTCTTAGATTTATCAGAGATTTGGGAAACATCATGTCCAGTACACAACCATTGCTCAAGTTCAGCGACACCGGCGACGAACGGCTGTACTTCCGGAAATACTGTGCACTCCCCACAAGAGACGCGTCCACGTTCCGCGTGATTGACCACAATAACAAAGATTACTTCACGGTGATCAATGAAGATGCCGACTTGATTGCTGACAGTGTGTACAAGACGAGCTCTGTGGTCAAGACGTCTGCCGCCCAGAAGTACCGGTACGTGACGATCTCACCGCAAGTGTTCACCAACACGGTGCTTCGTCTTTTACTCATTGACCGCAACATGCGCGTAGAAATTTATTCACACAAAACTTTTGAGTTACTTGTCCAGGCCACTCCGGCCAACTATGAACGATTGAGTGCCGAATATGGCGTCAATTTGGATGCCATGCAACCTTCGTACACCTCGCCCATAGTCGCCAGTATCAAGCTATCTACCGTGGCAGGAGGTGTTAAGAAATTTGGCTGTTGCTTTGTGGACGTTCTGGGCAAGAAAATGCACGTGACCGAGTTTGTAGATAATGAAGTGTTTCTGAATTTAGAGTCATTAATTCTTCAAGTTGGGATCAAGGAGGTTGTTATGGTGGGTAGTGGTGCTGGTGCTGCTGGTGCCAGTGCGGACAGTGGCCCTGTAGATGTAGAACTTGCCAAGATTGTCCAGGTGCTTGATAAGACGGATGTGGTGGTGACGTTTGTCAAGAACTCGATTTTCAACGGGAAGGACATTGAACAAGATCTTGGGAAATTGATCGAGATGAAGGAGAACCAAAACATTGAGCTTGTTCTTGGGTCTCGTGGGATCAACAGTGTAGAGTATGGACAATCATTGGCCTGTTGTGCTGCCCTCATTCTGTACTTGGAGTTGCTCCAAGATGGAGAGGCCCAGGGATCTTACACCATCGATAAGTACGACTTGGGGGCCTATATGAAGTTGGATAGTTCCACCGTGAAGGCCTTGAACGTGTTTGCAAGTGCAGGAAGTGCTAGCGGCGCCGGCCCGGGAAATGCCAATACCGGCAGTGCTAGCACGATCTCATCGATTTTTGAGCTTTTGAACAAATGTAAAACAGCAGCAGGGTCTAGACTTCTTTCACAATGGCTCAAGCAACCCTTGACGTCACATGTGGCCATTACAGAACGTCAACTACTTGTGCAGCAGCTCATTGACGATACTTCGCTAAGGGTGTACATCACCAAGGATTTCCTCCCACAGGTTCCTGACGTGAAACGGTTGGTCAAGAAGATCAATATGGGGATCAAGAGAGCTTCTTCCAATGAAAATAAGAAGTTGGAGGATGTGGTGAGACTTTATCAATTGGTGGTTGCGCTTCCCGAGTTGGTGAGTGTTTTGAAGCTGACAGTGGAAGAGGAAACTACTGCTAGTGACAGCAGCAGCAGCAGCAGTGCACTTATCAAGGAGTACTGGCTCAGCCCCATTGAACAGTTCTACGAATCCTTGGTCAAACTTCAAGAACTTGTAGAAACCACGGTGGATCTCAGTCCCTTGTCAAACGGACTGTCGAGTCTTTTCAACGATTTCAATATCAAGCCAGAGTTCGATGAGTCATTGATCACCATCAACGATAAATTGACCGCCACGGTAGACAAGATCAAGGAATGTCACAGTGAAGTTGGAGATGACTTGTGTATTGATACCGAGAAGAAACTCAAGTTGGAGAACCATGCGCAACATGGATGGTGTTTCCGGGTCACTAGAGGTGATTCTGCCATTCTCCGGAACTCTTCACTGTCCCTGAAGAAATATATCGAGCTCCAAACGGTCAAGGCGGGGATTTTCTTCACCACCAAGGAGCTCCGTACCCTTTCACAACAATACCAAGACTTCTCCAGTGAATACAATTCCAAGCAAAAGGAACTCATCAAGGAGATCTTGGTGATCACTCTCACGTACCAAAACGTTCTCAACCAGCTTGCCATGGTGTTGGCCCACATGGATGTGCTTGCCGGGTTTGCCCATGCAGCCATTTTTGCAGCCATTCCGTACGTCAAGCCCATTTTGCACCCATTGGCGGCTAGCGATGATAAGTCCGGACCCGAGTTTGAAGCTCGTAAATTGAAGCTTGATGCGGCAAGACACCCGATTTTGGAAGTGCAAGACGACATCAATTTCATTGCCAATGACGTGAGATTGGGGAGAAACTCTGAGGAGAAACCTTTCAACATCATCACCGGACCAAACATGGGTGGTAAGTCCACCTATATCCGTCAAATCGGAGTTATATCGCTCATGGCCCAAGTGGGGTCATTTGTCCCCGTTGACGAGCTGTCGGAACCTGAATTGCCAATCTTCGATGCTATCCTTTCCAGAATTGGGGCTGGAGATCTGCAACTCAAGGGGTTATCGACATTTATGATTGAAATGTTGGAAACCTCTTCAATTTTATCGACTGCCACCCACAACTCCTTGATCATAATCGATGAGTTGGGCCGTGGGACATCCACGTACGATGGGTTTGGCCTTGCCTGGTCCATCCTGGAACATCTCATTACTGAAATGCAATGTTTCACGCTCTTTGCCACTCATTTCCATGAATTGACCCAATTGGCTGCAAAATATACCAATCAAGTTGAGAACTTACATGTGGTGGCACACGTGGAAGAAGGGGCTGAGGCCGCCAGTAATGACGACGACATCACCTTGATGTACCGCGTAGAGCCAGGTATCTCCGACAAGTCATTTGGGATCCATGTGGCGGAATTGGTCAAGTTCCCACAAAAGATTGTCAACATGGCCAAACGGAAAGTTTCAGAGCTTGAGTCAACCACCGACGACTCGATCATTGAGAACAAGAAATCAAAATGCAGCGCAGAAGAGGTTGCCACTGGTGTCGATCAATTGAAGGCCATCCTCAAGAAGTGGAGGCTGATGGCTGCGGGAAAGAGTGCCGACGACGCGGTGGAGGTGTTACGAAAATTGGTTCTGGAAGAATATAAGGATACTATCAAGGAAGATAAGTTTATTAGTGAAGTATTAGGTATGTTATAAAGATAAATACAAGAGAAATTTACCACAAGCCAGGGAAGTATCCATGACCTCTCTATGATAGACTCCCGGGGTCAAACTTCCTGCATTATACGCTCACTTCCCTGTGGGGACTGTAAGACGCTCCGCTGGCCCCTGCTCGGGGAGAGCCACTGCGTGGTGCCTTGCTCCTCTACGAGGAGACTTCTTGCACCCACACCCCATTCCTCGCTAGAGGAACGAGGCCTCCACGGCCAGTGGCCCACGGAGTGCCAGCGGAGCGGCTTTCTAACCCCGTAGGGTAGTCTCCATTAACTCCCCTGTGGGCGCTCTGCTGGTCCCTGCTAGGCGAGAGCCACTATCTGGTGCCTACAATGTCTGTGAATCTCAAAGTTTTTGCTTCGCTGTATAGGTCTAATAAAACGTATAAATAATATATATATATATCATATTTCCACCCGTGGTGACTAGGCTACTGCTTCTTCTTCTCGGCCGCAAGGAATTGGCGGTCCTTTCTGGCCAACTCCTGGATGGCATTGAACTTGGAGAGGCCGACTTTATCTATGCATTCAACCATGGGGAGGAACCCCAACACGTAGCTGAACCGGTAGTATGGGTCGGAGCCCCTGAGGAAACACCGGAGATACTCCTCGTAGACCAAGTAGTAGTAGACCCCAGTACCGGTGAAGATATGCCACCAACCATGGCCCTCCAAGAGAAAGCCGTAGGGCATCCCCCAGGATCTTCGGGTGGACCGGGCAAACAGACAAAAATGTATGTCCATGTTCCACAAAAGGTAGCCAAGGAGAAACGTACAAACTCCAGTGATCATCACCAGAAACAATTCCAGACGCTTACGTGGGTCCTTGACATGTTTGTAGGTCAAGTTGATCGATTGGAAGATGATCCCTGCGTTCAAAAGAGCATATGCCACCTGATGAATGGTGGGGTCTTTGAAGTAGAGATAGATTACGGTAAGCGTATTAGCCGCGGTAAAAATGCCCACACCAACAGCAATCGATTGGTTCCGAGTTTTGAACTCGCTAAACACCGACCAGAATGGGATACAGGTGGCATAGATCATGGGCAACTCATCCAAAAGCTGGTAATGGTACTGGAGGGTCATGTGGAAGAGCCATGACCCAACCCCGACAAGGAAGAAGCCAAGACTTGAAAACACAAACCTAGTGCCGAGCTTGTTCTTGTACGAGGAAAAAGTTGAGAAAAGCGCCAATGCGATGAAAACTGAATTGGTCACTGTGTTGAGAGCCTCGGCTACGTATGTGGACACTACATAGTTTTCTTCACACCAGTCAATGGTGGAGGTGGGGACTCCCCAGTATCCGTTGTTCTGCTCCGGAGGGTACTCAAAGGCAAAGGGAAGCATTGAGTTTGGGAGAAGATTTAGAATGGGAAACGGAAGAAGAAGAAGAAAAATTTAAAAAAAAAATTGTGTATTAAAAATTATTACAAGGGTGGGAAAGTGGATAATGTAAATGGTTAAGAGGGTTCAATGATGTACAGGGTGATCCAGGGGAGTGTGATCAAAAAGATTTGATCGGACCGGAGGTTGCGGCAATTTTTAAATTTAAACCCTTTAAAGGAGTGGTTTGTGTGCAGGATGGGAGATTTTTTGCCACGGGTTGTTAAAATTAGTATTAGGCACATGGAGGGGCGTGTGAGTACCGAAGATAAGTGGTAGTTAAGATGATTGAAGACAAGTGTCGATAAGAAGAGATAGATGGTGTAGATGGTGTAAATGGTAGGTGAGAAGTAGTTGGAAGAAATTAGATGCGGGGGTATAGCTGGGGGAGTGTATAGAGGGATGTATATTTTGAGGGTTTGGTGGCGGGGTGGGGTGATCTTTCTCTGCAGCAAGCAGCAAGATGTCGATAAAAAGGGATAGATCTTAACTCTGGGGGGTATAGGGGCTGAAAATGATGCTGGTAGGCATAAGCGGCTGCGTTGGAACATCTGTAGAGTGTAGAGAGAGAGAGAGAGAGAGAAGGCCGCTAGTCAATCAAATAGGAGGTGGGAAGCAGATCCAAGTATTGGGGCGTGGAGGGGGCGTATTGATGAACGAGGTGGATCTTTAGGGTAGGTAAGTTTAGTAACTGTAGGACAATGTTAGTAAGAGTTGTAGTATCCTGGTGTCTAATTGCCATTTCCAGTAAAATATTTTAATATATGAATTTTATTTTGCAACCAATTTGTTGGAAAATTGAGGAAAGTAATTTTTTTTTAGAGGAGGACAAAGAAAAGACAGGAGAGGTGATAAGAGGAGTAGAGAACACTTCAAACGGATAGGTATGACCCTACGGAGGTATGCAAGCCGCCTCCACTGACACCCCGTGGGCCACTAGGTTTGGGAGACCTTCTCATCTGACAAGGAAGTTTGGCTGCGAGCATGTCTCCTCATAGAGGAGCCAGGCACCACGCAGTGGCTCTCCCCGAGCAGGGGCCAGCGGAGCGGCTTACAGCCCCGCAGGGCAGGAGAGTAGGTGCCAGCCCTACGGGGTATGTAAGCCGCTCCGCTGGCACTCCGTGGGCCACTAGCCGTGGGGGCTCCTGTTCCTCTGACGAGGAATTGGTGTGGGTACTCGAGATCTCCTCGTAGAGGAGCTAGGCGCCACGCAGTGGCTCCCCCCGAGTAGGGGCTAGCGGAGCGTCTCACAGTCCCCGTAGGGCTGGCAGTATTCCCTTCGCTGTGGGACAGTATGTGCCCCAATTCGGAAGTCAACTACACACAGGAATAAACAGTCTAAACAGGAAACCTTATGGTAAGTGATCGCCACTTTTTTAATCTTACTACCCTTTTTCTACATAAGGTCTTTGCCCTTGAACCTTCACTCCCCTTTCTCTGAGAGTCTCTCTCTCTCACTTGTCCCTCATAGTTCTCCTCTTTATGCACGACTCCACTAAATATCAAAAATTAGATCAAGATGACGTAATTGCTTTAAATGTCTTGGATGACACCCCTGCCGTATCGCCTATTTCAAGCCCAATCTCTTTTGTATTTGACACAGTAAACGAACCAGAGATATGGTACAAAATAAAGTTTGCCCCCAGTGAAGGGCTTGAGAAATTAAAAGTTGCCTTGCACGACAAATTGGAAAGTTCTAGTAGGTTCCGTGGTGACATTGGAAGTCTTTATAATATCGATCAGGAGGGAAGACGTATCTCCTTACTAACCGATGAAGATCTTGTTGGTGCCATTGAATGTAAGCCAGAAGGTCAAAATGAAGTTGTATTGAAAGTTGAGGTGCTTGATGACAATCTGGGACAGACGGTTTTCTTCATTCTGGTTGCAATTATTGTGCTAATTGCCTTGTGTATGAACATTTATTTCACTACTTTCTACGATCGAGGGGTTTAATGCCCGAGCTCTGGCCATGTCAGGGAGTATTTATAAAATATATTTGTAGCTCTACATGCACACTCTTACAACCATGTGTACCCCTGTAATCTCAGAGTCGTCTTTACGGGGCCAGCTCTGCCCCTCTACTACTGCCTGAGAACACTCTCACAGTCCCTCGAAGGTTGCGAGGCGAAGTTCCCAGGTACTACACAATGGGCCTAGACAACCCTTTCAACTTCCTGCCCTGCGGGGCTGTAAGCCGCTCCGCTGGCCCCTACTCGGGGAGAGCCACTGCGTGGTGCCTAGCTCCTCTACGAGGAGACCTCAAGTACCCACGCCAATTCCTCGCTAGAGGAACAGGAGCCCCCACGGCTAATGGCCCACGGAGTGCCAGCGGAGCGGCTTACATACCCCGTAGGGACTGTACTACGTACTCGGAGGGAGAGCCACTCCCGGTTGCGTGGGGTGCTGCTGCTGCCGCTGCTGCTCTCTCTCTCTGCGCAGCAGTACCGCATCGGGAAGTCGGCCACACACAGGAGTGACATGTCCATACAGGACACGTCAAGGAGGACTTTGACACAAACAGTGTACCTTCACTCCCCTTCCTCTTGGAGTTAGTCTCTAGTTCTTCACAGCTCTCTCCTTCATGTCCAACTCCACTAAATATCAGAAATTGGATCAAGATGACGCAATTCCATTAGGTGGCGTCGCTGATGGGAACACGAGCTTTGCGACGGGGCCGGCACTGTGGACGCCCGTGTTGACGGAGTTCCTAGTTCGATTGCCGGTCAATGATGGCCCAAAACTTCGCATCCTCCTCGACCCGCTGCAGGGGATCGAGGCTCTTAAGTCAGTTGTTCGAGACAAAGTCTACCAGGTGAGATTTAACATGAAAGGTTACCGGCCCGGTAGTTTCTTTTTGACGTGGGTGAACGAGGTCGGACAAATTCTAGCAATTGTCTCAGATGAAGACATCAGACATTGTGTAGAAGTTTCGAAGCAAAGATCTGCCAATCCCATCGAATTGACCGCCCAATTTGAAGAGGAGGAAGAGAGTCATCCAGAACGTGTTTTGTATGGGCTCGGACTCTTCTTCCTTTTCATCTTAATTTCGCTCTATATAAGGACTAAGAATAGATGTATAGCCAATAATAATTAACGTACCAGCTGGGATCCATAGAGCAGCTCTTCCCGAGTAAGGGACGTCCAGAGTCTGGGCCCGTAGGGAAGTTAGTACCCACCCTACGGGGTCTGCGAGCCGCTCCGCTGGCACTCCGTGGGCCACTAGCCGTGGGGGCTCCTGTTCCTCTGACGAGGAATTGGTGTGGGTACTAGAGGTCTCCTCGTAGAGGAGCTAGGCACCACGCAGTGGCTCCCCCCGAGCAGGGGCCAGCGGAGCGGCTTACGCACCCCGTAGGGTAGGTACGAACTTCCCGGTAGAACGAATGGCTCTGTTACCCTTAGAAAGTTTAAACAGTTCATTATCTCTCTTGGAGAAATGAACTACCTTCCGTATTCCAGAGCAGCGGGTGAATGGCCCGAATGGCGGGAGGAGGGGGTCAACCCAATCAAGAGCGCCCACTTCTTCTACTCAGTACCAAATGGGGAAGGAGGCGGCCCTCACTCATCCAAATATGGACATTGAAGTAAAGGGAAAGAATAAGCCAGAGTCATATCTCACACTGATCAATGCAACAGCTACCCAGTAGACTTACTATATATAGGTGTGTATGTCATACTACCATGTCAAGTAAGGAACGCTATCCATTGTCATAGATGCACAGAAACATAGATGACGAGGTCCCAATTATGGGGAGCTTGAGTTGTAGCAACAACAACACCAGCAACAAAAAGAGGGCGCCGCTAGAGAGGCTCTTGGTACGGATCATCCTTCTAAGTCTCGGATTTGACGCCTTTTGTATCTGGGTTATAATTGAATGGGCGGATCTGCTCAAGTCCCCGGGAGACGTGGCGTTCCATCCCCATTGGCCCAATAGCCTTGAGGGGTCGACATTCTTGTGTTGCCTTTACCTAATGGCCAATGTCAGCATTGCAGGGGGGGTTTGTTTAACTATAAAGTATGGAAATTATTCTGAATTTGGCTTTTTGGGGGTTTGCAAGGTTGCTATGTCATTGGGGGTGTTAATGTCACTAGTTGTATTTTTTCTTCTGACCACTTTTGATCTGCTTTAGTAATACACGATGCCCCTCAGGGAGGCTGGTACTCACCCTACGGGATATGTAAGCCGCTTCGCTGGTCCTCCCGGAGCAGGGGCCAGCGGAACGCCTCAAAACACACCAGAGAAGCGAGTGGAGGCTACCCTATGGGGTATGTAGGCCGTTCAAGTTGCTCCACTGGCAATCAGTGGGATACTAATCGTGGGGGGGGGGGGATGTCCTTGTTCCTCTATCAAAGAAGGTACACTGACCGTAAATCTCCTCGTAGAGGAGCTAGGCACCACGCAGTGGCTCTCCCCGAGTAGGGGCCAGCGGAGCGTCTCAAAGCCCGGCAGGGAAGGGAGTAGTTCCAGACCCTACGGGGTATGTAAGCCGCTCCGCTGGCACTCCGTGGGCCACTAACCGTGGGGGCTCCTGTTCCTCTAGCGAGGAAGGTGACCAGACAGTAGAACTCCTCGTAGAGGAGCTAGGCACCACGCAGTGGCTCTCCCCGAGCAGGGGCCCAGCGGAGCGTCTTGCATCCCCCAGGGAAGGGATTAGCATCACCCTACGCAGTATGTAAGCCGCTACACTGGCACTGAAGCATCTTCAAACGGAAGTAGTCTCTACAGTACTGCTCCTCAATATCCCATTGTCGTGGGGTTACTTGTCCTACACTTTTACTTTGAGTTGGATTATTCTATTTTATTTTGGTTCGAGGGGTCTCCCGAGAGTATTCAAAAGACCAGGAATCGGTCTGGAACAACCTCCAGTTCCCCTACTCTACTTCTCTTCTATCGTACCATCTCAACCAACACTCGTCATTGAGTGGACGCATCGTGTACGCGTCAACCATGCACATCTTCTCTTCGTCAGTGGTGTTGTTGCCCTGTCTACTTTCTCCCAAGGGGATGACAGACGCGTCCGAGCTCTTGGTGATCTCACACCAGTCTGGACTGATGCGCGAGCTGTAGCGCCAGTAAAGATTAGCCATGGCCATCTTCATCTCGATCATGGCCAAGTTCATCCCAAGACACATTCTGATCCCCTTACCAAAGGGCATCATGTACCGTTGTTGGCGGATGATTCTTTGTTTGAACTCAAAGTCCGACTCGTCCTTATGTTGCAACCACCGGTCTGGAAGAAACTCGTCTGGGTTGGGGAACACATCTTCGTTCCGATGGATCAGATATGGCTGGCAGGAGATGGTAGTTCCCCGTGGGAGTGTCACGGCCCTTTCCGAGGAAATCAACACCTTGTATGGCTTGTCTACTACACGTGGTTCAGCACCCGGGATCGAGGCATGGACCCGAAGATTCTCTTGGAAGAGAGCGTCCAAAAAGGGTAAAGTGTCAATCGTTTCCAAGTCTGATAAGATTTCGGTGGTAGAAGCTGTTGGTTCACCAAAGTAGTCCTTCAACTCCTGGGAAAGCTTTTCCTGGATCGCCCAATTACAAGGTCTTGAAAGTTCATAAGTGAGGTAACTGAGCTGGATGGCGGTGGTTTCATGCCCCGCGAAAATGTTGTCTGAAAGGAAAGAATAGGCGTCCTTCCCGTAAAACCCATGCAGTTTCAACGTTTCTAAAGAGGTAAGGTTTTGGTTGGCATGGGTAAGTTTTGGTACATTTGCTTCAGCTCCAGCATAAAGTTCCAATTGCCATTTTTCCACAATTTTCAGAGCTTCCATGATTTGTGGAGTGGCAGCCCATTCCCACCATTGTGGCGCTAGCGTGGTCCAGAACCCCATTCCGGCCTGGAGACGGTGAGAAACAATGATATGACGATCCTCAGGGTGCAATAACAAGTTGGTACCATTCTCTACCCCCAATTCAAACGCCAGGACGGCATCCATGGCAAGACTGGCGAAAAGTGAATATACATCAATGCCCAAATTTTTGCCCTTTGAGTGGTCAAACCAGGCTCCAGATCCTTCTACATGACCCTTACCATACTCGTTATGTTTCAGCTCGGCATTAATGAAGTCCGGGTGAGTACCCAAGACACTTGATTGACGGACTTGGCCGACCAATTGCGAGATTTTCTCCACCAACATGTCTCTTGTGGTGTTTTGAGGGCTGAAAATGGCGGATTTTTGGTACAATTGGGTCAAGAGCTTCTTATAGGAGAGATGACGATCATTCTCCAAGGAGGCAAACATATTATCTCTATGGCCATGGTTACGGAAGTTTTCATAAAACGGCAGTTTGGGGAAGTTTCGCACGTAAATGTCTTGAACATATTTGAAATCTCCATTGACACTGATCTCGGAGGGGGAAAGTATTACCACGTCTCCATATTGACGGTGGAGATCATAGACGGTTTGAATCCAAGTTTGTGATCTTTGGCCGTTCAAGGCAAATAATTTGGTGAGTCGGTAATGATAAGGACCGGGGATATCTTTCAATGGAGATAAGAACAACGGATATACCACGAGATGATAGACCCCTAGTAAGAGCAATAGAATGATGATTGATGGTTTGGGGTTGGTGACAACGTAATCCCAAGTAGTGGTGAGTATATCCAAGAGCATTCTTGAAGTGAGAGGAGTTGAACTTGTAGTTGTTTGGTGTTGGTGTAGGTAGTTATCGTGTCAAATCTCAAGATAATGTTGACCTGATAAGAAACTGCTTATGTCAGCACACGGGAATAAGATTATCAGGAGGGGGGTAAGACGAATCACACCACCAGTAAATAAAGAGGGATGTGGTACCAACGAATAAATCTATAAAGACCTGGATGAAATAAGGTTGGGAAGATATATCGAAGAAAGGAAATGAGAACATTAAATAGGTTAATCCAAATCTTATCGAGGTGGATGATTACCGAGGAATATAATTCCGCGCGCGGGATCAAAATTCCGCATCCCCAGCGGCACGTGCGAGCTGGAAGAATCCATGCCGCCAGGACCCATACCAACACGGAATTCAAGCGATGCGAACAACGGGGAGGAATGGGCCGCTGGCGCGCGAGCGCGCGCAAGACTCTCGATAGGGAAGAGCGAGCCGTTATGCGTCAGATAAGCTTAGGGTGGAATTGCAGCCATCCTCTTCTGGTGAGAAACGCGCGCATGCTGGTTGGGTGGAGATGGGGCCATTTTTTACCCCACAGTGATCTCCGTAGGGGGGTCTAATGGGGAGGTTTGTAGGCTTGTAGGACCTCGGGGGAGGAAGTAGGAACAGCCCCTACGGGGTTAGCAAGCCGCTCCGCTGGCACTCCGTGGGCCACTAGCCGTGGGGGCTCCTGTTCCTCTAGCGAGGAAGGTGTCCAGACGGTAGATCTCCTCGTAGAGGAGCTAGGCACCACGCAGTGGCTCTCCCCGAGCAGGGGCCAGCGGAGCGTCTCATAGTCCCGAGGGAAGGGAGTAGTCCCAGACCCTACGGGGTATGTAAGCCGCTCCGCTGGCACTCCGTGGGCCACTAGCCGTGGGGGCACCTGTTCCTCTAGCGAGGAAGGTGACCAGAGAGTAGATCTCCTCGTAGAGGAGCCAGGCCCCACGCAGTGGCTCTCCCCGAGTAGGGGCCCAGCGGAGCGTCTTGCAGTCTCGCATAGAATTGTGCTGATGGATGCCTTCCAGTCGGGTGTACGAGAGGCACCGAGTGCAAAAGGGATGGGTGTAGACGAGCGCACAGGCTTTGTAAACTACAGGACTAGAGGGCATGGTGTGGTCAAAGTCTATTGAGTAGATGTAGAACAGAAAGAATATGTATAGAGTGTCCGTTGAGTAAGACTCAGCTCTTATCAGTATCGTCCAGGTCTTCTCTGAAGGCACCTTCAGTATGCAAGAGCCCACCTTTGGCCACCAAGTACCAAGTCAAGGCAATCAGAGCACTGGCACAACTGCAAAGAGCAATCGAACAGGCGTAGCTGACCCGGTAAGTGGGCCCAAACTTGGGCTGGTAGATCTGGGGACCGACTATCCCAAGGAATTGACACGCCGTGTTGGTGATCCCAATGGCAAGAGCAGACGAACTGGTCCCATTGACGACCCTCATCCTGTCGGGCCAGAGCACGGGGAAGAGAGAGTTGGAGATGGCAGTGGCCACGTTCAACATCACGTACTTGGCCACGTTGCTTTTCACGGTCAACAAGACGATATAGCTCACGATTTGGATCAAGGACATGACCATTGCCGTGGGGAATGCCTCGATGTATCTGCGGTGGAGCATATATCCAAGGACGTTCAACAAGATGAACCCTATGAAGGATGGGGGCATCGTCATCAATTGGGTGGTTGCCGTACCAGTAAACCCCAACTCGTACACGATGGTGGGGAGAACAAACGAAATCCCCCAACCTCCAACCCCCTGGAAGAACCAAATCAGACAATAGGTGTAGAATGTCGGTTGTCTGATCAACTCCTTGACCTGGTCCCAACTGAAAGAGCTGTCGGCTTTGGTGGGCGCAGACTTGGGGAGATTATCAAGCAACACTTTCTTCTCCCCCTCGGAGAGGAAGTTCGAATCTTCGACGTAATTGGGGAGACGGAAGAACGTGTAGATGCCCAAGAGAACCGTGGGGATCCCTTCAAAGATGAAGACCCATTGCCAGCCGCTTAGATTGGCCCTTTGGTCAAGAAACGATATCCCGTAGGCAAGCAACCCGGAAACGGCCCCCGAGAGCATCCCCACCGAGTAGAACGATGCCACTCTTTGTCGAAGCTCTCGAGGCTTGACCCAGAACCCAAGATGATAAAGTACCAGGGTGTAGAAGCCGGCCTCAGCTAGTCCCAAAAAGAAACGTACTGCGACCAACCCACTGAAATTACGGGCTGCAGCCTGTAGCATGGAGATGGCGCCCCAAGTGATCATGATCCTAGACTGCCAGACACGTGGGCCAAACGTTTTCAAGAGCACCGTGGCCAAAGGCTCGAAGAATAGGTACGAGTAGTAGAACGAAGAGAGACTCCATGCCCATTGTTGGGAGTTTAAGCTGAGCTCCTCCTTGATCCCATGGCCCGCTTCAAGGTTGACGATCGCCACGTTCGACAAGTTCCCCTTGTTGATCTGCGTGAAGAGGTACACCACCGAGTACAAGTAAAGGATTCTCCGGTCGATCTTGCGAAGAATCTTCTTGTAGTTGAGGTCTTGACTCTCCGAATCTGCGGCCACCTCCTCTTCAGTGAAATGAGCAGGAGCCTTCTTCTCTGTCTCGATAATATCTCCAGTACTCATGGTGCTCTCTAGCATTAAAGGTCTCGACCACGGGGGGTCCGCCTCGAGCATTATATATTTGCAGCCAAGACCATTTTTCGGTTTGAGTCTGCGACATGAACGCCACAGCAGGCGGGAAACACGAATTCCATACGTTTCCTCCTCTCTTGATCGGGGTGGACTCCCAGTATTCCTACTCTGGAGATGTTTATCAATATGTGAGAACCCCCACCAAATGCACAGCGGTACACCTTCGAGGCATATGGCCCGTCAATTGAATAGGCAGGTCCGACGGTGTACGGTAGTCGGACAAAGCACGCCCGACCCGACCCGATCAGTGAGTGCCCAGTATTGCAACCACAGTTGTGCAATGCCGAGACTTTTTGTTCGCGCCATCACTCAGTAGGCGTGGCAATAGGGAAGAAAATGCACAGCATGGTGCTCCCAGAGACCACTAGCTGCGATGGCCCAACAGAGCGTCAGAGTGTCCCACACCTTACGGGGTATGCGAGCCACTCCTCTGGCACCACGTGGGCCACTAGCCTTGGGAGCTCCTATTCCCCTAGCGAGGAAATATGGCTGCGAAAAAGTCTCCTCGTAGAGGAGCCAGGCACCACGCAGTGGCTCTCCCCGAGCAGGGGCCAGCGGAGCGTCTCAAAGCCCTGTAGGTAAGGGAGTAGGAACAGCCCCTACGGGGTTAGCAAGCCGCTCCGCTGGCACTCCGTGGGCCACTAGCCGTGGGGGCTCCTGTTCCTCTGGCGAGGAATCTTGCCATGTAGTATGTCTCCTGTAGAGGACCTCTCCCCGAGGAGGGGCCCAGCGGAGCGTCTCGTAGACTAAGTTGCGTTAGTTCTCCCCCTTATCATCTTTCCACACCCCACTCTTCTTTCTACAACCCCCACTATCTCTACTAGACGTTTATTTTAAACATATATAATCTCCAGGTAATCCTCTCCAACGCCTAAAAGATATCGCCCGAGTCCTGGAGTAAATGGTCCTTTCTCTTGTTCCAGTATTGACCGTTGTACTCCCAGAACGTGTCCCCGGTGACAGGGTGCTTTCTCTTGACAAACCATTGTGGCTTGTACGAAGTGTTGGACATTTCTCTCTTCTTTCTGGCGGCTCTTTGTTTCTCCTCTACACGATGCTTTTCGTCGGAAGCCAAGTCGTATTTCCCAATCTCCATGGCTCTTTGATCGGGTCTTAATCTCGTATCGGTAGGGGCCAACCATGGCACCAACTTCTTGTTGTCATCGTTCAACGTAACCGCAAACGAAGTCAAGTTGAACGGAACCTTTGGTCTAGGTGCTGCCTGCCATACAAGGAACTTGCTTCCGCTGAATGGGTCGCTCGAGAGCTTCGTCGATACACCTTCCAGCTCGATCAAGGAATCTCTACGGTCCAGCGAGGGTTCCTTGGTCACCTTCTTACCGAAAATCTTGGAGTTCCAATGTCCACCAACTGCCCAATGGGTATTTCCCTTGCGGTCCACAACGTGTCCCGCGAGCTGGTAGGCCAGTGAGGCTCTCCAGCCTCTTTGCTTCAAGTCAAGGACAATGCGGTCTCCAGTGGTGTGGTTGGTGACCTCCATCTTACCGTAGTTGTCCACGGTCGGGTTACCCACAATGATACCCACGACAGAGGTGTTGACCTTCTTCCAACTGTACAATTCCTCATCTACTCGTTCACCCTTGGTGTTGATCACACCATTGGCAGGTCTAACGACACAGAACATCTTACCCAAATGCTTAAAGTCAAAGGACCGTCCTCTGAACTGAGACTCAACGGCATTCTCACCGTAGTAGTCCCAATTGACAGATTCAGCACTACAGGCGGAAATAGGTGGGTGATGACTCACCTGTTCCACCAACAAACGATACTTCTTTTCTGGTCTACAGTATTCAAACGTTTCTCCCAACAATGGGTTGAAAGGCTTGGCGATTCTGTTGATGGTGGAGGCGTATTCCGAGGCACCGAAGGCGGCCACGTAAACCATACGCAAGGTGGAGTCGTCGTATTGAGACGCTTGATCCAACAAGTGGGAGTATTCAATATCTTCCGCCAAACGTTGCAAGAGAGAGGTACACTCGTTGAAAGACACTGGGAGGGTCATCTTGGTCATATCCTTACCAATCATAGATTTAAGAATACCCCAGAGCCCAACCTTTGGTCTGTTATCTTCATCCATGCTAAGTTTGGTACGTGGAGGGTCATCGTATCCAAGGAATGATCCTTCGTTGTTGATTGCTTCAAACTTGGCCTTTTGGGCGGCAGTAAGGTTGGCAGTTTCTTCGGAACTGTCCTTGTAAGATGGTGGAGCAGGGTCAGTGTCGGAAGAAGTTGGAGCAGAGTCTGCTTTGGTGGACTCGACCGGTTTCTTTTCATCGGTAGAACCAGTTGATCCAGATGCAACAGCACCGGCACCGGCAACTGCAGCAGCAGCAGCACCAGTAACCGCAGCAACTGCACCCCCGGCAACAGCACCAATCTTTTCCTTAGGATCAACAGAATCAGTGCTCAGTGGTTCAACCTTCTTGGACTCTGGTTCAGGTTCCTTCTTGATGCTCTTTGCTTCTACAGGCTTCTCCTCTACAGGCTCTTCTACAAGCTTCTGTTCTGGCTCATCATTATCATCATCATCCTCCTCATCAAAAGCATCGAAAAATTCATCATCTTCATCCGAATCATCAAAAATCTCTTCCAAGACAGTCTGTTCAGGAGCTGGGATGTCTTGACAAATCCCAATGATTCCTCCAGGTCCCAAGCCTTCCAGCTTGACAGGACCAACTTGGGTAACGTTGCCATTGGCGAAATATTTCTTCAATTGCTTCTTCTGACCTTCAAACTCTGCCAATTTGTTTTCTCTCTTGGAAAATTCATCCTCCAATTGATGAATGGTGTTTTCCCACAACTTGTTGACTTCAAGTTGTCTTTCCAAACGGCGTTCAACCTTGGCCACCCGGGTCTCTACAAGTGCGTTGAACTTTTCAAACGACTCGTGGATCGTGTCAAGCGTCACCAGAGCCACCTTGTAGATCTCATTCGTTTGATCGCCAGAGTTGCTGGCCTCCACTTTTTTGAAAAGATCAAGCAAACTAAAGATCCCCACTTCAAGGGACCCCTTGAGAGTCGAGACTTGATTGCTCAAACTCTCAGACTTGGCACTGGGGTCCCCGTTGAGCTTGGTGAGGTCTTCGTCGTCCGAATCGAGTTCTGATTCGTAATCACCTTCTGAATCGTAGTCAAAGTTTTCTAAATCCAGCTCCACATACGATTCCGAGGTGTGGCTAGCCGCGGTACTGCCAGGAACACTGGCAGTTGATGGAGTAAGAAGTTTATTTTCTTGAATCTTATCAAGATTTGGAGAAGTTGCCGTTGTGGTTGAGGAGTTCGATGGTGGTGGCGGTTGAATCGTGACATTGGCTTCATTCTTTGATCTGATTGAATTGGTGTCTTCCACGTCACTTCCTGCAGAGTTGATCGAGGACGCAGAGGTGGATCTCTTGTGTTTACTGGATCTTCTAGGAATGTGCAATAATCTCTTTTTCTCAACTGGTTGTTCATCCAAGGAGTTTCTGAACGATGATTCGGTGGTTGGACTGCTGGAAGAGCCAGAATTTGGTCCAGAAGAAGAAGAATTGATGATGGTGGTGGTGGTAGCACCACCAGAACTGGCTTGTGCCTCTTGACGTTGTTTCTTCAAATTATCCTTGGCAATGGTGATTGCATTCTGCAAGGTCCATACCCAACGATTGGTCTCGACCGGGTGGTTAGCCTTCAAATGCCAACGGATACCGTTTTTCCCAATGATCTCAAACTTCAATTTCTCCGACAGATCAAGGTGAAGGTACGCAAAACTCAAGTTGAGCAGCCCGCGACAAGCGTTGTTGGTGTCGTCCTGGTTGGTGTAGTAGGACAACACGCCAAACAGGTCCAACACAAAGTACCGGAGCTTGTAACCCAGGGCAAAGTTTGTCCATTTGCGGAGGTATCCCTTGTACAGGGGAGAGTTCCCCAGCTTGATGGCGTTGTTGGTGTTGATCACCGGGTCCATCAAGCTCAGGTTACGTGACGCATTCTTCAAGAGACGCTTCAAGGCATCGTTCTTGGTGACCAAGTCGACGGGGAGTTTCCCGCGACGGTCACGTTTGAACGGATCACCGCCGTGTTTGAGGATCCATTCGCACATGGCCACGTCATCCTTCTTGATGAACTCGTGGAGCACGGTGTTTCCCGTGTCTGGGTCGCCGCCGTTGATGTCCAAGAGCTCGGACGCACGTGGGTTCAGCACAAGGAGCAGTTCCAAGTTGTCAAAGTCCCGAGCCGAGAAGTATTGACGGAGTTGGATCGACGATTTCTCAACAAACTTGGCCCGTTCGAATTGCATGAGCTGGGCAATGTTTGGGTCTCGGCAAAGCTCGACGGGCTGTTGTTTGTGGATGTTGACCACGGTGTCATTGATGATTGGGAGGGCAAGAAGGTACTTGACCACGTCTCCGCGCAGTGCCTGGGCAGCAATATGAAGCGGCGTGTTACCATCCTCATTCTGGGCGTTTATGTCGATGTGGAAGCGGGCTGCGTTGGTCACAAGATATGCCAACACATTGGCCGGGGCCACTTGCACCGCATAATGAAGCACAGTCTCTTTCAAAAGAGTCACATCATGAGTCTGGGTGGTGTTCGGGGTGGCCGCCAATTCGGCCATTACTGTGTCGACCTTGGCGGTTTCTCCTGACCGCAAGGCGTCAAGCAACTTGAGTCGGAGGAGCGACGCGGAAAGGGTGGACATAATCAATTGAGTAGAGTCGCTGGTGGTCAATTGGGGAGGGTCACTGGTGGTCAATTGAGGATGCTTAGTGTAGAGTCGCTTATGAGAACTCAGGGGGGTAGGTAGTACAAAACACAAAGAAAAGCTTTTCACGGGCGGATAATTTTGGACCCAATTGTGTGGTGAAAGGGGGGGCAAAATATGGCTACAGGGGAAGCTTGAACAAGGTGCGAACAAGAAAGGAAAGTGTCTACAGGGTGGTGAGAGAGCGGGGGGGCGGAAGGAGGAAGAGACGGTTGGCGGGTTGTATTGCTAGTAGCAATGTTACGGGTGACACAAAAGGCCGCGAGACCATTTAAAAGTAAATAGTAGAGAAAAAAGGTTGATCTATACCGAGGCAGTGCTATGACGTAGCTGGTCCGAGGGAGAAGTAGAATTTTCAGAATTACCCCATTGGCCGTGGATCAGGGGATCAGCGGATGGGGGTGAATAGAGTGGGTAGGTAGAGTGAGAGTGGTGTAGCGAGGTGGTGTTGGAAGGAATAAGCGGGGGGGTTTTCACTCCCCCCGGATTTGCGAAACGAGGAGATCCGGTGCGAGAGAATGAGAATGAGAATGAGAGATGGTAGAGGATAGCAAATTACTTGGGGGCAGGGGGGTTTAATCGAGTAGATAGGGACTAGATAGACTAGGCAATCGGCCCACTCGGTTCAAGAGATTGAACAAAACAAGATGAAGTTGATTGATGGGGTAATTGGAGTGGAGATGAAATTGCCCCTATTTATAGCTGATGCAGTCATGTGACACTCCCCCGGAAAGCCTCACACATCATGCGATTCGGCACGTGATCCTGTCAAAAAAGAGGGGGGGGTTAACCGGAATCATTTGGACCACGCCGTTGATCAGGATCGTTTGCATCGAGCGAGTGGTAGAGTGTGAGGGAGGGGAGAGTGGGATCTCCTCGAAGAGGAGCCAGGCACTACGCCAGTGGCTCTCCCCGAGCAGGGGCCCAGCCCAGCGGAGCGACTTACATGCCGCGCAGGGGGTACGGAGTGGGTACTGCCCTACGGGGTGTGCAAGCCGCTCCGCTGGCACTCCGTGGGCCACTAGCCGTGGGGGCTCCTGTTCCTCTAGCGAGGAAGGTGTCCAGAGAGTAGATCTCCTCGTAGAGGAGCTAGGCACCACGCAGTGGCTCTCCCCGAGCAGGGGCCAGCGGAGCGGCTTGTAGCCCCGCAGGGAAGGGAGTACGACCAGCCCTACGGGGTCTGCAAGCCGCTCCGCTGGCACTCCGTGGGCCACTAGCCGTGGAGGTCTTCTTCCTCTAACGAGGAAGGTATGGCTGCGAAAAAGACTCCTCGTAGAGCAGTCAGTCACCAAGCTAGTAGCTCTTCCCGAGAAGGAGGCATCCAGAGGAGTATCCCAGAGTCTCCACTAGTCCTCATATATTCAACCCCTTTCCAAGCGAGTTGGCGACTCCCCAAAGGGTTGTTGAAGAGTAGTTACCTGTAGACTTCCTAATAGGGAAATAATAATCACCCTTCTGTTGTCCATCCCCAAAGCTCTCCTCTTCAAGTAGCATTCAATCAATCTAGAATGATGTACAAGGCAAACAACACAGTCACCTTAGATCCTCACCCCCGTTGTGTCTTCTCTTCCAACTTTCCACGAGCAACCCTTTTGTCTCCCCCCGCCCCCTGTTCAATGTATCCCTTTCCTCATATATCTCTCACTATCTCTTTGTGTAACTATGGATTTGCGGTAAAACCTTGCCAAAAAAACAAAAACATAGGGCCATCCTCACCATCTATCTCCCCATCTATTGCAATAACCATGGCTGGGAAAAGAACGAAATTGGAGCTGGAACCCGCAGTTGATGAGAAGTCAGCCGGGGCCGACCCTCAGGCCAAACGGCCAAAGATTTCTCTTGAATCTCATACTCTTTATATAAATAATCTTAATGATAAAATTAATCTTAAAACCACAAAGCACCTGCTTTATTTACTTTTCTCGACGTACGGTGACGTGGTGGACATAGTGCTCAACCTGAAGCGCAAGAACATGCGTGGCCAGGCACACATTGTGTATGGGAACGTCCAGTCTTCTGCTCTTGCCCTTAAGGCTTTGCAGAAGTTTGAGTTTTACAACAAGCCGCTCAACATCGCGTACGCCAACAAGGTTTCCCGGGTGGTGGCAGACTCTATTGAGGAGCAAGAGGATTGAGCGAAGTTTCAGATGTGATTTATAGATTGTATATACGTATAGAAGTCGAGGGAGCCCGGTCGGCCCACTAAGACACTAACAGACAGATGGTACTTGGCAGGAACTGGGCCACGACTAGGATCCAAGATCTATTGGTCACACGAATCTCTCGAAAGAGTACTGGCCCAAGAGACCCCCACGCCCAAGCTTGAGCAGCTTGGTGGATGGGGGTGGTCAACTGGTAGAGCGTACAATTGGACAGACGAGCCAGACTTTACATGTTTCCACCACAGCCATAGAAACGCCTAACCTTAACGTAAATAGAAAGGAATCTAATAGATAGTCTACAATATAAGAATTCTTCTGTGATGCCCAATAATCTCCTCGTAGAGGAGCCAGGCCCCATGCCAGTGGCTCACCCCGAACAGGGACCAGCGGAGCGTCTCACATACGCCGTAAGGTGAAGCTAATCCCTTCCCTGCGGGGCTGTGAGCCGCTCCGCTGGCACTCCGTGGGCCACTAGCCGTGGGGGCTCCTGTTCCTCTAGCGAGGAATTGGTGTGGGTACTAGAGGTCTCCTCGTAGAGGAGCTAGGCACCACGCAGTGGCCCTCCCCGGGCAGGGGCCAGCGGAGCGGCTTTCAGACCCCGTAGGGCTGCTAGTACTCCCTTCACAGCGGGTCTACAAGCCGACTCTAATGAAACTCCGTGAGCCACTAGCCCCTGGATGCATAAAAGGAGGAGCCCAGCTCAGTGACTAAGGTCAGGGGCTCTAATGTTGTTGGTTGTATTGATCTATTTACATTTGTCTAGTTAAGCCAACTTCAAGGCGTCTTCTAATCCGTTTTGCACACAGTCCGGGACCCCGATCCCATTACCAAAGGCCATTCCTCCAAGAGATACGGTGCCCTTGAACTCAGAGTGTAATTGCTCCTCCACCTCGGCAGCCAAGGCGGAGTACCCAACCTCATACTGCGGGATGCAATCCTGGTGGTAGTTGAACGACACGAGGATGTCCGTGTCTGCTACTGCACGGTCTGGGCCGGAGTTGGTCTTGCGGTGAGTGTCGAGGTCGACCATCCGAAGGCCCGCCAAGTCCACGTCCAACTTCAGTTGTAACACCTCGCGAACGATCCTCATGCGCATGGAGGACGACATTGGAGGGTCCTGTTGGTTGTAGAAATGACCGCCAAACATGAGGGTGATGGAGTTGGAGGAGCCAGAGCCAGAGGCGGTGGTGGAGGAGGAGCTAGTCTCCTTGTCCTTGTGGAAGGGCTCGACGTTCTGAGCTATGTCACTGTCAAAAATGACCCCGAGTAAGCGCTCCGGGTTGGCGGCCTTCTTGGGAACAAGGAACCCAAACCCATGGCAATTCTGCGGGATGAGTGGCGTAGACTTGGAGTACACATTGACAAGCAACACCGACACGTATGGGAGTTTCCGGAGTGGAGAACTGGAGTCCGCCGCCAAAAGGTTGGCAAGGGTCTTGGTGTTGATGGTGGACCGGAAATGGTCAAAGGAGGACTCACCCCCGTCCAGCATTCTCACACACACCTGGTCCCCCAGTGGAGACTTCGAAATAGCTGCAACCGGTGCCCCGTAGACAATGTTGACGTTGTCACACAGTTCGAGGTGGTTTGCCACCGCATTGGGGAGTTCTTGTAACCCGCCTTGAAGTCTCAACACGGGGAACTTCAGCAATTGGCTGGCCACTCCTTGTAAGTCACTGTGCTGAGATATCCTCTTCTCGTACTCTTGGAGCAGCTGGGAGAGTCCCGAGCCACCACCAAGCTTGTGGCCCGACTGGTGGGACTTGGCCCCAAAACATTTCTTGACCATCGCCATGAAAATGGACCCATGTGCCCTTTCCATCTCAACCATGGCCGGGATCACCGACCTGGCACTCAACCGAGCCACGTCCCCGGCATAGATCCCGTGGAAAACTGCACTCAAGACGTTGTCAGAGAGAGCAGTACTACCAAACCTACGTTTTACAAATGACTCGATACTTTCGTCGACCGGCAACTTCTCTCCACGCCTGAACGGCTCGCCTACAACCGCTCTAATCAACCCGGCGGTCAAGTCTCCAAGATGGAACCTGAAACTGCCCACTTTTACCAATTCATCGCCACCGCCACCCAAAATGTACTTGTTGTTAGCGACCGAATTTCTTGACATCACCTCGATTTCCGGGGCTTTTCCCAACTGCTTCAACATGTCTACAATGAGCAACGTTCCCTCGCTGACCCCACGGAGCGTCCGGGGGCCCTTCTCGAACAACACAGGCTCCCGGGCCACCTCCAGGGCGGCCACTTTGTCTGTATTGATCCATCCACCGGGCCTGGTATTTTGCTCGTATAGAGTGATTTTCACATCCGGTCGTAACTTGTTGAGAAAATATGCAAATGATAGGCCGGAAATCCCCGCTCCAAGCACAGCAACACTCCCATTAGGACGGATTCTAGTTAATGACATGGTTCCGGCAAACAAAGTTCTTTTCACTCAGCCACTTCCAGAACTTCCCTTTTTCGCCTTGCCTGATTTCTTGTCTGGATGTGTTGTCCCCATCCATACCATCAAGAAAGTTGTCTGATGGCTGTCACATGACATGCGATCGGAAGTTTAGCACGACCCTGACCAGAGAGTGCAATGTGCAGGAGAGGCGAATAGTCACGTGCACGGCCATAGAACAATGTTATAAGAGACAATTGGTTGCAAATTACAAAGATACAAGAGAAGACAAGAGACAAGGATTACACACAGGCACGGGGGAGAATAATACTCTATGGTGCCCCATTTACATTTAGAAGAACCAACCCTACGGGGTTTTGCAAGCCGCTCCGCTGGCACTCCGTGGGCCACTAGCCGTGGAGGCCTTCTTCCTCTACCGAGGAACAGAGAGGAGGTGCTGTAGAACTCCTCATAGAGGAGCTAGGCACCACGCAGTGGCCCTCCCCGGGCAGGGGCCAGCGGAGCGGCTTGCAGCCCCGCAGGGATAGGGTGTGGGTTCCGCCCTACGGGGTCTGCGAGCCGCTCCGCTGGCACTCCGTGGGCCACTAGCCGTGGAGGCCTTGTTCCTCTAGCGAGGAATACTGCTGGGCTCATACGGAGTGCTTGCATAGAAGGGAAAGTTGGTATGTCGCTACGCTTGATCTCTAGTATAGCATAAATAATTAGAATACACTCTCTATATAGTCGGACTGTCCCCCGCCCGGGCCGCACAGCAGCACTAGGGGAGCACCAGCCTCACCCTCCATCCATCTTCTCCGCGGCTATCCGGCCAAACTCCTTGCAGTAGTTCTTCGACAGCTCAATGGCACAGTCAATTACATCGTCGTTGTACCCCACGGACTCGTCGCCCGAACCCATGACCCGCGGCCCGGAACTGACCATGGATGTGCCCGTCAAGAGCTCATTCAACAAGTTCCGTATATGGATGATCTCCACCGTAGCATCGGCAACGGACACCGAAAGTGTCAATCGACTTGATCGAGTTCCGACCAGGGTTCGCGCGCCAGTTCCGGTCCCGGTCCCACTCAACCTTGAGAATCGACCAATGGGCTATCCCATTGGGGATCAACGCATTTGCATCTCGTGGAGCACAAAGTATCTTGGGGTCTTCCCATCCGGGCACATCGACGTTCAACGTGATGTAGGACGATAGTTGTGTGATTTTGTACTCATTGACGTCGTTATCCCGGGTTATAACCGCCAAATTGGGTCGATACATCGAAAAGCCACATCCACATTTTCCGAGGTGCGCACGTGCAAACCCAAGCCAAATCTCTTTATTCCGGGGCACAATCGAGTCGGAAATCGATTCGATATCCGAGGGCGACTCCCCTCGTATGCCATGTTTGATAACATCTCGAAGATTCAACATTTGTGTACCACCCCTTAACTCCCCCACAGGCTCGTTCTCGGGTAGGTCTGGGTCGCGTTTGTATTCAAACTCACACAAGGAGTATCCTTGGAACCCAGTCAATTGACATTTGAGGATCTCCAAGTGTTTCCATCGATAGATGAAGTAGATCATGTGGTCGCCGCCCCCGGAAGTGGTGGTGCTTGCCGCCCCTAGTTTGGATCTTTGACTAGGATTTACAAATGGAGTCCAATTCTTTTCCACTGCTAGACGTCTCGAGTGGGACCGGCGTAACTCAGCCGTCCGGAGGTAGAGATTGGAGTCGTACAACGGGTTAGACATCCCGTCAACGTTCACTTTCCCCCGTTGGAATTGAAAGGCCCATGACATGAAAATCGACCGGTAGAATTTAAACTTGATGATCGAGTGGGTGTCCTGGCGCTGGTCCTGGTCCTGGTCTTGGTCCTGGCCTTGGCCCAGCTGCTGCTCGTCCATGGGCTCCTCTCGGTGAACCTTACGATGGTACTGATTGTACACAATGAGTGGCTCTTCGAACCCGGCGTCATTCTTCACGAGAATGATCCGTGGGTCCTCGGCTCCGTACCATCTGCTCTTGGTGAACTTGGCATTGTGGTAGAGCGGAACCGGCAAGAACGACGGGAATTTCATGAGCCTGTACTCGATGTGTGCCGGTTGCAGCCCATCCATCTTGTTGCTGGGGATCACCAACTCAGTGTTGTGCAACTCCCGCCAGTGTTCGTCAAAGAGCTGGCCGTACGTCAAGCTAAGCAATTGGCCCCGCTTGTACCCGCTGGGGAGGTACATCACGCGCGACACCATGAAATGGACACGGTACTCCTCCAACCATACAGACGTCCCGGCAAACCTCAACCAGTACTTGGCGCAGTCGCCAGCCTCGACGTGTTGTTCCAACGACGATTGGCCGTCTTCGAGGAGGAAGAAATCCCGCAACTCCTTCATGGGAGGTTCCTCTCGGATCTGTTCCGCTAATCTCGCCACCACCTGGTTCATGTCCAGGGCTAGTGAGTACGTTCTGGTGATCTCCACCGCCAATGTCTTCATCAAATCCGGCGAGCACGTACCGCCGCCATCCTTCAAATTCTTCACGGCGTCAAAAGTCTCGATGGTGTGGGTTGTATACGTCTCATCGGTGAGGATATCCTCGGTCAACGGCGCTTGGCTGTTGTGGAAGGAGCTGGCACCCTTGGGCTTGAAGATCTTGGAACTAGGCCCACCTACAGAGTCGGGTTGGGGACCCTGGCCCTGGCCCTGGCCCAGGCTCAGGCCCAGGCCCAGACTCACACTGGTTCTTACAAAATGGTCCCTGTAGTACTCCTCGAGATCCCCAACCTCAGGGAAAGATTGGGGGAAGATAATATTCTTCGACGAGGTAAAGTATTCTACCTGGAGGTCTATGCCTTTCCAATGGACGTAGTGGAGATATGCCAAGAACATTATAGCAGCAGAAACCATTGCCGCAGCCATTGCCATTGCCATTGCTGCTGTCACCGGCACCGGCACCGGCACCGGCACCGGCAACAGCACCTTGGCGACGACCGCACCTACCCATCGCACTCGATTGATAGCTATCCTCATACTGGTCAAGCATACACAAACACCCCCCGGTGCAAAAGACCAGGCGCCCGCCCTCCTATTTATTTATTGCTGCAGGCTAGGCACCCCAACCGCCCGCCGTGCCCCTTTGGTCAAGACACACACACGCTCACAATGCACAATAGCCCCGTCCACGCTACGTCTATGAGGGGGCTACTCGGAGCTCTCTTCCATTTCTGCGTGGTACCTGTCTGGCGCTTGTACATCCCCCGAGGACACCAGCAGCTCGCGGTCTGGGTAGGTCCGGAGGGCGGGACGTACTAGGCGCATGGGAGAACGTCCAGGACGGGGACTGGGAACCAACCCACGGCGGCTACTCCAAAGCATTCCGCGAGTGCTCCGCGATAGGAGAGCGTGCAAAGAGAGAGAGAGGGCCGACTTTTGCATCACCACATTGCCCGTTGGCCCGCCTTGGAAAAGTATAATTAGGGTAATTCAAACCTCACATGCGCGGCGCGGGGTACTCCTCCAGTCTTCGGCGCTTCTCTGGTGGGAATTAGCAGCCCTACAGGTCCCCAGTCGTGGTCGGGCACCAGCAAGGGAGACGTGCGGCGCACCGATAAGCTCGCGCATTGGCTGCAAGCTGCAGGGGCGCCCCTCACTTGACAGGTTGCTCGTACACCGAGCGCCAGCGGGGCCTGGTTCACTTCCCTCGAAGCTTGTTACCCTGTGGGACAGTGAGACGCTCCGCTGGCCCCTGCCCGGGGAGGGCCACTGCGTGGGGCCTAGCTCCTCTACGAGGAGACCTCTAGTACACACACCAATTCCTCGCTAGAGGAACAGGAGCCCCCACGGCTAGTGGCCCACGGAGTGCCAGCGGAGCGGCTTACAGCCCCGCAGGGAAGGGATTAACTTCACCCTACGGGGTCTGTGAGACGCTCCGCTGGCGCCCCTGCTCGGGGAGAGCCACTGCGTGGGGCCTGGCTCCTCTACGAGGAGAACTACTGGCTGGTCACATTCCTCGTCAGAGGAACAGGAGCCTACGGCTAGTGGCCCACGGAGTGCCAGCGGAGCGGCTCGCTATCCCCGTAAGCAGTACCCACCTCTCGTCCCGTCAGCTCTACTCTCCTCTCTGAGCGGCTGAGCGGCCGTGCGCCCAGTCGTCGTGTCTTCCTACAAAGTCCCCTCCCTTGGGAAGGTGCTACTTGCTCTCACAGTTGTAGAACATCTACCATCATGCTTCTTATGCCATTAAACTATATATACTCTCTATAATATAACAAAGCAGTAGGTGGGATGGACAACTCTCCCGAGAGGCGAGTTGCTCGAGGTGTCCTGGGGACAGTCCACGGAGACACCAGTAGATTGTAGGTTCATCCCAAGAGGTGTTCATGGTTCTGCACGAGGTCCCTACTCGGGAAGTGGTCCTCCACGGCCAGTGGCCCACGGAGTGCCAGCGGAGCGGAACCACAGACCCCGCAGGGAAGGGAGTACTACCAGCCCTACGGGGGTTCTGTGAACCGCTCCGCTCGGGCCCCTGCTCGGGGAGAGCCACTGGCGTGGTGCCTAGCTCCTCTACGAGGAGACTGCTTGTACCTCTATGTTCCTCGTCAGAGGAAGAAGGCCTCCACGGCTAGTGGCCCACGGAGTGCCAGCGGAGCGGCTTGCACACCCCGTAGGGAAGGGAGCACCCACTCTCTACGGAGCCTGAGAAGCGCCCCGCTTTTCAAAGATAGTCACTGCGCTATTCCTGGACCTCAGAAGGAGGTGGAGAGCGGTGCCTCGCCACCATTCGCGGGGTTCATCAGCTCGGCAGTGATGATACTGAGTTGGTCATTCTTGTCGGAAATGCCTATGGCAGACTTCTCGACGTCGTCACGACTGTAGTTCTCCAAGAGGGACAAGCCCTGGTCAAAGTTCAAGGTATTGGTGGTGGAAAGAGGGACCGTGCCGGCATACTCGCTGTCTTGGGTGAACAAGCTGCTGTGGCCCGTGTCGAGTCTGGTGGGCCGCGGGCGTTCCATCGAGGGGATGTATGGCTCAGGAACCGCCGTGTATAACCCACCCACTGGAGAGTCTCTTCCCTCCGAGTTCGAGTTGGAGTTCACATCTACCGAGCCACTGGTGGATCCACTCATGGACGCAGAGTCGGTGTCGCCGGGGTCGGTGACACTTTCCTGGGTGCCAGACTGGGTGGTTGGGGCCGAGTCGCTCGTTTCCTCGGAGGCACAATCTGGAGCGACCGCACACGAGCTCGAAGATCTTCTCCGAGACACAGGCAGCGCGGCTGCAGCTCCAGCTCCAGCTCCGTTGGACACTTCCATAGGGGCAAACGAGTTGACGAGCGAAGACCGGATCCGCGAGGGGTTAGCGTCGGTTTCCGAGAAAGACAGGCGAGGGTCTTGATGCGGCATTACAAGCTGTTGGCCCTGAACAATCTCGTCGATGGTCCCGCCACCGAGATGCAGCATGTTCAGGTCCGCCACCTCGTAGGCGGGTGCAGGGTCCGCCATGGAGATGGAGGGGATTCGGCTGAGAGGTTCTGACTCTCCAAACGAAACCGACCGGGTGATGGGCGAGCCCGGGTTGGAGGTGGCCTCTTCGAAAGTGGGGAGCTGGTCTGCACCTTCTGCACTGGAGAACTCGTTCAATGGTCTGATGCTGACTCCGTTCTTGGAGTAGGTGTACGAGGGGGTTCTGAAGCTGACGCCGCCTCCAGGGGTTTGTGGGGGAGCTGACGCTCCTGGAACTCCCAGAGAGGTGCAGAACTCTTCCAACTCGTCGTACTTGGGCAATTGGATGGACTCATCGTCACACTTGGCACTCAAGAGAATGAAAGGGGTGTCGACCACCACCTCGTAGTGGTGCATTTTGTAGCCATCTCGAGGGTCTGGCTTGGAGATCCGGAAACAAACCTGGAGCCGGTGGTGGATCTGGATGTGTCTGAAGTTCGAGTCCGGGTACAAGGCCTTGGAGAGAACGGTGTAGCCGGCCAGGATGTTTTCTCGGGTGCCCCCCGTGTCTTCAGACATGTAGTTTGATGAGTCAGGGGAGAAGGAGTCTTCGAGGCTCAATAGGGCGGAGGAAGCGCTAGCTGTTCCCGTGGCGCCCGTGGCGGCAGCAGAAGATGATGAATTGGCCCCACCGCTACCATTTGACGAGTCCAAGCTCAATTCCGTCATGCCATGGTGGATGTTTGTTTCCATTGCGCCAATGACCGGGGAGGACATGGACGTGGTGGAGTCGCTACGGTGACGGAAGGGTCCGAGCAGGCCTCTACGAGAGGAGTCCTGGTTTGCCGAGAAGATGGAGTTGCGGCCACTGGCTTCTAGGTAGTTGGACTCTTCACCAGAGGTTGTCAAGGTTGTTTTATCGGCCTTGGTGGTGAGAAAGGGTAAGGCAATGTTGATGTCGAGTGGTGATGCAATCATGACGGCGGTGGAAGAGGACTCTGAGTTGTCTCCTACAATCTTCAGCAGGCCGTTCTGGCTCGTTTTGGCACCGTTTGCCGCCGTTTTGGCACCATTTTGGCTCGTTTTTGGGCTGTTTTGGCTCGTTTTTGGACTGTTCTGGCCCGTTTTCGGGCTCGATGGCGCCAAATTTGAACCACTTGGCGTGTGATCCTCCTCATAACAACTAAATAACAAATTGTTGTCCTTACATTTGACTACTTCTTCCTTGTACAGCTCCAGACTACCAGAACGTGCCGTCTTGGTCTTGAGCTCACAGATGGAAACCACACGCTCACGTACTTTGGTGTCGCCAGTGCCATACTTGAGATAGAACGGATCCTCACTGTCGTAGTCCTGCTCACGCGCCAAGTTCTTCAGCACGTACGTGATGCGCTCCAACACGTTGAACTTGATTCGTTTGATCACCACGTCCTTGACCAAGGGCACCAACTTGACGTTGATCTGGTGCTCGGAGCCGAGCGAGACGTACTTCTTCGGGAACGTGATCGAGTAGTGGAGCGAGTCGTTCCAGATCCGGTTCACGTAGATGGGCTTGTCGGCGATCGAGTTGGCAAACAGTGGCGGTGTGCGTACCATGGGGAGGTCGTACAGGGTCGAGAACTTTGACTTTCGGTTCAATTTGGCCGAGATCTTTTGGAATTGTACCGTGAGGTTATGCAGAAGTGACCCATTGACCGACGCGATGTTGGCGGGGATATGTTCTGGGAGGAGGATCGGGAGGAGAAAGACGTAGATCCCTGCGTTGACTTCTGAGGGGGAGGAGGAGCCAGAGGAGGAGGAGGAGGAGGAATAAGTGGAGGCAGACGGCTTGCTGGGGCTCTCTCTACTGTTGAGGGAGGAAGAGGATCCATGGGAGGATCCATGGGAGGAACCGTGGGAGGGACTGTGGGAGGAACCGTGGGAGGTAGCACTCTCAATGTCATCTAATCGATACGACCGAGTACGACGGACAAGGTCCTCCTTGGTGGTTTCTCTCGACTTGACGTCGCTGCTGTTGGAAGTGTTGATGTAGTAGTCGGCGTCTTCGAAACGCGGACGCCACTCCATGAGCCCGATCTTGAACCGCTCCTTGGTGTAGGTCTTGTTGAAAGGGTCGCCGCTGGGCCAGAAGATGTTGACAAGCGATTGGAACCGGATGCGGAGGTCCTTGAGCTGGTAGGCCTTGGGGAGCTCGACGATCACCGCAAAGGTGTGCGGGATCGGGAGGTCCGCGTCTATTTTGGAGGAGAGGTAATTGGGAGAGTGGAAGGAGGTGAGGAGGTTCATGAGAGGGTCTGCGGGACGCTCAGCAGGGTTCGAGGTTGGAGTGGCCTCCCCGTGGGCCGATGGTGTGACGGTAGGCTGGCCCCTGCCCGCGGAGGGCCACTGTGTGGGGCCTCCTTGCTCCTCTTCGAGTAGGGAGGAGGGGGGAGGAGGCGTGGAGGTTCGGGAGACCGGGTACTCCTCACCACGACCGTTTTCCACGTCCTCGTAGGTGAAGCTGGCACTGGTGGCTGGCGGGAGGTAGATGCAGTCGTTGGTGTTGGCCACGTAGATCTTGATGGAGTCGGAGCTGGAGTTCAAGGAGGAGTTGCGGACCGGGAGGTTGATGGGGCCCTGGAGGCCAAAGTCCTGGAGGAAGGACACGAGCTTCTTCAGGATGACCGTCAGGATCTCTTGCTTGATGAGCGCCTTGGTTGCCTTTTTGGTGGAGCCGGAGCCGGAGCCGGGGCCTCCGGGGGAGGTGGAGGGTGCAAGTGCTCCCGCAAGGGTGGACTCAGTTCTGCTACGACTGCGGCTACGGGAGCGGGAGTGGTTGATGGTGAGGGACTTTGCTCTGAATCTCCCGTGAGGAGGTGGGGAGGTTGCCGGTGCAGGGCCCAGGCCACCAGCAGATGAGCCGTGATGGCCATGGGACAGAGACGGTATGGTGGAGCCGCTCTCAGTGATCACAATCATGGGGTTGGAGAGACTGTTACGACGTTGATCTGGAGAGAGAGAGGGAAAGTCCAGCAACCCTTCTGAGGATGAGCGACGGCTCACTTTATTTTTAAGTTTGTCCAAGCTAAAGCTTCGGCTGTGCATGGGGATATGAGTGGAGGGTGGAGGTACTGACAGGTGGAGGGTGGAAACACTGACAGGCTGAGAGACTGACTGACAGGAATGACCGAGGGATCAGGGAGGAGCCTGGAGGTCTAGGTCTAGGGGGTCAAGGTCTATATGGAGGGGACCTACAGATACACCAGGGGACTGAGGACTAAGTAGAAGACCAGACAATTAGGGAGGGAAGGAGGGGGTACAAATTACGTCAAAATTGAAGTGACAAATTTTGAAGATGAAACGAATGCGCCGGATTTCTCAGATAAAGGGGGGGACCTTGGGAAAGCTCGGAAGAGAAGAAGAAGTGAGAAAATGAGGTCCAGGGGGTAAAGGGGCAAAGTGCGGGTGTGGTGCGGGTAGACACGCGCGAGGGATGGCGAGAGGAGGTGAGAGAGAGAGTGAGAGGGAGAAGCAGGTTATTAGCCAAGACAGAAGAGAGAAGGATCTGGGCAAAGGTGGGGTGCAGGTTGTAGGAGAGAAGGTAGTATGGGGTGTTTTAGAGGATGTGTGATTGTTAAGAGCCCCAGGCTTGGCGAGTGACTGAGAGTGCGGGAGAGAAGAAGGGAGATAAGGCAGAAGCAAGAGAAGAGGAGGAGGGTGAGAGATGGGAGGTGGGAAGTGGGAGCGAGCTGGTTGGATTGGTGGAGGGGGAGAGGAGCTGATAGAGTGGTGGTTGGTGGAGTTGGTAGGGAGAACAACAATGGGAAAGATAATGGAGGCTGAGATAACGAATTGGGTCCGGAAGAGAGGTGGCGGTCAGGTGACGCGCAAGGTGCGCGACCGGCAATTCCGACCGTGGTGCGGTGAGAGTGGTGGGGGCACCAGAGACGAAGGAACCCTTGAAGAAGAAAGAGAGGGGGGAGGGGGGGTTGTGGAAGAGGGGACGACGCAGCCACGGCTGAGTTATTGTTTTGATTTAGATTTTAGTCAGGGGGTTGACAGCGGGTAAGTTGAGGGCTGAGCGACGGGGGGTCGGTAGCGATATGAGACGGGGACCCACCAACACAACAAATCTCATTAGTAATCGGGAGCCCATTGTTTTGCACGATCGATGAAATTGGTGAGCGTCTCTGATTGGGGGAGGCGTCGGCTGACTTCCGGTCAATTTATTTCTTTTTTTTTTTTGCTGTCACGTGAGGGTGACAGGGTGGGAGTGCATATAGAGGGGAGATTACGAGGAAGTCAGAGGTGACGGTTTACGCTCCGCTGGGGCCCCTACCCGGGGAGGGCCACTGGCGTGGGGCCTAGCACCTCTTCGAGGAGAGAGGGATGGGGCAGGTAGGTGGTTCCTCGTGAGAGGAAGAAGGCCTCCACGGCTAGTGGCCCACGGAGTGCCAGCGGAGCGGAACCACAGACCCCGTAGGGAAGGGGGGAGTACTACCAGCCCTACGGGGGTTCTGTGAATCGCTCCGCTCGGGCCCCTGCGCGGGGAGAGCCACTGGCGTGGTGCCTAGCTCCTCTACGAGGAGACTGCTTGTACCTCTCTGTTCCTCGTCAGAGGAAGAAGGCCCCCACGGCTAGTGGCCCACGGAGTGCCAGCGGAGCGGCTAGCAGTCGCACAGGGAAGGGAGTACTACCAGCCCTACGGGGGTCTGAGAGACGCTCCGCTGGGGCCCCTGCTCGGGGAGAGCCACTGGCGTGGTGCCTGGCTCCTCTGCGAGGAGACTTTTTCGCAGCCAATCTTCCTCGCTAGAGGAACAAGGGCCTCCACGGCTAGTGGCCCACGGAGTGCCAGCGGAGCGGCTTACTGCCCCCAGAGGGAAGGGAGAACCCCACTCTACCAGGCCCGAGAGACTCGTCTCCCCCTCTCTCTCTATACCAGGCAACAACACACGTGATCGGCCACACGTGCTCTCATATCACGTGTGCTTGGAACCTAAAAGACCAATTCCAGAAATTGTCCCACCTACTTTAGACGGGGCTTTGCGGGACCTGGCCCGATCTGCAGCCTAATGTTCTTACTCCCTTCCCCTCATTTCTTTTTCACCTCAATTCGCCTACACTTTGACTCTCCGAGGCGTCATAGCCGGTCAGGAATGGTAAACCGTGGCGACTGGTCATGTGATCGGCGATTTTTTATTTTTTCCCCGTTTGCGTTTATTTTTTTACCGTATTCGGTGTTTTCTTGCCGTTGGTCCGCCTTACAGTTGCGAGCGCGTGCGCATGAACGGCGAAAACCACGAAAACCTCGCATTGAAACGGCCGACCCACGTGACTTAAATCACGCAAACATGAAATAAAATCCCTCAAAAGGACCCACCACTCTAAATTGGAAGAGGTAAGCTTGTAGATATAAGCCACTAGTAAGAATCTGAGAGAGTATCTACTCAGGGGGTGGTAAAAAAGGTGGATCTCTGAGAGTCTTAGGTTGTTGTTATCGGCCCGTTCGGCCGATCGGCCAATCAATTTCTTTTGTTTAACAACTCCGGTCTAAGAAACATTTGGAACAATATGTACCAACACCTCCTCCTACTGTAGTATAAACCGGTGTTTAGCTGGCGTTAAAAACCCTCCCTTCCCAATCTAATCGCTCATTATCGCCGACTTCTGCCGTTCCATGCACGAAAAATGCGCAAAAGAAAAAATTGCGAAAAAATAATGCAGCAATTCTGCAGCCTCGGCAGCGACTATATAGACAGCGGCATATCCTCCAGTCTTCTCCAGTGTTCATCCGAATAACTCACTCCACATACCACTTCCTCACCATGAGTGACACCTCCTCCATCAACTCAGAGAAGCGCGAGCAGGAGTACCATCCTGAAGCGCTTCCAGCCGCATCCATGCAGAGAACAAGAACCAACCACACCATGCGGTCCGTGCAATCGGAACGTGCCATTGAGAAGATTGTGTCCGAATTACAAGAAGGCCTGGGTGCTCTCGGGCCCTTGGAAGAACCATTGGATATCAAGAAGACCCTCACCCACCCGGACACCCACTCGGTGCCCCACCCAGAGGACCCTTGGGGGTACCTTGTCGATGTGGACACCCAGTTACGTATCGTGCAATTTGTTGAAGGAGACGTCGAAAACCCCATGAACAAGTCCGCTGGAATCAAATGGGTCTACACCTTCTTGCTAGGAATCATTTGCTTTGTCGTGGCCCTTGGGTCTGCCATGGTCACCGGTGACTTGGAAGGTCCAAGACACACCCTTGGGGTCAGTGAAGAGATCATCATCTTGGCCTCTGTCACGATGTTTGTGCTTGGGTTCGGGATCGGGCCCGTCATCTTTGCGCCAATCTCCGAGGAAATTGGCCGTAAGCCCATCTATGTGTCCACCTTGGGCATTGCTGTCATCTTCATCATCCCCTGTGCTGTGGCCAACAACATCGCCACCATGATTGTTTGTAGACTCATTGATGGGATCGCCTTCTCGGCACCCATGTGTTTAATTGGAGGCTCTCTCGCCGATATTTGGGAAGCCAAGGATAGAGGTGCAGCCATGGCGGTTTTCTCTGCTGCTCCCTTCTTGGGCCCCGTCATGGGACCAATCTTTGGTGGGTTACTTGGAGACTTTGCCCCCACTTGGAGATGGATCTACTGGGCTTTCCTCATCATTGCTGGCTTCTTCTATGTCATTTTCGTGCTTGTAGTTCCCGAAACCCACCATGCCACCATCCTCAGAAAGAGAGTCAAGCACTTGCGTAAGATCACCGGTGACGACTCCTACATCGCCGTGGCCGACCTCAAGGTCCGTACCTTTGCCAAGGTTGCCGAGGAGTCCCTCCTCCGTCCATTCGTCTTGCTCAAGGAACTCATTGTCTTCTTGATCACCTTGTACATGTCTGTCATCTACGGTTTGCTCTACATGTTCTTCTTTGCCTACCCAATCGTCTACATGGAAGGGAAGGGCTGGTCTGCGTCCAAGACCGGGATCATGTTCATCCCTATCGGGGTTGGGGTCATCATCTCCTCTGCCATTGCACCATTGGTCAACAAGGACTACAACAGAAGAGCCCAAGAGTACCGTGATCGTGGCGAGCTCCCTCCAGCAGAACTCCGTCTTATCCCCATGATGTACGCCTGTTGGTGTATCCCAGCGGGGCTCTTCGCCTTTGCCTGGTCCTCGTACGAACACATCTCCTGGGCCGGTCCATGTTTCAGTGGATTGGCCTGTGGTTTTGGATTCACCAGTTTGTATAACCCGGCCAACAACTACATTGTCGACTCGTACCAACACTACGCCGCCTCTGCCTTGGCCGCAAAGACCTTTGTCCGTTCCATCTGGGGTGCCTGTGTCCCCCTTTTCACCATCCAGATGTACCACCGTTTGGGCTACGAATGGGCCACCTCCTTGATGGCCTTCATCTCCTTGGCCTGTTGTGCCATCCCCTACATGTTCTACATCTACGGTGCCAGAATCAGAACCTTCTCCAAGTACGCCTACGCCCCGGAGATGGACACCAAGAGAGATGTGGAGACCCAGAAGTAGGGTCCTTCCCCCCTGCCCCGTCCTTCTTCTCTTCCCTAGCATTAGCATTGCTATTTAGAAATAGTTACCCCGTATATATACAATTAATATAAAGCGCCACGATTCAGATCCCTTGGTGTAGGAGCGAGCACTACAATGTATGTGACACCAGAGCGTTTCTCAGACCCGTCGGGTGGGTGTTCCCTTCCCTACGGGGTGTGCGAGCCGCTCCGCTGGCACTCCGTGGGCCGCTAGCCGCGGGGGCCTTCTTCCTCTGGCGAGGAACAGAGAGGTACAAGTAGTCTCCTCGTAGAGGAGCTAGGCACCACGCAGTGGCCCTCCCCGGGTAGGGGCCCAGCGGAGCGGCTCACAGACGCCGTAGGGTGGGTGCTCCCTTCCCTGTGGGACTGCAAGCCGCTCCGCTGGCACTCCGTGGGACACTAGCCGTGGAGGCTCTTGTTCCTCTGACGAGGAATTTAGCGCTGGAGCTTTCTCCTATCACACAGGGGGTATCCCCGAGGAGGTAGACACTTGTACAGTCCCACAGGACTCTGAGATTGTGTTTGACAGTATGGTCGCTACTCTCGCACGGGCTGTCTAACGCTCCTTGAGGGAGTATACCGCACCAGAATACCCCGTTGTAGAACCAGGAGTCTCCACCCAAGGAACCCTCTGTGGGATCTGGCCCTGTTAGGGTGGGGACCGCACTCTTGTACTGCCCCAGAGATTCATTCTCGTCCTTTGCATGGCGTCCACGGTTTGTATCATCTCTGGGAACTAGTCATTTGACTCCTAAGGGAGGGTCTCATTGTAGGAGTTCTATCCCAAGCGTTCCTTTCCTTGAGCACCAGTGGGCCGCCTAGTCCTTCTCCAAGACATACCCACTCACATCCCCAGTGGTCTGTGAGACACTCCGGTGGGCCCCTCCTTCAGGGAGATACTGTGTGTGGTACGAGGAGAACTCAATGCCAATGTTCCTCGTGAGAGGAAGAGGGCCCCCGCGGCTAGCGGCCCACGGAGTGCCAGAGGAGCGGCTTGCAGAGGGAGCCCTACCAGCCCTACGGGGTTTGTGAGCCGCTCCGCTGGGCCCCTACTCGGGGAGAGCCACTGCGTGGTGCCTAGCTCCTCTACGAGGAGATCCAATGCCTTAGTCACCTTCCTCGCTAGAGGAAGAAGGCCCCCACGGCCAGTGGCCCACGGAGTGCCAGCGGAGCGGCTTGCAGTCCCACAGGGAAGGGAGCACCCACCCTACGGGGACTGAGAGACACCCCAGGGACATCTACTGAAATGGCGCGCCTGGTTGGACCGAAGGAATGGCTGCAAATTCACGTTGACGTACGTTCGGCTATCTGTGCGTACAGACACTCCTACGTGCATGAGGCAGGGGTCTTCAAAGGACCCCCAGTGCGCCTGTTGTAGAGGCACGGGCCACCCTAACGCCGGTCCTGATGAGTCCTTTCTCAAAGCCTCGTGCGGTACAAATGCCATCGGTGCTTCAACCATCGGTCTCGGTCCATTGGATACCTCTCAACATTTTCTCCGCCGTGCGCGCGCATGTGCGTGCCGGTCAAAAAGTTTTCCTCTTGGTGTTCCTGTTTCAAAGAATTTCACAAACGAACAGAAAAGGAAAAGAAAACTCCCTGTGACGGGCCACCCTGCCATTAGAGACCAATCTAGATACCCCCTTTCACTTCTCACATCTTGTTGGATTATCTCTCATTTGATATATGGTCGGTACACACGGCGACTAAGTTGCCCGACATTTTATCTTGTACCAGCCGTTTCCTGCACTTTGCGCAGATCGGTTCATATAATCCTCAACCATCGGTCAACCTGGTACCCTTACCGATATATGGTTGATGGCCCGTGGTGGGCCAGTGGCATATATAGAGTGCTAGGGACGCTCTCTCCTGGGTCAACCCACCCACTACCTACAAACCAACCATGAGCGACACATCCTCGATCAGCTCTGAAAAGCAGGAGCAGACGTACCATCCAGAGATGCGTCCGCAAAGAATTGCAACCACACATTCTGTGCGTTCCACGCAAACTGAAATTGCCATAGAGAAGATTGTGTCTGAGTTGCAAGAGGGAATGGGTGCTCTCGGGCCCTTGGAAGAACCCTTGGACATCAAGAAGACCCTCACCCACCCAGACACCCACTCGGTGCCCCATCCAGAAGACCCTTGGGGGTACCTTGTCGATGTGGATACCCAGTTACGTATCGTTCAGTTTGTTGATGGAGATGTAGAGAACCCATTGAACACAAGGGTTGCCAAGAAGTGGATCTATACGTCGTTGCTAGGAATCATTTGCTTTGTGGTGGCCCTTGGGTCTGCCATTGTCACGGGGGATTTGGAGGGTCCCAGACATACCCTTGGGGTCAGTGAAGAGGTGATCATCTTGGCCTCTGTCACGATGTTTGTGCTTGGGTTTGGCTTGGGACCGTGTGTGTTTGCGCCTCTTTCCGAAGAGATTGGCCGTAAGCCGATCTATGTATCGACCTTGGGGGTTGCTGTGATTTTCATCATCCCCTGTGCCTTGGCCAACAACATCGCCACCTTGATCGTTTGTAGACTCATTGATGGGATCGCCTTCTCGGCACCCATGTGTTTGATTGGTGGGTCATTAGCAGACATCTGGGAGGCCAAGGATAGAGGTGCAGCCATGGCCGTTTTCTCTGCTGCTCCCTTCTTGGGTCCCGTCATGGGCCCCATCTTTGGTGGGTTGCTTGGAGACTTTGCCCCCACTTGGAGATGGATCTACTGGGCTTTCCTCATCATTGCTGGCTTCTTCTATGCCATCTTCATCGTGGTAGTTCCCGAAACCCACCATGCCACCATCCTCAGAAAGAGAGTCAAGCACTTGCGTAAGCTCACCGGTGACGACTCCTACGTTGCCTTCGCCGACCTCAAGAAACGGACCTTGGCCGAAGTCCTTGAAGGCTCGATGCTCCGTCCATTCGTCTTGCTCAAGGAACTCATTGTCTTCTTGATCACCTTGTACATGTCCGTTCTCTATGGCTTGCTCTACATGTTCTTCTTTGCCTACCCCATCGTCTACATGGAAGGGAAGGGCTGGTCTGCGTCCAAGACTGGGATCATGTTCATCCCCATCGGGGTCGGAGTCATCTGCGCCACCTTGATTGCTCCCTTCATCAACCGCGATTACAACAGAAGGGCCCAAGAGTACCGTGACCGTGGTGAGCTTCCTCCAGCAGAGCTCCGTCTTATCCCCATGATGTATGCCTGTTGGACCATCCCAGCGGGACTCTTTAGTTTTGCCTGGTCCTCGTACGAACACATCTCGTGGGCGGGGCCATGTTTCAGTGGGTTTGCCTGTGGTCTCGGCTTTGCTTGCTTGTACAACCCGGCCAATAACTATGTCGTGGACTCGTACCAGCACTATGCCGCCTCCGGCTTGGCCGCAAAGACCTTTGTCCGGTCCATCTGGGGTGCCTGTGTCCCTCTTTTCACCATCCAGATGTACCACCGTTTGGGCTACGAATGGGCGTCCTCCTTGATGGCGTTCATCTCCTTGGCCTGCTGCGCCATCCCGTACCTCTTCTACATCTACGGGGCCAGAATCAGAACCTTCACCAAGTACGCCTACTCCCCGGAGATGGACACCAAGAGAGATGTGGAGACCCAGAAGTAGTGCCTCTCCCGTTGCGCTGACTGTCCTCGCCAGGTCACCACGGAGGGAGTCCCGTCGCCCTACGGGGTTAGCGAGCCGCTCCGCTGGCACTCCGTGGGCCGCTAGCCGCGGGGGCCTGACTCCTCTTTCGAGGAGAGACTGCTAGTGACCAGGTGTAACTCCTCGAGCCAGGCCCCACGCCAGTGGGCCTCGCCGTGCAGGGGCCAACGGAGCGGCTCAGTAACCGCGTAGGGGTAGTCTATGCTGGCAGACTATCCTAGAGGGTCCCGCCAGCTGGTCGCTCCCACTCCATATACCAGTACATAGAGTAATAAAGAAAGTATTGATACACTTACCTCCCACTCTGTCGTCCCTCCACCGTAATCCCAGCCCAATGTAGTCAGCCATTCTCCCGTTCTCTGTGGATTGCTGGCCGTGGAGGGGGGGGGGGGCACTCCTGTAGACATCTCTCCTCGTCAGAGGAGCCAGGCCCCCGCGGCTAGCGGCCCACGGAGTGCCAGCGGAGCGGCTTGTATACCCCGTAGGGCAGCACCAACTCTCCTCCCTGCGGGACGGTGAGCCGCTCCGCTGGCCCCTGCTCGGGGAGAGCCACTGCGTGGGGCCTAGCTCCTCTTCGAGGAGATCTCAATCGCTCTCATCCTTCCTCGTCAGAGGAACGAGGCCCCCGCGGCTAGCGGCCCACGGAGTGCCAGCGGAGCGGCTTGTATACCCCGTAGGGTAGGAAGTCTGCTACCCTGCCGGGCTGCGAGCCGCTCCGCTCTCCTCTAGAAGAGCCACTGCACGCGGCAGTACACCAAAAGACACGCCACGAGCCCCTACACACACCCTGGTGTCATCACATAGGTCATGTGCCGTTTCACGTCCACGGCTCCCAGCTGCCCCATACATGGCAGTCACGTACCATCGGTCGATCTTAACCTGGTCGGCCGCTACCGTTGTCTCGTGTCCGGCACACAGATGTCGGCAAACAAACGGTCGGCTCCAAAGAACTTGAAACTTATATAGTGGAGGGTGGTTGCCCCATCGATGGGTGTGTGGTGGAGGGCCAAGTAGTATCAGTACCCCTCTATCTTATTATGTACATGTCAGCCTCCATCATCTCTAATAGTCCCTCTAATCCAGAGGAAAGGCCTGATGTCGCCTCCATGTCGCTGTCCTCAACCGTGCGCTCTCTGCAGTCCGCCGGCGCTGCTGCTGCAGAAGAAGCAGCAGCCGTAGTTGCAGCCGGCATTCCAACGTCAACGTCAACGGAACTGTTGGTTGAAGACACCGGGTTTGGCACCATGGGTCCTCTTGAAGAACCTCTAGATATCAAGCGGACGTTCACCCATCCGGACCAGGACTCGGTCCCGCACAACGAAGACCCCTGGGGGTACCTTGTGGACATGGACACGCAACTCCGGATCGTCGAGTTTGTCGAGGGAGACCCGGAGAACCCGTTGAATATCCGCACCAGCGTCAAGTGGTTGTACACGTTCCTCTTGGGGATCATTTGCTTTGTCGTGGCCCTTGGGTCTGCCATTGTCACCGGGGACTTGGAGGGTCCACGCGACGCCTTTGGCGTCAGTGAGGAGGTCATCATCATGGCCTCCGTCACGATGTTTGTGCTTGGGTTTGGCTTGGGACCCTGTGTGTTTGCGCCGCTCTCCGAGGAGATTGGTCGTTATCCAATCTATATGTCCACTCTAGGCGTGGCCATCATCTTCATCATCCCCTGTGCCTTGGCTAAAAACATCGCCACCTTGATCGTTTGTAGACTCATTGATGGGATTGCCTTCTCGGCACCCATGTGTTTGATTGGCGGGTCATTAGCAGATATCTGGGAGGCCAAGGACAGAGGTGCAGCCATGGCCATCTTTTCTGCTGCTCCCTACTTGGGCCCCGTCATGGGCCCGATCTTTGGTGGGTTACTCTGCGACCATGCACCCACCTGGAGGTGGCTCTATTGGACCTTCCTCATCATCTCTGGCTTCTTCTATGTCGTCCTCATTGTCCTTGTCCCCGAGACCCACCATGCCACCATCCTTCGTAAGCGGGTCAAGCACTTGCGCAAGCTCACCGGTGACGACTCCTACATCGCCGTGGCCGATCTTAAGCCTCGGACATTCACCCAGAAAGCCGAGGAGTCGCTCCTTCGACCCTTTGTCTTGCTCAAGGAGCTCATCGTCTTCTTGATCACCATCTATATGGCCATCAACTACGGCTTGCTCTACATGTTCTTCTTCGCCTACCCGATCATATACATGGAGGGAAAGGGCTGGTCTGCGTCCAAGACGGGCATCATGTTCATCCCCATCGGCGTAGGGGTCATCCTGTCCACCTTGGTGGCGCCCATGATCAACCGCGATTACAACAAGAGAGCTCAAGTATACCGTGACCGGGGCGAGCTCCCTCCAGCAGAACTCAGACTTGTCCCCATGATGTATGCCTGTTGGACCATCCCGGCGGGACTCTTTGCCTTTGCCTGGTCTTCCTATGCTCGTCTCTCCTGGGCAGGGCCCTGTTTCTGTGGCTTGGCCTGTGGTTTCGGGTTCACTGGCTTGTACAATCCGGCCAACAACTACATTGTCGACTCGTACCAGCACTATGCCGCCTCTGCCTTGGCGGCAAAGACCCTTGTTCGGTCGCTCTGGGGCGCCTGTGTCCCGCTCTTCACCATCCAGATGTACCACCGTTTGGGCTACGAATGGGCGTCCACGTTGATGGCGTTCATCTCGTTGGCCTGTTGTGCCATCCCATTCCTCTTCTACGTCTACGGTGCCCGTATCAGGACCTACTCCAAGTACGCCTACTCCCCAGAGATCGATACCAAGAACGATCTAGAGACCCAGAAGGAAGCCTCCGGTCAGTAGCACCCCTAGTCGTTCGCCACTGATCGCACTAACAGCTACCCTACAGGGTCCGTATGCCGCTCCGCTGGCACTCCGTGGGCCGCTAGCCGCGGGGGCCTTCTTCCTCTGGCGAGGAACAGACCGGAGAGACCGAGGTCTCCTCGTAGAGGAGCCAGGCACCACGCAGTGGCTCTCCCCGAGCAGGGGCCCAGCGGAGCGCCTCACAGACCCCGTAGGGCTGCGAGTACTCCTTTCCCTGCGGGGCTGCAAGCCGCTCCGCTGGCACTCCGTGGGCCACTAGCCGTGGGGGCCTTCTTCCTCTGGCGAGGAACAGACGGGAGAGACCGAGGTCTCCTCGTAGAGGAGCCAGGCACCACGTCAGTGGCCCTCCCCGGGCAGGGACCCAGCAGAGGGTCCCCCTGGGAGCTTGACCACAGGCGGTGGCGGGAGTTTCCGTTTGAAGAAGAATGGAGACTGACCGGATCTTGGTGGAGGACTGGTTGCTACAGCTGCTGGTGACTCCTCCGTCAAAGGCAATTGCATACATGGACATATAAATTCATATACACGGATATACTAGAAACCTGCCATCGTAGAACCAACACCTGTAGTGAGAAGCCAAGAGACTCTCGTATACGCCAATGACAAGGCGGGCGCTAAACTCCTCGTAGAGGAGCCAGGCCCCACGCAGTGGCCCTCCCCGGGCAGGGGCCAGCGGAGCGGCTCACAGACCCCGTAGGGCTGGTAGCACTCCCTTCCCTGCGGGGCTGCAAGCCGCTCCGCTGGCACTCCGTGGGCCACTAGCCGTGGGGGCCCTTGTTCCTCTGGCGAGGAATTGGCTGGACTAGTCGCTCTTCTCGTGTGCACAGCAGCAGAACGTCTGTCCCATCCTTTCTGGGTCGCTCAACCGGGGAGATGTGGGCATGGTCCCTCGCGGTAACCGCCACTGTTTCTTCTCTTCTGTACGCTGTAGCTGCCAACTTCACCGGCGCCCGTGAGTGCACCACCACCGCCGCTCAACGTCCTGTACAAGTACCCGTTCTCCCCACCAGTCACACAGAGACTGGGGACCAACGACCCTACCGGCAACTCGCCGATCATCTCCTTGTGGTTGTCGTTGTAAAGCTTGTACACCGCCAACGTCTGACCTTCCATCGATGACGTTATAAAGTAGATCGGGTTGTACGTCGTCGATCCCGAGAGCCGATTGATCTTCCTCCCTGGCTCAGAGACATCTACACCAGGCGGTCCATCCTGTACCGAGCAGCAGCCCGCTGGAATACCCTCGTTCCTTCGCGTCAGGGAGCCGCTGAGTACCGTAGTCCTGCTTTTCTGTCGAAGACTACACGCGGCGTAAAAGCTCCTCGTAGAGGAGCCAAGCCCCACGCAGTGGCCCTCCCCGGGCAGGGGCCCAGCGGAGCGTCGTGAAGCCGCGGTAGGGCCGTGGGAACTCTCTTCCCTACGGGGTCTGCAAGCCGCTCCGCTGGCACTCCGTGGGCCACTGGCCGTGGAGGCCTTCTTCCTCTGACGAGGAATGCTCTCCCCGGAAACACTCCTCGCAGAGGAGCCAGGCCCCACGCAGTGGCCCTCCCCGGGCAGGGGCCCAGCGGAGCGTCGTGCACCACCACCGCGGCCAGCGCCCGAGCCCGCCAGCAGCATGTCAACGATGAAGACGCCCGCCAGGATCCCACCCATGGCAATGTCGTGCCAGAGATTCACCACCTCGAACGTCCACACGTTGAGAACGCCCACCTTGCTCATGCAATCGGTGAACAAGACGTAGTTGCAACCCTGGTGCTCAAATGGCTGCAACTTGACGATGCCGAATTGGGAAAGTTGGACCGCGCGCACCGGGCGCGGGTCTGCAGGCGCGTACGCCAAAAGGCAGCCAAATTGTGTGCCACAGAGAAGCAAAGAGTGTTGGTGGTGGTGATGGTCGTTGACTTGGACAAAGCACACCGAGACGATCCAGTTGCTTTTCTGGCTGGAGGCGGCGGCGGTGGCGTCGGTGGCGGTGGCGTCGGTGGCGGTGGCGTCGGTGGCGGAGGCGGAGGTGGCAGCATGCGAGTGGCTGGGCTCACGTCCCGCGGTCTGGGAACTCCATGATGGCGATAAATGTGGCTGTTTCTGGTAGCCAAGCGATCGGGAACCCAGGGATGAAGTGGCCATGGCCGGGTAAACAAATATACTAAACGGGTTGATCGTGGGGAACGAGGACCCTGGGGCTGCAAAGGCAAAGGCAAGTGGTGCTGGCGCTGTCGCTGTCGCTGGCACGGACATCGTTTCATTTCCAGGGCCCTCTCCCCCTTCTGTAGCATTGTCGTCGTCATCCTCTACACAATCTTGTCCCTGCCCTTCACTCCTGCCTTCACCTACATGTCTCCCTACTCCTCCTCCTCCTCCTCCTCTCAACTTGACACGATACACCTTAACCCCGTTGCCCTTTCCTGCACACACCACCAGCAAGGGGTCATGGTCTCTGCCGCGCTTAACGTCCACACAACTGACGGGCGCCTGCACTTGTAGCACCATATAACTGTCATCATCGTCGTCATTGACTAGATCTCGGAATATAAGCTTCCCCTCTCCCGAACAACTGTAGAGATATCGTTGACAAACAAACCCCATCGCCACTATGGGGTCCACATGACTGTGGTTCGAGTGTTTCCACTCCTTGTAGAGTTTGTAGGAGGTTGCCGTGGCGGTCGCGGTCGCGGTCACGTTGGCGGTCACGTTCACGTCGCGGGGGGGCGTCGTCGCCGGCGCCTGTTCTCTCTCGTACAACTGGACCAAGCCGCTTCTACGGGCCAAGGCAAGGTAGCCCTTGCCACCGTAGGAGAAGGAGACGATTTTCTGGATATAGTTTGACTTTCCCTCACGACACAATTCGGTTCGTGGGAGGATCCTCAACGCCGGAGTTATCCGAACCACTGCAAAGGTTTGTTAGTAAGATTCTCGATAGATGGGGTTGGGTTGCGGGTGTGTGTTCCCTGTCTGCTCCTCTCGTCTCTCTCTGGAGCAGGTGGAGGGAGGGAGGGGCGGGGCGAGTACGGAGACCCTACGGGGTTGGCAAGCCGCTCCGCTGGCACTCCGTGGGCCGCTAGCCGCGGGGGCCTTCTTCCTCTGGCGAGGAACAGACCGGAGACGCCGAGGTCTCCTCGTAGAGGAGCTAGGCATCACGCAGTGGCTCTCCCCGAGTAGGGGCCCAGCGGAGCGGCTCGCAGACCCCGTAGGGCTGGTAGGACTGCGGGGCGGCCCACGCTTCCTTCGGGGTGACTAGGGACGGTCTACAGCCTGTCGTGTCCCTCTACGCGGGAGGGAGGGGCTGGAAAGGGCGACTGGAGTGGAGGCAGCGGGGGCAGGGTACTCTACAATGCCTCTTCCTCGACAGAGGAACAGGAGCCCCCACGGCCAGTGGCCCACGGAGTGCCAGCGGAGCGGCTTGCCAACCCCGTAGGGGAAGCAAGTGTCCATAGACCACCGCTAGGGGAGTCTCGTCCCGGGGGGGCAGCGCGCCCACCTGCCATGGTGTCGCTACCATTACCACCCGCCCCGGTACGTTTCAAGAACGTTACAAGGGAGAACGCAACCTAAAACCAAAAAGAGAAGCCACGGGGAAAGAAACTGGTCTTCCCGCGTGGAGCGCGTGACATACCTCTGATTCCGCCAGTTTCCTGGCTGGAGAGTAGAACGTTCATGGTGTGAAAGAAAGACAGGGGAGCGAGGAGGCGGTGGGCGGCACGACATCGACAAATAAACGACATTTTAGATTTTGCGGGGCAACCAACGGCGGATACAAGAATGCGGGAAACTTAGGAAGAGACAGGAGCCCTGCAGATCAGGATCCGGAGTTTATGCGCGAAATACGAGTTGTTGCGTCACACCTTTTTCCAGCAAAGACAGGGGGGGGGGGGAGGGGATGGAGGTGACTTACTGATCGGAGCTTGGACCCGTTCCGGGGGAAGGGCGGGAGACGGTGATCGAGTCCGAGTGTGGGTGTGGGTGTGGGTGCGGGTGCGGGTGCGGGTTGGTAGCGCTGGCGAGTGATCTATAGTGGGTCACTCTGTAGAGACCTGTCGTGTGACTTGGCTGCGAATGGCGCGTGTTGAGGGAGTGCCAGCGGAGGGGCTCGCAGACCCCCCGTAGGGCTGGGTAGTGCTCTCCCTTCCCTGCGGGGCCGTGGTTCCGCTCCGCTGGCACTCCGTGGGCCGCTGGCCGCGGAGGCGGTCTTCCTCTGGCGAGGAACTGGCCCGAGGGGTCGAGATCTCCTCGTAGAGGAGCCAGGCTCCACGCAGTGGCCCTCCCCGGGCAGGGGCCCAGCGGAGCGTCGTGCACCTCCCCTAGTGGCTGGACTAACTTGCTACCCTACGGGGTCTGTGAGCCGCTCCGCTGGCACTCCGTGGGCCGCTGGCCGCGGGGGCCTTCTTCTTCTGACGAGGAACTGGGGACAACAGAGTCTCCTGGTAGCAGGTCCCCATGCAGTGGCCCTCCTTGGGCCAGGGCCCAGCGGAGCGTCTCGCGAGCCTGACGGGACTGTATGGCGTTGTGCTGACACTCCGGCGGAGAAGGAAGGGCTTGACGACGCGACGCCACCAGCCGTAGATGCACGCCCGCTGGTCTTCTTCTTGTAACTCTACAGCCTTCTCTTTCCTTCCTTCCTTCTACAGGGCAGGGCTCGGTCCATGGAGACCACCCAGCTATTCATCTACGTAGACTTTCAGTAAAAATTAGCTCTCTCTATTAATCAAAACTAGCGACTTCCTCGCAACTTCTCTAAACTCCTCGGAGAGGAGCCAGGCACCACGCAGTGGCTCTCCCCGAGTAGGGGCCCAGCGGAGCGGCTCACAGACCCCGTAGGGCTGCGAGTACTCCCTTCCCTGCGGGGCTGCAAGCCGCTCCGCTGGCACTCCGTGGGCCACTAGCCGTGGGGGCCTTCTTCCTCTGACGAGGAACACAGCAGAGAGGTCTCCTCAGAGAGGTCTCCTCGTAGAGGAGCCAGGCACCACGCAGTGGCTCTCCCCGAGCAGGGGCCAGCGGAGCGGCTCACAGACCCCGTAGGGCTGCGAGTACTCCCTTCCTTGCGGGGCTGCAAGCCGCTCCGCTGGCACTCCGTGGGCCACTAGCCTTGGGGGCCTTCTTCCTCTGGCGAGGAACTGGCCGGAGGGGTCGAGATCTCCTCGTAGAGGAGCCAGGCACCACGCCAGTGGCCCTCCCCGGGTAGGGGCCCAGTGGAGTGCACCGTACAGTGCCCCACCCGCTCTTCTATGGACTTCCCCAATGACTTCCGCCATGCTCATGGACTTCTCTATGATCGGTTTCTGGGTTGGCACCGCCACCTCTGATCGGCTTTACAATCCTCAAGTTTATTCCAATCTTGGGAGAGGACGTGGCCGATGCAGTTCCAGCCCCAGCCCCGGTCAGAGGGTCGCCACCCCCCTCGGCCACGTCGCCGAGCTCGTTGGTGAACAAGGCCGAAAGGGGCCGGTTGTGGAAATAGGCCGTGTTGCCCGAACGTGGGCTCTGTCCCAGCGCCTGGGCCTGTCTGGCCATCTTCTCCTTGATCATGCCCAACTTGGCATCGATGTTCATGCTTTCCCGCAGCATTTGAACCTGTTGCTCCTGGAGAACCCTCTCGAGCTTGACGATCTGTTCGTTTCTCGAGGCGATGATCTGCGACAGTGCCACGATGTCCTCGTTGAGCAGAAAGTTGGCCTGCTCGAGTTCGTTCAACTTGTCGGAGAACGCAAGGATGATCTTCTCGAGCTTGAAGAGCTTCAGGTCTTCCTCGTGCGACACCTGGAGGTTCTTCATCTTCATGTCGAGGATCGTGGCCTCGAGAAGGTCGATCTTTTCGTTCAAGATGGGGACGATTCGAGCGTCGGAGGTGTCTGAAATATAGTCTCCTGTCGTGGTGCCGTCCATGGTCTTGTGGCCACTTATGGTATTGACTCTCCGAGGGATTCTTGAGGGAGTCTTGGGGGAATGGATTAGTCCAGTGTCTGCCCCAGGCATCTGAAGAGCTTGTTGCACCGCTTGTGGTTGCTGCTGCTGCTGCTGCTGCTGCTGCTGCTGCTGTAACTTCCTCTCCAACTCCTCAATATATACCCTTTGTTGGACATTCTCTCTCTCCAACCCATCTAGCTTCATTTTCATGGCCTCTCTACTCATCTCCGTGTTGATATGAGCGTGGTTTTTGATCTTTTTGGCACTCGAACCAAACCTCAACGTGGAAAGAGTTTCCGAGACATTGACCGAAGAAGGAGAACACGTCACTATCAAGGACGTTCGGGAGTTACCCCCCAACGATTCCTGGAGAATCCTCGTCAATTTGGAGTCTCGGTATGGGATATGACTGGCCTTACCCTCAGCCAAAGTGTAGATCACATTCCCCAAGGCAGAAAGTGAACTGTTGATTTTCTTGGCCTCCTCCAACCCTTGGCCATGGGCCCCTGTCTTGTCGACCTTCTCCAGTCCGGCCAAGTCCACAAGGAACAACGTTGAACGTTTGATGGTCCCATCGATGGTTTGGCGTTGTGAGAGGTTGATCTGGAAGATGGCATGAGATCTCGACGACTCAACGTTCAATTGCGTTGCTGCCATTGATCGGTTCAGGTTCCCCTTCTCAAGAAGGGCCTGTAACTCTTCCGCCGACGATACAAATGCCTGGCTCAACCCTCGAACGTGGACCCCTTGGATCTTGTCCTCATGGATACTACAGCTGGTGGTGGTGGTGGTGGCGGCGTTGTAATTATCGTTATTGCCACCACCACCGTCCAATAGATCTCGGATCTTCTCCATATAGATCTCCATATAACTCACTCCTACAGTGTACTCCAAATCTACATCCCCTCTACGTATAAGTCTGAACACATCCGCGATGATCCGAGGTATAATCCCCATACTATCATCAGGATCTTCTTCTTGTTGTTGTTGTTGGTCCTCCTGGTGGCGGTCTCCGTTTCGAACCGCGCCCGCGGCATTGTTTTTGTTTTTGTTTTTGTTTTTCTCTTTATTTTGATTTCCGTCGGGTGGTCCCGACATGGTGTAAGACTTCCCGGACCCACTCTGTCCATACGCCAAAATGGTCCCATTGTAGCCCTTGAACAAGTCCTCGACGGTCTGGTGCACCGAGTAGTCGTACACCTCCTTCTGGCTGGCCATGGGTCCAAACACGCGATCATACGTAAACGTCAGCGAAAAGTCTCTCGCGTTCACTTGGACATGATTCCCCGCCGCGGCACCATTAGTTTCCGCCACTTCCACGGCAAGCGTTCCCCCATGTCTCAATTCATCCTCATTTTGAGGTCGGAATCTGGCAATCACCTTGATGTTGGTGTTGTGATGGTGTGTCCGGGACCTGATGGTGCCGCCCAGCCCTTGGAGAGGCGTCAGTTGTACTGGTTGGAGCTCTTTGTGTAACGGGCTCAGGGGTCGTTTTCTCGGGGTTTTCAAGGGTGACGACGACGTGGAAGCTGAATACGACAGTCTTCCCGCGTAGCTGTGTCGTTTTCTGGGGGTCGAAGACATCGCTACGGTCTGTTGTGGTGACTGGAACGGGGGTCCTAAGGTGGTCCCAAGTAGGTCTTTGGATCGACGCGCTCCCCCCCCCCATGTGGGTGCACCTGCGAGTGCGGGCGCGTGGGCGGTCACGTTGACGACGACAACAAACACAAAGAAGAATTTTTTATTTGATCCAGGGGGGAGTCCCGAGGGGAGGAGACCCCAGAGACTTTCAACCGGGGGTCTTAGGGGTTGCTACTGGGACCATGGGGTGGTCAGCTGGGAGTACAGTGATATGTAGAGGCATAATGTAGAGATGTAGGTGTAGTACAGTCCGGTCCGGTCCGGCTCACGAGACGCTCCGCTGGCCCCTGCCCGGGGAGGGCCACTGCGTGGGGCCTGGCTCCTCTGCGAGGAGAGGGGGAAGGGTTGGTGGGTGGTTCCTCGTCAGAGGAAGAAGGCCTCCACGGCTAGTGGCCCACGGAGTGCCAGCGGAGCGGCTTGCAGCCCCGCAGGGAAGGGAGTACTACCAGCCCTACGGGGTCTGTGAGCCGCTCCGCTGGCCCCTGCCCGGGGAGGGCCACTGCGTGGGGCCTGGCTCCTCTACGAGGAGATTGAACGGTTCTACAGGGTAGTAGGGTACAGCAGTGGTTATAGTAGAGTAGCTATGTTAGAGGTGAAGGGGAAAATACGGGCACGGGTCTGAAGTTGGTCCTGCCCGAGGTCTACAGAACACGGGGTATCCTCAAGAGAGCACTGAGAACCACTAAGCGTGCCCTGTCCACCACTCGAGGTCCCGGCGAGACGTCTCCTCGCAGAGGAGCCAGGCCCCACGCAGTGGCCCTCCCCGGGCAGGGGCCAGCGGAGCGGCTCGCAGACCCCGTAGGGCTGCTAGTACTCCCTTCCCTGCGGGGCTGCAAGCCGCTCCGCTGGCACTCCGTGGGCCACTAGCCGTGGAGGCCTTCTTCCTCTGACGAGGAACCACCCGCCAACCTCTGAATTGCCCTCCTAGAGCACCGCAGCGGCGCCGCCCGCCCATTTAGGAAGTTTTCCTTCGCCCCTGACTCGCGAACCCCGGGCATTCTGACTCGGCCCGCCCGCCGATATGCTTATCCTACACTTATCTTCTCCAATCTACATCTACACCCATTTTGCACCCTTTACACCTTCTCCATGTCCCGCTTATTCTCCTCCTGATTCATCTCTTTCTCTCGCTCAATTAGACCTATCCCTCCCCCTTGTCTTCATTTTAGCAGTCACAATCTCCCAATAAATCTCGCGATCTCCTTTTTAATTAATTTATTAAATCTTTGAATGACTCACGTCGTACCATCTCACGTGACCACAAATTGCAACAAACAAAAAATGAACAAATTGTCTCTATATTCCTACAACTTTAGATGTATATTAAATGTGGTACTCTCAATCTACCACTTTAGTAAACTGTCCCATCCATTTGGGGGGTGTCCCCTGATTTCAAATCTGTAATTTCCTTCTAATTTGAACCATATTTACCCAGTCAAATCTTCCTCTCTGTCTGTCCTCTCTGACCTCAGCCTTATTAGCTCATTCTTAATTAGACACAAGAAAATTTTTATTTTTTTTTCTTCGCAATTACTCACAGACAGCAACTCCGTGGGTATATATCTCTCAACTGTTCTCCTATAACCTCGAGCCCCAAATATTTTTAAAATCCTGTTTTTTTCCCCTTTTAGCTTGTAACACTCTTCCCCTCTTCTCACTCACTCCCCCATGACATCACCTCAACAAATCGCCCAAACCTTTCAAAGGGCCATGAATATCAACCTGGGAAGTTCCCCCAATGCTGTTTCAACATCCCCCACACACTCCTACATGAACCAATACGCTGGAGTCAATGCCTCACAAAAAGCTGTCAAGGCCTTGAAACCATTTTCCACTGGTGATATCAAGATTCTTTTATTGGAAAATGTTAATCAAACTGCCATCAATATCTTTCAAACTCAAGGTTATCAAGTGGAATTCTACAAGAGTTCCCTCCCTGAAGATGAATTAATTGAAAAAATCAAAGATGTTCATGCCATTGGAATTCGTTCAAAGACAAAACTTACTGAAAAAATCTTGAACCATGCTAAAAACTTGGTGGTTATTGGATGTTTCTGTATTGGTACCAATCAAGTTGATTTAGAAGCTGCTGCCAAAGGTGGGATTTCTGTATTTAATTCTCCCTTCTCCAACTCTCGGTCAGTTGCCGAATTGGTCATTGCCGAGATTATTACCTTGGCAAGACAATTGGGTGATAGATCCATTGAAATGCATACTGGTACCTGGAATAAGGTCTCGGCTAAATGTTGGGAAATCAGAGGTAAAACCTTGGGGATTGTTGGTTATGGCCACATTGGTGCCCAATTATCAGTCTTGGCTGAAGCCATGGGGATGAATGTTCTTTATTATGACGTTCAAATGATCATGTCCTTGGGTAATTCCAAACAAGTTGATACCTTGGATGAATTGTTGAACCGGGCTGATTTCATCTCATTACACGTTCCAGAAACAGCTGAAACTAAAAATATGTTGAGTACCCCTCAATTTGCCGCCATGAAGAATGGAGCTTATGTCATCAATGCCAGTAGAGGTACGGTTGTTGACATTGCTGCCCTTGTAGAAGCCATGAAATCTGGTAAGATTGCCGGAGCTGCCTTGGATGTTTATCCTAATGAACCAGCCAAAAATGGTGAGGGGCTCTTTTCCGACAATTTGAACCATTGGGCCTCGGAATTGACCTCCTTACGTAATGTCATCTTGTCTCCTCATATCGGTGGATCCACTGAAGAAGCTCAATCTGCCATTGGAGTTGAAGTTGCTCTGGCCTTGACCAAATACATCAACGAGGGGGCCTCCGTTGGTGCCGTCAACTTCCCAGAAGTCCAATTGAGAGCCTTGGACTTGGACCAACAAAACGCCGTCAGAGTCTTGTACATCCATCAAAACGTCCCAGGGGTTTTGAAGACCGTCAACAACATCTTGTCCAACCACAACATCGAAAAGCAATTCTCCGACTCCCGCGGCGACATCGCCTACTTGATGGCTGACATCAGTGACGTCGACACCACCGACATCAAGCTGTTGTACGAGCAATTGGAACAGACCCCATACAAGATCGCCACCAGATTGTTGTACTAGTCCTCCCCCCCTCCTCCCCTTTAAAATTTTAAATGTACGATAAAGAATAAAGAAAACTTAATCAGAGAAGGTCCCCTTGGTGGGGTGTAGGTTTGTAGAATTTGGCCCCCGTCCTGCGGAGCGGCTCACAGACCCCGTGGGGCTGGTAGTACTCCCTTCCCTACGGGGTGAGTGGGAAGCTCCGCTGGCACTCCGTGGGCCACTTGCCGTGGAGACCTTGTTCCTCTAGCGAGAAAGGTTATCAGGTAATAGATCTCCTCGTAGAGGAGCTAGGCACCACGCAGTGGCCCTCCCCGGGTAGGGGCCCAGCGGAGCGTCGTGCAGGCCCCGTAGGGCTGGTAGTATTCCTTCCCTGCGGGGCAGTGGGACGCTCCGCTGGCACTCCGTGGGCCACTAGCCGTGGAGGCCAAGTTCCTCTGACGAGGAATTGGTCATGTAGGGTCTCTCGGAGGTATGTACCAAGTAGTGGCCATTCCCCTTAACAGGAGACCAACGATACTTCTTGGAAACTCAAGGAGGGTGTAGTTTAGGCTGGTGACACGAGACGAAGTCCTCGTCGAGGGTGCTTCACAGCTATGTGCATGGCTCCTCTGTGGGGAAGTACGGACTTCCTCGTAAGACAACCATGATTGCTGCAGCCAGTGGGTTCATTGCCACGTGAGCCGCTGAAGAATCACATAATTTTAAGTTCAGTATATATTGACTCCCCCAGTGGAATTACCCACATACCTGGCGAGTTCCGCGGGGCCCGTAGTCTACTCCTTGTCAGAGAAACTGGGCCTGCCCGGGCTGTGAGTTGCCCACAAACTTCCAGCGGTGCATCCCATTCACACCCGTAAGGAGGAAAGTTTCCACATCCCTACGGGGTCTGCACGACGCTCCGCTGGGCCCCTACCCGGGGAGGGCCACTGCGTGGAGCCTAGCTCCTCTACGAGGAGAGACACTCTCCCTAAAGCTTCCTCGCTAGTGGAACAAGGCCTCCACGGCAAGTGGCCCACGGAGTGCCAGCGGAGCGTCCCACTCACCCCGTAGGGAAGGGAGTACTACCAGCCCTACGGGGCCCGCACGACGCTCCGCTGGGCCCCTACCCGGGGAGGGCCACTGCGTGGTGCTTAGCTTCTCTGACGAGGAAAGGCTACAGGGGGCTCAGATCTCCTCGTAGAGGAGCTAGGCCTCCACGGCTAGTGGCCCACGGAGTGCCAGCGGAGCGTCCCACTCACCCCATAGGGTGTTCCCTTCCCGTCTAATCCCCCTATCCCCAACCCTCCCTACACATCTCTACAATCACTCCCAACCTACCCTACCTCCTCTACGTACTCCCCCAACCTCTGTTGTATTTCACTTCTTTGCAGCCAAAACTTTTGTCCTGTATGTATACACACCTCCCCTCACGTGACTTTCGTTCACGGTGAGGTGTGAAAGGTGTGATCCGGGTAACTCACCCTTTACAAAATCTCAGTGGCAATATCAAACTTCCACAAAAAGTTTGGCAAGTTACAAAGAGAGAGAGACAATCAACCACTTAATCTAACCCCCATCTTCCATATCAATTTGTATTACTTTTTTGATTAGATTTCCCCCCCGCCCCCCCACCAACCTTGACCAATCGAACTAGTCACACCTCTACCCATACACACTTACTCAGAACACCGTCGATTATCAGCATGACTCTTGTATCTGCAGCTCCGTATTTGGCCTTGCTTGGGGAACAGGACCAAACCCTCAAGTCATACGCACTCACATCGTTGAATGATGTGGTTGACCAGTTATGGGCCGAAATCGCCAACAATATCACCGACTTGGAGGATTTGTACGAGGACAATTCCTTTGGAGATCGGAAATTGGCTGCCCTTGTTGTTTCCAAAGTTTATTATAACTTGGGGGATTTTGAAGCCTCGGTTAAATATGCCTTACTTGCCGGGGATAAGTTCTCCATTGATGAACAATCTCAATATATCGAGACCATTGTTAGTCAATGTATCAATCTTTATATTGCAAGACAGAAAGAGAAGTCTGATGACTCTTCTTTGAGCTCTTCATCTAAAGATCCATTAACCATGGTATTTGAAAAAATGCTCAACAAATGCTTGATCAATAATGATTTCAGATTAGCTCTTGGTATATCCTTGGAATCTCTTCGTCTTGATATCATTGAATCCATTTTAAAAGATCAAATCAATGCCAATCATGAGGATCAAGCCCTTCAATTGATCAATTATGTCTTGGTTTGTCTGAACACAGTTCTCATCAATTCCGACTTCAAGACCAAAGTCTTGAATTCCTTGATTCATTTATTGTTTCTGCTTAAATCAAACCCAGATTTCTTCACGGTATTCAAGATTGTGGTTCAATTGAATGATCCAAAGTTGGCAATTGAAATCTTTAAACGATTATTGAAGGAAAATGAAACCTTGATTGCCTATCAGGGAGCCTTTGATTTGGTCAGCACCGCCCTGCAGGAACTTCTTGATAAGGTTATCCTGGGATTGACCTCTACCGAAGAAGAAGAAACTGAGTCCACCTCTCTCACTAAACTTCTCTATATTCTTAGCGGAATTCCAACCAGTGACTACGACATCACCTTCCTCCACAAAAATAATAACACCGACATCACCATTCTTAACAAGACTAAGAATCTTCTTGAAGGAAGAAGCTCGATTTTCCATTCGGCAGTCACGTTCTCCAACGCCTTCATGCACAGTGGTACCACTGATGACTCCTTTTTCCGTAAAAACTTGGAATGGTTGGGCAAGGCCACCAATTGGTCGAAATTCTCCGCCACTGCAGCCTTGGGGGTTATCCATAAGGGTAACTTATCCCAAGGTCGTAACATCTTGAAGCCATATCTCCCCGGATCTGCTGGTGCTCCTCATACCAAGGGTGGATCCCTTTTCGCTCTTGGATTGATCTTTGCCGGCCATGGTAGAGAAACTATAGACTACTTGAAGAGCTTTGTGGTTGAACATGGGAACTCTGCTGGAGGTAACGACACCGACGTGATGTTGCATGGTGCCTGCCTTGGTTGTGGTGTTGCCGGCATGGGCTCCAACAGTGAAAGTTTGTACGAGGCCTTGAAAGTGGTGTTGTACTCTGATTCTGCCATTTCTGGCCAAGCGGCAGGTTTGTCGATGGGGTTGGTAATGTTGGGATCTGGTAACCCTACTGCCATCAACGATATGTTAACCTATGCCCAGGAAACTCAACATGAAAACATCATTCGTGGCTTGGCCATTGGGATTGCTCTTTTAAACTATGGTAGAGAAGACCATGCCCTTGACACCATTGACAAATTGATGGCTCAAGAAAGCTCCATTTTAAGATATGGTGGTGCCTTCACCATTGCCTTGGCATATGCCGGTACCGGAAACAATGGAGCCATCAAAAAGTTACTCCATTACGCGGTTCTGGACCCTTCAGACGATGTTAGAAGAGCTGCTGTCATGGGTTTGGGATTTGTTTTAATCCGTGATCACACTGCTGTCCCACAAATTGTCGAACTTTTATCTCAATCTCATAATCCTCATGTTCGTTATGGTACAGCCATGGCCTTGGGGATTTCGTGTGCAGGTAGAAACTTGGCCAGTGCCATTAAAGTGTTAGAACCACTTACCAAAGATGCTGTTGACTTTGTTAGACAGGGGGCATTAATTGCCACTTCTATGATTCTTATTCAACAAAATGAAATTAGAAACCCTAAGGTTAAGGATTTCACCAAGTTGTATGCAGACACCATCAAGAACAAGCATGAAGATGCCTTGGCCAAGTTTGGTGCCACTTTAGCCCAAGGTATCATTGATGCTGGTGGACGTAATGACACCATTAACTTGGAAAACACCCAAACCAACACATTAAACATCAAGGCCATTGTAGGGTTGACTGTGTTTGTTCAATCGTGGTACTGGTTCCCACTTGCTCACTTTTTGTCATTATCATTTGCTCCAACTGCAATTATTGGAGTTAAGGAAGATTTGAAAATTCCTAAATTTGATATTAACTGTCACACAAAGCCGGAATTATTCCAATATCCTCCAAAAACTGAAGAATCCAAGGAAAAGCAACCAGATAAGATTGCCACTGCTGTTTTATCCACCACCAACAGAGCCAAGGCTAGAGCCAAGAAGAATCAAATTAAAAAGCAAGATGATGAAGATGTTAAGATGGAAGAACCAGTGGTTAAGAAGGAAGAAGATGTCAAGGATGAAGTTGCCAAGGATGAACTGAAGAAGGATGAAGCATCAGATGAAGTCCCAGTTATTCGTTATTGTAAGACCCCTTACAAGATTAGTAACATGACAAGAGTATTACCAGCTCAATCCAACTACATTTCATTCATTAAAGACGAACGGTTTATTCCTGCCAGAAAATTCAAGGGTAGCAGTGGTATTATTGTATTGGAAGATACCAGACCAAATGAAAAGCTTGAAATCATTAAGACGGTTAGACAGTTAAATATCACTGAAGCTCCAGTCCCACTTCCATTTACCTTGAAGGGAGAAGATTTAGAAGATGATGAATAACGTAACCACAAATAAGTAAAATATATAAATAAATAAATTTAAAATTAGATTTAATTATGATGTTGTAGATTATCCTCATAAGAAGATGGACAGGTATCATGGAAAGCTAACGAACTCTATCAGGTTCTATGAGATGTTGATCTAAGTATAAATAAAAAAATTGCAAAAAAATAATGAAGGATGCGAGGTTCGAACTCGCGCGGACAACCGTCCAGCAGATCTTAAGTCTGCCGCCTTAGACCACTCGGCCAACCCTCCATTTTCAAAATTTATTTTTTCGTAAGCATCTAACCGAAACTATATGACACTTTTGGGTGGAGCACAACTCTGGTTTTTATCAACATACAGACAAATTATAGGATAATAAACATCGAATGAAGAAAAAAAAAAATATCTTTATGATAAATTTAGATGCAAGATAGTACAAGTATCTCTTGTCTATTTATATTATATTCACAGTGGAATATAGTTGGAAGCAGTCGTAGTAATTACTGATGAGTTCAACTTTTATTAGTTTGAAACTGGTGTGTAAGGAGTTGCTATCCATTTTTTTTCCTATGTTCGAACCCTTTTTTGTTTTTTTTTATTGTCACTCGGTCCACTACAACGGCATGAGTACAGTGATTTAACTACCTTCTTGGAAGAGCGACGTATCAGTATCAGTTAGTAGTTCAATGATATGTGTGGTACTTCAAACATCTTAGTAAAACTGATGTTCTTATCTTTGTGTATTCACAATACGGTATGTCAATATTCTAAACCTATGTGAAATCTTTCAAATCTAACATTCACTTTGCAAATTAATAAATTCTATAATTCTATGTGAAATATCAAGCTCATTTGAGTGAATTCTTGAAAAATTCTTCCAATATTGTGCGTTAGGATCGATTTACACAATGAGAACAAAACATGTGGGATAATTTATTGTGAATGGAAGGTGACTCTTCTTGGAACGCATTTTGAGGAATTATAAACCTTCATCTCTTTGAATCTGCATGCGTCTGCGTAACGTCGCTTAATATGTCTCTAGGCATTAAATTCAAGGGGACTCTTGGATCACCTGTGCACTCCTTTAATTAAGTTGCACCTCTTTTAGGCATCGCATCCGTTTTGGTGTTTGCAGTGAACTACGAATTAGAAAGATCTAGAGTCGCATAGTAAGTTCATGAGCGGAATATGCCCGTGGTGAAACGAAGTTGCGTGTCATACATGGGGAATTACAATTCACTTTTTGGTCGTACGACAGAAAAAGAAATATATGTATCCTAGTTAAAAGGGGAATAAACGATTTTTGGAGCACGTTCCCCACGCGAAATACCCTGGGTGTTTGATGTTTGGTATACCAAAATGTAAATGCAAAAAGAAATGGGAAGCGAGATTTCTCAATAATAACTTTGCATTCGAATACCATTCGGTTATCAATTGTATACGAGCGTATTTTACGCTATTATTGTAATTCAGAACTCAAATTCATTTGATAAACTTCATTTTTCATTTGTTAAGCGGTTATTAGAAAACTAACCATCACCACGTTTCACGTAGCAAAGTATAACGAAGGAAAAAACTTTGGGTCGCATACGGCTTGTAGGAAATTCTGTACTGCATGATATCGCAACAAAAAAATAAAAAATAAAAAATAAAAAATCCCAACTATTATTATTGAAGGACATTTTTATTTTGTTCGTACTGAGGGAGGGAGTCCCTGCCAAGTCGGGAATATGGAGACAGACTCCGATGACAGAAAAATGGCAGGTTCGCATTGATACAACGTCAAATGCGCTCACTATTTTTGCCTAGGAACTGCGTTGGGTTACTTGGAGATGTAGCAAGGTACTCCAACTAGAGACTACACGTGGGGTAATTGATCACATCCACCTTGTAGGGAATCATAGTTTTTTTCCGCATGCGGCTCGAGCTATTTCTGACGCCCGATACGGTTAATAAATGCGCGGCTGTAAAGATCGGTACAAGTGTCCCGTGCCTATCCCGTCCACTTCAAAACGTGGTAAAGTGTTAATTGGCCGCCCATAATCTTGAACTTTATAAAAGGGAAACCTGATCTCACGTTCTAAAGCTACTTTGGTTCGATAGACGATAATCAAAATACAATGGTTGCCTCCACGGTTGAATACACCAACGAAAATTCCAAGTCAGGACTTGAAAACATCGTCAAGTCTGAATCACTTAACTCATCCGATGAAATCTCTGATGCTCCATATAAGTACGATGCCGATGCCAGAAAGCAAAGATTAGCTGGTGGTACCAATATCAGAGATATCTTCGTTATCTTATGTGCTGGTTTCGCATTGATCTCTGATGGGTATCAAAACAATGTTATGACCATGTTGAATCAAGTTTTTACCTTGAGATTCCCGAAGGAATATAACGCTAGCATGAAGACTCAAGTTTCTAATGCTTCCCTTGTTGGTACTATTTTCGGTCAAGTAGCTGTTGGTTTAACTACTGATTACATGGGTAGAAAGTGGTCCATTATTATTGCTACTCTCTTTGTAATTTTAGGAACAATTATGTGTGCTGCCTCTCATGGTTCCACTGTCAATGGGTTACTTTGGATGTTAACTATTTCTAGAGGTGTCACTGGTTTCGGTGTTGGTGCTGAATATCCATGTTCTTCTGTTTCAGCCAATGAAGCTGCCAATGAATCTGTTAAGAGAAGAGGGGGTGCCTTTGTTCTTTGTACCAACTTGCCACTTTCCTTTGGTGGTCCATTTGCTCTTATCATCTTTTTAATTGTTCACAAAATCACTGGTAGTCATTATGATGCTCTTTGGAGAACTATGTATGCAATTGGTGTCTTCTGGCCACTTTCTGTCTTTTACTTCAGAGTCAAGATGTCTACCTCTGTTTTGTACAAGGAATCAGCCATCAAGAAGAGAGTTCCATATTGGTTGGCCCTTAAATACTATTGGCCAAGACTTTTGGGAGTTTGTGGATGTTGGTTCTTGTATGATTTCGTTACCTTCCCTAACGGGATCTTTTCTGCTGGTATTATTTCCAATGTTTTGAAAGGTCCAGCCAAGAGTGATTTGGAAAAGATTGCTGAATGGAATTTACTTTTAGGTATCCTTGCTATTCCAGGTTGTTTCGTCGGTGCCTACTTGTGTGACAAAATTGGTCGTAAGTATACCTTGATTGCGGGATTTGCTGGTTACATTGTCTTTGGTTTGATCGTTGGTATTGGTTACCACAAGATTTCCAACATCACTGGTTTATTTATTGTCTTTTACGGTTTGATGATGTCAAGTGGTAACATGGGTCCTGGTGACATGATGGGGTTGACTGCTTCTGAATCATTTGCCACCCCAATCCGTGGTACTTGTTACGGTATTGCTGCTGCTATTGGTAAGGTTGGTGCTGTTGTGGGTACCAGAACCTTCACTCCTATCCAAAACAACTTGGGTAAGCAATGGACTTTCATCATTGCTGCCATTTGTGGTTTGGCTGGTGTTCTTGTTGCCTTCTTCTTGGTTCCACACTTGAGGGACGACGATTTGTTAGAAGAAGATATTAAATTTAAGAACTATTTGGTTTCCCAAGGCTGGGAAGGTGAATTTGGTACTGTTCACCATAATGCTACTGAATCTGATATTGAAGCTTTAAAATAAGCTTCATTTCGTGTAATTAATAAACTGAAACTATCTAAACATTTACTGTAGCATCTATTGGAGAGAGAGAGATATACGATGAGGAGGACCCTTTATTGTACGTACTGCTTTAATTTTTAAAATTTGGCTGCTAAAAATTTTAAGGGGTCATGGTTTCAATTAAGCTTTTTTTTTTTATATTTATTTTTTCGTTGCTACTGGCAACCGCCATTTGACAGGGGTAAGTGACACAAAGAAAAGAAGGTATTACCATGTACCACATACTAATCTTTTATATTAGCTTGTGATCCTTGGCAAGGGGAGCTTTTATTTAGTATAAATTTGAGAATTAGTATACTAATCAGCTCATACAACCCTAATATTCTCTACTATAATTTCTACAAATCTCTTTTAATAATAAAACATTTATAAATTAATTAATTATTGTCATCAAAAGTGAAGGCGTTTGCACCCTATAGTAGTAAATTGATAAAAAAACACAGAAGGGAATTGAAAAAAAAAGTCAAAGGATCCTCTAACTTTAAATCTTTAATGCTTCTTCATAAGATGGTGGAGGACCAGTGTATTCAATAGAATTCTTTTCGTTAAAGATGGCATTACCATCAGAGACGTCAACCCCTTGTTCCAAGGCCAAATTCTTTTGGATTTCGGATAATCCGAGTTCATCTCTAGGAATCCAAATGTGAGGTTCATCGTCGTTAACAGCAGGATCTTCGTAGGCAGTCTTGATGAAGTCATCATTGTATTCAATGTAATTGAACAAAACTTGAGGCATAACCTTTCTCAACAAGTCAAAGGATTCAGTCTTTGGATGGAAGAATCTAGAAATCCATCCAACTGGCTTAACCTTTTCTTGGGATTCACCAGCAGTAGTAGTAGAAGCCTTGGTTTCATAAGTAGGTTCAGCCAACTTTTCATCGCTAGACTTGTCATTGATTGGCTTTCTAGAATCAGTAGAGTGGTTGTCCAATGTAGAGGCGGCTGGGCCAGAGGCAGCAGAGTTGTCAAGGTGTGGCAATACTTGGTCAGCATGGTCTCCAGTCAATCCCAATTGGTTTCCTCCTTGCCAGTAGTTTTCACCTTCAGACTTGATTTCCTTCAATCCTTGGTCATGGCTAGGATATTGGAAGGTGTTGTCACCGGAAGCATACTTGAGGGCAGAAATTGGAACAATGTCAAATAATGGCAAAAAGATTCTCTTGTAGTAGACGTGACAACCAATGGTAACAGCAAGAATGACAGCTTCCAAGGCAACACAGACCCAATTCTTGGTGAAAACAAACATGGCAAGAAGACAAACTTCAGCCAAGTATAAACCAACAAACATTTGGAACAAGGCACTTGGGTAGTTTCTACCACGAGCATCGGTCTTGTTTGGTTGCAAGACATAAGTCAAGGTGTAAACGTAGGCAAAGTAAATCAAGGTGAATGCAACGGCAGTGAATCCCAAAACTAATGGGGCAATGACGGCATAACACAAGGCAATAACAACAAGCAATTGGTAAGCTGGGTAAACGGTAGACCAGGCTGGTTGACCCAAAGTGTTCCATCTGGTCCACTTGGCTCTTGGAGTAGAATCCAAAATCTTACCCAAAAATTGAGATAAAATCAAACCAACAATTTGAACCAATAAACCTGAAGAAACAGCCAAACCTTGCAAACACAAGTAAGCAATGTAAAAGTTAGATGCTGGAGGAATCTTTTCAGCCAACAACTTCAAGGCACTGGAAGGTTCATCAATAACAGCAGTAACGACAGAGGTGGCAGAAGAAGCAAGGGTAACAACCAAAAAGACATGGACAACTTGGAAAGCATAGTACCAGGCTTGACAGAAGGATTCAACTTGTTGAACAGTGATACAACCAGCAACCTTACCCATCTTTCTAATAAAAGGTGGCACCAAGGACATCAAGATGGCCAAAGCAACAACTGGCAAAAGACCAGTGATAAGACCCAACAAGAAGGAAGGCAAGTTGTTGATAAAACTCAAGAAATGAACCTTGGAGATAAGGAAGTTAATGTTGGAAATGGCACCAACTACAGCAACTGGGATGGCCCAAAAGATAATCATAAGAGTCAAAACAACATTGGCAATAATCTTCTTAATTCTTCTCTTGTTGGTGGTCAAGGATAAGTTTTCCCAAATAACGTCATCTGGAGCTAAACCAGTGTGTCTCTTGGTATTCTTAAAGTCAGTGTTGTATGGGATAGCTTGGTAAGCCTTTTGTAATTCCAATTGGGTTGGGAATTCAATGAAAACAGATGGAATTTGAGTGTTAGCATGACATTCCAATTGATTCTTTTTAATTTCCTTGTTTAATTCACCCAATCTTTCAGCACCATAGTTCAAAGTATCAACCTTTTTACCAATCAAAAACTTCAATCTATGGGTAGGTCTCTTCTTACCATCCTTCAAGTACTTGTTGATATCATCAACTGGTGAAGGAGGTTCCTTATTCTTCTTGATAGCCTTAGCTCTAGTCTTGACTGCCGTACTGATAACCTTATTCAAGGCCCCCTCATATTTGGAAGCCAACTTGGTTCTTTCCTTAACTTTTTCATCCAATTCAGCGTAATCACGAGCATACCAAACATTGGTGGCAGTAGGGAAATAAGTTCTCAATTCACCTTCTTCCAAAGCATTTTCTGGCACTTCAGTCAACAACAAGGTTCTTGAAGATAAAAGAGAGTCATACAATGGAGTGGTTTGAACCACGTGTCTGAAAGTAGTATAGTAAACCAATTCTCTGTAGATCAAAAACAACACAAAGCCGAAAAAGATCCAAGACATAAAGATATGGGCCAAGTATCTCCACTTATGCTTCACGTTACCAAACGCAAGCATGTTGAACTCGGTGAGATGGTTGGAATTGGTGGCATTGACTGGGAAAAGAATAGGCCAGGTGATGATGGCACCACCATAACAAACAACACAGAATTCAAACAAGAAACGAATGAAAAAGTATCCATCAACACCAGCTTGTTGGATGATGAATGCTTCGGGCTTCTTGAGAACGTGGGTAAGCCATGAAAAGGCACCACGAGGGTTTTCGTCTGGAACCAAGTCGGCTGGAACGGTTTCAACCGTGGTTCTTGGTTCGTAAACTCTGGCTTGTTTCTTTCTCAACAGCACAAAGATGATGAGGAAAACAGCAAAAACGATAAGATTGACAATAAGCGAGGAGATGAACGCAGACAACGAGGTCGCGGTTCCTCCTGATCCTGAGCTAGCCATTGTGTAGTGTCGATTCTTCGGGTGGAAAAAGAAGGGAAGTTAGGGGTGTGTTTTTTTTTCCGAAGATGTTGTTTTGTTTATTAGTTGGAATAAAGCCCAAAAAAAAAAAAAAAAGAAGGAAAATTAATCTGCACAAGTCAACCTAAGGGGTAGGGAATTCTGCGTCTTTTACCGCGGTGTGGAATTCTGACTTTTATATGTGTGAACTGTGAGCCCCTGCGGATGATTGGGGGTGGTTCCTTTTTTTTTAGAGTGGGAAATGGGGTGATTATCTAGAGGACCGGCCAATATGAGTATAGAAAGAAGAGAAATTTTTCACTTGTAAATAGATTGATAAAATCCATTTTCTTTATATAATAGTAGCCAGCAATCATTGCTAATGTAAAGTGAAACAGTCATCACTGACGGCGTGGCGCGCACAATATTATTGTTCGCTGCGGCGAAAGAACGATTGCTTTTAGTCAAATGCGGCTGTAACGGCGGTGCAAGAACCAAAACCACGGTCCAGTGGAAGCGCCATGTGGAATTGAGCAAACAATCCATTGTTTAGCTACGTGAAATATACAAAGAGAATGCTGCAAAATTTCATGGTTGACGTTGACGATGAGGGTGGCTATGGTGCAAGGCTGAAGAAGAACAAAAATAGATGAAGAACTCTCTCTCTTTCTACAGGAATGGCCCAACCTCTAGACCCTTAATGCTGGCGGTCAATCACTTTTGGAAGGTAGTACATTAAAAAATATCAAAAAATTTCCTTGAATTTATTTTTTTTTGAAGTGTACACTTTGTGGTTGAAATTTTGTTTGTGAACGGCTGGTGAGATTTCTAGATGACCGCGTTGCGAGCACGGGCTGTTTTGATCAATTGTTTAGCTTGCTGGTAGGTGCATTGACCTGAGGTTTTGTGCAGGCCGTATGCATCATTACACACGAGCACAAAACAACAAAAACAAACAAGGGGCATTTTCCTAAAATGCTTTCAATGCATGGAATGAAGTGAGTATAACTCCAGAGGAAGGTATTACGAGCCCTTGCGATGTAGATTGAATAAATTATAAACGTTTTATTTTAGAAATAAAAATTACTTGAAAAGGGTGTATGGGTAAATTACTTAATTTAACTAATAATGCCACTCTGGTATTAATTGCAAGGCTAGAGAAGAAATTGAGCACATCGTTTAGAATTAGAATTCCATAACTGTAGATCATAAAAGCGCATGCGGGTCATACTTCAAATGTCTATGTTCTATGCATAAGGACAACATGTAAGAGTTGTCGATTGGAGGAGAAAAGAATACATCTACTAATCTCTCTGGGATCAATTACCCTTGCCTGTTTTCAAAACAGGTGGGTTTGGACCCTCGGAAAAGCTTGGTAAGCTGTCCAGGCCACTAGGAGTAGACGATGACACCCCATCCAAGGTGGTTGATCTAGGTGGAGGGCCCGAAGGACGGAAGAATTCGTCCTCGTTGAATTGCACCGCGGTAGAGTCATCGTGATGGTAGTCATGTAACGTTGGCAGTGGGTGACCGGCTTGGCCCGGTGGTGGGCCTGGTGGTGGTTGGATCGGGTCACCACCTTCAAAGGTATATCCTCCTCCAGAGATGCTGTCGGTTCTTCTTGGGGGCACGTCACCAAGAGGGATCCCGTCATTTACAGAAGAGTTTCTATTATGAGTTGGTGGAGGAGATGATATCACCCCGTTGGATGAAGACCCCATACCTGTAAAAGTGATTCCACCGCCACTAGTGGGCGACTTGTTGGGACCGCTGCCCTTTTGCGCAGGATGGAATTCTCCATTAGCATCGTAGTAGCCCATGTCCCGGTCCGTGGCCTCGGCGGTGTATGTAGGCACATACGGAGATACACCTTCCGGATCATTACGCTGTCTTTGGTTTTGGTTTTCTGATTGAATGTATGACGGTGGCGTCATCCAACGAGTACCATATAATGGTTGTACCCCTTGACGAGACCGACGTCTATTCACACGAAGGGTTCCGATAATAACCACCAACACCAACACAATGAAAATAGCGAAAAATGCCCATCTGGCACCTCCACTATTGCCCCATACAGTGGTGTCACCCCAATCTCTGGTATGAAGTATTGAAGGCATCAGTACAGGAAGCTTATGTCAACCTTGATTAATATTTTTTTTTTTGCCCCTCTTGTTAATGAGCGGGTCTGAAATTTAAAATTTATTATATTCAGGCAGAAATAGAATATTATATCCCCCCCTGTTTTTGTATATTAATATGTCCTATTACCGTACTATAAGCCAGGAACGGGGAATTGGGGGGAGGCTTTTTCCATAGTCGTGTGTGAACTTTGTCAATCATACAATCCCTGACTTTCTTGGGCGGTGCACGACCTGTAAATTTAAAAAAAAAAAAGGTTCGATCAAATATACCACACAAATAAAAATAGAAATTATACTTGGGAGGCTTAGAGGAGGCAAATTGAATGACATGTTTCATTTTGAAATTACAGTTTTTGACATGGTGGGGGGTGTGTCAATCCGGGGAGACTCCAAATGTATGTACAATGAATGACTGAAACAATGGTTGATCATGAAAACTTTTTTGTCATTAACCCGATTTGCGCTATCTAATCTGTTAAACGAGGTAAATTTTGCGAAGTGCGTGTTTGACCCCCTAAATTGTTTTTTTTTTTTGTGTAGTTTCTTATTTGGTTGCAAAAGGGGCAAATACCATAAAGAGTTTGTAACTATATTTTAGGGAAAGAGATGAAGCATCAGATATTGTTGGGAGAAGATTCTTTAATCAACAATATTATTGTTGAAGTGAAACGATCTCCATCTCAATCAGTTCTAGACGCACTTGAAGATATTTGGATTCAACTTCAAAAATCAATAGGTGAATGTCATGAAGTGATTTTGGTGTTGAAGAATGTATCCAATCAAAGAATATATATCCCACAATTCAATTGTATACCTATATCTAAATTCACAATCATTGTAAGACTCATCAAGCTTGTTATTCAACATTTGAAGTCTAATTCTACAAGTTCCGTAAGAGATATATATTATAAAGATGTAGCTTTGTTCCAAAATCGTCAACAACATGCTAAAATAGCTCTCATAGAATTAGCTACTTCTTTAGGAGTCACTCCTGAAGAAGGCTTTCAAATCGTCCCCAGTCAAAAGGGATTGGTTTATGGGAATATTCAAATCAGTGGTCCCATGGGTTTCTTCTTAGATTCATCTCAAGGGTCATGTTTAATCCCACTTTTTTCAGTTACAGGGTCAATGGAAGACTATCAATTAGTTGGAGATTCAATCCCAATTGCAATCATTATCCTTGAGAAGGAAGCCATCTATAGATCTGTTTGTGAAACATTACACGAAACCTATCCAGATCATAAGCTATTGATTATAACCGGCAAAGGGTTCCCCTGTAAACTAACCTTGAGATTTATACAACTTCTAACCCATCTTGTGCCAAAAACGGTACCTATTTTAGCCTTTGTCGACTCTGACATCTATGGTATACAAATATGTCAGAATTATAGGTATCCAAAGAATGGTAATATTTGTGAAAGAGTAATATTCTCTGGGATGTTTCTATTAGAATATCAACAAGGTTGGTTGGATACAACTTTTAAAGATTGGAAAAGAATGCAAAAATTCTTACTACAAGAATTCCCCAAGAATTGTAAAGAGGTTGCAAAATGGAAAAGGGAAATCTCAAGAGGTATGGTTCTATTTAAGAAATCTGAGATGAATGTTATTCAATCGGGATATACTGAATACATGTTGAATAAGGTGAATCAATATTGCAAGGTCAATTACTTCAACCTTAAAAAGAGAAAGCTTGATGATTATCTACACGATAAAGAAGAAGAAGACAATCTTTGTTACCTCCCATCTACACAAGGTCTCCTAAGTGAAAACTCCTCAACACAAGGAGGAGCCACATTCGACTTATTCAATTGTTAATTAATTCTTTTGCAACCCAAGAAAAAAACCGGAGCTACCAAATTAGCTAAAAAATAACACTAAATCTTAAAAAAAGAATCTAAGGGGGAGTGCGATTGATTGTGCGCTATTTCACGTGATCTGAAGTAGTACCCAAAAAATAAATAAAATAAAAAATAAAAAAAGAAAGGTATTGAGAAATCGTAGGACACGATCCAAGAACTTTACACAAAACGGCATTTCGTCGGCCAATATCTCCCTCAAACGTGCAAGTTGAAATTCTTATTTCTTTTCAGGTTCTTTGTCAAATTGATCTAGTAACATTAATCATGTCCTACACAGCTCGTTCCGTTGCCCCAGCCCACACCTTGGAGCACAAGGTTTACATTGAAAAAGATGGTAAGCCAGTCTCTCCATTCCACGACATTCCATTGTACGCCAATGAAGAAAAGACCATTTTGAACATGGTTGTCGAAGTTCCAAGATGGACCAACGCCAAGATGGAAATCAACAAGGAAGACAAGTTGAACCCAATTGTTCAAGACACCAAGAAGGGTAAGTTGAGATTTGTCCGTAACTGTTTCCCACACCACGGTTACATTCACAACTACGGTGCCTTCCCTCAAACTTGGGAAGACCCAAACGTTGCCCACCCAGAAACTAAGGCCAAGGGTGACAACGATCCTTTGGATGTTTGTGAAATTGGTGAAGCTGTTGCCACTGTTGGTGAAGTCAAGCAAGTCAAGGTTTTGGGTGTCATGGCTCTTTTGGATGAAGGTGAAACTGACTGGAAGGTCATTGTCATTGACGTCAACGACCCATTGGCTCCAAAGCTTCACGACATTGAAGATGTCGAAACCCACTTGCCAGGTTTGTTGAGAGCCACCAACGAATGGTTCAGAATCTACAAGATTCCTGATGGAAAGCCAGAAAACCAATTCGCCTTCTCTGGTGAATGTAAGAACAAGAAGTACGCTGAAGAAGTTGTTACTGAATGTAACGAAGCTTGGGAAAAGTTGATCAAGGGTGAAACTCCAGCCGATGACATTGACTTGACCAACACCACTTTGTCTGAATCTGCTTCATTCTCTGCTTCTGCTGCCACTGAAGTTCCAGCTGCTACTAACGAACCAGCCGCTCCAATTGACAAGTCTATTGACAAGTGGTTCTTCATCTCTGGTGCCCACTAAATATTTTATAGTGTGAATGAATTGCAAGGTATCTGAATTAAATGTGCTTATGATAAGTTTTTTATTTTTTCTTTTTTTTTCGTGTTTTTTTTTTTGGTTGTTGCAATTTCTTTGTAAAAAATGTATAGATATGAGTTACTCATGTGGTCACATATACTATCATCATATCTCTAATTTTTATCAAGGACATTGTCTGTGAGAAAAGATAGAGTTTGCAACAACAATACGTTTTAGTGGCTTTCACCCTACAATACTTGCATTATTGTTTATGTTCCTACATATCAATACCTCTCTCTGAATTATGATAGTCTTCTAAATAAAAGTTTCTCCGTAGTTTTTTTAGTCATTTTTGACTAAAGTTGACGCACCAATATTTGAATTCCGTAGAAGCTAACAATTAAAAGAAGCCCAGGCTATGCAGTCTTTATCTCCGTCGGATTTATCATTTAGAAATGTACAGGTATCAATCCACATACAGAGGAAGTGGTTATTATCCAACATATTCTCTGAAGGAAAGGAAACTTGTGAGGCCCTCAATTAAAACAAAGATTTCAGCCGTGTACTTAGTTAGATTCGTAGATGACATCAGCTGGCACCTTGACAGAAATGTGATATCCCCAATAACCGGTTTTGTGTAACTCTATTGTTTACCTTTTTTTGTTGACATTGGAGGAAAATTTCAAAAAAAAATTAGCTCCGTTCCGAGTGCGGCTGAGATTTGAAATACCTTCCTATTTCCCCTTAACTCCTTCCCCGATTACTAATTTTTTTCATGGTTATATCTAACATACGGCTAAAAGATCGAAGGCGATAGAAACGACACGATACATATAAAAGGTACCTCAGCTATCTTCTACATTAGTTGTACTTGCCTATTATCTCTTGATATATATAAATTACTCAACTACCATTGATTTCTAAAAGGTTAAAGTCAATTTTATTTTTTAAACTCACTCACTACAAAAAAAAAAAAACATCACAAAGTATTATGTCTATCGTAATAATTGGAGGTAACTTTGCAGCAATTGCAGCTGCCAGAAACACTTTTGATCAAATCATAGCTGCTGGAAAGAAGGATGACTATGAAGTGACTGTGATTTCTGCTTCTGAAAAAGTTTGGTGTAACACCACTGCTCCACGTCTTTTAGTTGAACCAGAACATTTCGAAAAAACTGTCCGTCCTGTCAAAGATTTTTTAAAGGAAAGTAGCAAGGGTGTCAAGTTCAACTTCATACATGCAACTGCTGAAAAATCTGACTTTGATGCAAAGACCGTGACTGTCAAGGGTTCCAATGGGTCCCAAACTGTCAAGTATGACTACTTGGTTGTTGCTACCGGAACCAAATCCCTCTCCTCAGCATTTAAATTGAACGGAAGCTTTGAGGAAAGTCACTCAAGTGTTAAAGAATTAAACAAGCAAATTATCGCTTCTCAAAGAATTGCCATTGTTGGTGGTGGTCCAACTGGTGTGGAAACTGCCGGTGAAATTGCTTATTCTTATCCAAAGAAGGAAGTCGTTTTGTATACTGGTTCTTCTGGACCTTTGGATTTCATGGGAACTAAGAAGTCCAACACTGCCAGCAAGATGTTGACCGATTTGAAGGTTAAGGTTGTAAACAACAAGCGTTCCACTTCTGTGGTTACTGCTGAAAATGGTAAGACTACTTTGACTTTTGGTGATGAAGGCTCGGAAGTGTTTGACTTGTACATTCCTGCTATTAGTGGGAAGCCAAACACTTCATTCATTGATTCCAAGTACCTTGACAAGGGGGGATACCTCGATGTTGACTCCCACTTCCGCGTCAAGGGTCACCCAGAAGTCATTGGGTTTGGTGACGTTCTTTCTATTGCCAAAAAGACAGTAGTGGATATCAAATTCTATCAAACCAAGGTATTTGTTGCCACTATCAAACATGATCTTTTCAACAAGGGTTCACTTGTATCTTATGCCACTGGTAGCCTTACTATTGGTGTTCCAATTTCTAGAAACGGGGGTGTTGGTTTAATTTTCGGTTGGTCTATGCCTAGTTTCCTTGTTAAGGTTTCCAAGGGTAAGGATTTCATGATTCCAAAGGCCATTGACGCTTACAAATAGACTATATAATAAAATAATACTACTAATAAATGAGACTGAATTTGAAAAAATAATTATAAATTGATTTGTGGTATAGGAGATTATCATAAAAGGATAGTATTAGTAGATGCTCCCAAGCAATATATTTACTTCTGTAGTATACTAAGAATAGAATAATAGTTATAATATAATGTATTACAGGTAAATGGATAGCGTTATCTAAAGAACATACTATTTATAATTTCATAACATAATATATAGTCACGTGATATCCTTTCACTACATTGGAACTCCAGTAACACGTATCACATAACATGAAAGTTTCTCTTTACAATTAGATTTACTGGATCTTCACCCCCGGATAAACAGTTGGGTGCTAATACCCAAAAACAAAAAGGAAAAAAAAAATTGGAGTCTCATATTCCTGTTTTGCCGGGCGGTTGCCATAGTTACCTACCGTTGTCCTGGATATTTACATCGCGTGCACTCATAGTGCATAATAATAAAGAGTCTTTTTTTTTTTTTTAACGAGCTTCACAAGAAGCTAGCTGGAAGAAAAAAAAATCATACTCTGTATGGATCTTCATAGCCAGGTCGACGTCACAGGGGATGGGCAGCACTCGGCGATTAATGCCGCCATTTGTGCTCATGGACTCACTACACTAGATCTCCTAAGCAGTGCGTACGCGTCAGATCGTGTGGGGGCATCCAGTCAGCTTGCCAAACGACTCGGTAGGTCGATCCGAGAGGTCGACACGTACTTGGACACCATCAAGGACATGGCAAGTTCATCAGTTGTGCGGAATGATATTCGGAAAAGAGAAATCATATCGACCGGACTTCCAACACTCGATGAACAATTAGGTGGAGGAATCCGAATGGGTGAGATCACTGAAGTATTTGGAGCTAGTGGATCTGGGAAATCCCAATTCTTATTGAATCTTACGGGGAAACAGAACCTGAAATGTGTATATATATCTACCGAGTCCACCATAGAAACCAGAAGATTGGAGAGTATGGCGCTGGATAATATCAATATCATGGACAAAGTGTATTGTGTGTATTGTCCTGATCTTGAAAGTCAAGACCATATCATTCAAACTCAGCTTCCTGTGTTACTTGAAAATGACGTAGAGCGTGAGATCAAGCTTGTGATTATAGATAGTATATCACATCATCTAAGAAGAGAAGATGCTATATCCAATGTTTCATATCTTCGTACCAAAATATCTGAACAAGAAATGGAATTGAACGCTGTTCCTGAGTATGCAGATATCAAGGCTGGATTGGATGCTCAACATGGTGTATTTTTCAAAGGTAGTCCTATTTACCGGAATATTTCTGCTAGAACGTTGTACGTATTACAATTATACAGAAGTTTACAACAACTTGCACTGAAGTATAATCTTGCCATTGTGGTTGCAAACCAAGTCAGTGACAAACCAGATACTAGAGAACCGTTGGATAATCCACTCAGTTATGAAATGCAATTGGGGCATTTTGCCGGTTGGGATATATCAACCATTCTACTGCATCAAGGACGGGCCCAAAATTCAAATGAAGAAATCAAATCTACATACGCTGAATTGTTACAATCGCTTGATACCAACAAACGAACCAAATTACAAGATCACCCCAATGGAGATTTTGATCCAAGGTATGCTTCTAAAACTGCCAAAAACTTGTCACAATCACAAACAGAATTATTAGACAAACTTCACAATGCTACAAATTGTACCACGAAAAAATACCTCCCTGCTTTGGGATATCAATGGACAAGAAGAATCACCGCAAGAATACTACTCATGAAAACTTACAAACCTAAGATACTGATGCCTTCTTCTTCTTCTTCTGGTGGGTCTGTTGATCCAGAAACGGGGTTGACATACGATCAATTAATGGCCGGGTTCAATATGCCTGACCTGCAAATTGAAGGAGTTAAAAAAAGACCACATGGAAAGGACACAAACCAAAGGGTTGATGCAAATACACTTGCACAATTGGTGGAAGGATGGAACATAGAGCGATATGCTAGAGTTGTATCGTCCCCATACACTGCCACCAACAGTGAAAGCCCTTCCAGGTTCAACAAGATCCCATTTGAAATTAGTACTGGTGGTATACATGAGGGCTTACATAATGATTAATTGTTGCGCACAGAGTCAATATTTTATTTTAAAGTTTGTGTCTATGCAATCCAACGTGGGTCGTGCGCGCACGCTAAAATGGCGATACATGATTGTAAATGATCAACCCACGACGAACCAAAAAAACATCAAAGGATTCCACTTACCAAGCTATTCATTCACACAATTTCCCATATTATACGTTGAAACATACCGAACCTTGTTGATAGATCGATAAATACCCCATTCCGCCAGTTAAAATAATTATTCAAGCCCTCAAAACATGAAGGTGAGTAGAAATAAAGAGACAACAATAGATGAATGACTTAAATTGAGTTGTTGTAAAACTTATACTAACAAGCATAGTTCATTGATGAGGTTGACATTGAACTTGTGAATCAAGAGCTCAATTTCCATTCACAGGATAACAATTTAGTTATCCGTGGAGGCTGTGACCTCTTCACCACAAAGCCCATGAGTGCTGATCGGAAACTTTTTAAAACCATTGACAAACATTTGGACCAAATATTGGAGGATACACAACTCTCACATTCACTTGAAAGAGAACGTAAGAACTCTATAAATTCCCTTTTTGGCAGTAGTGCATCTCCACCAGCGTCTGGTCCGGGGACGCGTCGGGGGAGTTACATATCTGAACGTGATAGAAGAAGCAGCTCATCGCTGATAAATTTCCGTCGAGGCTCCATGACCAATAACCCAAATAACAATACTAATGAAGTAAGCAATCTTTCAAAGTCTTTAAATGGTAGTGGTGGAGATACCTCTTATGATGAATATGCCATAGATGAATCTCCATTTGGTCCACTTAAAAATCTGACTACTAGGAAAACGTTTGCGTACCTTATTGCTATTTTGAATACAACCTATCCAGATCATGACTTTTCAAACTTACAACCTTCAACTGAAAACTTTCATAAATTAAACTCTCCAGAAGAATTGATTCATAAATTCAATAACGTGATGATTTCCTTGGGCAAAAAGGAAGACCTTTTAAATTGGATCTGGGATACTGTGAACCTGTACATGGACATAATACCTCCCAAAGGCGCTACAACTACTGGTGGATCTGGTAATGGCAGTTCATCCCGGGTCAATAGTGTTTCCTCTTACAATACCCCATTGACCCCGGCGGATCTGCCACCACTGGGTAATAACAATTCATTTGAAGGATGTCAAATATATGAGTTTCAACCTACCGACCAGTCCATTTTAGAGGACTTGAACTATCCATACCAATCTATGTGGTCATATTATTGGTTCATTTATAACAAAAAGAAGAAGAGAGTATCGTTCTTGTACTTGAATGCTATCAATAAAATTCATTACTCCATGGTCAACAGTAAGAGAACTTCATCATCTAGTAGGAGGAATGATGATAGAAATGGAGGTGAGAGTAATGGTACCCACGGGGGTGAAGATGATGATGAAGACGACGATGATGAAATGTACATGGATGACTATATGGAAGAAGAAGTCATGATGGATGATGATGATGACATGGATGATGATGTAGTTGGGGGCCTTGAAATCTAGAGGAGGCCCTGTTAGCTGCTAACTATTTTTATTTCTACTTTAAATCTATCCCACCTTGGGGACAAATATATCGTTCGAGACGAATATAAACCAGAATTCATAACTAAAGTGCATAAGTAGTATCCGTATTATAATAAATAAAACTCAATATTTTTGGAATACAACGTATACACCAAGGAGTTTTTACACAAACACTACAAAATTGTATGAGTCACGTAGTAAATCTTCGGTTCGCATGGATCTTTTTTTGTTTTTTCTAATAAGGACTGGCCATGGTGGTAGTGTGTGGGATGAAGTGGTATGCTTGTAGTCTGTGTATAGAGGAGCAAGACGTTGTTCAATTGCTCGAGAATGCAGCAATGTGTTAAATTCTCTCTATTGTATATCACTTCTGGTAAATAATTCGCAATTTCTCATATTTTGATGACAAATTATATTTTAGAATTTATTGTCTATAGTTGGAAAAAAAAAAGAGTAGACTTCTGGAAAGTTCGAAACTAACACATATTGTAATGAGCTGATGTCTGACATATTCGTGATATTGTGGTATGGATTAATTTAGTACAGGGCCAATAATCAAAAGCAAGTAAAGTGAGAGCAATTCCCCCTTAGTTCTGCATATCGGGAATATTGCCTATTTTGGATGTTAGTGTCGCAACCTCCAGATCGTATATATAAACTTCGAGTCTGCTCGGAGAAACCATTTTACTCCATATTAACACAACTTAACAACTACAATTAATATATCAATCATGACAAAATACGCTACAGACGTTAGAATCAAACTTAACAATGGTCTTGAGATTCCAGCTCAAGGTTTGGGAACTGTTCCTCCGGATGGCCACCCAGAGGCTGTTAAGGATCAAGTTCTCGCTGCAGTCAAGGCAGGCTACCGTCACATTGATACTGCGTGGTATTATGGTTCTGAAAAATACATTGGACAAGCATTGCAAGAACTTTTCAAAGAAGGTGTCGTCAAGAGAGAGGATTTGTGGATTACAACCAAGGTTTGGCCCTCATATTGGCACAGTCCTGAAAAATCTTTGGATACCTCTTTAAAAGACTTGCAAATTGACTATGTTGATTGCTTCTTGCAACATTGGCCCGTTTGTCTTCATGGAGGAGCTGATGGAACTCCAGCAGAACCACGTAACGATCAAGGTGGATTGGATTATGACGATGATCCAGTTACTGGAACTAAATTCATTGACGTCTATCACACTCTTGAAGATATTCTTGATAACACAAACAAGGTTAAGTCAATTGGTATTTCCAACTACTCTATTCCAAAGCTTAAACAACTCTTGCCAAAGGTAAAAAAACATGTACCTGTTGTCAATCAATTCGAATATCACTGTCAATTGCCTCAAAAGGACTTGACTGACCTTTGTAAAAAACACAATATTGTCGTCATTGCCTACAGTCCAGTGGGAGGTCCAGGTGCACCAGTGTTGAAGCTTCCATTGGTGAAGAAATTGGCCGAGAAGTATGATGTATCAGTCAATGAGATCGCCAATGCCTATCACATCCTTGAAGGAAGAGTTTCTATTCCAAGATCCTCGAACTTGGAAAGAATTAAAACTACCACTAAATTACCTCCTTTAACCTCAGAAGAATTAAAGGAATTATATGAAGTTGGTGAGGCAAATCCAACAAGATACACCAACGATGAATGGGGATTTGGACTTGGTTTCAGATGGTGGAAAGGTGATGTTTTAAGTAAGGAATTTGATTAAGTAGCTGGGCTAGTAAATTTTGTTAATTTATGACAAATATATATTTCTTCCTTAAGATATGAACGATGTAACCTTTTCGGACCAAAGATCTTAATTTGTAGTATAGAGAACCGTATTGAAAAAGGAGGAGTTAGTAGTTGGGAAATAAATGTTGTACGCGCAAGACTAATTTTATCTAATAAGCATTATAGAAGGGATTTTTATTTTTGAGAAACTAAAGGCTTCTCTGATGTTCTATGGGCTTCTCTATGTGACTTTGAAAATTCTGTGGTACTTCTTCAATTCCCCACATAATTCGATAGAGGTGTTGCAAAAAAGTCGCGTTTTTCCTGCAAGTATCGCAAATGCCCCGATCTTATCTACCATATCAGTTATATTAATTACTAAGTCGAATATTATTAGCAATTACATATGGAGAATAATAATACTTAAGTCATATATATATATATATATATATATATAAACACTTTCATCAGACACCACAAAAGTTATTAGTTCATCTAGACAGCCGGACGGTGGCCATGGAATTCGGAATCCGCGAAGGAGTGTGTAACAACTCACCGACTGAATGAAGTAGCCCTGAAAATGGGTGGCGCTCAGGCGTGTTAATTATACTATATATATATATATATATATATATATATATGATGAGTTTCGATCATTGGTAAATTGAAGTCATGAACATTTATATTTTTTTAATCAAATAGGTGTCGTAATCTGATGCCTAGATTTTTGTTATTAACTACTTATGTCTGACTGTGTTAATAAAGTTTCCCCATTATTTTCATTTGTACTACCTCATTTTATTAAATAATGGCTTTTCACTGATAGAGCGCACCAATTTTATCATAAATGACAAATAGGCAGAATTGAAGGTATGGGATTTGACTTCTATTGTAATGTAGCTATTTTCAAATTGATGAGAATGTATATTGTTTTGTCAGTTCAGTCTTTATACTCACTATCTTGCCTATATGCACCTGTAGGCACTACAAACATAACTATCTATATGCGATGCAATATACAGATAACATCATAGTTTACGGATTTTTTAGTTTAGTTTGTGGCAACCCATCTGTTTGTGATATATCACAATCAAGATCTTGCGATATTTTTGCCCTTCAAAATTTTTATTTTATCTTGTTTCTTTTCTTAAAGTATCATAATATCATATTCATATTTGATATTTATTAGCAGAAGCTTTTCACATTGATAAGAGTTGCTCTTCAGAGTTAATATGTTGGATTTTGTACAAGTTAAAAATCTTTCATAAGTTGGTTTTGGTAGAAATAAAAAAAACGTATTTTGTAAACATACAAATACATTTAATTTTAATTCTGGTTGTTGCTCTATCGACAGGAGAAAAATTATAAGACGATAAGGTATAAAGATAAAGGTATAAAGATAAAGATATAAAGATAAAGGTATAAAGATAAAGGTATAAAGAAAAAGATGTTAAAAAAATCAAAGAAAGATAAACAAAAAGGTATAAAACCACAGAAAAGTTACAGAAAAGTTACAGAAAAGTTACAGAAAAGTTAAAGAAAAGTTAAAGAAAAGTTAAAGAAAAGTTAAAGAAAAGTTAAAGAAAAGTTAAAGAAAAGTTAAAGAAAAGTTAAAGAAAAGTTAAAGAAAAATTAGAAAAAAAAAAGATGCAAAGTACAGACTAAAGATAAATAAAATTAAAGGATAGTCAAAAAGAAAAGATAAAATATCAAAAACAAATCCCAAGGTAAGAATAATTACGCGAAAAACAAGAAGAATAAATACATTCTACGACTACTTAACCATAATCACTCGTTGGGGTAAAAGAATTGGAGCAATATCAAAATCACGTTGAATATCGAACTAGAAGCTATTAAATATCCTCGTGAAGGGGATTGTTTGTTGTCGAGAAAAGAATATTATAGAATTGCAGAGGGAGCAGAAAAAAGAAGAATGGAAGAGGAATCAAAAGAAAGGCTAACATTGACCAAATCAACTTATATTCATAATTTGTGGAGAAATGAAAAAGATAAAGGAAAAGATAAAGGAAAAGATAAAGGAAAAGATAAAGGAAAAGATAAAGGAAAAGATAAAGAAAAAGATAAAGAAGAAAGAGATAAAGAAGAAAAAGATAAAGAAGAAAAAGATAAAAAAAAGTGGTACAATCGTTCCATCAAAGGAATCACGTATTAAACTAGAAGTTTTTGAATATCCCCATCAAGGGGATTGTTTGTTATCAGGAAATGAATGATAAAAGAATCAGAGAGAGAGCAAACACGGAGTCAAATAAGGAAGCAAATAAGGAAGCAAATAATTGAGAATGGAAAAGTGATCAACAGCAAAAGAAAGGCTTAACATTAGCCAAATCAATTTATAAATATTTGATGGTGGAGAATTGAAAAGGAAAAATGGAAAAGATAAAAAGTAGACAAGGATACAGAATGTGGATATGGTTGCAGAAATAGGGTGACAAATCAAGGGAGTTTCAGGGTTGAAGATTTTGTTGGGAAGTGGACTTAGTAGGTGACACACTAGTGCTTTGGCACTTGGGTCATCTAGTGGAGAATTATGAGATGTCCCTCTAGTGTGAAAGCACTTGGGACGTCTGGTGGGGTTTGGAGATGCTTCTTCTGCGCTATTTTGGCACGGTTTACAATGGAGTATCTCCGGTGCGTTGCTGGCCAGACAAATTTAAAAGTACTCGAGTTTACACGCAAATCTGGTCAGTGTATCGTTGGCACTAGTTAGATTGCGTCAATGATACGTAGGTAATTCGCACAGATGGAGTGTGATCTAATAGCACAATTATCAGCTAGGGTCACCGGGTTTATTTGAAATGAAGTAAACAGTTGTTGTACAGTTGGGGGATACCTGTGATGCGTTGCTGATTAGTCTTGAAGTACTCGAGTTGCACAGTGGTGCATGACTAGTCAGAATGTAATCCGCACCAGGTGGGGCGTGACAACCGGTAAGTTTGTACTTGCTGGGGTCACCGGGTAGGGTTTGCAGGTGATACGCGAGCAGTTTGTAAGTCTTGGGTCACCTGCGGTGCGTTGCTGACCAGTTACTTTGGAGTACTTGAGTCTGCACATTTGTGCCTGGCTGGTCAGTGTATCGGGCCCGATACAAAGGTAATCCGCACCTGCTGAGGCAATGACAACCGGTACAATGACAAGTGCCGGGGTCATTGGTGGGTTGTGCTGGTGATGCGCGAGCAGTTTGTAAGTCTTGGGTCACCTGCGGTGCGTTGCTGACCAGTTACTTTGGAGTACTTGAGTCTGCACATTTGTGCCTGGCTGGTCAGTGTATCGGGCCCGATACAAAGGTAATCCGCACCTGCTGAGGCAATGACAACCGGTACAATGACAAGTGCCGGGGTCATTGGTGGGTTGTGCTGGTGATGCGCGAGCAGTTTGTAAGTCTTGGGTCACCTGCGGTGCGTTGCTGACCAGTTACTTTGGAGTACTTGAGTCTGCACATTTGTGCCTGGCTGGTCAGTGTATCGGGCCCGATACAAAGGTAATCCGCACCTGCTGAGGCAATGACAACCGGTACAATGACAAGTGCCGGGGTCATTGGTGGGTTGTGCTGGTGATGTGCTGTTATAGGGTACATATTTAGTTCGGGACATGAAGTCGGGTTGCCAGGGTAGAGTACACATGGTCCATTTTGATCTGTAGGTGTATTTGTAAGCGCCCAATGAGGCGCCCATACATTGAGGTATGGGCGTAGTCTGAGGGTGTGCGGCAAGTGCTGGGGTGGGTCTCCAGAGCCGGTCTGCTAGTGTGCGGACGTCACTCGGATCCACTTTTACGAGTGGAGATCGAGTCGATGGCCAGCACTAGATTCTGACTCTGGGCGCTACTTCACCTATGTGCCGTACACGTATCAGCCTTACTGGGTGACTAGCTAGCCATTTGGCCAGGTAGTGTGTAGCATGCACTGGGGTGACCCCTGGGGTCGGCCGCTACGGTCGGACCATTTTTTGATGTTCCCCGCCTACCACTCCTCTCTTGTTCCATCACCCAGTTTCTTAATGTTTCTACCAACTGAACCATAAATATACATTACTCTTAACGTATACTTCTTCGTGGTCTGTTTTAGTTATCTGTGGAGTTATTGTGTTGTAAATTCAAAATGTGTGTTGCAAAAGGTCGTGCATTGTCCATTTCTAAAAATACTTTTTTACCACATTTACAAAAGGTTTGGTTTCAGATTATGCACATTCCTCAACTGCGTGCACAATCTGAATATTTAGCCTTGGCTGCCAACAATAATAAAAAATAAATTATTTTCTTCCCTGCACCTTTCTTGGATTTGTGTGTGTACCAGATCTAAAGTATAAGAAAATACAATTTCCACGGGTGACAGCTATTGCGCTTGTGCAGACACAGTTGAACTGACAATCGAAGTTCGTGGACAATGGTCAAGCGATTTGATCTACGTTCATACTACAAGTTGATCGACTAGCCAGCCTACCCGCTAGCCTTCTGGTACTTAATATGTAGCACACACATTTGGGCGATCATTGGGAAGGAGGTTATGTGCGGATCAAGGGAACAACTAGTTGTCCAACCGTAGAGGTAGACCCCAGTGTCACCCATGCACTACCAGGCCAACCCCAAGGAGGGGTCACCCCAGTGCATGCTACACACCAGCTGGCCAAGTGGCTAGCTGGTCACCCTCCGACCACGCCCCATACCTCAATGTATGGACACCTCATTGGGCGCTTACAAATACACCTACAAATCAAATTGGACCACGTTTACTCTACCCTGGCAACCCGACTTCCTGTCCCGAACCAGTATATCCACACTATATATTTATGTCTTTAGAATGAGGAATGCACGTCGACTAAAGTAACACATAGCGCAAATGAGTCAACGGAGCAGCTCACTAAGTTCAGTATCGAAGAATCAATCTCGGCAACAACCCATGCCGGTATTCCATCCCAAAAGTAAATGGATAGTACTAGATTGATGTCAAGGTTCATTACACAGCGATAATCAATCACATATCAGCAACTGCCTCCTGGTGAGTCATAGACCACAAATGGTCAGGTGGATAAAATCAAAGCACCGCATCTCTAATTTAAACATAGCACTTGAGAGTCACGGGTCTCGGTGGCCAGGTTATTAAGGACTGTAACTAAACTGGAAATGGGTCTAAAGATAAATCATAAGATTTGTTAGTAAAGGTAATTTGAAGAAGAATAAAATCTTATGGAGCATATCAATTCAGAATACATGGATATTCTAAAAGGTAGAACGGAAAAATGATGGGACTCACCGAAGGAACAAAATAAGTTTTACGCTGACCTTATTGTACTTTTTCTGAAATTATGATATCCCTCTTATATAATCCCCACAGCTTCAATCCACAAACCAAGTGTCCACAAACCTAGTATCCACAAAGTCAAAACCAAAATATACATCAACAAACTCCATACAATATACAGGTCTTATCAGTATTTCCCGTATCAATAAATGACCGCATGAACTTTTGCTTAGTTACAAATATGTGCTGCATCTGGTTTTGATAGAATAAGCAATTATTACATTTTTAACAAGGACGTTGGTACAGCTTAGAAATGATGATTGATATGCATCCTTTATAGGTGTATCAAATACAAGAGCTACTGGTGAATACGTTTGACTTGAATCATGAAGATAAAAGGTCACAGAGGAGGGAAGTGCGGTCTTAGTAAATTTATGAATTTTATATGCGTAACGCGGTACTGTACTATACTATTTACTATATTTATAGACGCGTAGCATTTTGGGGTTTGTCTCCTGCATTGGCCTTTTTTTTTCGATTGTGGATTTTGATATAGTGAATTTGTAGTTATTCTCTCCTCTCTCTCCCCCACCTCTTACTGTTTCAATAATATCAATGACCATATGCACCTTTTTGTGGTTATAATTTGTGGGCTCATTGCCACATAATTTGGGAAACTGGGATCCTGATTTCTCCTTGACCTCGTGTCCATTCTTTCTTTTTCTTGTTGTTTTAGCACTTATTCCAATATGTCTTACTCTCACCATATGCCCATTTTCTGCATCTTTCTAGCATATCTACCCGAGTTGATAATTAAATTGGCCACCCACTGTCTATCCATAATCTTAAAATCCCCCATCCAATTTGCTGCAAAAGGTCGTTCTTCAACCATATCGGGGGTGCAGAAATACGGAAAGATCTGATCTCCGCACTTATTTTTTACTGCAACACATGTATCGCTGAAAGTTACAAAACCAACGTCCTACTACTGGCAATGTTTGGATATGAACTTTCTATGATACCAGATCTAGTGGAATTGGGCGGGATTGGATGTAAAATTGTACTAATTGAACATCATACGTTTAGCCGTATTACAAAGAAAGAGTTCACTGAGTCAAAGGTGTCAGATCATTGTTTTATAATATCGCGCATTCAGTTGTCCAACGCGAAAAAAATATTTTTCGATGGAACGTTGGCTAAAAAATAAATGTTGCTACACTGGTTCCTCCGGCCCCTGCCGGGTTTGTGGCAATCAAATTTTTTTTTGGCGGAAGTCCAAATCAAGACCTACTAATATGGGTCTTGTTGTATTCGGCTTGTTCACAGCACAACATGTCAAGTAAAATGAAGTCCAAAGGGGCGCAGATGGATACCATTTCTGATATTCTAGTTTTGCAAAAAAATTCTTTTCCAATTTATAAACAGGGTTTTAAAATGAATCACAAAACATAAACCTTATCCCTAGTCTCCCATATTTTCTACAATAATTATGCACCAGAAAAAGTACCTCATTTGCAGCTACTTTTTTTTACCACCATTTTTGAAAACCTGAAACATCCACACTTTTTACAAATTTTCCCATTAATTGAAGATGTAGTAGATCTTTTAGGTCTAGTGTAACCACCCTCAAATGAATGTTTATATATCCCAAGTGAACCCATGTTGAAACTCTATTAGATCACCTTTGTAATGGTAGAATTGGTCTTTCGACTGTGTTATTTTTTTTTACTCTCAATATTAAACCCCTTATCTCAACACAAATACAAGACGACACATCTATTAAAAAGTACTACATCTACATATTTCAAAAGGGGGGAGTCGGTACTAGGACTATCTACAGTATATTGATTTTCCATTTATTAATCTGGATGAAAAGAACTGCATGGTAATAACTACGGAATTATAAAGCAACAGTGGTTGATTGGGGGTGCCAAAATTCAAGTCCGGTGCTAGTCAATCCAATGGGTGTGGACCCACTATCAATCGTGTATAGGTACCAGGGTATTGGTCTCTTCGTTCATTTATAATTCTCTGTGCTCTGACTTTGTAAATACTTAGGGCTCTGGAGACAAGTTCTAGAGACCGCCTCTCAAGATGGCCCTGTTCTTCTGCTCGTTTATCTCATTGAATTGCCATACCCTTGTCATCACAAATAGCGTCTCATATTAATTACCTGAATTATTTGATAATTACTTCTGTAAGCTATTATGTACTGTAATCTTTCAAAGTCTGTGTATACTTAATTGGTCATTGTTGTTGGGAATATATTATACGCGTCGTACAACAGACGCGTATTATTCTCTATGGTTGATATGTGGATTCATGGCTAACCCCCATTTTTGCCACCCAGGTATTCTCAACAAAATGAATGACCATATGCACCCTTTTTGTGGTTAATTTTATGTAACTTGGTTGCCAATTCAAATTGTTGGGGTTGTCAAATTGAAACATAATAACTCTTTGATCTCGTGCCATTTCTTCATTTTTAAGTTATTTAAGTCTTTCTTCAAGTATACTCTAATATCATCATGTGCGGAGTTTCCCCATCTCTCTACGATCTCTAATCGTGTTGATAATCATATTTACAACGCAATATATATCCCAAATTTTTAAATCCCCCCTTCAATGTGCTGCAAAAGATTTGTTACAGAAAGTCGTGTGTTGTCCATATCTACACTCCGCATTTATTTTTTACTGCAGCATATTTATCGCCGAAAAATGTACGTCATACTACTATAGACGGGTTTCATAAGCAATGTGTTCCTCTTTATATTTGGTATATTTAGTATAAGAAGTAGAACTACTCTCAAGTAGTATTGGTATAAAAAATCGGTAGAATATACAATAAAAGAGGTCAACACTCAGGGGTGTCAAAGAGTTGTTTTGAAGTATCGCATATTCCTTCATATTAGCCGAAAAAATAATTTACGACGGAGCAGTTGGCTGCCAAAAAATAAATGTGGCCCCCCTCCTTCCTCCCGCCCCTTCCAGGTTTGTGGCAAACGAGTTTTAAGTTATTATGTTTTGTTTGACGGCCCGTCCAAAGCAGGACCTATTAATATGGGTCTCATTGTATTCGGCTCATTCAGAACATAACAAGTCAAGTCTAAATCGACCCAATTGGATGTCATTCTGATTATCTAGTTTTGCAACAACATTCTGCTCCACTATCTAAGAACTTTTCAAGATCCACAAAACCTAATTTTTATAATAAGTAAGATATTTTTTAGCCACAATATTGGCGCAATGTCAAAATGGTACCACCTCTTGACTGCGCTAGGTTTGGGGGGGATTTCAGCTGCAGTTTTAATTGATATCCCAACTTATCTCTAACCAAATACACAGACAGTTAATTATTAAAATATGCAATTTCAGCGTAATTTAAACGGGGGAAATTAGTACTGGTACTATCAAAAGTATAGTGAATTAACATATATAAATGTGATCGATAGTAACACTCGTTAGTAGTTTTATTCAAATACTTGTACCAAAGGGAGGGAGGGAGGTGGCAAACTTTTTGTACACAAGTAACTCCGTATTCTAGCACCCCCTTTGAATGAATATTTTTTCTGCAGGGATATTTTGGCTGCAGCATTAATTGAAAGCCCCTTGTTCCCTCCCAAATACACAGACACATTGGAGTTTTAGATCATACAATTTTGGCTTGTTTTAAACGGGGGAAGTTGGTACTGGTACTATCAAAAGTATGGTGAGTGTCTATAAAAAATGTGGTTGATAGTATCAACTCTTTCGCTGTACTAATTCCAATAAGAAACTTGCATTGAAGGGGGAAGGTGGAAGCTTCTAGTACAGCTGTAGTAAACTACTACATTTAATGGGACCCCTCTTATCTCCACACAAATATACAAACACTGAATTTTTAGATTATGCAATTTTAGCTTGTTTCGAATGGGGGAAGTTGGTACTGGGGCTATCTAAAGTATATTGAGTTATCATAGATAAATATGATTAATAGTATAGGTCTGGTGGGTTTTGTTGTTCCATGACAAACAGCTACAAAGGGGGGAAGGTGGAAGCTCCTGGTACGGCTGTAATAAACTTACTGCGCATATTAGGGGGGTGCAAATTGTGCACCCCATACACTGTAATTATGCATGGTAACAGGGTAGTACCCCATACTAATATTTCTTTTGGGATTGTGGTCACCTCTGTTGTTTGTGGTCTCTTGGATTTGAAAAATATTTAAGGACAACCAATTCCCACTTTTCCCCAAAATACTTTTTTCACTTTTCTATCACTCTTTTCTTCTCTCAAATTTATTTTCTTCAATTCAAAATCCAATACTGTGAGTAACCCACTCCCCGCCTCTTTTTTCATTCTTGATACAGCTTTACTATACTAACAACAATATTGGGCACTGAAAGGTCTTTGGTTAACAGTGACGTGTTTTGACTTCCGTTATTGGTCAATAGTAGTTGTCATTGTGAATTGTTGAAGTAGATTGACATCTCTCGTTGTTGGTGGTAGCTGATGCATTGATATTTAACTGCTTGTTTTCTCCGATTCTTGACTTGTTTAAGCGTCGGAAAATTTTCTGAATACATCCCACGGATGTGCTGTTCAGCAACCGGTAACTTAATTTGCATCTACACCACTGATCAGAAAGGTGGTTGATTTTAATTGATGATGATTTTGACTTCTGTTCTTGGTTGGCTGCAGTAGTTAATTTATGCTAGTGTTGATCATTGACTTACACCAAGGTTGAACTATGTTGCTGGTCGTTGTGAATTACTGTTACTTGTGCATCCTTCTCACTCATGTTGACCTTTGCTGTTGGTTATTGTTGGTCGTTGGTTATCATTATTGTTCTTCGTGGATCCTTCTCACTCATGTTGACCTTTGTTGTTGGTCGTTGTTCGTCGTTAGTTATTGGTCTTAGTATTCTGTTGATCCCTCTCACTCATGTTGACCTTTGTTGTTGGTTGTTGTTGGTCGTTGGTTATTGGTCTTAGTATTCTGTTGATCCCTCTCACTCATGTTGACCTTTGTTGTTGGTTGTTGTTAGTCGTTGGTTATCGGTCTTATCATTCTTCGTGGATCCCTCTCACTTGTGTTGAACTCCGTTGTTGGTTGTTGTTAGTCATTGGTTATCATTATTGTTCTTCGTGGATCCCTCTCACTTATGTTGAACTCTGTTGTTGGTTGTTGTTAGTCGTTGGTTGTCATTATTGTTCTTCGTGGATCCCTCTCACTCATGTTAACCTTTGTTGTTGGTTACTGTTGGTCGTTGGTTATCATTATTGTTCTTCGTGGTTCCCTCTCACTCATGTTGACCTTTGTTGTTGGTTGTTGTTAGTCGTTGGTTATCATTATTGCTCTTCGTGGATCCCTCTCACTTAAGTTGAACTCCGTTGTTGGTTACTGTTGGTCATTGGTTATCGGTCTTATCATTCTTCGTGGTTCCCTCTCACTTATGTTGACCTTTGTTGTTGGTTATTGTTGGTCGTTGGTTATCATCATTGCTCTTCGTGGATCCCTCCCACTTATGTTGACCTTTGTTGTTGGTTGTTGTTGGTCGTTGGTTATCATCATTGTTCTTCGTGGATCCCTCTCACTTATGTTGACCTTTGTTGTTGGTTATTGTTAGTCGTTGGTTATCATTATTGTTCTTCGTGGATCGCTCTCACTTATGTTGACCTTTGTTGTTGGTTGTTGTTAGTCGTTGGTTATTGGTCTTATCATTCTTCGTGGATCCCTCTCACTCATGTTGAACTCTGTTGTTGGTTACTGTTGGTCATTGGTTATCATTATTGTTCGTTGTGGATCCCTCTCACTTATGTTGACCTTTGTTGTTGGTTGTTGTTAGTCGTTGGTTATTGGTCTTATTATTTTGTGGATCCCTCTCACTTTTGTGACCTTTGTTGTTGGTTCTTGTTTGTTGTGGTTCCTTAATCCTATTGGTACGAGAATTTATTATGGTTAGCTGACTTATATCGACCTGCACTTGTGAGATATAGTAACCTTCTGGGAACTCTGCAATTATCTCATGCTTTCATTCGCCGTTTGATGAACTTGGAAGTATGGCGTACTGTTATAAGGTACATATTTAGTTCGGGACAGGACGTCGGGCTGCCAGGGTAGAGTACACACGATCCAATTTGATCTGTAGGTATCTTTGTAAGCGCCCAATGAGGCGTCCATACATTGAGGTATGGGCGTAGTCTGAGGGTGTGCGGCACGTGCTGGGGTGGGTCTCCAGAGCCGGTCTGCTAGTGTGCGGACGTCACTCGGATCCACTTTTACGAGTGGAGATCGAGTCGATGGCCAGCACTAGATTCTGACTCTGGGCGCTACTTCACCTATGTGCCGTACACGTATCAGCCTTGCTGGGTGACTAGCTAGCCATTTGGCCAGGTAGTGTGTAGCATGCACTGGGGCAGCCCTTCTAGGGGTTGGTCTGGTAGTGCATGGGTGTCGCTGGGGTCCACCACTACGGTTGGACCACTAGTTGATGACCTGCACTCCACACCACCTCTCCTTGAAGGACGCCCAAGGGTGTTTGTCACTGAGGTCCATCACTACGGTCAGACCTAATCTTAATGTGGTTTTGAATTCAATAGGATATATTTGTAATAGATCTAGCATTCAGTTTCCTAAAATATTAGGATAATAATAATAAAATTAAACAGCTTATCTAATATGTACTGTATATACTAATTATCTAGTCTTCCTTATAGGAAATGTCTTCTGCCTTTGAAATCGACATGAGCTCGAATTTGACGTCATATTCGACCTCTTTCCCCCGCCAAACATGTAGAGATTTCCTGCATATGTCAGATCTAAGGACTGCATAATACTTAAATAGGTTTAGTCCTGTAGGTAACACAAAAGTAGATGCAGGAGAGCTATAATATCCTGTATAATGTCATTTCTAACAGAACTAAAATCAAATTTGTAGGCAATAAAATATTGGGCAGAGAGCTTTCCTGTATATTGATTAAATTATTGGCTTGAAGTCCTTCATGTTATCATATACCTGCATATATACCATGCATCATGCAGGATAGTCATAGGCAATTGCAACCTGAACAGGTTGGGAAAATGACTTTGATACTAGGCAGAATATTTAGACTGGAAACGTCCTAATGAACCAATTTATATGTTTCTAGACGTCTCAGGGACCAGCTGCAAGTGTTAGAAAGTCAATAGAACGAAAATTGAGTATTTTGCACTTCCCCCTAAAAGCAAAACTGAATTTCTACATGCTCAGTGATTCTGCAGAAATGCTCTCTTTCCCGATTCTATCACTACCAGCGATGTAATACAGCATCTTATGAAGCACAGTGATGTTTTGAAGCCATTTATGTGATGTTTGCAACACCTTCTCCCAACCCAAGGGGTCAAGAGTTTATCCGAGACTATGTAGCTTTCGGACGCACCTGAGTAGCTGCAGCATATATACCGTGGACCGCGAGTAACCGACGGAATTAAGGTGGCTCTAAAGCTTAATTTTGGTCTCCGAAGGGTATTTAGACGCAAAAATAACGGACTTATGCACAAATATGCAACCCCGGAAATCGATCCCGGAATTGATTATGCACATGTGCATTTCGGAAGTGTGATATGGGTTTAAGGTATACGGATATGGAATGATGTGCATATCGGAAGAATATCATGCATACGGAGAAATACCAATCATATACCCCGCCTAAAGCGGGGTCATCAGAAGTCTAGCTGCTACACATTAAAAATTGATGTACTAAATTCAGTCCAAATCACGAGCTAGCATACTCCACATTCTACCGGAGGACACACTAAATAGATACTGGCACTAAAAAGTGTGAAATCGGCCAATCACGCCACCAGTAGAGCGCGAAAAATTGGCTGGGTGTTAGGATGTTGAAAAGTGGGTGTATGGATGTTAAAGGTTTTGTGCCCTGATGTTTAAGTTACACAAAACCAGCGCCAAATTTGAGGGGCACACGACTTCCCCAGTTTGAATGGGCGCACCTATCTGAAGCCAGGGTAATGTCGTGGCGTGGTTAATGCTCTCTGGCCTTAAAATCAACCGGATCCACCGAGCGGTTGTCGAGATATCGCTATCGAATATTTGGAGTCGATTGTAAAAAAAGTGGTGTCTGGATGTTGAGACCGGAATTCAAAAATGACCCTGATATTTGGATTTTTGCACTGATTTTGAATACAAAATTTTGAGATCCGGGGGAGACTGAAAATGTGCCATGCTCATATCTCGCTCAATATTAATGTGAGGGCCTATCTGAAGCTAGGGTAATGTCGTGGCGTGGTTAATGCTCTCTGGCCTTAAAATCAACCGGATCCACCGAGCGGTTGTCGAGATATCGCTATCGAATATTTGGAGTCGATTGTAAAAAAAGTGGTGTCTGGATGTTGAGACCGGAATTCAAAAATGACCCTGATATTTGGATGATTTTGAATACAAAATTTTGAGATCCGGGGGAGACTGAAAATGTGCCATGCTCATATCTCGCTCAATATTAATGTGAGGGCCTATCTGAAGCTAGGGTAATGTCGTGGCGTGGTTAATGCTCTCTGGCCTTAAAATCAACCGGATCCACCGAGCGGTTGTCGAGATATCGCTATCGAATATTTGGAGTCGATTGTAAAAAAAGTGGTGTCTGGATGTTGAGACCGGAA